GCGGTGGAGACGCTGTCGCACAAGGCAGGGAAGCAACTGAGTATATATACGAAGATACGAGGGGAAATACACATACCTGTCGCACAAGGCAGGGAAGCAACTGAGAGAACAAGTCTGGGTTGCTCCCTGGTGCGACAGGCGACTATATAGTAGATGAGTAATCCATCAACGCAACGAAAGATGGTCCAATGAGAGAAGGGGAGGGTCCTCGGGCGCCCGACACGTGACCGGTGGACCGGCCTAGGAAGGCCGGGCGAGTGCGGAGGCCCTAGGAGCGCCGAGCGACGGAACGAAATAGGGGAGATGCCAAAAGGAGGGCGCGGGAAGCCTAGGAGGGCGCGGGAGAGCGCGACCGAATAGGGAGACGGAAGTATTAGGGGAAATGAACGAAATGGGACAGAAGCGGAAGCAGAAAAGGAGAACAATGAGACATGAGGCGAGTGTGGGAGCCGTGCCCTGACAATAGTGAGGTTAAATCTTCATCTTCACTAGAAGGGCCATAGTAGTCGTCGTCCGTTTCTTGGCCATGGTGGGCAGTCCCCAAATCTGGGGTCGAAATTGACGTGTTCGTCGCAGACACTCCACCTGCCGATCGTTCACTTGTTGCAGACTGGGTCTTGTTTATATGCATTACATTGACTCTTCAAATGCCGTGGCCCTTAGCGGCTGTGCTGGAGATTGTCGTGTCACGTACCGCTTCTTAGGGCCTCGTTTCTGAGAACGAGAATGTCAGTAGATAGCATCAGCCTAGCACTGCAACCAATGGGAACCTTCGCTATGCTCTGATACCTGCACGGCACATCGTACAATATGCAGGCCGAGCATTGGGATTGGTTGTTGATGGCCCCGTCGCCTTCATAGCGGGAATATATGAGCAGGACAGTCTTCACGAAATTCAATGGATTGTTCACATTTCACTACATTAAGTGAGCAATGTATCTGATATCAGATAGTCCGAGGAGCTCGCACCTTTCCTGCGCTTGCAGAAGTCGCAAGCTTGAGTGACTCGCATACGACGGGGTACCACACTACCTATACCCGACAAAGTTTCGATATTGTTGATCGCTTCTTCTTGGGTGTCCATGACGAGGTATGTTCTACCCCACGTTGACGTGTATCTTGCAACAGGTGGCTAAGAAGAGGAGACGGTGAAATTGATATACAATGCTTCCGGACGGGGTGCGAGGATACTGGCTCATGAATAGCCTCCTCCCTGATCTCGAAGGCGATCGTCCTGTAGCACTCGGATCGGGCTGGTGTCTGGTATATGCCGCCTTGATCACCAGCGCCCGTCACAATCTGGGATATCGTCGGGCATAGGATTATGAATGCACCCAGCCCCATAGTATGAGTCATACTGTAATATTCGAGTCGGTCTCGAGCGAGAGGAGCGCAACGTCACGCGTTTGTAGACGCGCTAGGCTCGACTTTCCACGGAATGTGGACGCCTTGCTCGACTTCTGTATCTCTGCTTTCGTCGGCTCGCTCGCCTCTCCAAGCTTCTTCGCTTACTATCAGTGATGATTCCGGGTATACTTTAATGTCAAATTCCCCGTTGCTACTGCGCAATGCTCTAACAACCAACGTTCAAACCACGCCGATTTCAGCTTGCTCGTTGCCGGTTCACGGCAGCGACCTGCATGGTAAGTACACGACATCTCACAGACTGTATGCGAGATGCAGCCTTCTGATGGCAACGTACTCCCTAGACGGGCACTGGTCACCGCTCTCCCACTTAACCGCACCATGTGCTACGGCAGACATACAGTGCATCGACTTTTATGTAATAATGCCATCGCAACCTCTGGTCATCACTGGCTATAAGTGGGCGAACCGGAGGATGCTGATGGCCAGAGGCCTTCGCTTCCAGCACTTGCCATGTTGGCATTTTACGAGCTCCTCATAATCGTTGCGGTCGTGACGTCCTCATCTGCGTCGCTTGTATTCCATGAGGGCCGCTCCTCGCACCCCAGCGGGTTCGTAAGCCATGGTGCTACTCCTGACGATCAGACTATCACACTGCGCGTTGCCCTCGCGTCTAACGACATCGCGGGTCTGGAGAGCAAGATGATGTCGATGAGCACACCAGGCAGCCATGATTTCAGACGATGGCTTTCGGCTGGTAGGCTAATTGATGTTTGATAACGACCCTCTGCTGAAGCTGCTGTATAGACGAGGTCAAGTCGTTTGTGGCGCCCTCCGACGCTACCGTCGCCGCATTCAACACGTTCGCCCAGGACAACGGTTTGGAGACGTCAGTGATATCCCCGAATGGCGACTGGGTATCCTTCACGACCACCGTCGGACATGCAAACACGCTTTTCGGTGCATCTTTCCAGACCTTCACCCATGGCTCTATTGCGGAGCCCTTAGTACGGACGTTGTCCGTCTCTCTTCCGTCAGAGCTCGTCGGTCACGTCGACACCATCCATCCGACCACTTCATTCGGAGAACCGGATGCTCGTCTTACACCGATGGACTTCGTCACAGTGGAGAAGCGCGCTGTCTCTGCTTCATGCAACTCCACAATCACACCTGTCTGCTTGCAGCAATTGTACGGGATTCCCGCGATCCCGGCAGCGGCGGACCAGAGAAATATCCTTCTCGTGACAGGTTATGTTCAAGAGTTTGCTGAGATCGCGGATATATCGGTGAGCGTCACGCAGACGAGTATGCATGCATGCACTGGAACCAGCACCTCCTTAGACCTTCCTCAAGCAATTCCGACCCGAAATCGATCCCACGACCACCTTTAATGTCGAGACCGTGGACAACGGCACTAATCCCCAAATACCAACGGGTACTGGGTACGCACACATGTTCAATGACATGCGGATGTGTCGACCAGTTGAAATCCTGTAGACAGGAGGCTAACCTTGATATGGAGTACACCATGGGTGTCGCATCTGGCGTTCCTGTCACTTTCCTTTCCAACGGCAATACCGACTTCTTGACCGGATTAGCGGATACGGTGGCCTTCCTCGTAGGCAACTTGAGTCTACCTTCGGTAATGACTACGTCCTACGGTGCCAACGAGAACACTGTTGCTGTTAGCCTGGCAACGTGCGTCTTTCAGATGTTTCGGTGCATAGACGCAACAGGCTGATATATGATGATAGGAAGATCTGCAACGGCTATATGGCTCTTGGGGCACGCGGTGTCTCCGTGATTCACGCGTCAGGCGACGGCGGCGTGCGCGGCAACCACGACGGCCTGAACACGACATGCCCCTCAGACATGTTTATTCCCGTATTCCCAGCTAGCTGTCCGTTTGTGACCGCCGTCGGTGCTACAGTTGACATAGAGCCTGAACGGGCCATCAATTTCACCGGCGGTGGGTTTTCTAACGTATTTCCGCGGCCGTCATATCAGGCAACAGTTGTGTCCGAATTCCTCGACACCATCCCCTCCAACTTCACCGGCGTATTCAACAGTAGCGGCCGTGCATACCCAGACGTCAGTAGTCTCTTATTAAGCAAGTCATTTCTCCGCACTGATTTACGGTGCACAGGTCGCAGCACAGGGTTGGAACATTCAGGCCGTTGGCGAAGGCGAAGTCATCTCTAGTGGCGGTACATCCGCTTCTGCGCCGATATTCGCGAGCGTCATCGCATTGATCAATGACCAGCTTCTCGCTGCTGGGAAACCGGTTCTTGGCTTCTTGAACCCGTTCATCTACTCCACCGCGTCGAACGCCTTTACCGACATCACCATCGGGAAGAACACCGGGGTTCACTGCCCAAGTACAGTTGTAAGCGTGCCGTAGTTGATTATAACATCGTTCGCGGCTGATCGTGCTCGCGGCAGTCTGCGTTCACCGCGACCACAGGGTGGGACGCAACGTCAGGGTTCGGGACTCCCGTGTTCTCCAAGCTATTGGCGGCAGCGATGGCAGCATGATGTACTCGACTGGTGTATGATGAACTGTGCGGTGCTAAACCATTTGGGAAAAGAACAGCGAGATGTCCCGTGAAGAACGACTTGGGAACGGGACACGCGGCTACGGTCGTCAAAGCATCGTGACCTGGAACGAAACTATTCAACGTGCATTCCCTGCACTTTCGTAACTGATTACCCTTGAACTACTTAGCACGACTGAATGAATATAAGTGGTGCAAAGTACTGCGAGGTTCAAGCCGGATTAAGGCTGTATTCCTGTAACGCGCCTTCCCAGCCTTCCCAATAAGTATACATATACTATCACAGCCTCCAACCAGGATACAACCTGGGTTTGCACTATGATGTCGCTTTGAACCTTGACGACACTACGCGGCTTCCAACTATTTGGACGCATTTGGGCCAATGAACGAGCTTGGATGAATCGGACAGGTCGTATCAATACAAACGACTCGCACGTCCGGCGTCGCTCGAGGTAGCATATATAGTTCGACAACTTCGGTCATGGCCAGGTTGCATCGATGTAAGTATACGGTGCAGTCTTGGGTATACGGTGGATCGACTGTACATCGGTAGAACAACATGTCACCGAACGACTTCTGATCGACTTTGAGGCACGCTGGTCGCCTGGTTCCTACATTCATCTAGTGCGTCCTCGTTTAAGTGGCCTGTGCAAACTAGTTTCAACGCATCACCTTCAGGAGAACGAGCCCGTTGATGTTTCGCTGCATCTTGTCCAGGGAGCTGCTTGAGATCGCTTTCACTGCGCCAATCGACCGCAAGCATGCGGAGGATCCGTGCTTCTTACTCTTGGATGGTCGAGCAGGCCTTGATATGTTCTATTACCCCACTCCCTTCCTGGCATACTCGTGGGACCTCGCTTATTGACCAACGGGGGTGTAGAAGCTGGTTTGCCGTGCGCCGAAGAGCGCCTCCATCACGAATCTCGTTTCTGGAAGGCGAATGTGTGTGTCAGGCGCCAAAGAGATAACAATGAACGCGCACTAGAACATCTTCAGGCCTTCGCATAGAACCACGATGTATGCTCCGAGCGATGCATTGCATATCTCGAAGCCATCGAGTGCAGGATGACGACGTTATGGCGTTCCGTCACGGCTACCAAGAGGGAGCCTCATGTGTTCGCAGGTCTCACGCACTCGGTAATCTGTATCTCTGCTTTCAGTCGCATGGACCTCTCACTGCGTAGGTGCGCAATGCGAAGATAGAAGGCGGTTGCGGGTCGTGAGAGAAATAAGCAACTTCGTCGGCGTTGCTGTAACTACTACGCCTTCCCACCATCTTCCCATGACCTCCATGGAACTGCTCTAACGACCAACAACGTACCCTCAGCGCCGATCTCAGCTTACTTGCTGCGGCTACCCGGAAGCTGCCACGCCATGCGTGGTCCTATATCTGGCAAACGAATTCAATCCTTCTGCCTTCTTATGGGAACGTCCTCCCTGAGTGCGTGTGCTCGGCATACCGTACTGCACGCCGGTCTCTCACTCGCGATCCAGAAACTCCAAATGAACAGCATGCTCGCGTGAGCTATTATTGGCCTTATCTCAACCTCTGCTTCACCCCCGACTATAAAATCGTGAAATTGCGGACGATGTCGGACAGTGAGGACGTTGGGGTCTTACTGAAGCACGATGCTGGCTCTGTCCAAGCTCCTTGCCCTCGTCTCTGCCGCTGCGTGCGTATCGGCGTCCCTCGTGTTTCATGAGGGTCGGTCTTCGCCCCCAAGCGGATTCGTCAGCAAGGGCGCTGCCCCTGCCGATCAGACCATCACATTGCGTGTCGGACTCGCGTCCAACAACATCGCGGGTCTACAAAGCAAGGTGATGTCGATCAGCACACCCGGCAGCCAGGACTTCAGACAATGGCTTTCGGCTGGTAGGTCACATTATGTTTGATTGCGACCGTCTGCTGAAGCTACTGCATAGACGAGGTCAAGTCGTTTGTCGCGCCCTCCGACGCAACCGTTGCCGCATTCAACGCATTTGCTCAGGCCAACAACCTGGAGACGTCAGTGGTGTCTCCTAACGGCGACTGGGTGTCCTTCACGACAACTGTTGGGCATGCAAACACCCTTTTCGGCGCATCGTTCCAAACCTTCACCCACGAGGATATCTCCGAGCCGTTGGTGCGGACTTTGTCCGTTTCTATCCCGTCGGAGCTCGTTGGCCACATTGACACCATTCACCCCACCACCTCGTTCGAGGACCCGAACCCTCGTCTCGTGCCCAGACCCATCGCTACGCCTGATAAGCGAGCCATCCCTGCGTCCTGCAACTCCACGATCACCCCGGTTTGTCTCCAGGATATCTATGGGATTCCCGCCGCGCCAGCGACGGACAAGAGCAACACTCTTCTCGTGACGGCTTACGTCCAGCAGTTTGCTCAAAAGGCAGATATCTCGGTAAGCAGCCTTCAGCGGGGCCATGATGCTGTGGGACTGAAAACAACCGCCGTCTATCAGTCTTTCCTCAAGCAATTCCGGCCTGATATAAACTCCGCGACGACTTTCACTCTCGGAACCGTAGACGGCGGTACCAACCCCCAAGCCGCGGCCGATGCTGGGTATGCACGTGTCACTATTCCATCTGACGATACACTAATCATCCGCGATATTTCAGAACCGAGGCTAACCTTGACACGGAGTACACCATCGGTGTAGCCACAGGCGTTCCCGTTACCTTCCTCTCAAACGGCAACTCGAACTTCTTGACTGCACTCTTGGACACGGCAACTTTCCTGCAAAGCGTCGCAAATCCCCCTTCGGTGATGACTACCTCCTACGGTACCAACGAGAATTCCATCTCCGCGAGCACGGCAACGTACGTTCTCGGGGTTTCTCAGGCGCTCACCGGAAGCATATTGACTGTTTTGTACAGGAAGATCTGCAACGCGTACATGGCACTCGGCGCTCGCGGTATTTCCGTGATCAACGCGTCGGGCGACGGTGGCGTTCGCGGCAACCACGACAGTCTGGACCAGTGCACCTCCAACACCTTCATCCCCGTGTTCCCGGCCAGCTGCCCGTTCGTAACCTCTGTTGGCTCCACCATTGGCGTGCAGCCTGAGCGGGCGATCAACTTCACCGGCGGTGGGTTCTCAGCTGTATTTGCGCGCCCTTCGTACCAGGCGACGGTAGTACCCGCGTTCCTCAACGCCCTCCCGTCCAACTTCGCCGGCGTGTTCAGTAAGACCGGCCGTGGATACCCAGACGTCAGTGGATACTTCGACATTATACGAGTTATAATCTGATCTCTCGGTGGATAGGTTGCCCTGCAAGGTTGGAACTTCGAGGTTGTCTCCGGAGGCGAGACCGGCCTTGTTGGCGGCACGTCCGCATCGTCGCCGAGCTTTGCGAGCATCATCGCTTTGATCAATGACCAGCTTCTCGCTGCCGGGAAACCCGTTCTTGGCTTCTTGAACCCCTTCATCTACTCGTCGGCTTCGAGCGCTTTCACCGACATCACCATCGGGAAGAACACCGGATTCACCTGTCCCAGCACAGCGGTAAGCGCACGTTTTCCTGGGAGATATGACGTTCACGACTGACTGCTTGCGACAGTCTGCGTTCACGGCGGCGACAGGATGGGACCCATTAACAGGGCTCGGCACTCCGATCTTCTCCAAGTTGCTCGCGGCCGCATTGGCTGCCTGAATGACGATTGACCAACGAACTCACTGCACATACAAATTGTATTATGGAACGATACGGCACGAAACCATCGGAGTGGATGAGGTGAAGGGAAGTTGCGCATGTCGGATATTACCTGTATCACGTCTAGATTGTAGTCAAGATGAAATCATGAGGATATCGTGTTGATTCGCGTGCCATTTACCCCCAAAATGCATATTCTGACACTCAAGAAATGCTTTTGTCGCTTGATCCAGTGACTTCTACTATACAGACATTGCCGATCTAGTACAAACAGGGGAAGAGTACATAGGTGTGCCCTTGTAACCGATACAAACTCGGAGAAAAGCGCGCAACTGGAGAGGCGTCGCGAACAACACGAGCGGGATAACCGAGTAGCGGTAAGGGGGGAGTAGTAAATAACACATTGCTGGAGAACAACAAATGGGAGTGTTCGGATGGACAGCGCTATGACACAAATGCGTGCGTGTTTGCAGAACGACGGGTGAAAAGTGGAACAGTTTGACGAGGGGTGAAATGCTTGGGTGTGTGGGAAGAGAGATCGCGAAGATGTAACATGTGGGCAGAACGAGGCCAGTCGTAGAGCGTCGCCGAGACGCTCACGATCTGCCTTTCAACGATTGCACCAGGCTTCTGAATCCTCCAAACTTGGGTTTCGCTTGCGCGGCGCCGGTCACTGCCGGGCCCGAGAATCCCATGCGTGCAAGCTTGTTAACGCTCGCGTGGTGTTTCGCCTGGACGCCGAGATCGCGTCGGCCGGAAGACGACGGATGGGAGGGCGCGAAGAATTCACCGAGCTCGCTCACGCCCGGCGTGCTGCTCGGCAGTGGCGCCGTCGACACGCGCGACAGCGGGACGCCAATCGTCGAGCCCTCGTCGCTGTAGTAGATGTCGGGCGTGAGAGGACGAGCGGGGGAGGGCGAGTTTGAGTTGGGGCACGAGCTAGAGTGCGTGCGCTCCATCTCGGCGGAGACAGCCTTGCGGAAGCCTGTGGGCTCGATGGGCGTCTGTATCGGCGTCGGGCAGGTCTCGACGATAGTGATACCGGTATCAGCGCTGTCTGGAACGTCGTCATACAACTCCTGTTCATCGTCGCTGATCGTCGACTTCTCCGCGGTGATGGTGTAGGATATGGACCTGAAGGGAAGGTGCCTGACACGCGAGCCAGACCCGCTGCCTGAAGACGCGCTGAGCTGGGTTTGCCAGGCTAAGCACACGTTATCAGCGTATGTAGTCAAGGCTAAAGGTAACGTCTACTCACTGTTGTCCCAACCTTGGTCGGTAGCCCCACTCGTATGCGGACGCTTCATCTTTGGCGCTCTTCTCTTCTTCCTTGTAACAGATGTCTTGGCGTCGAGGCTAGACTGTCTCTCCAATGATACCGCGGTTGGACGCAAAGACCGTGCTTCCTGCTTGTCGCGGTGGTTTTTCATCTTCTCCTCACCGAGACGCTCCTGCTCCTCCTGCTGCATCATACGCTGAATCGCCAAGCTCTCGCCATAGGCAGCAAGGCGGGCACTGAGAGGGCTCATGCCCCACTCCTTCATCGGGCCATCGTTCTCGACGTCGGGAGAGGCCCCGTCCGCGTCGAGGTCGAGATCGAGAATTGAGCGCTCGGCACGCAACACGAGCGCCTCGGCCTCTTGCCTGCTCGAGATTTCGCTGAGATCGATGCCGAGGGCGGCCGCCCGAGGATGGGACGGTCTCCTCCCGTGGCGATGATGAAGGTGCGCCAAGCCAGACGACAGCGACGGGCGGCTGGAGGATGCCGACGCCTGCGAGACCACGCTCGAAAAGCTGGGTCGGGGACCACCCCTCTTTCCGCCCAATATCACGTCCGCCGCCGCCTGGCCTTCCCTCCCTTCCGAGCCCGCGTCCGGCATCGGTACGCCCTGCGCGATCGACTCGAGCGAAAACTTGCGCGGAACCGGAAGGGGAAGGCGTGTAGCGGGGGCGGGGGTCGCCACGCCGCCCGCGCTCGTGGACGTGCTCATGCTGCTGACCGAGCCGCCCCGCATGCGGTTCTCCGCCTCGCTCTGCGCCGGCACGCCAAGGCGCTTCGCTTCCGGCTCCTCGTCCGCTGGCGGAGGCTGCGTAATGCTGAACGGAAACTCGGTGCCCTCCACCTCACGATTGGGTGTGCCAGATGCGCTCGCGCTAGGGCCCGTGCCAGCACCCGACGCGTCAGGCATCGCGCCAGGCGACAGGATGGGGGACAGAGACGATGTCGAGCTGCCGATCGAGCGCCCGCGCATGCGCGTCCTGTGCGCAAATCGCGCACGGATGCGCGACGTCTCGGCGAGCGTGTCGAGCGGCTCTCCGTACTCGTCCTCTTCCTCGTCTTCGTCACCCGCGTCCTCGCCGTCTTCTTCGCCGAGGAAGGCCGGCTCTTCCGTGATGTAAGCCCCGTGCCGCTTGTCGAACGAGCCCACGCCCGGCGGCGCGCTGTCGGGCATGTGGTGACCCGCACCACCAGCGGCGGCATGCCGCTCCGTACTCGATCCCCGTCGATCGTGCCTCCCGAGCGAATTCGCGCTGCTGCACGCCCGCAAGCCCAGGCCGAGACCTAGGCCGGAGCCCGGACCAAGGGGTCGCCGGCCAGGTACGAGTGAGACAGCGGAGTTGTTCGTCGACGTACTATCGAAGCGTAATCGAGCGGGCTGGGCTAACGGAGATGACGAACTATGGTAGGAAGACGAAGGCGGCGGGTGGACATGAGGCGACGACTGTCCCCCAGAGGAAGAGCGGCCGTGTCCCAGGAGGATGCGATGGCCCGGCCGGGAAGATGCCGAGGCCGAGGCCGATGCGGCCGAGCCGGAACCGGAACCGGACCGATCCCGGGCCCGGAGGCGCTCATTGGACAGCGCGTGGTGCAGCTCAACCGCGCTGGGCGAGGTGCCTGGGAGAGGGGCGGTCCTGGGGATCGGAGACAGGGACGGCTTGGGCGATTCATCGGGCGTCTCTGTGCTCTTGCGGAGCATGTTCATGAGCGAGTACTTGGTGCCCAACTTGCGGCCGGTGCTCTGCAGCGGTTGGTCTTCGGCGTCGGTGCCCGCGCTTCGCGGACGGCGGGACTTCTTGGTGCGGAAGTGAGGTAATGGGACGGTGTGGTGACCATGCTCGTGGATTTGGGGCAGGGACGGCCGGCGGGACTCGGTGCCCTGAAACTCCTCCACGCTGGCGCCGGACGTGGGGTAAAACGTGTATTCGCCCAGGGGTTTGGGCGAGGAAGTGAGGTCTAGTTGAGAAATGTGCGGGTGTTCTGAGGTTGTGGGCGATGGTTGAGAAAACTGCTGCGAGCTCGAGTGGCGGAGGAGGAGGCCCTCGATGCTGCGTTTGACCCGTAGACGCTTGCTCATCGAGCCCGCGGCCTCGTTGTCTCCGCTAGCGCCGGACGTTCTTATCGCCGCGCCAATCTCGTCGCGCTCGCGCAGATCGCGATCACGATCTTCGGCCCAGTCGCGGAGGATGTCGGCGACGCGCACCCAGCCGTTGTCGCGGGCGACCTTCTCGGGTAGGATGCCGTTCTTGTCTGGTTTGTCAGCGCGAGCGCCGTGCTTGAGCAATATGCGGACGACGGCCTCGTGTCCATTGGCTGCGGCAAAGTGGAGTGGGGTGGATCCTGAGGTGCCCACGGGCATGCGTGGTTCGCGGTCCCTATCCCTGTCCCTATCTGCTTTGTGGCGGTCATGGTGGTGGGAGGGGTGAGAGGAGGAGGAGGTGATGTAGCGGCGAGGTAGACGGGGGGCGTTGACGTCGGCGCCAGCATCTATGAGTAGCCTGACGACGATTTCTGAGCCACCAGAGGCGGCGGCGTGCAGTGGGAGGACGCCGTCGAGAACGGAGTTGATGGGCTGGCCCTCCTGGAGAGCGTACTTGACAAGGCCGACGTTGCCTGTCGCGGCTGCCTGATGGAGCCCGAGATGGGGGACTGCAGTGCGTGCGATGAGCGCGCGGTGCGGGGAGGAGGGGCTGGATGGGCAGGAAACTCACAATCGGTGGTGACGTTGTACTTTGCGTCCGGTTTCTGCGAGCGCAACATGGCGCGGTCGAGCGCGTCGGGGAAGCGGCGACGGCGGCGGCGGGAGGGAACGTGAGACGGCGTTCAGGAGGCGAAACGACGACGGGGCATGGGGGCGGGGCAGTGCCGGGATGGCAGCCCGCGCTCAAAAGGGCGAAGGCGAAGGAAGGTGGTGGCTCGGAGCACAGCTGGTCCTCTTCCGGTGTCGCTGACGTAAGCCGCGTGGATTCTAATTGTATCCCGCCAACGTCCGAGTCGTCGTCTCTCCCGGTAGGCACCGCTCCCTGGCGCATCGCTGGCACCGTCGCCGCCCACATCAGCACTCCCATCGGCCCCCAACCGGCGCACAAGGCAGCCCACAGGCCTGTGCTCGTCGCGGACGATGGCATGCGCCGCTCACCAGGCGCCGGCGCCAATCTTGATCTCAATCTGATCCGCATCTTTCGCAAGGATTTGATATCCTTCGTCTTCCCGGCCTTCTCGCCTGTCATTGGCCTGCCCTATCCGTCGTTCCCCGCCTATTGTCTAGGCCTGCTGCTCTCATTGGTCCGCGCCGCCAAGTATACGGCGGACGGCGTGCTCGGACGAACTCGCGGCCGTTTCTCTGTCCCGACGAACGACGATGTCAAAGACCACTCCAACACCGTCATGCTCGCCTTCCAGAGGCTCCTCGACGCCGTCATACTCAAACGTCACCGGCAAAAAAGAACTCCCCTGCATTCTCTCCATATCGCGTCGCGGGCTCGACTCGGCGGCTCGCTCTTTATTTATCAGAGGAAGGCGGTCTCTGACCACCTCCGATAGTGCTTCCCGCTCCGATACGAGCATTGCTGCTGCCAGATACGGCCAGTCTGCTCTGGACGGGACCCAATCACGCCGGCCAAACCAGGCGCAGCGCGCAGGATTAACGTTCTCAGAGCTCTGTCAGCTTCGACTATATTTGCCTCGACGTCAACGCCCGTCTAAGCTTGTCCCGAGTTCGCCGTCAATTCAAGTCTCACCCGCTCCTCACGAGGGTGGAACTTCTCCTCTTCCGCTCCCCGTCACCTGGTCTTATACCTCGTGCGGTACTCAACGCCACATTCGCAACCAACATCACATAACCCTTCGCGCTGCCTCGCTCTGGACGCCACTCCTTTGCGTATCCCTCGTATAGCCTCATCTGGATCCGCACATCAAGATCGGTCAAAGGCGTCTGATGATCTATCGAAAACGCTTCTGTAGTTCTTGTTCAACACCACGGAGGCACTCTAGCCTTCGATATGGCGATGATGTGTATCGGCCGTGCTCCTGCTTCTTTTTGGCGATGTCTTTTTTCGCGCTCTTGAACGTTGCTGTTCGGTCAATGATCGCATTGGTGGGCTCCGAGATGCAGCCAGACATAGCAGCATCCATACGACAAGATACACGAGCAGGATATGTACGGAGTTACGTGACCGAAACGAACGTTATCCTGCTGCCTGAGTCGTTTTACCACATCACCACGGGCCCATAAGAGGTCCTCGTGTCGTGAGCTTGGCATATGTGTCGGGCCGGTGGTGTGCCAACAACGGAGAGCGAGGTATTAGGTGGTTCGAGAAGAACGTTACGTGGCGAAGTGTCCGTCACAATCCACACAGGCAGCTCGACTTGAACCGACTTGAGGTTATTATGCAGTATGATCACCCGAACCAAGTCCTGTGAGGAGTTGATCAGATCTGTAGATGCTTGCGCACGCAAAGCATGTACCTCGACGCGGAAGCCTTGCCAGCGGAACGAAGGGGTGGCATCAGTGGGCACCCGTATTTTGCCCTTGAGGCTCCGGACAACATCAGCTTCGTCTGCACCAGGATATAGCACTGATGCTTCGTCGATCCCTGTTGCAAGCCGTTCGGACGATAAGTACTAATCGATGTATGCACCTACTATGCACGCACTGGCAGGGACTGCATTGTCAATCACTCACACATCTCCTGACATCTGCGAAATGATCATTCATGATATCCGATCCCATCAACTATATGATCTGCAAGACGCTGGCATCCACACTGATCCTGTCCGAATGTTTCCGCGGCGAGCATGAAGTAGCGAACGGAGACCCCGCTTGTTGTTGTAAAGAAAGGGTCCATTGCGTCATCGATAACACGTAGAGCCTACTACCTAGGCCTTGAATATCCATGTACATATCTGTGCCACGTACATAAGTATCTCTAAAATGGGTAGAGAAACGAATTCATTAAGACATCGGGATCGCGAAAGTCATAATTTATACGATTCCCCATGCCCATCGGATAATAGCCGCCACGAGCGCGCCCAGTCAATACGCGGTAATGGGGTAGTTGCCGTTTACCAAGCAGCAGAAATCGGATGGCTTCGAGAGATTTGAGAGTCTGTCTGACCGCGTGACAGCGAGACCTTTGAGCTGGCAAGTCGGCACTACATATAATGGGAAAAGTCCTCTCGATTTGTTGAATTTCCGATATACTACTGATCGACAGTAGATGAGTGATACATTAGATTTTACGCCAGCAGCCGGTAAAATTCTTCCTTGTTTCACTTTTTAACGTTCAGGGAGGACTGTGCTCCGTTCGCACCGTGTTTCGACTTTTGTGGGCTATTTGTTGTCTTCGAACGTGCGGACGCAGGACGACTTGGGCTGCTGGGATGGTTCTGGCCCTGAGGCATCCGTGCAGAGACCCGAGTGAGTGTGGCGCCACCCTGATAGGCGGGGGTAGACTGCTGGTTAGGTTGAGAAGACATCTCGACGGTGACTAGATATATAGAAAGCAGATGAGTATATGGTTTACGGCGCTTTAGGGCGATGACGTACATGCAGATTAGGAATGTGTAAGTTGTACGCTGTTTCTTAAAGCAAACCGCGTCAAATCCAGAGCTGTGGGCGAAGTCGAGATTTGGTCAGTCAATATCACATATAGTGTGGTAGACATGCCTTTGCGAGCAGTTAGAATGGTTAACGAGGGACGATCAAAAGCTCAGGTGCTGGCAGAGTCTACCAAACCATCTGCCTCTTTATACCCCCAGGGACGGGCGCTGGCATTGCAGGAGTTCGGTCGTGGCCCATGAGGACGTCCTCAAGAACACAAAGCATGGATCCGGAATGAATGGCCCTTGAATGTAATGTTCTTGGATGGGATGCCAACAGGCATGCAATGCTACTAGCAGGATTACTTGGCTTTGTGTGTCTATCCCGAGGAAATCCAGTCAAGTCGAACTTTCTTCTACTTCGCCTTGCCAATACATTGCAGATATCGTCACTTCTTCGTCTATGTGGCCCGACAGACAAAGCAAAACATGTGGTCAAGTTGCACTGACGGTTCGCTTTGCACGCCCTGAGCACAGCCCCTGGTGGCCATACAGTATGGTGACGTTTATCGCGACTGCGGCGTCGTGCTTTGCCGCTTCGAGTCGCGCGCATGGGTCCACATCGCCCGACTCGCGTGTTCAACGCTGACCACGACCACAACCATGGCGTCCAATGGTGAAGAAACCGCGCCCTTGCTCTCGAATAGTCGCCCCTTTGCGCGCTCCGACGAGGAACATGAAGCGCACGAACGCATCGCTCGCGCAGCCAAAGTGCGCGTAATCGTCTCAGGGGTGCTCACTGCGGTTTTCGTCGCGGCCCTCATTGTGATGTTCGTCGCCGCGGACAAACTCAACCTTGGCACTGGAGACAGAGGAACGTTGCCGAAGGATCCGTTGAAGGCGGCTCATGTCATTTTGAAAGAAGCCCCAATCATCGTGAGCTATAGTGGCTTCTGAAGTATATGCCGATAATATTCAATTGTTGGACAGGATGGGCACATCGGTGAGGACTACCCTCGCAGCTTAGGCTGAACCCAGTTGACGTATGTTACAGATCTACCTATCCTTGCCCGCGGGCTGTACTCGAATAATGTCACGGCCATCGACCTTGAGAAGGAGATGCCTGCTCACGTAGACATCCCCCGTCTGAAGAAGGGCCAAGTAGGTGGCTTCTTCTGGCGAGTATAATCATGCCGGTTTGTCATACCCTCGTGATTGATGCCCGCTCACAGGTCGGTCTACGTCGGCTGCCCTGACGGAGACTCTGCTGGACCGGACTTCCTCAACGCAACCTGGCGCGTCAGGTGAGGCCACACCGATGAGGTGATGCCGTGGGGCAGTGACCTCATGAACGCATCATTATAGGGACACGTTAGAACAGATCGACGTTGCGAAACTGCTCATCGAGAAGTACCCGGATGTACGCATGCGTCGTTGTCTAGTGCATCTCTGAACATATTTTGCGTAGACTTTCCAATTGTCTTTGGGAACTGGCGATGCGAAAGAGGCCATCATCCGCGGCAAGATTGCCAGTTTCCTCGGCATCGAAGGGTTAGTGCGCAATACTGCCAGATCCGTCCTAACGTAATGCCGATGTCGCGTTATAGCGGCCACCAAATTGGCAACTCGCTTGCTGCCCTCCGCCAGTTTTACGAACTCGGTGTTCGCTATATGACCCTTACGCATTCGTGCCACAACGCTTTCGCGGACTCGTGCGGCATTCTGGAACCCATCGAACCTCTGCATGGCGGTCTCAGGTGCGACGTCATCCAGTTAACCGGCAATTCACTGACTAACATCCCAATAGTGAGATTGGACGCACGCTTATCCACGAGATGAACCGCCTCGGGATGCTCGTCGACCTCTCACACACCTCTGACGCGACGGCCGCCCAGGCGATCAAACTGTCCAAGGCGCCCGTCATCTGGTCCCACTCTTCAGCAAGGGCAATTGCGAACGTACCCAGAAATGTGCCCGACGAGATCCTGAAGTTGATCGGCACCGGGAAGGATCAGACGGATGCCGTCGTCATGGTACGTCGCTTCCGTGCTAAGCTCACCCAGTGTTCTTTGATTAACGTAGTGCTTGTCGGACAGGTTAACTTCGCGCCTTTCTTCGTCTCCAAACCTCCTGAGAAGGCGGACCTCAAACTCGTTGCCGATCACATCGACCATATCGGAAACGTGGCTGGCAGGAAGCAGTGCGTGCATACTAACCGTCCATTGCGTGCCCGTGGGTTGATGGCTCCTAACTTCAGTGTCGGTATCGGGAGCGACTACGACGGTATTGGTAGCACGCCGGCTGGACTGGACGACGTATCCAAATATCCCGAACTTGTGCGTCCTCCGATGCTTACGACCGTACTTGCACGCTGAAGCGGCCTAACTGCTTGCAGATTGCGGAGCTGTACTCGCGCGGATGGACTCGCCGCGAACTTGCAGGTCTCGCTGGCGGAAATCTGATCCGTGTTTTCGAAGGCGCGGAGAAAGTTGCCAGCGAGTTGAGGGCCTCTGGCGCGAAACCTGCCATGGAGGTATACCACAAAAGACAGGATCTATGAGACGCGCTGCATTGGAAAATCAAGTCGGATATAGCTTGCGTACGAATGTAAGCTACCCTATACCACTCCTTTTATCTGTGGCTGATGGACGGAATGGGTAGTATGCATGTATTGCATCTGTTGGCCTGTTGCAATGTGAATATGGTATCCCTTTGTCAGCCACTGTTATCCGAAACGAGACAGAAATGTGAATCGACGGTCATGGTTGACCAGCCATCTTTCCCCTGGTCGGGACCCAGCGTATGATGCATGCACTCATTGTCCCGCGATCTGCATTGTGACCCCGACGTGCTCTTGTGCATGCGCTCGTGGATCGCCGAACATCTCCGGTGAACAAGGATCTATCACTTCTAGATTATAGTCCACTTACCACTTAAACGCCATCCATCGAGATTCGGTGCGTGCCTTGATGGCCCTCGTTCCTTGAACCATTGCTCATGATGTATGGATGTGCAGTTTCAGAAGCCTGTATATTTGGTGCCGTGAGGACGATCGTTCACCGGAGCCATCGCTGTCTGTGACCTTTCCCTAAGTTCAAGCCCGGAGCTGTCTGATATGGATGCACGTTTGTGTTGGTCACTTGATTATATCTGACCTCTATCACCGACGCCCTCCAGCTAAGGTACGCCGTCTCCGGAATTACTGTCATGATCGTGGTTAGTACGCTCGCATTCATCGTGGGCCTGTTATGCATGTCAAGCCAGAGCGCTGAAACTCTTCCTATATGAGGTGGATATGCCAACAACCTGCAGCAGTGGTCATCCTCCGACCTTGCTCAGCAGTCTTCAGCCATGACCAACACATCGCTTCTTGCCATAGTAAAGATCGTTACTGTGCTATGGGTGCAGAGCTCCATCGCCATCGCTGAAGCTTCAGCCCCGACCATCTTCCCCGTTGGGTGGAGCAATGTGCTCGCAAGCCCGGGCTGCATCACCGGTACATGGACAAGCCCGTCTCGTACATTTAGCTGGGATCAAAACTCGCCTACGAACTGCATGTGGGCTTGCCAGCTGCAGAACCATCCCGTCGCCGCGGTTACGAATGGCAACGCTTGCGTTTGTGCCAATTTTTGGAGCATCGATGTCGATCAGGTAGTCAGCAACTCTCAATGTCAAACTGCCTGTTCCGGCGATAGCACGCAGACCTGTGGTGGTTTCGACACATACCAGATCTTTTCCGGCGATTTTGAGACCATCCCGTTCCTCACGGTTTCCACTACCCTGCAGTTTAATCCTGCCCCGTCTTTTCACGTCTCTATTCCCTGCGCGCAGAATAAGCCGGGAGGGGTGACGCAACTGGGAGATACGGTACAGCTCAGCAACAATTCACCGTCGAACTGCATCGACTACTGTCTCAATAACATAGGCTCGACTTATCCTATCCAGGTGAGGACCATCGTTTGGATCGTAGCGTGTGGTGATTCTTATTACCATTTGCCAGATCGTAGCAGTAGATAGTGGGAATGATTGTCAGTGTGGAGGTTTGCAGGTCGTCGGATCTCAATTTATCTCCGGCTACAAGGGCGAGCTTCCGCCCCCGGTGGCCGCCCTGGCAGATTGTAGTTCGTCGTGTCCCGGATCGACCGGCTTCTGCGGAGGACCGAGCAGGGTGTCTGTTTACGGAGCCAACTGGAATCCATCCTATGCACCTCTTGCGCCCGTCACCTGGCCATGGGATCTCACAGTATCTTGCGCCAACATCGAGATTACCGGAGAGATTTTCTCTGATCCCGTCGTAGCGGTGTCGACGTTGAATACGCCCGCTTGGTGCACTGCTCATTGCTTGAGTGCGGGATACAGTAAGTCCCGTTGTGCAACCATTCTAGCTCCTCTATTGATGACTCCGTAGAACTTGCCGGCGTTGAAAACGGCGATGAGTGCCACTGTGCCAACTCGTACTCGGTTTTGCCCTCCACCGACGACCCGCAGGAGTGTTTTGACAGCTTCCTGCCTCGCTGCGCAGGCGATAACAACCTCTTCTGCGGCGGATCCGGCCTCCGACAGGTCTTCGCTTTGCACGGTCCGGCGCCTGCGTCCGTTCTCCCCACAGGGTGGAGCGTACAGTCATGGTGCGCGGTGGACAATGCCTCCCGCATCTTCGCGTCCCCGCAGGAGGTCACGCTCGCAAACAACTCGCCCGGCGCCTGTGTGGCGCACTGCGCGTCCGTCGGCGCCACCTTGGCCGGGGTGGAGTACGGGAACGAGTGTTACTGCGGAACGAGCTACGCCAGCGGAAGCAAACCCGTCGATGCGTCGATTTGGGACTGCAATATGCCTTGCAGCGATGGCGGAGGGCAGACGTGTGGAGGCCCGTGGCGAATCCAGGTGTACGGCACAGCATGATTGGCACCCCGTCGAGACAAACTCGTGGGTGTTCGAACCGTTGATTCTTATCTCAGTTCTCGTGCGGCCCGATGCAGACGCAAATGCTCTTTGACTATAGACACGTGGAATCTAATTGCCCGTCTGACAGACCGTCTTGACGTAAAACTACTGAGAAAGGGATCGGGGAACTTTGAAGCAAATCATGGGGTGAACTTGTGGAATAGCAGGGAAGTCCGTGGCCTGAAGCTGAGCCGTAGACGCAGCTTGGCGCACTCATGCGTTGTAAGACGATATCTTATACGGGAAGCCAGCGTGTACGGTACAACTATTGACTTCCTGAGCAACTACCGTTACGTGGGGCGCGGAACAGTTGCACATGGTTGATGACGCGCACGCTGCAGATTCGAATCATAAGTAGAGTCATGCTGAACACCAAATGACGCGTTGGCTGAACTCGAGTCTTGTGAGGTCAGGGATTGCCATATGACTGGCGTAGGCATTATGGGACAGCGATAAACGAGCCATCGCTTGCACCTCGCCCTGGCTTCGTCTAGATGGAAGTCCAGGTGGCAATATGTGCATATCGACCGAGCACGTTGGGTTGTCAAGCTGTCTGGGCCAACACGTGTTGCCGTGGACGCCGGTTCATTGTGCCACGAAGTCTGGATGGAGTATCGATCGAAGGTGCCGGGCTCAGGACTGCCATGGCTTAAGCGTGATAGCGAAAGAGACTAACATGGTTATTGACATTGATACATGACCTGACGTATGCTGCGAGGCATACTGGCAACAGCGGAGAACTTGATGGCTCACAACTCACGAAGCCACGATCGATAGGGCGCTGGCAGTACTACGGTCATGTTGTTAGTCCCACTGGCGCCACACGCGTTTCATACATACCCAGTTCGGAGACGAATGCTCTGAAGGGCGGTCAAGATCAGACCCCGCTGAAGCTCGGAAGCTCTCCGCAGTCCAGCTTGGGGTTCCGGGAACAAGTTCGAGAGCTCGTGTAAAGCACGATCAGCCAACTAGCGGGCTTTGAGGAGTGTTGTCCGTGACGAGAGCAAGGTGCCGACACGGCGAAGCGAGACGCCGACGGGAAGGTTCTTACAATACCATCTCCCGGTATTGTCTGGGTGATCCGCCACTGAAGTCTCCCTGGCGACCTTGGAGATGGGATGAGCAGATTGGCAGATAGTCCCGCGCCGGCATTCCACTGGTGTCGTCGAGTATTGTCGACGTACGTTCTGTGAGGAGGAGACGACTGTGAAGGCTGTGAGCATGCTGGGTGGATATCGGCCCCCGTCGTCTACAGCAATCCGAACGGGTCACAGCCTCTCCCGCATTGCCCTCGCTCTCACGACGCTGACATGGAACCCATGAATATAAACCGATCCACACTACTTATATGAACACGGAAGAGATGCAGCAAACCCATTTGACCACTCTTGGCCTCGCCATCACCGACGGTCCAGCACGCTCACTGAGCCAGTCGACGCTCCCCGGGCCCACGTAGCACCCACCACCGTTGCACCCCTTGAGTTTCTCCACCTCGCCAGCGGCGCTCCGACCTATTTGCGGATAGACGCTCGTGGTATCTTCCTTTCGGACTCAACTTCCGTACGTGTCGGACTCTGCATTGCTCCGACCCGCCCCCGGGCATTCGCAAGGACCGGCAGATTATCGCCCATACCTGCGCGATAGTCCCAGTCGCCGCTGAATCTGTGAGCATTGGGGTCAACGCTGTCATTCTTACAAGGACTCACATATAGTCATCTTGGATGTAGACGCCGCAGTGACACCGACGAGCAGCACCCGCCAGCAGTTCCCCCTTGATGCCACCCAACGCTAGTCAACCCCCGCTCAACCCTTACACCGCATGGGGCGATCAAGCGCCGGAACATGAGCCGGATATGCATTCACAAATGTACCGTTATGTCCCTCGAAATTCTCAGGCACCTGCTTCGCAAGATCCAGGATCTGTCCCTGTCCACTCTGTCATGTCGGGCCATCCCCAGTCAACTGATCCCCAGGGGGTCGTAGCGCACTCTCAGTACGGGCATGCACTGCAAAATCCGTATGCCGCTACCACACCGCCTCACGACATCAGTTATCAGCCTGTTTACGCGACTGAGGTTCCTAGACATAACCTTCCGTCCGACTACCCTCCTCGTGGTGCAATGTACCCTTCTCAGGCCATGTCGTCAGGGGGGCAATCGAATGTTTGGTCCAACCAGATCCCTTCGCCCCCTGCGCATGGAGGACGGATCGGAGCACAGCGACCCTTCGCTAGCGCCGCCCAGCATCATGGCCAATCGTCATCGCAATCAAGCAACCCCACCCCGATCGGCATCCAGCAGCCCGTCTACTACATCGAGCCGATCCCCGATCCATACTCTGTGTCCGGTCCGCACCCATCATATCAGCCACACCAAAGAACCGAATCGAGGCCGGTGCTGACGTCCAGGCTTCCTGCGCATCCTCCTCAACGCCGTACTGCTGTACAGTCTACGTCGCCTCCTGCCTATATAGGCACGAACGTCGGCGAAGGCCCGTTCGTGTTCGGTGGTGCGTCTCAAGCCCACCCTGAGTTTACCGCAATCTCGAGGCCTTCGTCGACCTCCGTGTCGTCTTGGACGTCGGCCGCACCAGTGACAACTCAAGCTGCTGCGGGACCGTCGATTACAACCTCTGCTGCTGTGCGATCTGCTCGAAACAAACCTGCGAAACCCACGTCATCAAGGAAGCCAGCTAAGCGCCCCAGGATGGCAGCAAGCGATGCCGAGAGTGACTATGGCGACGATCCGACTGTGCCGTCTGCGACCAAAGGTCAACAACGACTGTACGTAGCTATACTCACACTTTCGACGCAACCTCATGCTGACATAGCGTCTCACAGGCCGGGCGCCTGCATTAACTGTAAGAAAGTCAAGGTGAGCTTGGCTTTTCTTTTCGATTCTCATGCCCCCTTAATACATCATCTTGCATTTAGATGAAATGCCGTTTCCCTCCTGGCGTGAACACTTGCGAGAAATGCCAGTCGATGAACAAAGAATGTATTGTCGAAGGCAGAAAGCCGAGGACTGGCCCCAAGTTCGTCGCTAGTGACATACGCAGAGCACTCCGTTCGCTGATAATCATTGGTTTGCAGTAAGAAAGAGTATTTTCAAGCCCAATTACGCGAGAAAGACAAGGTCATCGATACTCTTCTGAAGCAAGTGCGTGGACCGGCGTCTCCGAGCCGAGTTCGCGCTTACCTGGACAACCAGCTGCATAATCCCTACCGCGCGACGCCGCTTGCTGTGGCAGAGTATAGAGAGCGCACAGCCCCACGCGACCGTTCCAACTCCGAAGTTCTGTCGTGGCTGCGCCGGCTTCAGGAGAGTTTCCAGCAACCGTTCCCTTCCCAATCAAGCCCGCAACAGCACTCTCGCAACCCCGCTGGGGCGGAAGGGCAGACCATCAGCTCCCCTCTTTCAGATTCAAACACACTGGAACCAGACATCCAGACGCTGCCTGATTCGGCGGTGCCGATCGGGTTGTTTGCTGACTTGTCTCTGCATAACAAGGCCAAGCGTCCCGAACATGTGCCATTACCACCAAGTCCAGCCGACAATGACGAAGACACTGTCGTGCGTTTCACGACACCGGTCTTGTGGCCCCTATTAACAGTTGTTGCAGGGCATTGCCAACAAGGATTATTTCGAACCCGGTACTGGTCTCTTCACGTGCTCTACAAACATTTCGCTCATTCGATACGCGCACCAGGACCCGTCCATGATATGAATGCGCGGAAGAAGTTGATAGAGCAAGATGGGCTACCTGACTTGTTGGTTCACGGCGTCGTTACCCACGAGGATGTGCAAGAAATATTCAAAGTGTAAGGCAACCAGCTTCACAGTGCTGGACATCTGACTGACTCCTCTAACTCATCAGATATCATACTCGGATTAATGTAAGCCCCAGCACATAGCTTCTGTCCACAGGGAATGAACTAAGATCTTTTCAGTCATGGGTGCCACTTTTAGATCCTGTCATACACACACCTGATGCTACGTTCACCCGCTCCCCGTTCCTCTTCTCCGTCAGTGAGTACGCCGCGCATACTTCGCCATCGACTCACGCTGAACAGCCTGCTAGTTTGTGCGGTCACATGCCGTTATATCCCAAGGCTTTCCTCGCGTTACCCGCTCGCGATGCATTTTGCAAAGAACGAAGCTGCGAATGCGCTCCTTTACGGGTTCAAATCTGTTGAGTTGGCACAAGCTTTCCTCATAATGGCCCTCTATTCTACGCCGGCGAAGCGATGGGAGGAGGATCGAGGATGGCTATATGCTGGACTTGCTATCGGGTAAGGCGCAATGCTGCTCTGAGTCACACAATAGTATCTCTGAGTATCCACACCTGCAGCATAGCGGTTGACATTGGTTTACATTGGACAAAAGAAACCCCCGTGCTGAAAAGCGAAGCGCAAGATCGAGAGTTTCTGAATCGATGCCGCCTGTGGATGATCTGCTTTGACGCAGACCGCGCGATGTCCGTTCACTGGTAAGCTACTCACTTTTCAGCATCGTTGATTGTTTCACATTCTCGTCAGGGGCAAACCGTCGACAATACGGGATAATCAGTACGTTCTCGTGATCTCGCATCGAGCAAGTGCTGAATATCCTCGCTTAGTATCATCAGGAGTTCCGTCAACTTTTACGCCAGGTCGAAGTCAAACCTACCAGTAAGTCGCTTGTAGCCGCCTCATATATGCCAATTGTAAGCCATGCCTGCAGAGCGACATCACGTTATGCGCGTACAACATGATGTTACGATTGCTCGCGGAGTTCCAGGAAGAGATATACTCGGACCCCACGTCTCCAAGTGGCCTCGACAAGGTGATCAACGTTCGCCCAAGATTTGAACTTTTGTCTCACCGTAGGACGTTCGCATAGACACTTCCTTTCAGGGAGATCGCCCTGAGGTTCGACGTTAGGCTCACTGAACTGTACGAAGAGTGGCAACAAAAGTTCACGCAGAACCGGAAGCGGTACGCCGAAGGTACGATATCTTATCATGTTGACCGTGCCCCTCTGACATTCCTTCTGGATCTAGTTGCAGCCGACTTGTATGACTTTCGTTGCGCGTTGTGGCCATAGTACGTCGACAATTTGACCGCGTGATATACCTTGTTAATCTTTTCACCAGCTGTATGGAATATTCGCGCCTCATCGTGCTGTCCTTCGCTATCCAGCAAGCATTCGAGCGTGGCCTGCAGCCGGAGGATGACGAACTGTTTATCAAGGTGCGGCAATGGCTTCCGTGTCTTGAATGCATTCTCACGCCAACGTGCAGTCCTACAAGGCGGCCAAGGCTGTTGTCACTACTATGACAGATAGCATCGTCCCGTCTGCATACATACGGTATGCACCAGATGGTATGCCGCTTCGTATCATTCTTGAGCCTCGGGAGCTGATTTCTATGTAGGCTGGTTCAACTACGCATCCTTCGCGTCGGCATTCTTGCTCAAAGTCAGTGCTTCGTCCGAGTATGGTCAGCTAATGCTTACGAGTATCCGTAGCTGTTGAGGCCGGAGTTGTCTGAACGAGGAATATTGACGGAAGAGCAGGTGTTGGAGATCTTCGATATGATAGACAGCCTCATACGGGATTTCACGTCGGACAAAGTCGCGGTTGATGATCGTCACACGCCCAGGGTGTACGGCCGCTTCCTGACCGAGCTTGTCGCCAAGCATCGTAAAGAGAGGGGATTGCCATCCAGGCAACCTTCCGAGAGACCTTCTACTTCGGAATCGTCATCTCAAGGACCACCCACCGAGTTCATGCACGTCTTCTCCCTTCAGCCGACGTCAGGAGCTCAAGTGGCCTATCAACCGCCGGCTCAGGAGGCCTATCTGGAAACTCCAGCGGATTATCAGTCTTATGTCCAGATTCCGGAAACCAACTTTCCTATTTTCGAGAATTACGCGCCCATGGATTTCGCACCTTCCGAGCCACCTAGTCTAAGGATGCAAGCCATGAGCAGCCCGACGATGCTCCTTCCAGGGTATGTATACTCTTACTCTCGCATGGTACTGAAGTAACGGGACTTGCACACAGATTCGGTTGGTCTGATGAACCCCGTTTCCCGACAGCCATGGAAGACCAGGAAGGCACCGAGTCGCACTGGCAATAGTGTTGATATAACCGCAATTTTCTGTTTTGATGTTCATCTGCCGCTTCAGATGATGGCGTGTACTGCGATATATGTAGATCTAACTGGCCTTGAAACTGTTTGTACATCCCAGGCGCTCTACACTGATTCTGAATCTGAAGTCAGATCGAAAAAGGAAGGCCCCGTTCGGCGACGCCTGATTCTGGAAGAATCAGATTATTTAGCTCTGCTCGCATACCATAAACGGTAAGACTGTGAGACAAACTTAACATAATAGAACAGGGGATTGCCATATGAGGAGGACAGAAGTCAAGCAAAGTCAAATCAGGCGCCTGATTCTCACAGAATCAACCCCAACCGAACGGTGCCTAACGAGCCGTTTCACTCGCAACCCCACTGGTCGTCTTTGGGTGTCCGCAACTGTACGCCGTTCCATCATGTATGTTCTGCGATTATTCATGATATAGGAGTGGGAGACACATGTACTCTACAGCCGCTACGAATATGGCCTCAGTTCAGGCTGTTGAGCGCTGCCACGCTCAGCTCTTCCAGACCCCCACGCCATAGCGAATTACGTTCAGCCTCGTTGAGCTCGCAGCTCCCTCATTACTGCGGCTGTCAGGCAGCATAGCTTCTCGAGTCGGAAATACACAACATTGCCCTTGTTAAAGGGTCCCTAGGGTGTGAATGGCTCATATGTGAATCATGCCGACCACCAGATACAGTATCTAGCTATATCTATATACATCCTTCTGGGAATACTCTGCAGCTGTTCTCTAGTGCTTGCTCTACCTCTGTCGTGACACAGGCCCACTTGCTCCGGATCCATGCTATCGAAACTTACCCTCGGGCGCATCATGAAGAAGAGAAGACTATACGTCCATTCCAGCTCAAATACTGGCGGCTTGCCCCGACTCTGGGCTTGATTCGGCTGACAGGACTGTCCCTCCCTCAACTATCGCTGGATCAATCCCAGTGCTACCATGGACGCGATATCCGCTATTTCCAGTGTAACAGGTGTTGCAGCTGCGATTGGCGGTATAGTGAGGGTGGTATACCGGTTTTCCACCGTTGTCCAGGAGATGGCGGACAACAGGAACGAGTGCAATAAGCTCATCTTCCACGTTCGGGAAGTCATGACCCTGCTGGGCGCTCGCCATGGTGATGTAGCCGACGTACTTTCGGTCGATCAACTATCCCGGTTCATAAAATTAGAAAGGTCGGGTTAATGTGTTCATACCAACCAGCCTAACTGACCGGTGGAATACTAGTGCCTTGGAGAAATTGCAGGCTAAACTCAGCGAACTCTCAAGTCAGTCGCGTTTGAAACGGATTCTCTGGAGGGACGACATAGCCGAGACTATCTCATGGGCGTACAGGGAATTGCACCAAGTTTGCGACCTCTTCAGCGTGCGTTCGTGCGACGCCTTTGCAGGCATCATGAATCTCATGTCGCATCCAGTTAGGAAATGAGGTTGACATCCGCCGACAACAGAGGGAGCATGAGGAGGCTCGCCGCCTCGATGTAGCCCTGTTACAACAACAGATTGATCAAGTAGCACACAACGATCTCGCTATACTGAACGTGAGTCGATCAATAATAGCCAAGAAACGCCATGAATTTGACTGTTGTATAGCTGCTTGGCGTACAGCGAACGGAGATGCAGGAAGCTATGATAAGCATTCACAACGTGCGCGACTGTTTGCGCAGCGTATCATCTCAGCTTACTTTGGTTGATTAGCGTTTAGCGCATATGCAAGAGTCTATCGAAGGGAGGTTACTTACGGAAGGGATCCACGCTCTCCATCGTCGGTCGGGTGGGATGAAGACAGTCCCCGACGACTTCGCTATAACATCGCTGGACGTCATAGTGCACTACGAGAGCAAGATTGGCGAGGGTGGGTACGGCACAGTTTTTGAAGGGGACTGGCATGGTACAGCAGTTGCGGTCAAAATGTTGGGAAAGGGTCTGCCTGTTGATGCAGGTATATTCTGTGCCTGTTGGGGATCCCTTCTGAACTCGATCTAGGTGTTGCAGCGCGAGATTGATATATGGAAACGCCTCCGCCATCCCCATATTTTGCCATTTTTCGGAGCCTGTTCTATCGCAGACCCGCCATTCGCTATATCCGCCTTAAAGCAAGCGGATGCCTCTAGTTATCTACGAAGCAATCCAGATGCGGATAGAATTCAAATCGTAAGCAGACTTCAGCCTCCACGACGATTCCGTGTCCTGATTTCTGTACAGATCTTGGAGGCCATTCTAGGGCTCATATATCTGCACGAACACTCAGTCGTTCACGGCGACCTCAAAGCTGTAAGCTCGAGCGGCCCTCCATGTTCTGCTATTGTGCTGAAAATCGTGCTATTAGTCGAATATATTGATTGACGAGCGCGGAGTCGCTTGTCTCGCTGATTTCGGGTTGTCAAAGCTTCGGATGCATACCACGACCATTCGCAGCAGATCTACGGGCCGGATGGGCACGGGAACATCTCGCTGGATGTCTCCAGAACAGATGTGTTTGGGCATTATCAACAGGAAGACGGATATTTATAGTCTGGCTATGACCATCTATGAGGCGAGCGCAACTTGACGATGATCCCGAATGCCAGCCTCTAATATGCATACACCAGATCTATGCAGGTGTTCCACCGTTCGCCCATGCTCCTGACTCTCTTGTTCTGGAAATTGTATCAAGCAAGCAAAAGAGACCGCCCCTACCAGAAAATATGCCCGTGGAAATCCAGAAATTGGTACAAGATTGCTGGGCACATGATCCCGAACAGCGACCGTCCGCGATAGCCCTTCCTGCTCGAATCCGCCCTTTGTGTCGACCGAAAACAGTGACATCGTCTTCTGCAGGTTCATCTGAAGAAACAGATAATTCCTTGAAAGTGCCGATGGCGGACTCGACGACCAGCGTCTCTGGGTCCAACCCGCCGGCGCACTGTGTTATCAACATTGCTCCGGAGATGGCACCTCACATTGATCCAATGTTGGCCGCATCGCGCTGGTCACTGCTGAGTGATTTTGAACGAGCTCTCGAAGACATTTGGCAAACGACCACCAGCCACGAGCAGAATACGCCGCAGGCCGACGATATAATCCAGCTATATTTCGAATCTTTCGATGACGCTCCTGCCGCGGATTCTGACCCTCCTCCTCTTGCTCATTCTGTTTATGCTCGAACGGATACTCCTGACATCGGCTCAATCGTCGATCGCTTCGAATACCAGGCTTCTTTGGCTGAAGCATCCGCAGCTCTGCCGGACTCTCCATTGATACATGGTCTTCCGCAGTCCGAAGAAATGTCTCGAATGTCCCTCCTAGCCATGCCTCGCGTCGGCGATCCTGTTAACGTATCCCTATGGGATCTCGCAACGTTCTCTGCTCGACGTAATTGGCCCCCTTCTCGCCTTGAGGTAGAAGATAGGATTGTAATGCCATTCCAAGCCCACCGAACGTCAGCTAGCGGACCTAGGGTAGAGGGCCTGGTAAGCGGTGGCAGCACAGGCACGGAACTGTACGGGTCGGCTGACTGTATGTTGCCTTCCAGTTCACATGTCAGCACGCCGACTCTTACGATGTCCACCGGATCGTCCTCTTCTCGGTTTTTCTTTGGTCGGATGATCACAAGCTACTGGACGAGCTCGCCCAGCCGGAGGCCGTGGATGTCTCCTACGTTCTCTCCGAGAAATACAGCCTCCAGGGCTTTGACCAACCATCACACCGAGTAACCCGACATGGTAAACCGGGGAGGGTCATTCGCGTCAATGACAATCCTACTCATGGCGATTCGACACTTACCCTTCCTCGCTCGGACGGCTCTTCCGTCGGGAGTCAATCTTCCTTGCCTACTCCGGTAGATGCTCAAGGTGTCATATCCCTTTCGCAATTCCTTGACGAGTTGGATACGCAGGCTCGTACTTCTCCAGCGATCCATGCCACCCCTCAAAGTCCGCACGGCGGCCCATCTCGCAGCAGGACGTTGTCAATGCGACCATTTGGGCGGCCAGGGACAGCGTCGAGCGAGACCATCAGGAGCACGACATGCTCAGAAGAGTCCCCCGCCAAAGTCAGGTTCATGGAGGGCCTGCGCGAAGTTATCCCGCGAGCCGTCTTGCGCGGTCCTCACTTGCGTAGCAAACCACATGCAAGCGAAGTACAGGCAGGCAAGCCCTCGCAGTCCGTCACTCTGGTCGACTTCCTCGAAGAGGGTCGATTGCCGTCGCCAGCCTCGGCGAAGATCCCGCGGCGCCACTCCGGAGTCCCCGGTGTAAACTCCAGCGTTGGCGTGCCTCGCAGGGCGAGATCCTTCACCCCACGCGAGCCCACGGTTCGCTCGGACCCTGGATCCCGCGCCGTTCTACAGTTCATACAGGAAAGTGACGTACGACGCACTGAGAAGAAAGCGGTCAATCACCCCGAAGAGGAAGGGACGGTCGTTCGCCTTGATGGCTACATTCAAGTACCTGGGCTACCAAGGCCGAGACGGGAGTGGACGTCTTTTGAGAGGCAGGTGCGTGCACGCTGGTCTATGTCATGAATATAACAACTCACGCGCACAGTAGACTTTTCTGCATCTCCTCATCGAGCATCCGCGACTCTCCAATGAACCAGGCCCAGGAGCCATGCAACCAATTCACGTGGAGATTCCTCTCCAGAAGGAGTTGATCCACGTCCATCCCGTCGACGATACTATTCCATCGACGATGCTGTTTCGTGATCGTGCATCTTCGTGATATCCTTCGGAGCAGTGGAGAGAAAACTGAGTGGACCTTGTATACATTACAGCAACTGTAGAATACTATCATTACAACACATCTTTAACACTGTAATGGCTCGCCCATGCATTAATTAACCCGAGCTATCACGGAGGGTACCCGTGATCGTCCATCTCCCGGAGAGAGTTGTCGCAAGAGCTCGATACTGGCGACGGTGGTGCACCCCTATCGGTGGCGCCTGATCGTTCACGGCTTTGTGCCCTAATGAGATCGGGGCGGGTATATAGGAAGAGGATGACGTTGAAAAGGCCGTTGAGTGAGAAGAACGACGAAAAGAGAAACGAGAGCGCGGCGGGGGGTGTCCGTCCTGGGTGATAGAACTGTATCCAGCGCGTAATGGAAAGAGGAAGCACGCATATCGAATACACGATGGGGTATCTGCAAGGGACGAGCGTTAATGTCCAGAAATGTGATGCGGGCGAAGTTGGATGGACAACTCACGCGAGCATGTCCATCGACCGCAACGAGCGGTACTCTCGTTGCCGGTGCAACTCGAACGACCACCATTTGTGATCATCGATGGTGATGTTCCCCCGCTTCCACAGCCAGAGGGGGATGTAGAGCGCGATGGACACGCCTAATGCGAGCCATAGCCAGAAATACTCGCCGGCAACGCGCTCTGAATTGTACCGAGGTCCGATCCAGCACCAGTTCTATCATAGAACCGTCAAGTCCGGGCTAAATTGAGGCACCGATGGAACTTGCCGGAGTAGGCGCCTCGAAGTTGGTATTCCTGGTGACGGCCACGGCGAAGAAGATGGCGTTGTACAAGTATATCATGGTCACGATGCCCATCGCGACCCATTTGGACTCGAGCTTCTGACGCGCCCATACGGCAAGAAACGTGTACACCGATATCACCTGTGAATGTCTTGCGCATAAGAGGCAGTCCTTGCGCTGGACATAGGAGGGCTATACGTACAATTGTCGTCATCGCACCGCCGGCCTCTCCCATGGTTTCTATTCCGCCTTGATGAACATCAAGTATCAGGCCATGTCGGTAAGCTCGACAGATGCCAATCAATACCTTCCATAGTACAGAATCCTCCGACGATTATACTCCCCTTCCCGATCCATTTGGCATCAACCACTCTGCCCCAAGCCAACATGGCATCGAACGTGAACAACGTGATCTGTGACGGCGGTAAGTCAGCTCAGGACGTCTCGTAGGCCTTAGAGAGGACTCCTCACCATGAATATTTGCGGCGGCTCCGGTAATCTCAGACGTCGGATCATGTTCCGCTGCGGCAGCGCTTAGCTTATGAAATGAAGGAAGGAAGGGGCGGGGGGGGCTGGAAGGGCGTACCGCTAAGACGAAGAAGAGCAGAAGGACGGCGATGAACGACAAGAATCCGCATGCTGTTCGCAGCTAGATCATAACGTCGCATTCAGCAACGCGAGAGACGCGTCGTATAATTGTACAAACTCACCGTCAAGCCAATCGTATCACCCCGGCCTTTCGAGAACGTCGATCAAGGCCCTACTGCGCGGAAGCATTGGATACTCACTGAGACAGTGTATGGACGGAAACCGGACCTGAGACGCTTCCCATTCTTCCTGAGTGCACACGATGCCTAGTCGACGGTCCGGGGCGGGGGTGGCCATGGACGTAAGGCGGGGAAGACCCCTTGCGCATGGAAAAGATGAAGGAATGAAAGGAATGATGGGCCGCCATCCCAAGCCTTTTCCAAGGATATGATTCTAGCCGAGCATGAAGCCTGACAGCGCTGCGCGTGCTCGCCACCGACGGCGGCAGCAGCCCAGCCAGGCACGGCCGTCCGGCGGATCTTACCATAGGATAGATCGTCATGTACTGTAACGCACACGTTGGCTGAGGCGGTGTGTTAGCTCTACACGAGCCGACGGGAATCGTTGAGGCGGTGTGTTAGCTCTACACGAGCCGACGGGAACCGTTGAGGCCAGTATTGGGACCGCGCCGGATAATAATACTACACCCTCCGCGACGTGTGAAACTGCTCAGTCAATAAAGCCACTTTAAGTCATTTCCCCTCTGACCATGCTACGGAGCCTGGAGGTGCATGATATTCGTCAACTGAAATACGTACAAACTCAACCAATTACATCGCCAGTTCTAAGCCATACCTAACAAGCTGGAATAGTACTCGCAAGAACGTGAGTGATATGATTGTGTTCGAAATTAGAACTCCACCGTCAGTCAAAAGGTGGCATCGAGCGCTTGCACTGTACTGATGCCGGCGCAGGGTCGAGAGCGGGGCCTTGCTTGCAACAGGCCCGCGGCATTCGCCTGTCTGAGAGCACCGGAGCCGAGCAAACCTGTCCGTTCGCTGACAACGGGCGCGAGGTGCAACTTTGGCCTCGATCTCCCGGAGAGCAGACTCTGATTTGATGGTCAGGAATCGCGCACGTCTGTGGTGACCAGATACGTACGTTTCTATCGTCTTCAAGGGTGCCGGGGACGTGGTTGGCTGCTTTCCATCACTACCTCATCCCACCAGCGCTCTCGCCCAGCTGTTTCGCCCAACCAGATCTCCTTCGCGAGTTGAACGGGGGTGGAATGCTCATGCGGATTGATAACCACCAGTCTAGCTTGCTTATCGCGGGTCACGAGCCATTGCAAAACGGCGGAGATTGTTCCTTGAGCTTCCCATGCTTTCGAAATCCTGTTCGGAACCTTCTGCAGGAATATGCGCTTGAGCACGACCATGAGGTTATGAAGAGCGAGAGCTTCCAAGTGTGAGTCGGGATCTAAACGAAGGTATCCCGCCCAGTATATTCCACCTCGCAGTCGGTCTTTCTCCTTCATGGTCAACGAACGGTCGTGATCGACGTCATCTATCGGGACGTCCAAGTATATGCGCAATGCTGCAGGGACCAGATCGGATATCCCAACTCCCGAAAGCCGAAGGTGGAGTAAGGAGGGGAACCACGAGTTGACGAGCGAGAACACTCGCGAAAAGCCTTCGTGAGAGTCGTTGATCAGATGGAGGTGTCGAACGGTGGGTAGGGTAAGGTCTGGTTGCGTCTGGACGTATACCAGTTTGCTCGTGGCGGGATCGCGTCGAACGAACGCGTCGTATTGCACTGTTAGCTCCACGAGCCGCTTGAAATGTGCGTGAAACGCCGTAAGATCCAGGTTGCGGGACAGGATCGTCATGTGTTCCACCGTAGGTGCAGATGCCAACATGATGCTGGCGACCGAGTCTGTGACGACGGCCTTCCGGTCAGCCAAGGGCGCGGATAGCGCTCTCAGTCGTCGACGTATGTCCTCTTTCGAGCCCGGTCCGTGTTGGTCATCGCATGGAGTCAAGAAGAGCTCGCCCTCCAACTCGCGTATCTCCTGCCGGCTCTCCGTCCATGGACTGTGTCCATGCGCGTTCTCTACGCAAAGAAAGAGATGCTGAATCTTCCTGCGGCACGTCTCTGTGCGCAAAAGGAGGTTCCGAAATTTCGTGACCTGCGTCTCGCCGGTGAGGGCAACCGAGCCCAGTTTGACGCCAGCGGTTGCCTCTCGAACCGTCTTCGTTACCGCAGACAGTGAACGACCTGTAGATCCATCATCGAGGCAGGCTGTCGCGAAGATGGTGTTCCATAGCTCGTTCGGAAGGTCGTTCATGGCGGAAGTGGATGTTTCGTGCGGCGCCCCAGGGCGCGGGCTTGGCAGGGTACATGTACGTGGTCGATTTATATGGACCTAAACTTGCTATCGCATCATATGCAGGGCACCTGGCAGGACAAGGCGATTGTCGCGGGCGCTCGCCGCTCGTTCGAGTGAAAAGAAGCATATCGTCACAAAAGACGCCGAGGACTGCCATTGGACTAGGATCAGAGTGGGCCAGAGCTGGCACTGCTGGCCGGTCGGCTACTTTACGAGGAGGCCCCATCAACGGCTGCAATGATACTCCCTGTAAGCCCAAAAGGATATATCAGGTACGTGGACCGTTCGCGTTTATGTACTTTATTTCTCACCGATCTCCCTCAGACAGTCCGATGCACGCAAATATCACAAACCAACCCTGCACAGAAAGTACAACGTGCACACTGGTAATACAATATGATGAGGTGTAATGGAAACAATTGCTTAATACGACAGGAGACTGGGCAAAACTTCCTACACGAACGTTAATGGAGAACGCAGCGAAGCGCGCATAAAGGAGGAATCATAGCGAGAGTCCGCGTATCACCGATAGGACTTGCCATTGGTCTTGGCGGCTGAGCTCGACGCGCCGTTAGGTATGCTCTTGCCGCTTGAACTGGCGCGAGGTTTCTTCGCGACATTGGAATCGCTCGTAGTCCGAGCGGCTCCCTCTTTCATGACCATCTTCGCATGGATTTCTTCTAATTTCGCTGCCTTCACCTTCTTAGGCCAGAACAACGTGACGAATCTAATCAAATGACGGGTCAGCGGGATTCCAGAACTGAAGTGAATTGCTCTACGTACGCCCAAAGATGACGTTTCCAGCGTTCCACATCCTCACCAGCAGCTTGCTTGTTGCTCAGGACGGCTTCTATTCGGCGCCCGATTGCTGCCAGCGACTCCTTCAAGATCGCAACTTTATCATCCCTAGGCATGTCGCCACCTGAAAGCTTCAGTTGTTTCTGCAGGGATATGAGCACGGTTTTCCGGCTATGAAACTGTACACCGACCAACTGCTTCTTCACTGGCCGCAACTCCTCCTTCGTAGCAGACTCATCCATGGAGGGACTGCGGGCAATCGTTAGGGACTGTCATCCCGAACGCCGGGTGCTACGACACGCACCATTCATCAGAGGATTCCGAGTCAGTAAACGTGGGCGTTGGTCTCCGCTTCCGCTTTCGCGGACCGTTGTCCTCGACGGATGCTACTGCTTCACTCTCAGCACGTCGCTTGAGACCTTGCGACACTGAACCATGGGCAGACGGTGGAGGCGAAACGGATGCTCGCGGCAGCGACCTGTTCCTTAACGAATTCTCGTACGACCGTATTTTCTCGTCGTGTTCTCGAAGAAGGCCAAGTAGGTAGTCGCCCCGCCGCACGAGATGAATGGCGTTGGGAATAGGTTTCGTCGCAGAGTCGTCGCCTTTTTTGCCCTCCTCAAGGAAGAACTTCCCGTCGAGTCCAAGGCGGGGATCCTTCTGCATGGCCTCCCAGTTGCCGAATCCGTGGATGAAAGCACCGACGAGCAACATGGAGTCTTCCTGAGGGCCCCAACGTCCCGACCAGTTAAGAGTCGGTCGGATGTTTTCGATCGGAATCGACCAGTTGTAAATGTCGTCGCCGAGGCTATGTAGATGGTGGTAGAGGACTTTCAAATCTCGATTACGGGAGACCACCGTCTCGGCGTTGATGTTGCCGACGTTGCGATAGGTGACGAGGACGGCTTTGCTCTTCTGAGCGTTTGTAAGGGTTTCTCCTGCCTCGATCTTGGCGCGTTTCTGCGCCTCGTTCTCGTCAACGGCTTGGGTACATATGTCGATGATCTCATCCGTCACGTCCAGGATCATGCCCTTGTTCTTATCCTGCAGTTTAGCCTCGGTGACCTGAAGGGGCTTGAGTTTCGGCGATCAAGAGCAAGCGGTAGCGTACTCACAATCACATCGTAGCGCAACCGGATGTCACCCCATCGCTGCAAGCTACGGATGAGCACACGCAGATCTCTCTCTTTCAGCTCCATCGCCTTCTGGCTGGCGCTCTTGCGCTGAGGCGCAGCCTTCGGCTTCTTCGCCGTCGAGGACGAAGATTTCTGGTCAACGTCCATGCCTTCGTAAGAAACGGGCTGCGTCGTTCGCTTCCGGGTAGTCTCTTGCGCGGCCAGTTCCTCCGCCTTTCTGTCGTTCTCCTCCCTCTCGAACTTCTGGCGCTCATCGAGAGGGATGATATCCTCCCAGCTCATGTCGGCTTTGACATCGCTGACAGCAGCGAAGGTGGCGAGGAAGCCCTCTCCACCAAGCGACGCGCCGCCTTCTCCAGCCTGAGCTAGTGTCTCGTGGTCCTCGGCTCGGTTGAGGATATCGTCGAGGTCCATCTCGTCAAGCTTCTGATTCTGTGCTACGTCGTCTTTTTCAAACCTGGTGGACGATCAGGGAAAGGACGGGGATGGAAGTTGGGGAACCTACATCTTCTGGGCACCGTACTTCAGGACCGCAGTCAGTTCGTCTTTGCTCAGATTATCTTTGCTGGACATGTCCTTTGCGTTCGCCTTGGAGCTAAGATGAGCCTGGGTGGTGTCCATCTGGTTGATGACTGCAGCCATCGGTCAGCACCGGGCCAAAGGGGGAGGTGGCGCCACGAAACGCGACTTACTCGCATACTCCAACACCATCTTCTTCTTCGCGCGTTCCAGGACATCCTCTTCCATCGTGTCCTTGCTCACGAACCGATACACACTAACATGCGACTTCTGGCCGATACGGTGTGCACGTGCCATCGCCTGCAGGTCATTCTGCGGATTCCAGTCGCTCTGCAGCAGTGCCGTGAGCCTCGTGTACTGTTGCCCGGAGGACACGCTATAACGCGGAATGAAAAGCTCACGTCGAAGATGATGACCGTGTCCGCAGTCTCCAGGTTGATGCCGAGTCCGCCAGCGCGGGTCGACAAGAGGAAGGCGAAGTCGGGTGAATTCGGAGCATTGAAGTGCGCGATCGACTTCTTACGCGCCTCCGAGGCTACCATACCGTCGAGGCGTTGGTGCAGATAGCCGCGGAGAGACATGTAATCGCTGAGAATGTCGAGCATGCGAACCATCTGGCTGAAGATGAGCACGCGATGCCCGTCCTGGCGAAGGCGCGCGAGCAGCTTGTCGAGCAAGACCATCTTGCCGCTGCTCATGACCAAGCCCTTGAGCGTCTCTTCTGCATTCTCAGTCTTCCCTTCAACGCCGTCGAAAAGGAAGGGGTGGTTAGCCGCTTTCTTAAGCTCCACAGCTAGCACAGGAGATTCGTTTCAATGTAACAAAGACGCTCCTACTAGAAGGACACACCGATGTTGAGCAGGCTGATCTGGCTGTTGCCGTGTGCGCTCTTCATCAACCCTTGGAAGTTCTGCACAGCCACGTTAGCTCTCGGGGCGGGAGCGACTCCGTGCAGATCTTACTTTGGTCAATATGTTTTTGTAGAACTGGGTCTGCAACGCCGACATTTCCACGCGGAGGATGCGTTCGCTCTTCGTCGGAAGGGAGGTAAGGACGTCGCGTTTCAGCCTGCGCAACATCAGAGACTCGAGTTGTTTGTGGAGATCCTTGATCTTCTCCTCATGGTCCACGTCCGTGAGGTCAAACTCGTTCGTGAGCGCGAACTTCTCGGGCATGAGGAAGTGCATCAAGGACAACAGCTCTGCGAAAGTTATTGTGGGTAGAGCATATTAAAACGGTGGCAAATGCCGTCCCGAATCGCGCAACGCACCTTTCACGTTGTTTTGCAGGGGCGTGCCAGTGATGAGCAGCTTCGAAGCAGCGGAGAAGGACCGCAGTGCCTCGTACAGCTGGCTTTCCGAGTTTTTCAAACGGTGCGCCTTGAATGACGCGCGTCAGCATGGTCATAGGTATATGCCGCCCTCGCGCACCTCATCGACTGCGAGCATCTGCCATTTGATCTCTCCTAGCTCCTTTGAGTCTCGGAGAGTGAGCTCGTACGTGGTCAACAGCACGTTCATCTTCAGTTTCTTGTTCGATGGTCCGAACTCGTAGGTCCTGATCACGTCCCGGGCTGCGGCGGTCCCAATGTAGGTGATAACATTGATGTCCGGCGCCCACGTCGCGAATTGGGATTGCCACGCGGTAATGGTCGACAGCGGGACAATGACGAGGAAGGGACCGTATTGCTGCATCTCGTGGAAAAGGTACGAGATGAATGACACCGTTTGGACAGTCTGGCATGCCAGGTAGCGTCAGCTCCCTTTCATATCCAGAAGCAGTACAATTACCTTCCCGAGGCCCATCTCATCTGCCAAGATGCCGTTTTCGCCCTTGCTCCAGAGGTATGCCAGCCAGTTGAGGCCAGTAAGCTGGAAGTCCTTCAGCTTGCCGCCTGTCGCGCTCAGGTACTCCGGGTCTTCTGTGATCTTCGTAAAGGAAGGTCGCCCGTTCTTGGGATAGATCACGCTCTTGTATGGAAACTTGCCCTCAGCTTCACGTCGTCTGTACGCCTCGATTTGCGGCCTTGCCAACCGACGAATCTCGTCGGCGTCTTCCCAGGTGCAATGCTCATAGTTGAGGCCACACCACTTGCAGAAGTACTCGACGGTGCCTTGAACGGATTCGCGCTGAGCGACGATGCGTTCAACGGTCTTGTAGGTTTCGAGCTCCTCTTTTTCCCGTTCACGATCGATGGTGATGGCCTCTGTATCCTCGCGAGTGAGGCCAGGCTGAGCTAGCCGCGCCTGGTACAACTTATAGTTCTTGATATAGTTGTCCACACGCTTAAGGCCTTTGAACCGTTTGAGGAACTCGTATGTCTCGTCCGTGTTGTGAAGGTGGGAGAAATTCTTCCACTTTATATGATAACGCTATCGAAGACATAGTCGGTGAGAACGAGCCTTCAAAAGTAAATGACGAGACGGGGGAAAAGCCATAGGAATGTCAAGCGGCCAGGACGTTCAAATGCCTACGAAATCGAGAACGTAACACTCACGATATTCTCATACCATAGATCTTCAGGGTCATTCTCTCGACCCTCATCCCGGGAGTGACCGAACACGGCCTCGATCTCATCTTCTTCCTTTGTAGGGGCGTTGGCTTCTGCGTACGCTTTCGCGTCGGCGACGTATTGTTCATCCTCATCAAATTGCTCGAAATCCTGGACATCGTCAACGTAGTTGGGTATTTTCACGCCACGAGAGGATATACGGAGCTCCTCGCCCGGGTGAGGACGATGTTTCTTCTTCTTATGAGACCTTGCGCCGTAGTCTGAATCTGAGTCGGAGTCGGCGATGTGCCGTGCAGCAGCTAGAGCCGCTCGTAGGATCAGGAAGGCGCGACGAGGTGCAGAGGTGAAGAGCGTACGCTTGGGTCTGGTCTGTGTCGTCGCAGCAGGCGTCTTCTTCTTCTTCGGAGCCTTCTTGCTCTTCTTCTCGCCATATTCCTCGTCTGCATAGGAGCCGTCATCGGAGTCTTCATCGAAGCTGGCAGAGCTGTAGTATCGCTAGAGCAGGGAGTCAGCCATCCCACCCGCCACACCGAACGTGTGTCCATTACCTCTTCCTCCTGACCATGACTATCAGCTTCAAGTATATGCGAGTGATCGTGGCAGAACATACCGGCGAAGACCGTCGGTGTGGCACAGGTGGGACGCTCAACGCCGGCGCTGGTTCGTCGTCGTCGACATACTCGCCGTCGGCGTCGGCGTCTCTGTTGTCGTCGCTGTCTGTGTCGTCGATGTGCATATTGTCGTCGGAATCATTGGCATGGTCGACATCCATGCTGCCCGACGACTGGATGGGATGGCCGTACTGTCCGACGGCGAGCATGGGCTATGATAAGCGCTGGTGGCGGGATGTGATGGGCGGCGCGGGCGGGATGGGGGAAAGCACGAGTAGGGGAGGGACCGGGGGGTACGACAAAGGGAGAGGGCAGAAGAGGCGTTGCACGCCGTGACCCACGACGGGCACGCGCCGTGCGAAACTGTGGCCGACAACATCGCGGCCGACGCCGGGCAGTCCCTTCGCCATGACGAACGCCGTTCTGGGCGTTTGCGGACTCATCGCGTGGCCTGTGCCACTCCCGAGTTTGTTCTCATGGCGTGCACCCATCAGAAACCTTGGCTGGCACCTGTGTCACGTCGTTCCGACGACGATTGCTATCGTGCTCGACGTGTACGCCCCTCTACTCGTCGTTGTCCGCGGCGAGCGAGGTGGTCACGGTGTCCATGCATTTCTCGCGCAGGGCACAATCATATCGATGCTGCTGAACACGCGGCCCACGCGAGGCCCGCCTGGGCGGAGCGAAAGGGGCCGGCACAGCTGCGGGCCCCCGGTCGCCGTCGCCGCCGACGATGATGAGCGCTTCGTCGCGGGCCTTGGCACAGCCACTTCCTTCCCGATAAGGCATATCTATCCAGCTTTCGTCCGGATGTGGCCCAAATCAGGCAGCATTGCCTTCCTGCAACGCGGCGGACGGTGGCGGACGGGCTTGTCCTGGATCAACACGCACAATAACCTTGCGTTCCAGCTCCTTCACGGCCGCTGAGCGATGGACCGTGCGGCCCATCTGTCCGTCGTCGTCGATCTTTCTCCTCCGCAATGGCTTCTCTCGGCCCAGCCAGGTCCCTCCAATCCCCACCCGCTCAGCCTCAGGTCGTTCCTGTCCCAGCTTCTCGCGTTCCTCAACTCGCACATCGCGTCCAAGCCGGAGAACACATTATGCGTCCTCGGCGCTTTTCCGGGAAAAAGGTGCCTTTCCGACCTGCTGCCAGCCACCACACCCCCAGCACTCTGGCTTGCGAAAAGAGGCGCTGACTCTTGGCCATCGTTCAACAGTGGCATCCTGTATTCGTCTACCGATCACGTTTCCACCAGCTCGGAGAAGGGGGACCCGGATGCGTATCTGCCGTTCAAGGTTGTAGACGCGGCCATCATCGACCACATCACCAATGAATTGGATGTACTCGGAGAATGGGAGGCCCAAGGTGTGACACCTGCGGAATAACGGTCGGAGTAACACGCGATCGTAACCGGACTTTATAGAGTCCACAGCGCTCGTGGGCGCTCTAACAAAGGCATTATGCTGTGAGAAGCCTGTATGCCTTTCTTCGCTCATGGCTCACCAGGTGATGCGCAGACATAAATCGTATAATGAATGTATCTGCGGATAATGAGCCGCGGAGTCCCTCCGAACCGCGCATACTCATCCTCTCGGTGTCTCCGGACCAATCAACGTCCTACATACCCATCATGAACTCGATCTTCTCCGCTCAGAAACTTGCAAGCCTCCACCTCAATTCCGAGCTTGATGCATTTCGCTAACTCCTTGCTCCGCAGAAAGTGACGATGGACGTTTGCCAACTGTACGGACCCGAGTCTGTCTTTCTGCAGCAAGCCTCCCATCTCACCGGCGGATCGTACATTCACCTCGAGCATCGAGATGCGCTGTTGCAGTATCTCATCGTGAGTAACAAGGGATTACGGCTTGTGGTTTGTGTCGGCTCTACTAACGTCTGAAAAGATGTCTTTCCTCCCACCACCATCCATCCGGCGCACTCTGTCCGTCCCTACGCAGGACAAGATTGATTTTCGAGCAGCATGCTTCTGTCATAAAAACATCGTCGATGTTGGCTTCGTCTGCTCCGTCTGTTTATCCAGTATGTTTACGCCTATGATCCTTTCCCGTCTTTCTGGCAGGGAGACAAAGTACTCTGATCTCCTTCCTACTGACGCTCATAACCAGTCTTTTGCCAACCTGTTCCTGTGTGTTCTACGTGTCGGACCAAGTTCCCCATCAAGAGCTTACAACGACTCAAGTCGTCCATGCCTCCGCTCGCTGGCGGACCCAGGGCCCATGCGGCTGGTAGGACACCGGGCGGGACATCGTCACCCACCCCCGCGGCCTCCCCTTCGGCAAACGGAACCCCGACCTCCAAGCGCTCCATGGCGGACAGCTTACGATAATTCCATCGACCTGGACCGTTGCCAATCCTTCTCATTTATGGCTTGCCTGCGATATCAATGCAAGAACCCTCGGTTACTCGACCCATATTGTCACTTATGTTGGAGACTTGCAAGAATGCCACCAAACGCGTGCCAGTTCAAGCGTCCTCGTAGTGCTGCACAACTACCTAACTCTGTCGCTGCGCCGGAGATCATTCGTTCGTTACGCTCGGTATGCTCATTTGGACGAACATGCGTGCTGCGTGGTGAGCTACCGCTCTACAGTATTTTGTGATGTCGATAGTAGGGATAGTCTCTTAAAACGTCAAATGTCATCAGTCATAGTGTCTCGGTGTTGATTTTGACGATATCCACGATGATGTGCAGGCGCCCTGGCTGCCCATGCAGTGATGGCAATGATCCTCTTTGCAGTCTTCTCGTCACGGAACACCCTTTTGCAAACCGCGATAACTAGAAATTACTGAAGCCGGCCATGGTTAACGCTGAACGTTGAACGTCGACATAGTTTCATCGTGAGGGATTGTGTCCCACGCCACAGTCAAAAGCGGCGCCGCTCGAATTTGGTCTGTCACCCACCATTCCAGTGTTCGCTCTTCATGGAGACCCGCAAGAGGCACGTAGTTGACTCAGACGATACATCTCCCCCGAAGAAACGCATAGTCATGGACATCAGCGGCACACCAACACCTCAACCAAACGGTTTTCCTGCAGACCACGACGAACCGAAGGATGAGAATCTTGAGGTCTTCCGGCTTCATGTAGCATGTTGGCCCGCTTCTGACAACGTCACAACTGCAGAATTTTAGAAAGGAGGCGATATACCGCCGTATGAAGCAGTATGCGAGAGAGAGCGAGAGGAGTCGCAGGAGGATTGCCGACCTTGAACGTCGCAAGGTGGCATGCGAAGTTGGCATAACAGCACTGGAAGCTTGCTGGACACAGGTGCGTCTATTACTTTGCCGCAAGATCCACACTTCATATCCTTCTACGCAGCTATTTGAAAGCATAAGAACATTCGTACGGCCTGAGGATGCGTCTGTGGTAGATGAGACTGAGCACGGTGCTTGCCATAATCACGACTGCGATGGCATGTTTCTGATGGCCCCTTCAGATATACTCGAGGTGGTTGAGGACGCTTCCGAACCACTGGATGCCGTGCAACACGCGTTGGACCACAAGATGTCAGCGACACAGAAACTGGTGACTACCTTCGTACAAGGGAGCAGGGAGGTGGACGTTAGCCTTATACAAGAACGACTATCCCAAAGTTATCAGAAGGTACAATCCGAGGTATGGGACAGAAAGCTACCAAGAAACACTCGTCCTGATCCCTCGTGCACAGTGCGCTACATTACGGACTGAGCTCGCGCTTCTACGAGCGAAGTTACGCGATGTCCACGCCCAGAAAGATCGATATCATGAGGACCTTATAGCTGTGGAGAAGCGAGTGGATCGTCAGAGTAGCCGCACTGTGCAGGCTTCGCAGCCGAAACCGGGTTCGGCATTTCCGGACACGCAACAAGACAATCGCGAGCAAAGTCATCCGTCGACTTCCGTCTCGCCAGCAGTGAGTGCATGTTGCGATCTTCCTAGGACCAATGTCTGATATCGCAGTTCCGTTGCATTCTCAGCCCTCACCGGCTCCGAATGGACATCCAGTTGTTACAACCTCCGAGGCCACCGACCCCACCATCGTTGAGCTTCAAGCTGCCGTCGCCTTCCGCGACAAAACCATTGCTGACTTAGAGAGCGAAGTCGGGAAGCTAAAATCTCAGGTCTTGCATCTGCAAGTCGACGTTCGTCTCCATACTACACTATTTCTCGGTCCCACTCACAAACGTCTTCATTGCAGCTTGCAAACATGCCAGAGGAGACAGTCACAGAGTCTCCACATTACCGAGTGCTTCTAGAGGTTGCGTCGCTCCGCGAGCATGAGTTGCAGGAGTCCACGGAGAAACTGGAGACGCTGCGGAAAGAGCTGGCGGAAACCAAAGCCTACCGCCTTGAACTGCAAGAAAGCGCCGTGGTATGTTGGCGATTGGACACTAGTCATCAGGCTTGTATCTGACCATGCGCCGCTCAAATTGCCAGGCATCGAAAGACCAGGAAATACAAGAGCTCAAGGCACTTATCACGAAGCGTGACAATGAGAACGCACGCCTACGTGAGCAGCGTGATCAGCAAGCTGCGGAGCTCACGGAGCGCAAGCACAAGGATGCCGTGAAGATGGCCTCTATCACCGAATTTAAGATGCTTGCTCAGACACGCGAAGTACGTTTAGTATATCAGAATTAAGCATCAAGGCGAGGACTGACATCGCATCACAGGAACGCATCGCTGTTCTCACATCCGAATCGACCAGGCTTAGATCATTGCTGGCGGCGAATGCAGGCAACGAGGATCTTATGTCGTTCTTCCTACGCGAACAATCGGAAGGAGGATCATACATCGACGACCTGAAGTCGCGTCTCCAGTGTGTTCTGTCGACACCCTACGTGACATTACGTCTGACCGTCGCCCAGTGCTGCAGAAGAGCGTGCGTCGGCCTTGGAAGGCTCCCTTGCAAGCATTCAGCGGGAGAATCCCGACATCGCCCAGCACGTCAAAAACGAAGCTGAGGCACGGCGGCATTTGTCAGAAGTTTCCAAGGAGCTGGACACCTTCCGTGCTGCGTTTGGACCGGTATCCCAACAGCCACCGGAGGTGCAGGCCATGGCCCAACGCCTTACTCAGAAGGAGGATGAATTACGGGCAGCACGTCTGCAAATACAGCACTTCACACAAGCTGAGAGCGCAATATACACCGAGCTTGATAAGCTCAGTGCTGCGTGGGAGGCACTGGACCGGCAGGTAAAGAACAAGGTCTTCGAGCTGCATGGTATGGAGGAAAAGTTGACAAAGGCTGGGCTTGAGGTACGCTTTCGTATTCGTATTATCTGGAACGATCTAATCTGTACTTGCAGAAAGCGAGGTCGGACAACAAGTTCTACTCGGCTATGCGCGATAAAGAGGCAACTGAACTGGAGCGCAAGAACCTTGCACGCAACTTCGAGAAACAGTCCAAGGTTCTAGAACGACTAGGAGAGCTCGAGAAGAACCTCAGCACCAAACTGGTATGCTGCACAGTACAGGTGCGGATCGGAACTAATGTGCTTTGCAGAGTACGCTTGAGATGGACTTGGCTGTGCAAAAGAACGCTGCGGAGGCTTGCTTGCGGCAAAAGGAGGAGATACGTGTCCGGCTGGTTGCCTTGCAGCAGAGTGCGGCGGAAAATGATCGAAGACTACAATCGGTAAGGGTGACGCATATTTGGTCGTACCTTCGGTGCTCACATCAACTGTACATATCAGGCTTTCGGAAAAGTACAGGAGAAAGATGAGAGCCTCGAGAAGCTGAAGATTGAGCTGCGGAAGAAGGAGCAAGCACTCAACAGCGAGAAGCAGCAAGCCGAAATGGAGATGGCAAAAGCTAAAGCCGTCACTAGAAGCTCGAATCCCGGCAAAACTCGCGAACAAGAGTTGCAGAATGAGGTTGACAAGTGCATGGTCATCCTCAAATGCTCGACCTGCAAGATGCGGATGCGAAACACAGTGATCACGAAGTGCATGCATTGTACGTGATTGGTTGGACTCCTTGCGCTCTGCATTGTTGACAAGTGGACGGCTTAGCTTTTTGCAAAGAGTGCGTGGACGCCCGTATTCAGACCCGGCAGCGGAAGTGTCCAGCGTGCAACCTACAGTTTGCCCAGACCGATGCACAGACGTTGTTCTTCCAGTGAACATCTTGATGATATACTCATGTCGTTTGATTACCCCCATTCACTTATTCCCTTCGTACATGTAAATTATGACACTAATGGCGTATTCTGGCAATTATGTGCTTGTTGTACATTTGAGATGATTTGAAGGGCAAGAAAATTTAAATTTCACTAACACAGCTTCCAGGCGGCGTCAGCTTGTAGAGTCTCAAACTGATTGGTACCCGTTGGTATAACGGCGTTAACGTTGTGGTCGAGTGTGCGTCCGAAGTTGTGCGCACCACCACAAGAAGCAGTCCCGTGCTTGACGCTGGACCCCGATCCGAGGCTGAGCGTCATCGCATGTTTCCTTCAACTTGGAACTCAAACTACGTCCTTGGCCCCCGTGCGCTCATGCTGGCTCTTCGTACCGGAGCTTCGCACTAATCCTCTTGCCGTCAGTGTTGGCTCTCGTCCTCGTCCTCATTCGAGTCGGTTACACCCAAGCGAGGCACAACATAGGTCAACGCAATAGCCAGGCTCAGATGACTTACGTCGTCAAATGGGGGAGGGAGAAGTGCGTAGTCATTGTAGTACCCTCCCATTCTCACCTCAACTACGCCTGGTCTGTAACACGACGGAGGCAAGGCGGCTGATGGAAGGTCTTCTTCTACAGGATACGCTTCCCCCTTCCCCAGCCGAACACGCCTTTGAGCGAGCTTAGGAAAGAGATCGCGGATTACACTCATCTCCCTACCGAATCCTTCAAGCTTGTACACGCTGGGGCAGTTATGAAAGACGATAACGCGCCGAGTACGTTTGCGACACTGTGGCCGTTGTCGCGCCTCTTGCTGAAGCACACTCTGTTTCAGTATTGGCTTATGGCATTCACGATGGATCGACAATCTCGATAATTGGCGGTGACACATCTGAGAAAGACCGCCATCCGCATCGCCAGAGTGAGAAGAGCGCACCACCGGAGCGCAGGACGGAACAAAGCACCATCGCTCAAATTCAATCCGAGATGGACAACGTCCGCGGATCGCTCCTACCAGGCGTCGACCGCCTCATCGCTGGTCTCAAGGCTCTTACGTCGTCGACATCAAGTGCAGCACACCCACAGCCATCCCAGGCCACGACGTCTGCGCAGGCCCCACCGACACGCGAACAAGAACAGGAGCATGCACGGCTCGGCGAGCTCTTGTTACAGTCGCTTTTGCGACTAGATGCTATCAACTCCGAAGGCGAGTGGACGGAAGCTCGTAAGGAGCGCAAGGGAGCCGTTAAAGAGGTTCAGGGGCTTCTCGACCGATTAGACCTTGCGTGGAGAACAGCAAAAGGAAGGACCTGATCCTGAGCCTTACTCACCTTGTACCAGTCTTGTAGATGCACCGTTCAAACGAGGATGCAATAGAGCATCTTGTGTAGTCATGCGCACCAGTGAAAAGCAAGATGTCGCACATAGCGCGGCAATCTCAGGTTCACGCCTCGCCGTTGATGTGCGCGAGGAGACCTTCCAATACCGACAGGGAGGATACAATCTTGCATCAAGCTTTCACCCTCCTTCCCTAGCAGCTTCTTGAGCTCGTTGATCTCACTTCACGTCTGCAACGTAACACATGCAATTGCTGGCGACTATCCACCATTTCAACGTCTATTTTGTCGCAATCTTTGGCGGTGATGTCTTCCAGCCCCGTCCGGACCGTCTTTGGACGTGCAGCAGCCACAATGAGCGAGGAATTGTTTTTGACGTGTACTTAGTGCTCAGGTCCGTTCACCTACAATGGCGTAAGAGTAGCCGAACGGTACTATACTTCGGCACCAAGAGAGTTTGTTGGTGCAATGACTTGAAGCTGACTATGGGTCTTCAGCCAGCCGTTTTACAGGCCAAGGGTCGTGATTTGAAGGTGGACATGGGTAATGAGCCAATGAATAGACCTGTGCTGGTCGACAGACGGTAGCCTCTTCATGCTAGGGAGGCGAATGCAAGAATGATATTCGATTTGCGAATGACCTCGCACGCAAGGCAGGCAATTTTCCAGAGAATAGATCGGAGCTGGTCATGCTTAACGAGAGAGCATATGGTTGAGTAGATGGACCGCGCATTAACGATCTTCCCCGCGCGTCCCAACGTGATATGTACATGCGCACGTCCGGTATAGCCATGCACAAGTATTCGGATGCATTGATGGATATTCTTGAGCAGTTCCGCTTCCTGGATCTCCGCACTTTTCCATGATCCATCCTCCTCAATCGACTGGGCCATGAATACGAACTCTCTCTTAAACACGCTGCCGGCGGCAAGATACCCATCCCCGACAACCTGAAATACGTATCAGCAGCGCACTGCATGTCTATGAAACCATGAACTCACGTGGACCCAAACTCTGCCGCCGCTTGAACAAGGTCTTGTATGACTATGTGAGCGAGGAGACAGATGAGGTTGCGGCGCGTCGGGGGTACCGGACATGGTGCACACCTCTACGCGCGGGAGCACTGTGGCCAGCGGGGCCATTATCGCCAATAATTCCGCGTTGGATCGCGGGGGTTACCCAAAAGACCCAGGCAGGCCGTAGTACCATAAATCTTGGGCCATTTCCGCTTCAATCTTGTTCACGTCTTTCAGTGCACTACCTTCGATCGACCTTGTGACCGTTTGTAGCTGGGCAGATGACCTTCCGTCCGTGATGTGGTTCTGCAATCCATCAGTCGTCACGACTGCCCTTATAAGCCCGACAGAATGAGAGATGTTGAATCATGCCAACACTCGTCAAGTTTGCGCATGCTATGGCTCCGGACCCTGGATGAGAGCCGAGACCGACGAGCATACTTATAGGCAGGCACGGGCGGTCGCGGATGGATCCAATCGGGCAGGGCTTCAGCAAATCAAAGGACCCGCCTTGGTACGTCCACGGTCGTGATCATGTTCGTTGCTGTGTCCTTGAGCACCTTGAAGTGCCGCGTCAAGCACAGGAAGGGAAGGTTCGAGGCGAGTTAGTTTCCGCCGCTGGTCTTACGCGCCTGCTGGCGCGAGCCGGTATGAAGACCTGGGGTTCTCCCATGTTTTATAACGACGACGGTTACGTGGCACTGCATGAGGGCCAGAGGCGAAGCGATAGATAAATACTGCGACAGTATGTGGATGCTGCTTGGACCGACGTCCTGTAACAATAGACGGCGGCATGGGTCTTGTGATATTGTAGCGGACCAGATTCCGAGCGCGCTGAGCGCTGATAGGTAACAAGGAGCTTCCAGCTGGGGCGCCAACATGAAAACGAGCACTGGGTCGCAGCCGCACTTGTGGTGGCGGTTGAAGGCAAAGCTGTAGCCGATATCTATGCATCAGCTCAGCTCTCATCTCCCGCCATGACCCAAGCAACAGTCCTGCAATACGAAGCGCCATGTACGAGATTTTGTAGGATACGCCCAGCTAAACGTTAAGGACCTGCTACAGGGCCCGTTTACGGCCTGGACTGGTGCAAGTCCCCAGCGCCCGGCCAACAACACCGCCCACGGTCGTCCTACCGCCTCGGCATCTCCTCCTACACCGAAGATTACCGGAACCGGATCGCTGTCGTCGGGCTCCAGGACGAGCGAGTGCTGGTTGAGGACGATTACGCTGATTACGCCGACTTCGCGACCCTCGTCGAGGTCCCGCACGGGTACCCCGCCACGAGCCTGCAGTGGCAGCCCGCGTCGGCGGCGAGCTACGCGTGGAACCAGAAATCGCCGTCGACAGAGTTCTTGGCTACGACGGGCGATGCTCTGAGAGTATGGGAGTACACGTCTGATATGCCGCCCGCGATGGGGGCGTATGTGGGGAAGCCGACGGGTGGTAGCGGACACCGGTTGACGCTGAAGACGGCGCTATCTGGGGTATGTCGTACCAATCATGCGCGGGGTCTGGTCTGACTTGCGTGCGGCTCTAGCAATCCAAGATGCAAAATCAGACGACTGGCGCCCCGTTAACCAACTTTTCGTGGAACGAGAAACAACCATGCTTGATCGTGACCGCATCCGTCGACACGACGTGTACCGTCTGGAACATCGACACGTCCCAGGCGATCACGCAACTCATCGCCCATGACCGCGAGGTGTACGACGTGGCCTGGCTACCAGGCTCTACAGACATCTTCGTCTCTGTCGGCGCCGATGGTAGTCTGCGCGCGTTCGACCTCCGAAGTTTGGAACATTCTACCATTCTCTATGAAACGCCTGCCCCCAAGAATCCGTCCATGACCGCGTCTCCGTCAGGATCTGCGCGTCCACTGACGTCTCCTTTGCTACGGATATGCTTCAACCCTGCTGACTCGAATTACATGGCGACATTCCATTCGGATGGTGCCGACGTCCAGATACTGGACATGCGAAATCCTGGACAACCCGTTATGGAACTGCGGGGGCATCGGGCGCCCCTGAACGCGCTCAGCTGGGGTTCAGCGGAGAACCCGCTGCTCGCAACGGCGGGTACGTTCCATCCACAACGACCTCCGTTACGGACGCCGTAAACTGATCCGCGCCACCGTAGGGGACGACTGCCAGCTTCTGCTATGGGATCTTTCCGGCCATGCACAGCTTCCTAGTCAATCACCCCGGCACGCGAGCTCCAGGCTCAATTCGCCGCGACCAGAGACGAAGAAGCGGGTGATCACAGATCCAGTCATGACCTACACGGGTCAGAGCGAGATTTCGAGCATCGCGTGGTCGCCGCAGATCCCGGGTATGTCGATGAATACGGGACAGACCACGGCGCCAGGCGAGTGGATGGCGGTGGCGATGGGCAAGACGATCAAGGCGCTGAAGGTGTAGGCTCAGTGCGGGGATACTCGTCGATTCTGGGAGGGTACGTAAAGCTTGAACCTTGCAGAAGCATGACCATCTGATGTTTAGCTCCGCAGAACGGGGGCATCATGCGGGTTCATACGAAGACGGTGCACGCGGAGACCGACTTGCTTCGCCGTCTTCTCCGGGGCAGCGCCGTCGGAGGTTTGTTGCTAATTGGGGCATTGCGTATGGTTGGATTATTTCTGGCGCGAAGTCGGTGGTCTGGCCCGGGTCTGGTTCACTCGGAGCCCGATACTGGGATGTTTGAGATCTGCTGCAGTGCTTATCCGGACCTGCGCCTCCGGGCCTCAGCGCGAGGAACAATCAGGGAAAAGCTTTCGCCAAGCGACAGGGCGTCGTGTGCGCATTTCTGTGCCCTCCCCCGATAAGAGGACTGAGGGCGCTACCGCGTACAGTACATTCGAATTCTTTCGTGCGGCTAACGTACGAGAAATTGATGGACCATCCGTTGACGGATGTTTGATGGCTCATCTGAGCGATTCGCGATGTGTACGCGGTTGTGAGAGCGACAGTCTCCGGGGATGGGAAGGGGATGGGAGCAACGATACGGACGTGCGCCAAGAAAAGTGATGGGCCCGCATGGAACCAGTCGAGCTGGCGCGGGTGGCGCTGCTGCTGATTGCGCTCCGCCTTTTTTATATCAATTCGACGCTTCCGCCGTCGGGCTTCAGAGCACCTCTTGCCCTCCCCCGGTGAACCACCTGGTCCCTCCGCCGGCTCACTCTCGTCACTCTCAAGCACGATGAGCGCCCCCGCCCCCGCCCCCGCCCCGGAATACGTCGCGCCCGCCGCCGGTGAGGCCGTACAACGCAAGGCCTCCCGGTCCTCGTCCAGCGGTTACGACGATAAGGAGAAACAGGTCCCCCAGACCGAAGCCGAGATCCACGACGCACGCGTCAACGAGGATGAGGAGGAGGTCGAGGAGGCGCGCAGCAGGCGGCACGAGCTCTACCAGAAGTTCCGCCCGGTCATCTTGGGTGCACTCGCTGCCTTGATCCTGGGCTGGTGGATCTCTGCTACTGTTCTGAAGGCGACCCGCCATCGCTGGTACGTCAGTGCTCCCTGGAACGAAAATAACGCTCATCTCCGCGTGTTCCAGGATTGTGCAAACCTTGTTCTCGTGGTTCTTCATCCTCGTTATCGCCTTCCGCTTCATACCGACGACTGTTATCTCTCGTCCGATTGAGGCTGTGTGGCAGCCCTTGGTCTCTCGTCCGTTCTTCCAGCTCCCCCGTCAGGTCCGCTACGGGCTGGGTTGGCTCGCCCTCATCGCCATCGTCTTCGGATCGGCCTTCGGGTTCAAGCTCGAGCATGGTTCGACCTATGCCGACCGTGGTATCTCCGTCGTGGGCCTCATCATCTTCCAACTCGGCTTTTTCGCGGCATCAAAGAACCATAAGGCGATTCCCTGGTCGGTAGCACGTCGCACGGCCGTCTATTCTTGAGCTGACACAGCACAGGGCTACTGTCATCGTGGGACTGTTCATCCAACAGGCCGTGGCGATGTTCGTGCTCAAGACCGACGCCGGTTTCTCGATCTTCAAGTGGATCGCGACGCTTGCCTCGGACTTCCTCGCGGAATCCGCAGTTGGTGCCGCCTTCTTCTTCGACGATGAGACTATCGCCAAGCACTGGTTCTTCGTTAACACCGTAAGAAATCCATTATCCATCAGACATGTATCTTCGCTGATAGTCATTGCTCCTTGTAGCTTGCGGCCATCATATTTTTCATCGCTTTCGTGCAGATGATGTACTACTTGGGTGTCATGCAGTGGTTGATCAAGAACTTCGCGTGGTTCTTCTTCAAGACCATGAACGTATCCGGTGCTGAAGCCGTCGTCGCTGCTGGCTCGCCCTGGATCGGTCAGGGTGAATCCGCCTGCTTGGTCAAGCCCTATGTCGATGTCATGACCGAGTCCGAGATCCACCTTGTCATGACGTCCGGTAAGCCCTCGTTGAGACGATGGTCGAGACCCACAGTGATGCTGCCTCCAAGGTTTCTCGACGATCGCCGGTTCCGTGCTGTCGGCGTACATCGCGCTCGGCGTCCCGGCGTCCAACTTGGTCACTTCGTCCGTGATGAGTATCCCCGCGTCCATCGCCATTTCGAAGATGCGCCTCCCCGAAGTCGACGAGCCGGTGACCCGCGGCCGCGTCGTCGTTGACCGTGGCGCCGAGGACAAGAAGGGCAAGCCCGCCAATGCTATCCACGCCTTCTCGCAGGGTGCCGTCTTCGGTGTTATCGTCGCTGGCCAGATCTTGTACGCATTAGCTACACGAGTGGATTGATTCTCTGGCTGACGCACAATACTTCGCGCAGGTGCAACGTGCTCACGATTTTGTCACTCGTTGCCACCATCAACGGCCTCCTCACCTGGATCGGTCGCGGCTTCGGCATCCACCATCTCACCCTCCAGCTTGTCCTCGGATACATCTTCTACCCGGTCACCTTCTTCCTTGGTGTACCTCGCCATGAGATCATCCGCGTCTCGCAGCTCATTGCCACCAAGCTCATCGCGAACGAGTTCGCTGCTTATCTCGGTACGTGACTCTCGTCGAGTTTGCGCCATTTCTCACGCTTTCTGGCTCGCCCAGACCTCACCACGATCCAGGCGGGTGACAACCCGCTCTCGCATCGCGGATTCACGATCGCCTCCTACGCGCTTTGCGGGTTCGCCAACCTCGGTTCGCTCGGTATCCAGATCGGCGTGCTCAGCGCGCTTGCGCCCTCGCGGGGCAAGATCATCGCGCGGATCGCCGGTTCGGCCATGATCTGCGGTTTCATCTCGACCCTGCAGACCGCTGGCATCGCCGGCATGTTGGTGTAAGCTCTCTCCTCGGTAAAGTATGTAATCACCTATTTCTTGCTGTGTGCGCGTCCTTGGTATGAATAATGGTTGTTCGGTTGGGAGATGTACCACCGCCTGTATCGATGCTATACGATCCAAAATGATTAGACGTCCTTCCATCTCATACCAAATGTGAGGACCTTACTTAAAGTTGAGGACACCGACGTCCCATCATTCCTGGGCGGGAAGATTGCTTGACTGCGAGAAGTCGATCAGTACTCGCCGGAGAGTCGCCACGCCACGCCGCGTCTGATGGCATTCGAGCGGGTTCAAGACGCTAGGGGAGCGCCCGAGGCCGCGCATACACATAACATATATACGAGCCGAACATTATGATGCGATCGGACGAATGTGCACGCCGCATTGCGTGATATCAAAATGGTCGTGAAAGGCGTCATATCCTCATCATCTACGAATACAAGGGGAAATTATTACTGTATAATATGATACAATGAGGGACAACATCAACGTCAAACTAAGGTAAATGTGTCATATAGAGGGCGTGGTAACACGATGATATTACACCACCGGCTCCTTCTCCTTCTCGCTCTCCGAGTGCCTACGTTGAGTAGCGGCCTTGATGTCAAAGCCGTAGATATCTTCGGGGTGTACATCCCGGCGTAAAATGTATCGCTATGAACGAACGTTAGAGTTGGTGAGAGGATTGAAAGGGGTGAAACGTACTTCAATGACGTATGGGATTTGGCGCAAGCCATACGCGGCGTGAGTCCGCGATGGCACAGAGAACACGGCGTCCAGTTCCTCAAGCGTCAGCGACTTGGTCTCGGGCACGAACATCAGGATCAATACTAAGCGAAGATGTCAGCGTCTTGTATTGGAATTGCTGAAAGAATAACACTGACGCCAGAGGATCATGCACCACGCCGCATACCAGCCGAATGCACCTTGAGGCTTGAACGCCTTCAGCAGCAGCGGCCACGTGAAAGAGAGGATGAAGTTGAATCCCCAGCACACGGCCGTCGCGAAGGACATGCCGAGCTCACGAACGTAGAGCGGGAACGCTTCGGCCGAATACGTGAACGGCACGGGTCCTTCGCCAGGCGAATAGCAGATCGTGAACATGTAGATGCCGATGGCGACGACGGCAACGCGGCCCGTGGACGTATCTCCAGGGATCCAGAAGGCAAAGCCGGTCATGAGCAGGAAGAGCGACATGAGAGGGAAGGTGACCAGGAGAAGGTTGCGACGGCCGAAGCGGTCGATGGTGAGGAAGCCGGGGAAGGCGAACAAGAAGTTGAGGGCGCCGAAGCCGACGGAGGCTGCGAGGGCGGAGGTGTTTGAGAAGCCGGCGTTCGAGAAGACGGTGGAGGAGTAGTACGCGATGACGTTGATACCGCAGAACTGCTGGCCGAACATGACGATGAAGGCCGCGAGGGAGGCACGACGGTTACGGGGGACGGTGAAGAGCTCGAGCACGCGGAAGCGGCCGGTCTCGATCGCCTTCTCCATCTCGAGCAAGGCCTGGATATGGAAGAGATCCCGGGCAGCGAGGATCTTGTGGTTCCGGAGGCGGAGGAGGGACTCGTACGCTTGGCGATAGCGGCCCTTGGACAGCAGCCAACGGGGCGACTCCGGGCAGAAGAACACCTGGATAAGCAGGACGAGGGCAGGTATTCCGGCCGAGCCAAGCCTGAACGCGATTGGTGTCAGCCGAGTACCTTCGATAGCGGCGGGAATATACGCACATGAGTCTCCACCTCAATCCGGTGATGTTGTGGCGATCGTGAACGGGGTAGAACGCCAGGTCCATGACGTTGCCCATCATGATACCGAACGCCGTCCAGACTTGCCATTGCATGACCAAAGCGCCACGGATGCGCGCCGGGGCACACTCCGCGGCGTAGACCGGGACCGTGGCACTCTTAGGACCGATACCAAGACCGAGGACGAACCGGGCGGCCCATAGATGGGGCCACGAATTGGTAACACCTTGCCAAATGCAGGTGAGGAAGGAGAGCGTGGCGGTGATGAAGACGGCTCCGCGGCGGCCGAAACGTCGGTTAAGAGGATCGGTCAGCCAACAGCCCAGTACGGCACAGCAAAGGTAGGGCGCAGAGTTGATAACTAGGACGACGATGGATGAGCATCGAGCAATGCGCGTTAGCGTGGACGGGACACTCACATCCAACAATGAGAGAGTCGTGAGTGCTTCCGGAGCCGACGCCAAACTGCTTGGGGTAGAACAGCTGAGCGCCGTTGATCACGGACTCGTCCATCTGAGACAAGAGTAAGTCAATGACGTGACCACCATCGGGGAACATACAACGTACACCCTGCACGGCGGCGGCAACAGAGCATAATACGATCATATAGTATAGCATGAAAGGCTGCTTCCACTCTGAGATTGGACGTGAGATTGCAAAATTAACTGATAGCGATTCGGAAGCCTACTGTGATCGCGGTCGACCCGGAGAGCCTCGCGCTCATCTTCGGTGAGGAATTCATATCTTTCGTAACGGGCAGAGTCCTGGGCGAGGATGGCGCCCTTGCGGACGTCGTCCTCGATATCCTTGAGATCGTGCTCGCGGCAGAAGGTCTCTGCCATGGTCCGGAGCTCATCGTGGGTGAAGCCGAAGAGGGGGTTTTCGAGACGCGCGTTGACGTTCTCCTGCGAGCTGGGGCGGGCGTGCTCGAACTGGCCCTCGACGGTGGCCTTTTCGAGCTGGGTCGGGGCGGGCTGCTTGGTTGAACTGCTTGCGGATGCCATGGCTCGTGGGGGATGCGGGGAAACGCGCGCGCACACGGCCCGGACTTCTGGCTGGGCATTTTATAGCCCATCGTCTCTGCAAATTCTCTGAGACCCTGGAATCGAAGGTGAAGACGACCAAGGTGGGGCTCCATTATCCATACGCTGCCGACTGCTGTGCCTGATCCGGGGTGGCTTCGGTGACGTCAGCCGCACTGCTCGCCCTGCGCTTCGTCGCAGCCGCTGCTCGCGCTCGGCGCCGGCGCGAGAACGAGCCAGCAGAACGCACTCCAATGCCATAACCCCGTCCCATAGCTGGCGCAAAACCTTCGGGTCGAGCGCATTCGCCTCTGCCCTTGGCTGGCGTTATCAGCCTATCGCTTCGCTCGGAGCGAACGCCGCACCCTTGGGAGGAAAACAGAGCCAACGCAGTCATCGGCATCCCGCCCCCCCGACGTCGGTATCCGAAATCGTCTCTGCGAACCACATCGGACCCCGGACCGGCCCCCGGGTGAATATTTTAGGCCCCTTCCCCAGTCCCCGCCCCACACCTCCCGCACCAGTTTTATGTGTGACGATCACGGGCTAAACGGTTCATGATGCTCCGATATCGTAGTTCCTCATCGCGGGCATCGTTGCGCACTCATCGATGATTCTTGCGGCCTTAGGATCAGAGCGTAAACTCTGCGAATCAGCTTCGTAGCCCCAATTACGATACAGGCGGAATCTATTTCCACGGGGGTGGGATTCGACGATGATACCACCAGCATGTGAACACCGGAATTTGTATATGCCAAGCGCTAAGCGCTGGCATAGGAGGTTTGCCATGAACGGTAGTATATCGGGAGCCCATCTACCAGTCCAGCCTTCCTCTGTCGCCATTCGAGCAAACTTCGTGCAAGATAAGGGCGGATGAGCGAGGTGGTTGCGATAGCTTCCTCGAATGCTGATGGGCGATTGGGCATGAGCTGACGGACGATAAGAGCTCCAGGGTCCGCTCACCGTTCGACGGCTTGATATACTCGTACGACCCCTTCGCGCCCGCGACGCGCACGAGGTTGTAGAGCAGGTCGTCCACCGACTCGCTCTGTTCGTTCACGGCGTCGATTGCCTTGCCCGCGACGACGCCCGCCTTCTCCGCCGCGAGCACGTACAACTCCGCGAGGTCATCCACGTGCACGACGGCGTATCGTCCGCCCGGGGTGCCGAACCACTTCACCTCGCCCTTGGCCGCGTTGGCGAACAGCATGCCCGTGATCGACCCAGAGCGGCCGTACACCAGCCCGGGACGGATAACGATCCCGTCGAAGGCGCGCTCGGCGAGCACGCGCTGCTCCTGCTGCACGCGCCATGCGACGAGCGACGCGGGCCGCGTGCACGCCGTCGCGTCCGAGACCGTCTCCGTGCGGTTGTCGCCGTGCACCCAGGTGCCGGACGTGTAGATGTACGCAAGCCGGCCTGCGAGCGGGGATCGCAGCGCCTCGGCGGCAGACGCGACGGCGGCGCGGATGGTCTCAGACAACGTAGCGATGGAGGAGCCGCCGACGGCGTCGATGATGACATCCAACGTGGCGATCTCTTTCAGCCAGAGTTCCGGCTGGCCGTAGTCGGCGACGACGGGGAGGACTGTGGGCGGGCGAGCGACATCGTCAGCGTCCTGAATCGCGACAGCGTAAGCGACGACTTTGCTTACTCTCCTCTTCGGCCAGTTTCTTGGCGTTCTTCTCTGAGCGCGTCACGCCGTAGACGACGTGGCCAGCGCGCACTAGCGCCTGAGAGATAGGGAGGCCGATAAACCCAGACGCTCTGTGATGAGCTGAAGTCAGCCTGTCGGCCACGCGGGCAGGCGAACTGGATCGCTCACCCTAGTACAAGCACCTTCATGGTATCAACGATGGAAACTCGGGATTCAGTTGCGCCCCGGGTCTTATGTTCGTGGTCAAATGCTGCTCAAGTGGGACCACGATCTGGTCCTCTTATACCGAGTCCCCATCTCCCCGTCCTGGCCATTCGATCCCTGGGTGGTAGCCGAAACCTAGGAGGCCATTGGATTGACTGAGCAGGCTTATGCGAGATGTGGGTATATAAAGCAGTAACGTGGGTCTAAAAGGACGAAGCCGGGATCAGCGAGCAAGTATACATGGCCTCTGGAAGTACGGCGCCGTCGGAGGTGCCAGTGGATGATCATGCGAAGGTGGGTCGTCTTTGGCAAAGGCGAACTTGAGAATGGGGATATTGTAGCTCTGCGGATTTCTTCGTTCGGAGTGAGCACACGTTGACGAGGCGCATCTCATGAGTGTACCCTCATCAAACCTCCCGGAAAGGCAATTGACCATCGGACGCTCGCGCGCATTGTACGTCGCGCAACTTGCAGTCGAATTTGTGGCCTTCCCCTCGCGGTTAATGTACTCATGTACGAGTCCAATCGTCAGACAGTTGTAGACCGCTGGTGTATCTTACCCATATTTAGCCATGAGCCCACGGTCAGAATTGTGGAGACTTCGTTGACAGCGTCCGGGGTTAAATAGACCAGATTTGCAGCTGGTATTTTCTGAAATCGTGGTATCTCCCACGCTCAGGTTAGTATTTTTCTTTGTCTCACCTCCACGCTTGATGGCCTTCGGGAGGCACCGCACGCCATACCCCGCCCCTGCTATTCGTTGCAACAATCGACAGAGCCCACCTACGGTCGTCTTGAAGGTACTCAGGAAACAACGGCAGAATGAAAAGTCGGCAATGAGCATACCGAGCCTAAGCCAGACACTGTCTATGCGTGAGATACTGTGGAGCATAATACACGCTGATCTATGACAAAGATCGTAGTATATACCAGTTGCAAATCTGGTCTAATTGGTATACTACAGCTTACATAGGCTGACGGAACCCCGTCGCGAGCGGAGAATTTTTCGTTTTGTAGCATGCATTCATAACCCCGCATGTATGCACAGCCCCCGGCTGTGACATGCTATCAAGGATCGGACTGCATGTAATGTGGGTCCTGGGATGAGACATCGTGACGGCGAATGATATTACCGCGTTGAACCCCACACCCATCTCAATGTGCTTCCCGTATCACTAGCAATGTCTTATTTCAAGTCGCACATATAGCAGATGGCAGCAACGCTTGACGACAGGCGAAAATACAGGTTAAGAGGAAGTACAATACAGGGCACGGGGCATGAGCGCAACAGACGAGCAGACTACCTACGCCCAAGTTTTGGAGAAGCGACGAGACCACGGGCCGGTTCGGGTGAGGTCAATGACTACGGAGCATGGCGGAGAGAGAGTAATACGTGCAGGCGGCTGTCGATAGTGCTGATGAAGGTTGAGCCTGCTGGTGGAGGGGCGGTTTGAGGGTTCGGTAATCGGCAGAATCGAGCTAGCGAGACTTCAGTAGCACCAGATCAGCCAATAAGGAAGATGATAAAGCGACGGGAGAGTATATGAGTAAATAAAAAGCGGCGATGAATACACGAGATGCGAGGCGTCAGTCCATGAGTCAGAAATATTGCACGTGTCGACAGTAGAGAGTCGGTAGTGGAGAGATAGAAAGGATTGTTGCAAAAGGGATGAAGCCGAAGATGTTGATACCGGGGGTCGCGAGGGCTTGTTGATCTAGTCGGTGTCAATCATGGTGATAGCGCCGCATTGTTCACAGTGACTCCACATCGTTCGTCGTCCGCCGGGGCCGCTCTCGCATGCTACGCGCAGTTTCGGGATTTGGGTGCAGTTAAATCTGGACATACAAAGTGAGCGGCATTCTCGACAACGCATATACGCAGCGTCGGGCAACACTAACCCGGCGTGATGGAGTTTTGGTGCATCACAGGCTGGCTGAATGAGTCCGACGGACTGCTCGGCGACCGCGGAAACTTGGCCGTTGTTGTCGGACGGGAATGGGTAGATCTCCAGCGCTGGGTAAGACGCAACTACGCGTATGATTTAATGCGTTCTAGCGCTGGCATACGCGTCGTAATACTAACCTGGACTAGGGGAGCTCGATGCCGAGGACCACGAAGAGGCGGACGACAAATGCGTAGGGCGCGCATGCGAGGGGATGAGGTCGAAGTCAGACGATACGTCAGACATAGCAACGTCAGTATCAGTGTCGTATGTTGGGAACGGTACGAGCTTCAAGACTTTAGCGCTCTGTGAAACGGCATGAGTGCGACACGGACAGCCAGCAAGGGTGTACATACGGGAGCATCGTCGAATTCAGTGGACATTTTGCGCTTAAGACCCATGGCGAGGTAGTATGGGATAGGGGACGGGATGATGTATGTTCTTGGTCGGGAGAGGCAGAAGCAACTTTGGGGGGCTGGCCAAGTGACCGGGGACGGTGTGTAACTTATACAGATCGTGTTTGCGTTTATTTGCCCGAGGCCAGAATACTTGGAATTCCCATGCCGTTCATCGCCGATTGGCTGGAGAGAGGGTGCCTCAGTTTCTGGTCTGGATCGTTTCCGCGGGTTTCAGCGATTTGATATGACGCTTTTCAGGAGAATTCCCATGATCCCGTGACAAGAAGCGCATTTGTCGCTTTTGGACAGTTGCCTAATCCGTTCCACCGCCACCGGCGCGCGTTGCGCTTTGACCGGCCCTCGACGCATCGCCGACGCCCACCATGGATCCCGGTGACATACATCTACCGGCCTTTCTCGACCCTGCCCTCGAATGGCTGTCGCAGAAGATCCCCCCGCCGCTGTACAACCTGCTGCTTGATCTTGCGGCGCACTCGCTTGCCATCCTCACCTCAGTCTTCAACCTCGTGCGGCTCCTCGCATCGTCCTCGCCGTCGCAATGGGACGCACAGACCATCTTACCCCCACTCATCAGCCTGCTGGCGGCATACCTCGCCATATTAAGCATCTATCGAACTACGAGCTGGATGTTTAGGACGGGGGTCTTCTTCGTCAAATGGGGAACCATACTTGCAGCACTTGCGGCAGGAGCAGGATATTTCTATGGCGCTCAAGGGCCAAATGGAGACGGAACGGCCGGAGGAGGGGTCGGCCGAGGCATAATAGGCACTCTTAGTCGGTGGGCATTGGATACCATGAATGGTCAGGGCCAGAATGCCGCTGGCGGGCGTCGATATTCTCAGCACGCGCCTCGACCACGCGCATGGGAGAACTGGGACGCGCACCGCGAGTGGCAGTACGAAGAAGACCGTTTTCACGACGACGATGGGGAAGACGGCAGCGAGGTGACGGAAACTGCGAAGCAGGTCATTGGCCAGATCCTGGGCTTCGCGAGTCGGACGGTCAGGGAGGCTGGGTGGTGGGAGGCCATAGCCGGTGTGATGCAGGCACCCGCAGATGGTGCGGACGACAACGTTGGAGGCCAGGACAGAACAAGCTCCACGGACAGAAGGAAACAGCCTTCTAGGAAGGCGAAGGAGAAGAGTAGAACGAGGACCTCAAGGCGCGAGGCAAGGTGACCTCCGTTCGGTCCTTGTCGGAGCCCGTCTCTATAACCGGTCTTTTTCTCTATTGATTTGCGCCGTCGAGTGAGAACGGTTCACGATTAGACATGATATTACGTTGCAGCGGAGGACGAGTATAAACTACGCGGTAATCGACTTGTTCTTCTGGAAGAAATCTACGACGGGATCTGATCCGTCCTGGCGGAACCTATAACACATAAATCAGTATCACGCTGTCGATATCGCGAATGTGGAGACCGGCAACAAAGGACCTAGCAAGGGTGAAAGGTGGAGAAAACGAGGCTCACTTCGCAACCCTCGCCAGTTGCCCCAAACCAGTCATACCAACAAAGAAGTTAACCTGGATATCGAATGAGATCTTCCACGTCAGAAACAGAGCAAAGGAGGCGTACCGCAGCCAAGCTGTAGTTCACTGGCGTAATTACCATGGAGTATCGCACCCAGATAAACCCAGTCGCCGTGAGGGCTAACAGAATAGAGGGCAGACACCGAAGTGGGACACCAGATCACGAATCAAGTAGCCAGTACGACAAAGAGGAACGGACATACCGATGTTCTGCGACACAGAGAGCTTCTCCGCGGGACGAGTCAAGTCCTTGACTCCTGCGGCGACCAAACACCATTTCATCATCGGCGCCCAGAAGAATACAGTCTTAGGGCCTTTTCATCCCGGAAGGCAACGTAACGAGGCATCCATGACAACATTTCAGCGTCCGCATAGAGGGTATGTCGCACATTCTTCTATTAGCATTCGTACCAGCACATCTTTCGGCAAGACGCACCCGCTGGGTGGTTCATGAAGGCAGCAAACTTGCTGCCAGCCTGTGATGCTGCTGCTCCGGACATGGTGGCTTCAGAGGGTACAAGTTCGAGAATTCGAAAGGGATGAAGACCAAAGGAGGAATGGCCAAAGGACTGAGTGATTGGCGATGTGGTCTGCGTTATGTACGTGCGGGCGGAGAATGAAGTGCTCGCGTGACGCTGATTACGTTTCTCTGTCTGCCTCGGCATCCAACTCCATGCCACCATAAGTACGCTCAAGCTTGTTCTCATCATGACCGATAGATTCAGTATAACTACCGCCTAATGGCTATTGCTGCATTGATGAAGATGATGGGTACTTAACATACACAGTTGTTAAACAGCTCCGCTGCCGTGGCCCGTGAGCTACTATTGATCGCGTTCTCCATCATCTTCACCACCTCCTTCGCATAGCCCTCAGCATCTGCCGTGACGGTCTGCTGTGGGATACCCAAAGCATAGCTTGCACCCTTGGTTACCAGCGGTCGAATTTCTCGCAGCACCCACAAACAGTCGATCAAGCACCATCTGCAGCGTCACGAGTAAGCCGAGGGCAAGAGCTAATGGATCGTTCCTCTCACCTCGCTTCGCCTTTGGGACTTCGTATGAGTAAGACAGAATAGTATACGCATCCGAGCTTTGTGAGGAACTCGGTATCGCTTCGGACGAGCCGCAGAAGGTTGCTACGTTCAGCTGCTCCATAGTAATCATCGGGGGCACAATTGCAAATAGGATGGCGTCACTCCGAGCAGCATACCTTCAGGGATATCTATCACCTTACTTCCAGGAAGTACGTCTGTGACTCCGGAGTTGATACACACCTCAAGGTATGTCGTTGGCTTCAAATCGTACTCATCGTTATTGATGCCATACTTCAAGTTCTCCATGACTACATAATGGCTAGGCGATAACCTGGAGCGTCAAGGTGAAAATTGGTTAGCGGAAAGCATCCACATACGGACGTGTGACCGACGGACTTCAAGCAGTCTCCTAACCTCCTGTCAAAGGAGTAGAGAACATCCGTGATCCGATTCAACAACGTATCAGGATGCAACTGAACGTATTTGATGTACGCTTAGTATTCGCTTTAGTGGATGCAAGGTGCTTGCACGGAATCCCGCTGACCTGCTAAGAAATGCTGGTGCAAAAACCTATTCTCAAATGTCCTCTGGACGGACTTCATGAGATGATGCTGGTTCTCGGACGAGAAGAACATGGATCCAGATAGCCCCGACTGATCAGAAGCCGTCCAAAATTTAGACATGTGATGAACATTGTTGCATATCAGCTCCTTCATTTGTACAGTCTCGTTCGTCCATAAAGACACACTCACCTGCTGAGTATACTCTTGTTCATCGATGTTCCATCTCTCGCGGAGGCCTTGAAACAGCCGTGGAGCATCACGTCGTAGCTTCAAGTCATAAATATTGAGTATGCGAGCCCATACAGTGCGTCGTCTAGTACGGAGCGTTTCCTCGTCACAGCGATCGTGGACGATACGATTCAAAAATTAGCTGTATTCTACAACCTTCGCGGTGCCTTCTTCGTCGCCTATCGGATGAAGGCATTGTGCACGGCCCGGACCACTACGTCCTTCTGGTAATCGGCCGGACTGAACAGGTATAGTTGATGGAGAGCAACAAGGAGCACGAGATTCCCCAGGACCAGTTGGCAGTTGCCATGTCAGAACATCGCCGAGAATATGTGTGCTACGCAGCTCCATCTCTGTGAGCGAACGTCGCGAAGTAAAGAGAAACGCTTTCATGCAAATCGCCGGTACACGCATTGAGGATCGAACGAGTGACGTCATTGCGAATGACTGCAACCATACTTTTAATTTGCTTCCTGCAGATTGGTTAGGTGGTTTGCGGTGGGTAGATGCCAACGCAATGCAGCCCCCGATTCACGCGTCGTTCGATGCCATCAACCCCGCCTGACTTTTCAAGCTCGTGATAGGCTTGCTGGCACCCATATCACCGGCACCCCTTGTATGGTGATTAAGGTAGATAAGTTGAAATACAAAAGATCATCCATATATTCTTCACAGATTGCGAACTGCCGGTCTCGAGCTAGGAAACGCGGGAACAATTCTCGTTTTTGAGTTTCACGGCGAGGAGCCACGTCCAATGATATCCAGGGCATCGTCCGAAGACATCTCCAACAGATCCTCTCTCCTGAACCTCTTGAACTTCGGAGGAGAGTTCTGTTCGCGATCAACCAGGGGTCGCTTTACGGAGCCATTAAGTCGCAAGTGGGGGCGGGTTTGACGTTTGTGAGGCTCATCCTGGATAATGTTGGCACAGGGTGACGATGGAGCGAAACAATCCAGGTCGTCAGACGACGGGTACGAGGGTCGTTCGCTCAGTACCTCGCATGTAGTCTTGTTCCGTCGCGCTCCTCCACCCGAAGGCCTTTTGTTCGGCCGCTGCTCGTCGTTGTCGGATATATCGTGTCCTGCTTCATCCTCTGACGACACGGCGTCTTCGTCACTTGCTTCTGACCCAAATGATAGACAATTCGCATCCACGCCCACATCCTCTTCCAAATCAGCCGGGTGAACGGAAGGTCGCCGCGGTGTGTGTGCCGAGAACACGAGCTGCCGCCTCCGCCATGACTTCTTCGCGCTCAACGATGGCAGCTCCCGCTTGTCGAAGCGTGTCAGCGTAGCCTTAGCTGGCGTAACCAACGCGCGCTTCTGCGCTGCACGCGGGGACTTGCGGACCCAGGCGCCGACTAGCTCTTCCCACTCCCATTCCGTCTCGTCGTTACCCCGGGGACGAGGTGTGCCCTCGTCCGAGCACTTCACAGTATCGCGCGCTCCAAAGCATTGCTTTTCGGCTTCCTCCACCTCGTGTACCAACTCGTCACGGAGGCTCTCGATAGCACGCAAGCGCGCATGCACGATTACCCCGCCGAGCATTTCCACCTTCCAATCTCGCTCCAGGTGGCGTAGAGCGCAGGCCCAGAGTGAGGCCGCAAGTCGGTGTAAACCGTGCTTGACCAAGCTATTCGCTTGCCATCTGAGGGACCGCATGATGTACGCAGGTGACCGGTTTTTGAGGGAAGGTGAAGTCTGCGCATCGAGGCTTAACTCCGAGTAGGAGAGCGTCGCTGTATTGAGCGGGAAAAGGAGCAGAACGAGGTCGTTATATGTGGTCGGCATAATCTGCGATTCACGGAGTAAAGATATCAGTCCCCTCTTATCTTCAGGAACGAGGGTCGAGAAACGCGCAGAAGCGAGGCAGTATGTCGTCAGCGAAACAATGGTGTTCGGGAATTGTTGATCGTTGTCGTTATGCTCTTGAACATGGAGCTGCAAGGATCTAACGTGCTCTAAGAACTCCACCACGGACACGTAGTCTTCATTATACGTGCCCGAGTTGTCGCCGTGTTTGGACTCCGCGGAATGCAGCCGGTCGAACATATAGTCGAGCCACTTCATCAGGCGAGAGCGCATATCCTTCTCCAAACGTCCGACAGGTCTGTCCAAAAGGTGTAGTCTTGAAATCGTCTCAACAAGACCAGTGACCAGATGCCGTACGAAGGCGGGGAAGTCTCCCTTGTGTGTTTCCCGCGCATACCTGCGCATTGATTTGCTGGTCCACGCATACGGACCAGTAGAAGGGTCGCCGAGGACGGAGGAGAGGGAGGAAATGTAGGTAGATGCTGATAGACTAGGGGATGGATTGATTGTGACCCAGCGTTCGCGAAGATCCGAGAGGAAGGAGATGTGTGTAGGGTGACAAATAACTGGCTCACCAGACGACGAGTCCTTAAGAAGGGAGGAGAACATGGTGCGAAGAACGAGCTCCGATTGATGCCCGACTCCGAAGGAGAGACAGATATCTAAGAGCGCACTGAGGAGGGCAGGGTGATGAGGGCATATGTCCAAGATAATAGACAGAGCATGCGAGACCATCGTCCACCTGCAGCGTAGTATATCTCAGCTTATATCGGCGAGTATGATGAGTTCGCCCGTACCTGCGACAGTGTGCCGGTACCATATCGTACATTTCTTCGATGATCATGGCTTCCTCGTCATTATCGTTGAGATTCGATGTCTCCTCGCTCGTCTTTGAGTTCAGGAGCACCTCCTCCTGAATGGTCTCTCCGACGACGGTCGCGCATATCGCGGTGAGGCTTACCATACGGCCTGATGAGGAACCTTCGCTTCCGTACGCTGTCTGCAAAACATTCCGCCAACAGTCGCAAACCGCCTTGATCTTATTGGACATTTCGATGTTATAGGCAATGTCCCTTCCCTTCCCAATATTGTCTGCGAGCATCCTTTTGCGACGTCCGTATGTCGATAGAATAGTGGTCATTGGATCACTCATGGACGGTGCAGAGGACGCAAACTGCGCAAAGTGACCACATTTCATGCGTAGTGGTCGAAGAATGCGGCTGATTCGAGACGTCGTCAGATTTGCGCCTGAGGAGGACATCGTACTCAGTCCACGGAACGAGGGTGCCGAGGTGGAGAGGGACGTTCACACATAAGTGCGCCTTAGCTCCGTTTGACGGTTCGACCATCTGGAACAGTGAAGTTGGGCGCCTCAACCGCGTCAGTCACGTGAAAGCACTGCTCGACGCGTTTGCTGGCGGTCCGAGTTGCATCTACCCGCCATGGCTGCAAACTCGAAAGCGCCGTTGCCTATCACCGACACCCTACGAGACCTCGCTGTATTACGCGCTTCTGACATCGACTTGTCGTCATTATTGCCTCCACGACCCGAGTCGAATGGGACGGCGGTAGACAAGTCCGTTCTGGAGTCATACCAGTTTGTCAAGGAAGCCCGAGCGGCGCTTCGCATCCTCAATAGAGGCGACGTTGAAGCGCAGGGCGCAAAAGTGGAAGATCTGCGCGGGAAGCTTGAGGACATACTCAATGGTCTCAGTTCGACTTGATATACGCTGCATTTGTTTCCCGCGTATAATCTGCTGCGTGAGTTCGATCCAAGCTACAGAATTCTAGGATGATCCCCACAGTACAGGCGCAGTTCACAGTCCAGGCGCGGCTCTGGGGACCTTTGTTGACGGAACGGGCGGATCAGCAACGGTTAGGGGACCGGTAATCTGATTCCTTGACCCCTCAGGCTTCTAGCGGAGCCATATGCTCGCGTGCGTGATGTCATCACAGTGGAAGTTCGTACGTTGTGAACACGGCGCACACGCCCAAATCGGCGCGGTCATAAGTACAGAGACGCTGGAGACCACAGTGACATTTTCCACCTACCCGGTCAATGCGGAATTATTTGAGAACGCGGGATCATCCTGAATGGGTTTCGTGTACCGTAGACTAGTGTCGATTAGAGGCGACATAATCGTTGTTCCAGGAAGCGAGGGACAGGCCGCAAACACGAGGCGCAGTGGTAAGAAGGCCGATAAGCCTTCAACCGAGCCAAGACATAAGGACAGGCCGCAATTTGCTCATCGCCTCGCACTCGACGCCAACCACCTCTTCCTTTCCTTTTCCCGCTCCCGCCAGCGTACGAGGCGACGACGACGGCCGCGGCCATGACTTACGACCCGTATGCGCTGAGCGTAGCGCTGTTCGCACTCCGCATCCTCTCACCTACCGCCGTTCTGCTTGCGACTATCTTCATTCTCCCGGTCAAGGATACCGCTCCGCCGCTGTCGCAATCCGAGGTTACCGTCGTCGTCGCGCAGACGCGCACGCCGCGTCGGGCGCTCATCCTGTTCCTGCTCTCCCTTGCCTCACTCACATTTCTTCTCGATGGACTCACGTTTGTTGTATACGCCGTGATTTGGAAGACATGGCCGAGTTTCACTGGTATAGAGGTCAACGCGATTCTCGGGGTCATCGCGTACGCTGGTCTTGCCGCATATGGTGCCTTCAAGGACGTGAACGGCGTCGATGTTTGGTCCCAGAAGAAGTTACGGCTCGCTATAGTCCTTGCTTTGGCCTTGGACATTACGCAAGCATCTCTGTACGGTGTTTCTACCGACTTCAGAAACAGTGCGTGTTCAATCATGTCTCATCCTTATCGCGCATGTAGCTCACGCGGCTTTCAGGCGCCCCCAAGATCCCGGAAGTCCCGTTTGCAGTGTCTGTACCTGCCCTCCTCCATCTTATATTCCCTGTGTTCCGTGTTCTACTGCTTGTTCCACTCGCCTTTGCCCTCTACAACCCCCGCATATCATACGTGCCGATACCGCAAGATGAAGAAATGAGCAGCGACAGCCCTGCTGCCACTGCCTCGAGTTTACTCTTGCCACCCGAAGCTGGTGCGACGGCTTCCACTGGATTATCCCCTGTCGCTGGCAAGGATGGTTATGGAACCTTCCTCAATGGTACCCAGACCGCAGCTACTACTCGAACGAACACACCTGCCCCGTCTCAGATCAACTTACCGCCACCGAAGCCCAAGAGCAAGGTTGGCTGAGCTGCATATGTATGTCGAATTTGTTCTGATTCTTCTCTTCCGTGTCAGACTTCTGTCGAAAAGCAAGAGGTTGCGCTGGACCCGTCTTGGTCGGAGATTTACCGTCGGTTGAAGCGCATTTCGCCCTACTTGTGGCCCTCAAAAAGTCGGCCTCTTCAGATCCTTGCTGTACGCTCAGGACCGTTTTATCGCAGAAATCGAGTATATGCTTACTTCTGGTTTCAGGGCCTTTGCATCGTACTCTTGCTCATTGGCCGCTTCATCAACCTGTTCATCCCCCTTACTCTCGGAAAGCTCGTGAGCGTTCTGGAGGCCCAGGATGGCTCATCTCCATGGCCGTACCTGTTCTTCTACGTTGCGATGCGGTTCCTCCAAGGCAGCGGCGGCTTGCCTGCTGTGCGCGACACGCTCTGGGCACCTGTGATGCAGTACAGCGACCGGGAAATGTCACAACTCTCCTTCGACCATCTTCTCAACCTCTCCCTCGCGTTTCACACACGCCGCAAGACGGGCGAGGTCCTTCGCATTCTCGATCGAGGAGCCGCGATTAACCACACGTTCGAACTTCTGCTCTTCAACGTCTTTCCTACCGTCATCGATATTGTCGTGGCACTTGTGGTGTTCATCATCAAGTTCGAGTGGACCCTTGCGCTCGTCATTTTCATTGTGATGGCGGCGTATGCGGTCAGTAGCGTCGTGCTCACCAGGTGGCGAACGAAAATTCGTCGCCAGATGAACGAGAGGGATATCATTACGCGTGGCATACATACCGACTGCCTCCTGAACTATGAAACCGTGAAGTATTTCAACGGCGAAGAACACGAAGGAGAACGCTATCGAGAGGCGATCAAGGAATATCAGGCTTTGGAGTATAAGGTCATCGGTACGCAAATCAATCCTTACCCCAACGCTATCTTGCTGACCCCCTCGCTCGCAGTGTCCCTCAACCTCCTCAATCTTGTTCAAAACTTCATCATAGTAAGTTTTCCTATAGATGAAATCGTGATCGGCATCTGACACTATCTTCAGTCCCTCGGGTTGCTTCTCGGTTCGATGATTGTTGCCCTTCGGGTAACTCGCGGGCAATCGAAGCCCAGCGATTTCGTGATCTTCATCACGTATCTTGCACAACTTTACTCGCCCCTGAGCACACTGGGTTACATGTATCGATCGATCAACCAATCTTTGGTGGACACGGAAAAGCTGCTCAAGCTTTTGGCCGAGCCCACCGATGTGAATGACAAGCCGAATGCTCCGGATCTCGTGGTCAGCGCAGGGGAAATCGAGTTCGGTGGGTTAATTTGGCACCATATGATATAGGTACTGAATTCATCCGCGCCCATTAGATAATGTTAGCTTCTCGTACGATGGTCGCACTACCGCGCTCAACGGCGTGTCGTTCAAAGTGCCAAAGGGTTCATCCGTCGCCCTTGTTGGTGAGAGTGGATCCGGGAAGTCCACGATTCTTCGACTTCTGTACCGGTTCTATGACCTGCGGGAAGGGGATGGCCGTATCCTCATCGATGGTCAAGACATCCGCGAGGTTACTCAGTCCAGCTTGCGAAAGGCGATCGGTGTCGTGCCGCAGGATTCGGTGCTGTTCAACGCGAGCATCGAGTATAACATCGGCTACGGGAAATTCGGCGCTTCGAGGGAGGAGATCGAGGCGGCTGCTAAGGCTGCCCAAATGCATGACCGTATTATGACCTTCCCCGACGGATACGATACCAAGGTAGGCGAGCGCGGCGTCCGGTTGAGTGGAGGGGAGAAACAACGAGTGGCCATAGCACGTACGCTGCTCAAGAACCCTCCGATCCTGTTGCTCGACGAGGCGACAAGGTAAGCTCCGGACCTTTCTTATGGATTCGTGGGTTAACGTGCCGTTATTAGTGCTCTGGACACCTCGACGGAAAAGGACATTCAAAAGGCTCTGCAGAACCTCGTCAGGGGTCGATCCTCGCTTTCAATAGCTCACCGCTTATCGGTAAGTTCTTGAACACATCGGCCGTGCCAGGATAACATAAACTGATTCCCGATATGCGTAGACCATCGCTTCATCAGACCTGTAAGTTGATATGACCCGCTTGTGAATTGCGTGACTGATTCATTGCCTTTAGCATTCTCGTACTGAAAGATGGGCAAATCGTCGAACAAGGCAGCCATAGTGAATTGCTTGCCAAAGGCGGAATCTTCGCGTCCATGTGGGCCGACCAAATCGCAGCTTCCGAGGACCCTGCCGCGCGCACCGACCACGAGGAGGACAAGGAAGTTCCAGTAGCAGGTTACTCGGTAGACCCGCCCGAGGAGGGCGTTAAGCAGGAGGCATCGGCAGCCGATAAGGACGTCCCCGCCTCTGAACAGCCTTCTGTGGCGCCAGCGGCCTCGCATGTCGACGAAGAGGACAAGGCACCGGAAGGAGAAGCGGAGCCAAGTACCACCCCTGTTGCTCCCGAAGAGGCATCGGTGGCTGAGCCGGAGGTCAGCGCACCCATCGCGTTCCCCTCGTCGCCAGTCGAGGATGCCCCCGCAGAGATGGAGACCGCATCGGCCGAGGCACCACAACCGCAACGATCCGAAACGGCGGTAACTTTTCCCAGCGGAGATGATACGGCATCTGTACAGGCGCCTTCTCTTCCCACGTCGCCGGCACCGCTGCAGAGCCCCGGCGTGACTTTCGCAGCAGACTCGGAGACGACCCCGCGAAGCGGCACTCCTGATCCCAGCGCCGAACCCAAGCGCAAGCGCATCTCGTCGCAGAATTTCCAGCGCATGGCGAGGCGTATCTCCATCTCTGGACGGCGAACAGGATCTGGGTCCATCATCCCCAATCTTATCCCTGGCCTCAAACGCGAGGGTTCCGGTGTGAAGGACGACAATAACTCCCAGAAGGGAGAAGGCAACCTGAACCGGACCGACAGCCCCGCTGGCAGCGTCCAGCAAGAAGAGGGCAGCTCACAGAAGGACAAGAAAGACAAGAAGAAAGACAAGAAGGAGAGGAAGGAACAGAAGAAGAGGGGTACCATTGGTTGATCTCGTCGATGTTTCATCACTCCTGCCATTTACGACTGGAACGATTTGGGAACGACCCTCATGCATGCCACTTACCTTACTTATCCCGGCGCCCCCACTTCCCCTCGCATTACATTGCATTTCGCCTCTTCGATCGCATTTGTACACATTGGTTCTATAAACTGATCGCGGGAGTATTCACTGCGTTGAGCGTGAGCAGCGCTCGCACAGCCTGCAGGTGATCTGCGTTGACCCTGCCGTGACCACCCTCTTTTTTTTTGGGACCGAAGGCAGCTGGTCCGTGCGCGGCTAGGCCCCAAGCCCCGCCCATATATAAATGCCTCCACCGAGTCCACCATGGTCTAAAGCTCTTTCGACCCACAACTCTCTGTCCCGTTCTGAGGTTTCTGGTCCCAGTTCCGTTCCGTTTTTGTGATCTCGGGTTCTCTATTGTATCGTTATGTCTGCAAAAGTTTACGTCGGGTCAGTCATCGCACCGCAACATCCCTCGTCTCATCGCTCCCGTGGTTCTCTTGACCGAGGCTGCCCCCTGTCTGTCCTTGATCAAGTGTTCCGAGACTGATATGACTCGTATAGTAACTTGAGTTGGAATACGACGGACGAGAGTTTGCGCGCAGTTAGTTCCCTTGTCTCCGCATGAGCGTCTGCCCCAGGCGCTCATGTTTCGTGTTTGCTTTTGATCGTTGAACGTGTTGTGTTCTGCTTAGGCGTTCTCTCACTATGGTCAAATCCTCGATGTATGTACCCTGGGCTCCTGCAATCAAGAGGATTCGAGGTTACTTGCTTCCCGTGTTCCATGAGACTGACTGATGGCTAGTCTATCGTGATGCGTGACCGTGACACCGGCCGCTCCCGCGGCTTCGGGTTCGTGACCTTCAGCTCCAGTGCAGAGGCCGACAACGCCATCGCCAGCTTGAACGAGCAGGACCTCGACGGTCGTCGCATTCGTGTCAACTTGGCTAACGCCCGCGGCGCTGGTGGTGGAGGTGGAGGCGGAGGCGGAGGTTAGCACCCCGCTGTCTTCAGTTACGTTCATAATGTGATAATAACCCTGCAGGTTACGGCCGTGGTGGAGGCGGCTTCGGCGGTCAGGGTGGTGGATACGGCGGTGGAGGCTACGGCGGCGGAGGCTACAGTGGCGGCCAGGGTGGCGGCTACGGCGGCGGCGGCTACCAGCAGGGTGGTAGGTTGCTCATTGCCATTCGTGACATACAGACACTGAGATGTTTCGCTATAGGCTACGATCAGAGCGCCGGCGGCTACGGCGGCCAGAGTGGCGGCGGCTATGGCGGAGGAGGATACAGCCAGGGCTACTAAGAATGGTCAGTACACCCAGCATTCGACGAGGCAGCACTGACATTCCGCGCAGTTCACGTGTTTGGCGTGCATGTCCATGGGAGCCATACACCTATCCCCGTGCTCGGCCTAGGCGCCCTGTTTTCCGTTGTCTGTTGGTATCGCGTTTTTCTTTACGGCCGCTCATCCACACCAGCTCTCCGTCATCGCCCCTCCTTTCCGCGTCGTCGTCTCGTTATCGTCGTTCCCGTCCTCTTGGTCCGCGTTGCGTTACATGGTCTTTCGGTCTGATGATCACAATCGCTCTGTACTAGTACGATGTCGGCACGATTTCCCCTCTATCTCTCGTGGGTGGGTGTAGGTCTTTGTTACTCATGTATATCATCAATAAAATGTCCGTTATGCTTCTGCACCATATGGTTCGTGTCACTGTGGACCGTTCTAGTGCAGCGATGAAGCTGTCTGAATCAGCTCGGGGGGCTCAACGACGTGGTCGGTGTGTTTTTGCGAACAACTCTCATGCCGTCTACGAGCACAATGGGCGGTGTTAACGCATAGAAACCCGCTGGATGGGACCAACAAGGATAGGCTTTGATTCGAGCGAATACCCGAGCAGGTTAGGAGGCGGGCCGAGGCGTTCCCAATGTAAAACCTTGGATACCCGCCTCGCCGCGGGGGGGTTCGAACAAAAGAGCACTGCGTAGGACGATCTTACGAGATATGATCCGTCGAGACAAATGTAGAGCAAGGAAGATTTCTATGAGTACAGTGGGAAATGGCACCAAGGTGAAAGAGTCCGCGGGCCGGTGTTATCTACGGCTGGATTGCACGATCGGGAGAGGCATATGTACGAGACTGGCGCTCGGGGTCGAGACCTGCACGCGCGTCTTCCGCCCCGAAGAATAATATGCCCGTGGATGACCGTGGACGCAGATCGAAGCTGCACAAGAACCCATGTAGTGCCCTCTGAATGCTGCCCAATATCGAGGGGTGTCCTGAATTCAGTGCTCTGAGTCTCCGGGTGCGAACAGGCGATGAGAAAGTTGCACCTTTCCGTGCGGACATATGTAGCACCACGGGTGCTCCCAGATCTATAAAGTTGACACCATACGCGATATCGATCTGAAAACCGAACTCGTGCAGGAACAAGGGCGCGAAAGGAAGCATACCGCCGTCACCGCTCCAAGTCGAGTCGCGCACGGGGCGTCGCTGGCGATGGCCCTCGTCGCGCGCGCGTCCGCTCGGTTGAGGGCCTGCGCATGAATCGTAGACGAAGGATGGAAGTTGTGGCCGGCTTGCTGTGGCTGTCGAGCGCGCGCGTGTCACGCCGGTGTGGCTGATTGTAACGTGCCGGTTCTCCCGGAGGTCGACCGAGACCATCTTTCCTTTTCGAGCAAGCCGGCGCTGGCGCGCCGTTCCCCTTTTGATTATCATTCTACGACCACATGCTCCATCTGACGACGACGAGGGTATAAAGTCAAGCTACCTCGTCGTCTGGAGCTCACCTTTTGGTACCCTATTCTACCTTTACTCGAGTGCTCGAATACGAGATCTGTGACTCTCTGTTTTTGTGCCGCTCGAGAACTAACCGTGTGAACGCACCTTAGCCTTATCAGGCTTTGCTCGCGTCACATATTTTTGAGAGAAGATCTCAGTGAGTATTCTTTAGCCGCTCTTAGTCGCTTACTCCTTTGAATAGGTAACTACCTGGTCTGATCACCCAGGTACAACCTTACATCGGACGCGATGACTACGAGCAACCACAACCTCAAGTTATCGCATTATACCCTTGACATCATGCCGGTGTCTAGGGATGAGACGACGGGCCAGTGGGTCCGTCGTGACCGAAGGGCCGATGGCGTCGCTGACGCCGGACACCCATCGGATGCTTCTGCTGATGGACGGACCGGAGCGGCAGCTCGCGGTCCTCCTGATGTCCGTCTTCCGGTAGCGTCTGACCGTGTGTTGGACGTCGGAGGATCCCCGTTGATGGCTGATGCTCGCGCATCTGGCCTAGGGGCTGAATCGGGGGTGGGACAATGGTTCGATGTCCCTACCGATATGCAGATGCCGCGCGACGAGTCGCGTAGGGCGAATGCGCATGTAGGACGGGACCCTGGGGTGCTCAAGGCTGAGCCGCAGGGTCCGTTGCCTTTCAGATCCGGCGGGCTGTCGAGGGACGGCACCGGATCCTTGCTTCCCCATCGTCGTATGGTGGCGGCAGATGTTGCCTACAGGGTTGGTGCTGCGGCACCAACGCCTGATGATAGTTCTCCTGTGGCGGTCGGGCCTCGTGCACCGAACCCTGGAGGTAGTGTTGTTGCTCCTGTGGCGGTCGGGCCTCGTGCAGCGAACCCTGGAGCGCCTCTCGTGGCGGTCGAGCCTTGTGCGTCGAACCCGGAGGTTGAGTATCACGTTAGGAGACAAGGAGATGTCTCCGCTGAAGAGTGGCTGTCGCACAAAGGATCGCCGTGTGCCAGCACTGAACATGGTATGGGCTCGTCTTACCTGTCTAGTCGTATCCGTGTCAGCAATCCATCGGTGCTCGATGATCAGCCCATACCTGATGGTGCTGCATCAGAAGCACTATCGCGGCGCAGTGTCGAAGATGTTATAGCCCGCGCGCGTCAATGGACGGATGTCCGGGATCGTGAGCTGCGTAATGCAGAGCGTGCACTCTTCATGGAACAAGAGGCTCGTCGTGAAGCCGAACGACGTCTCTCTGACCTGGCAGCAAGTGTAGAGAAGCTCATCGAAGTCGTAGAATCGCAGTCCGCAGAGATTGCGGCCCTCAAGCAGGACCTTCGTGAGGGATCATCTCATAGTTCAGTGCGAGAACGTCTGCATGGAGTTTCATACGTCAAGGACGACGTGTTCACGAGCAATCAAGCTGTACCGGGCACGCTGAGGCAACGTGACGATGATGCTTGCTCGCAACGTCATGATACAAGTACGGCACGGCCGTTCGTGTTGGCATCAGGCAGGTCTGCCGAACGGAGGGCGCGTGCATCCGTAGCGCCGCCGTCGCAGTTCATATCACCGACGAGTTCGCTTGGTCAGACACTTGAGCGTAAGCTTAAGCAGCTGGAAGATGCTATGCTCACCATAGACAAAGCCGGAGCTGCCGTTGTGAGACCGAATGTCAAGCCTGAGCCCCCAAAGGCTTACGACGGGCGAGATGATCTAGACACCTTCCAGGTATACGTAGAACAGAGTGTCGAGTACCTGATCGATGGAATGATTAGCCGTCATCGACATGTGGCTAAAATCGGACACTTCCTCGAGGAGGAGGCCCAGCGATTCTTCAAACATGTCGTGAAGAAGCCTGAACAGTGGTCAGTCCGTCAATTCTTTGACGAACTGTTCAACTACTGCTTCCCCGACGGATTCCTGAATGCAATACGAGATCGTTGGCAAAATTGTCAGCAGCTGGAATCGTCTGTTAAGGTCTACGCCGCGACCATGGAGGGTCTTTGGGATGATCTCGGCGATGAGATATCACCCCGTCAGTTCGTTCAACGCTTCTGGAACGGGCTGAGTGATGCGATCAGTCGTGAACTATACATGGACCGGCTGCATCCAGATATCAGCACTTACGAGGAGGTTCTCGAGAGTGCTATAGTCGCAGAGCGGGCCATAAACAACAGCCTCCATGCGCGTGAGTGGTCTGAGGCGTCGGATACTGAATCCGAACCCAACACGATGTCTGAGAACAAGCTACAGGAGCACATAAAGTATGGCCTGTGCTTCAACTGTCATCAGAAAGGTCATACTCGTCGTAATTGCACCGACGATCGTAATCACGAAAGCAGTGAGTGTGATGAAGACGACACACCTGCACCCACGGCGAGCTATGCCATTGCGTATGTCAATATGTACGATGATGCCGTAACTACGTCCATGAATGGCTGCGACACTGGTTCGCAGATGCAGGACGTGTTGCGATGTGGTTTGATTTCTTATGAGATGTTTGACGACGGACGACAAGTTGCGGAGGGCGAGCTTGATATCGCTCTCTCGCAGCTTCAAGTCGATGACCTTGCATTGTCCGAGCGTCAGCTTGTTTGTTGCGATGAATATATGAAGTACCTGGAACCGTGTGTCTTCACGACGGATGCTGCCTGTGACGAGCACGACGACCAGAGGTCCAGAACCACTCTTGTCTATTTGGACAATGTGCGAGCAGTGCGACTTGAGCTTCGCGTCTTTGTCGTAGGACCCCGTTGGTTTGGCAACTCCGTCGCCGGTCTGACGGATACTCTTGACGAGACGCCACCTAGTCACCTGTCACCGTATGTTTGGAATATACGGATAGACGAGATGGTAATCGCAATTGGCATGCTTCAACCCCCCGGCGGAGCTCCGTGTGGCAATATTGTGGGCCAAATTCCTGGGAAAGAGTCAGACACTAGCACAGGTGTTGATTTCCCATCGGTTCCAAGTTTTGACGCGTTCAATGCCTCGAATGACGCGCCTAGCGGCACGCCGGAGGGCGGGACGGTAGAATCAATTAGAACCGTGCACCTTTGGTACTCAGACCTCACCAGAGGTTATTTGACCTTGCAACCGACGGTGATCTTCGAGGAGGTGAAAGGCCATCATATTCTTAATATTGCATATGCTAGTGTACAAACCACGGCGTGGTGCAATGATGCAGACATAGTTCACGAGACTTCGTTGGTCGTCGTGAACCCTGAGCTGTTGACGTTGGATGCAATCACGAAGTCGGCGAAGCGGCTGCATGACCACGCGTCAACGCCATTGCCGAACATAGACGGTATTACTTACCAGGGTGAGGATCATCTTGGTTATGTCTTCGCCGGAGGGATCAGAGTCCGTAAGGTACTCGTCGATCCTCAGCCCGGAGGGCGCGTATATGTCGTCCTCGGCTTCCCCGGTTGTTCTGTCACATTCTTCAAGGTCAGCAAGTTCGAATCCCTCAAGATTTCCAGCAAGATTGTTCGCACCTTCAACCGCTGTCAATCCTCATGCCATTCCTTCCCCTTGCTCGACACGACGTTCGCATACCCCTCCATCCGTCGCGTCCCCACCCTTATCAAAACGCCATCGGAGACGAAGTCCGACTCCCACGTACTCCTTTGCGACATCGAGCGCATCATCGAACCCCCGAAGGAACGAGTTCCGGCAACCTTCATCGAATACGCCCCACCCGTACGCGGATATCTCTTCGGTATCGTGCATGATAGCAACGGCGGCATCTATGGCATCTATGGCAAACCCGCGGGCATTCATCAGCATACCCAATCCAGCCATAACGGGTCACCTACCGGTCTCCTCGACCGCATCACCACATCATCCCCGTTCGACTCTGGCCACGGGATACAGCCCCATTCCAGAGCTGCTGCCAACGAGCTAAGTTCATTGTCATATCAAGTCGAGGCTACGCATCCCGCGTACATCGCCGCTTTTGGTCGTTCTCGTATTCCGAGATACCAGCTCGTCAAGAAGCGCCAGCTGGAGGTGAAGAAGAACACGTCGGAAGTCGGAGGTTGGCAGTACTCGTGTAGGATGGAAGTCGTCGTGGAGGCGTGCAAGGAAGAGTCGATTTGGGAGAGCGGTGTCCGAGGCGGGGCGTGATCGTCGTTTGAAGCAGAGGCGGGCGGGATCCTTCCTTTTTTGGTCAAAGCGGTTTCCGCTTTGGGAGGGCGGATGTAACGTGCCGGTTCTCCCGGAGGTCGACCGAGACCATCTTTCCTTTTCGAGCAAGCCGGCGCTGGCGCGCCGTTCCCCTTTTGATTATCATTCTACGACCACATGCTCCATCTGACGACGACGAGGGTATAAAGTCAAGCTACCTCGTCGTCTGGAGCTCACCTTTTGGTACCCTATTCTACCTTTACTCGAGTGCTCGAATACGAGATCTGTGACTCTCTGTTTTTGTGCCGCTCGAGAACTAACCGTGTGAACGCACCTTAGCCTTATCAGGCTTTGCTCGCGTCACACTGATCTGCCTCGATGCCCTTTGCTTGGGCTTTGTTTGCTGTGGACCCACAGGCTTCGTTGAAAACGGCAGGGCCCAGGACATGTTCCTCCCCGACTCCCACCACCGAAGACGCGCACAATCCCCTCGACACCTCCTACACGGCGTTCACCACGCGTCGCCCAACGTCTCCGTCGTCTAGAACACCCCGCAGCCACCCGGCCCCAGCCTCCGCGCGATGGCTGCCACCAAACGCAAGAGCGATCATTTCGAGGAAAGACCCGACCACGACGACGACCACGGCGCAGACGGTGACCAGCCGAAGCAGAATCACATCCCTCGTCCTCCCAACGCATGGATATTGTACCGCAAGCACATGGCGGCCATGCTCCGCCAACAAAGACTGGACACACCCGGCGAGCGACCCCTTCCCCAGTCCATGGCCTCCAAAGAGATTGCAGAGCGATGGAGGAAGGAATCCTACGAAGTCAAATCCCAGTTCGAGCGACTCGCCGAGATCGAAAAGCACAAGCACGCGATGCAGTACCCGGACTACCGTTTCCAGCCGCAATCGAAAGAACAGCGCGAACGCCAGAAGCAGCTCGAGAAAGAGGCCAAGCAGCGCGAGCGCGAGGCCGCTCGTAAAGCCGCCAAGAAACGTCGCACCAACCCGCCTACGAACCCGCAGCCACAGGCCCTCTACCATACCCTCGCTTACCCCGCGACCGCGGGCGCATCGACGTCAGGAATGCAGCTGCAGCTTCCGCCGACGTCTTCAATGCTTAGCGCGCCGAGCGCAATGCCTTCGGGCGTCAGTTTCGTCATTCCCACCCTCCAGCCCCCCGAAGATCCCTACGGCCCGTATGGGTCCACTCCGCCGTTGGCCGCCGCCGAATTATTTAACGAAGCGTCCCCGACTCCCTCGTCGTCATCGGAATCAAGTCGACAATCTGTTCCCCCCGTGGAGACGCGACAGTCCTCCGCGGAACCATCGAGTGTCTCTGCCCCTTCCCCAGTAATTGCGGACCCAGGCGCAGTTGAAGTACAGAAAATCGTCGAAGTGCTACAAGCCCAGCAAACAGTTGAAAGTAAGGTGCCGGAGCAATGGTCATTACCCCCTGTAAACCCAGTACGTCCAGTCAATGCGCTATGCTGTGATTGAACTGATCGCCTTCCTATCAGCCGACCGTCACCTACCACGTACCCGCTCCCGCCGTCCCTGACGTCAACGCGTGGTCGCTGCAGGATGGAAACATGGTATTCAATGCAGCTGATGCTACGATGTTTGCCACCGACGCGCCTGGCGTCTTTCAGGTCGAGAATTTCCCCGAGAATCTCCTCACGAACCCGTTGCCGGGCTCGCTCGACTTCTCGCAGGGTCAACTACCTCCGCTCGAGATGCCCGAAATGCAAGCCTTGCTAGGCCATTTTGACTTCAACTTTGATTTTGGGCTGCCGCACGACACGATGCCGTTCGGATCGGGCTCTTTCTTGAATGGTACAACGTTCGACGGAAATGGCCAAGGGAATCAGGATCTGGTGTCCCAATTCATGAACTTTGAGGGCTTCGACGCTAACGCGTTCACTCCTTCGTCTTCGGGATCCGCAACAAGCCCCGGGTACACCATCGCTGGAACGCCTGCTACAGACCCCATGTCGGTTGCGGACCACTCGCATGGCGGATACGTACCCCCGGCTGGCGCGGTCCATACTAATGTTCGGCGCGTTGCTGCTAGTTGGCCTCCCTCGTTTGCGATCGGTGACGACGACGACCTGGGCGACGTCCATCCGCCTACCCACGCCGTTCAGTACAGGATTCCTACCTGAAGCTCGAGCCCTCCCTCTCCCCACTCTTGGATCTATCAACGCGTTAGCATCGGCGGGGCTGCGTGCGCTTCGAATGTTCTCAATGTAATGTGTACTATCATTATTCCGCTTTTGCTTTCCCGTTCGTGCTCGTAGATCCCCCACCCCTGCTCGCTTTTCGTGTCTATACGCTTTGCTCTCCCATCGCTGTTTTCCCCCCATCCACCTATTCTCCGCCATCCCACAAGTTGTTACGCCTCCCGTGCTCCTGGCATGGTGCCTCAGCTCTCCATTCTTATCTGATCTCGCCATCGTCATCGTTATCGCTATGCCCTATACTTGTCTGCTCCTACACGCCCTTCCTGATCGACCTCGTGTCTGTCAATCTCATCCCCGCTTATCGTCACGAACCATTCACGTCTCCTTTATCTCATCAGTCTCGTGTCTCTTTTACGTTGCATCGTCTCCCCCCTACCTCCCCCTTGTTCTTGGCACAAAACCCATTCTGCTTCATTTCTGGAATCCCGCGGATTTTCGCAGACCAGGTCGGACTGCACTTTATTGCTCGTTGCTTTATTACATATCAATATCGACTATACAACGCGGCTCAATTGTCACTGTACCGTCAATTCAACGCATTTGCATCGCACCCAAGTTACATCGTTCCACACCTGTCGAGTGCTCGTCATGAATAGTGATCTCGATGCGACGAGGTCCATCTTCGACACTAACAACATGGAGTAGGTACGAAGGCTGTCCAATGTATCGACGTCTACATGAGTACTTCGCGAGACTTCATCACCTCTTACGGGACCACATTATTGGATTCATTATTCATACTTTGATTGCGAATATAACTAGTAATACATCCTGCTAATGCAGCAATGCAAGCCAGCCCCCTCAGCTCAGGCGTTCTTGTTGAAATTCTGCTGTTGCGCGCCTTTGTCGTGTCGCAGATTGCCCTGGAGGAGCAATGTTCAGCATTTCACGTATTACGACACAGTTGGAAGATTGCTTACTGCAGTCTCCTGGGAGCGGTCGCCGGTGACAGCGCCGACGACGCTGTCCTTCGTGCCGGTGACGCGATCCATGGTGCCCTCCGCGTAGCCCTTGATGCGGGCGGCGTTGTATTCGGCCTCGCCTGACGCGTGTTCCTGGGCACCGGACTGTTGCCACGACTGGGCGCCCGTCAAGTTACCGATCTTCATGGGACGTTAGCACTCGAGGAAGCGTAACGGGAGGAGATGGCAACGTACGCTCTCGACAACGTTGCCCTTGACGGAGTGAAGCTGACCGGAGGTCTTGGAGGGGTTGTTGGTGGGGTCGTAAGCCATTGCGATTAGAAGTGGTTACGAAGGGGTCGTTAAAAGTTAACGTTGCGACAAAGGACTAAGTCGTAAATGGATGTCTTATGCCCAGAAGGCGGCAAGCAGGTCGTTTATATACGCGTCGGCGATAGCGCGCGACGTCATAGTATCGTAGCACGACTCCGTCACGGAGAGTGCGGAGGTGGGGCGTAAGGCGCAATCACGGACAACGGATGACGGCCTTCCAAGGCCCAACCATCGAGGACGCGCCTGGACGCGTACAGTGCCTTGGTGTCATGAGTTCGGAGCTCGGAATGCAAAAACCTCCGTTAGCGTCGTCATAGTTGGAAATCGTCGTTGGGCTTGACGTGCTGAGTAGCCTAAGCTTGTTGCATCATACGCGATGATTGCATAGATGTGCATACCGCCCTCAATAGCTCCGATACCGAAGTTGGGTAAGCGAACTCTCGGACAGACTCACATCTCGTCGTCATCGTCGAGCGGAAGAAGTTGGGAAGGAATCCCACGAACACGTACGGCTTTGATGAAGTAATGGAAGGGCGGCTTGTGTCGGCCGCGGTACCCTCACTAGACGATGTAACTGCGAGACAGGATCCGGAAGACATTGGAAAAGGGCTTTGTCAGACGCTATCGGTATCCTCTCTTGTATGCGTTGTAGGGTATCGTGAGACATGCAGCAAACGCGATTTATGGCGCAGACGTTAACTGGGTGACTTGCGCCGTCGCGTGTGCACTCAGGTTTGCTCGCAAGTTATCGCATCTCAGATCTCAGCACTGCCCACGATGAAAAGCGTTCTCGCTGAAGACCAACTTGCTGTCATCAATGAATGAAACAAAATCTGTTCATCTTTCGGACTGTTAGATAATGCATAGTCGTTGAAGTATTATCGTAACCGGAAGGTGTCATAGCTGCGCATCGTACTCGTCGGGTATCATTCATATTAAGATACACTATTGCGATTGTACAAATGCGCATGATGCTCAAGCATTCTTGTTGATTTCCTGCTGCGCTTGGCCTTTATCGTGCTTGATATTGCCAACTGTCTCTTGCTGACGGTCACCTGAACCACGTTTCAGCTTTCAGCGAAAAGTCGCCGCGAACGGTAGTGATGGCAAGACTCACCAGTGATGGCGCCGACCACAGCGTCCTTCTTACCCTCGAGACGGTCTACAGTTCCTTCGGCGTAACCTTTCGCACGAGCCGCGTTGTACTCGGCCTCGCCGGCAGCATGCTCTTCTTGCCCAGATTGGGTCCACGACTGCAGTCCGGTAACGTTACCGACCTGAAGAGTACAAAACATTGAATATGGCGATGCGAGTATATCGACACACAACATACCGCCTCGACAAGCGTGCCCTTCACGGAGTGGAATTGTCCGCTGGTCTTGGAAGGCTCAGATCCAGTGTTAGACGACATTATGAAATAATTTGGGTAGGTTAACGAGGATTAGTTGGCAGATGGGGTCGTGAAGGCGTGGTTCTTTGTTCACCGCTGAAGGATTGACAGTCCATTCTTATAGGGACCATTTTGACTGTATGACGACATGTATATGGAATGTGATATGCATTGTGGAGCATTCTCCGCACGAACTCACCAGTCAGCGCCAAACCCATGCTGAATTCCTGATGACGTCACGCGACGACGCGCTTGTCGCGCCATGCTGCGCCATACAAGTTATCGATGGCCCCTTGTTTGCAGAACTGAGCGAATGAACTGGTAAACGTACTTGTATATGCATGTGTAGATATACGCGCTCCAAGTGGATCGGTGCGTCGGCGACGCGCCCACTGGAACCGTGATACTTCGGGGTCGTTCTTGTTTAGGGACCTACGCTCGTAATCCACCACCACCACCACCACCATGTCAAGACAAAGAATTCGCATACTGAAACTACTTACTCGCAGTGAGAATCTCGTTAGTAGTGACACCTGAATCCTTGGCGCCGATATCCTTCTCGGAAGATATTGCGAAAGGCGAGCTACTGACTAGTAACCCCATGGAGAGGCGCGGCGAGTAGAGGGCTCTCGACGCTTTCCCGCACCCTGGCCGCAGAAGACGTGTCGTGGATAGTAGTCAACTCCGGGTCGCACAGATCAAGCAATCGACGATGAGAGGCGCAGAGTCACACACAACGGAAAAGCTTTGCTTGGATAGGGAGCAATCGTCGGACATCCTGAGAGAGCTGGGTAAAGCTAGCGGAAGACGTTATCGAGAGGCAGCGCATCCATATCTACTCTCCTCAGGCGGCAACGATGCGGGATTCCATCGAAGGTTGTAGGACAGCGTGCTTGCTTGAGGACATGGCAGAGCACATCATATAGGATGCGGACAACGCCTCCCACGACGTGTTCTTCGATGAAACGTATCACAAGCCAAGGAAGAGCGCCGCGGCCCTGCCCTCATGGCAACAGTGTGGTGTCCAGGACGTACTACTATAAATTTCAATCCCGGGAGAAAGCAACTCAACTCTGAGTCCACTTATTCGACCTCCCGAGATGCATGCATACCTCCACGATCTTCAAAGAGTCAACATTGATGGCTTGGCGCGCGAGCGCGATCAGTCCTACAGGTCCGTACAAACAGAAGGGACTAAGGAAGGAAGGAGGGAACAGTATTACACAAGGCATTCCTGATGAGTCTCAAAGAGGCCGTTTCGTGCCGTGACTTCAGATCGTCTAACGCATAGTCTCGCACTTTCTCGCATCCTGAGTCAAGGACACGAGTTCCAGAACAGTTCTGAGTGCACCACTCCCAAGCAGCCAACTTCAAGGCTGATGCAGCAGCGGCCTCGTCGAATGAGCTGATTAGCGCTTTGTCCTCGACGGGTTCAACCGCCGAAGACAGCGACGAGCTCCGGCACTTTTTGCCCTTCGGCCCTCTGCCCGTCGAGGTCAAGCTTGTGCTGGAGAAAGTCGTGTCTTCCCTGCATGCGATATAGGGCTTGCCGAATTGAAACACGATGCGCCCTTCGTCGTCCACCAAGTCATCACAGAATACCTGTGAGATTGCTCGTTAAGAGGCTCGGCGCGCGAACAATCGCTCACTCACGATGACGTCCGCGTGCGCGAGTACGATCGACGTTTCGTATGTCCGCACCCCATTCAGAAGAACCCCGAGTGTATCGAAAACCGCGACCCGCAACTAGGCATGTCAAGTCAGGTCATCCGAATTGTAATCCTGAGAGTGGACGGCAGAGATACATACATCATAACCGTGCCAGGAGATGCATACGCTTCTTCTTTCGCCCAAAGTTCGACATTTCAGATGACAAGCGTCATCGCTAACAGTCTCGGAGAATGATGGACGTTTAACAATGGACACTCCATTGACATCTGGTATGTCCAGCATCGGCCTGCGGTATGGAGGAGGGAACGATCCTGCCTTTCCGTGAGGGCATGTGAAGTGAACGACGGTGGGGTACGCATTCTCAGACTCGGAAGGAGAGGGATCCTCTGGGCCAAGATACGTGCCGTGATCTCCATCGGTGTCCTGTTCAACGCACGCAGCGGCATTCTGAGGATCTGCGAGGCCGTCTTTGCTGGCATGCGACAGCCTGCCAACTACCAACGACTTGACGTCGGAGGACGACAGCGACGGATCCTTCATGAGTTGATGACGCAAAGTATTGATGCATATCACCTCATCGACGCCTAGGCGACGGCCCTCCGCGAGGGTTAAGGGGTCTTCGCGAGGGTTAAGGGGTCTTCGCGAGGGTTAAGGGGTCTTCGCGAGGGTTAAGGGGTCTTCGCGAGTGCAGATTGACAAGTATGCGTCCGACAGCCAATCTGCGATCCCGTAGTTGCGCGCGCACAGGATTCGATCAACAGGAGAAGCGATCGAAGAGAGCTCGTGGACTGCAAGCTGACGGATGGACCCGTAGTTCAGGACGCATGCGACACCCATGACCGACATCCACTCGTCAGCGGTCATCGCAGAGTGCCTATATAAGTCTTCAACTGCGAGTTGAGAAGATCGAGCGAAGTCGTGTCGTGATGAACCTCAGAAAGATGGCTTACCCAGTGAAGAGTACATCGAGAAAGCGCTCGAAGTCCAGAGCTGAGAATTCCTCCATTACGACAACGTCGCCCCTCCGTGATTGCGAGAGGAACTCTTCTGATTTCGAGTTGTGCTTGAAGACGGCTCCGTGAACTCTGAACATCGTGTCCTCCACATAACACGTATGAGATGCGAATAAGGAATAAGATCACCTGAACCTTTATCATTTCATCGTCCATCCAATACCGCGAATGTCTGGGACTGGGAGGCTCATTCTTCGTAGAGTATGGTGGTGCGCCCAAGGGATGACTTCCCGCATCGAAAGGAGGGGGCGACGGCAAGAGGTTGTCATCTATCTCTGAACCTATTTGAGATGGCATATCCGACACTACAAGTTCCGGAAAGTCAAAAGCAGAGTCGAACGGCGATTCCGCTCCAAGCGAAAACGTCTCAGTGTCAGAAATCGAGACGACGTCGCTGCACATGGAGGGACAGAGGTACGAAGTTCCCCCGGCACGATTTTAGGTCTTCCATATATATTGCGCGCAGGTAAACACGAGACTGGCTTCCATTGCGAGTCAATGGACAGCATATCCACTTCGGGGCAGGGGAGAACCAAGTCGAACATGCCATATCTTGGCGCGTGAGATGTGATACGGTAAAAGGGAAAAGGGGAGAGCGTCCCAAGGGTGATAGTGGTAATGGAGATACTGGTGTGCAAGAGGAGAGACGCGGCGTCGTGAGGCACTTGCACCAAATCCGCGTCGTTGAACTGTCGTCGCCAACATTCCCGCTCAAGAATGACTTACTATCACTCAATCGACAAATGACGAGGTTTCGAAGAACGAATTGTGACCAGCCTACATGTTCATCTTCCATGCCAAACAGACGTATCGACAGTACGAGTCAAGACCGACTAGCACCTGAGTAATCCCCACCAAGAACTATGTATGAGATCTTGGTAATGCGAGCGCAGGACCTAGCACTCGACTAGTGCTGCGTTGCCCGCTGAGCAACGCGTTGAATCCTCGACAGCATGCTCTGGGATCGACAGTCTACTGCGCCTTCTACGGTGCGTTGGCCGACTTTATCTCGTCATGCTGCCGTTGAACGTCGAGCGCAGCGCTGACAGACCTCCACTGACACACGCCGTCCAGCCGTGATACCGCATTCGGCCTCTGACTGATCTGACGCTGAGCTTGGCAGACCTAGGCTTTGCCTGCGCAGGATGAATGTTCGTGTTGGACCTGACCATCGCGAGTGCCCATCATGCGCACAGGTATGTTATGCATCCGCCCATCCAAGATCCTGACCTGATTGATTGTTCTTTCGAGTCTAGCACAGGCAATGATTACCATGAAATAAGGAATCCGCGTGAACATAGTCCGGTGTGCGTTCTCACTACCGGTCGCCGAATATCGAATACGTCGCTCTTCGGTGTTCTACCCAATCGGCTCCAAGAGCGCCGTCCTCTTGACAATCAAGCAAGGACGAGTGAGAGTGCCTCGTGCATCAGCGCCACTGCCTTCCCGCTGATGAGCATCCCCGTCCCACCTGGTTGCAGTAAGTGTTCTGTGGGTTCGGCCTCCGTTGCCAACTGTGTTGCCATGGAGGAGCCATGGCGACCGGGAACCTGCTGTCCGTAGTCCGCGCACTCAAACCGGGCGTTGTGCTTCCGCGGCTCCTGTGAAGTCTGATGGAAGGCGATTGGTGCCTCCGGTTCCTGGCCAATGATAAAGAGCTCGTTCAGGGTGCCCAACCCTCCGTGGAGGATGCTCCCGAGGACATCTCAGGCTTTGTAAATGAGCTGGTAGAGGATCAGCAACTGCGTTTCAGATGGAAGGTGATCGTCTGGGATGGTCCCGCGCAGTGATGGTGATACATCCGCAGTGCACAGGAACGCCGACACCAGTCGCGCTCGGTGTCGTAGAGAAGTAGGTTGCAAAGACGTATTGAAGGTAGTTGGCGGTTGCCGCGATTGGGCCGTGATATGCATCAGCCGAAACATACAGTTCCGTATAATATGCGGGTCTCGTCGACGCCGGGCTGATTACACCCTGATTGCCCCACCGCCCCTCACCACGGCGGCACTGAGCAGGAGCTTGACGCAGTACTCGACACCCACCTTGCCGTTCGCAGACCCACTTTTCTGATCAATCGTCCCTCTTGCTGTGCAACCGTCTGCTCGCGATGCCCATGCCCGGCTCTCTTTTCTCTCCCGCCACCGAGGGTTTCCACTCGCCGCCGGTGACGCCTGGCGCCGTCTCGCCCCCGAAAAGCAACGCCAATACGATCCTCAAGCCGTCGCTCTCCCGCAAGAACAGCCGGCCCTCGAACCTCAGCATCGCCCGCTCCGGCAGCGCCGAGTGGAACCCGGACATCGTCCTCGAAGAGTCCTCGCCGAACGTCGACCCGCGCTCAGCCCAGAGTGCGACACCCCAGCCGACGCCCGTCTACGGCGACACCCGCGCACTGCCGCATCCCATCCCGGCGGACATCACCGTCAGCCCTGCCGACCCGCAACGCGGCTCCAAGGTCGACCACCTCGCGGCCCTCAAATCGCCCTGCTTCGTGCACTCCAATCTCGATAAGGGCGCATCGCTGGCCGACTGGCTCAAGGGCAAGCACCACGACCACAAGACGAACGGACGGGGACGCGGCGGCATGGCCCATCATCAGAACGACGATGCGATCAACGTCGCCAAGAGCCTTAACGGACATCCCCATGCTCCTCACCACCATTACCAGAAGCCCGCGAGCGGCATTCTGCAACACAACGGGCACTCGCCCGAATCCTATCCATCCTCTTCTCCCGAACAAGAAGACTACTCGGAAGATGAGTACGGAGACAGTTTGACCAAGCAGTTGGCGGCCACTGCCGTGGGCGTCCGGGAGATGAGCAAGGAGCTCGGTACGTGCAGATCTACCCAGTACCGATCCTCACCGTCTGACGGGCTATTCCAGGACGTGCGCGTATACATTCAAAGTTCCAGAACGTCCTCATCGTCACGAAGGCGAAGGACAATCGCCTCATCAAGCTCACGCGCGAACTCGCACTTTACCTCATGTTGAAGAAACGCCAGGGCCAAGACCGGGGTCTTGTCGTGTTCGTGCGCTTTCCCTCCGGGATGGTCAGCACCGGCTCATGATTCTGCCCTTGTGTAGTTACGTCGATACGCAGCTGCGCAAGTCGCGGCGCTTCGACGCGGCCGGCATCGAGCAGGAGCACCCTGAGCTCTTTACGCCGATGCCGCGCCGGCGCTCGTCGAGCAGCACCTCCCTCGCCTCGATGTCGTCTGCGTCCAGCAACGGCGAGTACCTCGCCAAGGAGCAGGGCCAGCTGCGCTACTGGACCGCGGACATGTGCAGTCGCCAGCCGCACTTGTTTGATTTTGTCATCACCCTCGGCGGTGACGGCACCGTTCTCTTCACTTCTTGGCTTTTCCAGCGTATCGTCCCGCCCGTGCTGCCCTTCGCGCTTGGCTCGCTCGGATTCCTCACCAATTTCGACTTTGCCGATCATCAAAACGTCATGGACAGCGTCATCGACTCGGGCATTCGTGTTAACCTCCGGATGCGGTTTACGTGCACCGTGTACAGGGCCGTGATCCCGTGCGAGGGCGAGAAGAGCAAGGTACGGGCGGTGAAAAAAGCTCAGACAGGGGAGATCATGATGAAGGACCTTGAGCGTGGAGGATGGGAGGCGCTCGAAGCCGGCTACCCTCCGGAGGGCATAGCTGGACCCAAGGATAAGGAGATCATGTGTTTCACGACCAGGCCGGTGGAGAGCTTCGAGGTCCTCAACGACCTGGTCGTCGACCGAGGTCCCAGTCCGTACGTTAGTCAGCTGGAGCTTTTCGGTCAGTCGCCTCCCCGTCTCGGGTTCTCGCGATTCTCACTGGTCCTTATAGCCGATGAACATCATCTGACGACGGTGCAAGCGGACGGGTTGTGCATTGCGACGCCTACAGGCTCCACTGCTTACTCGTTGTCTGCGGGCGGATCGCTAGTCCATCCGGAGATCCCTGCTATTTTGATCACACCTTTATGTCCGCATACGCTATCTTTCCGTCCCATGCTGCTCCCCGACAGCATGGAACTGCGTATATGCGTTCCGTTCAACTCGCGCAGCACGGCGTGGGTGTCTTTCGATGGACGTGGCCGCGTCGAACTTAAGCGTATGTTGCGATCCATCTTCCGTCAATCTATTTCTGATCGTGGGTTTATACAGAGGGCGACCACATCAAGGTCTCGGCATCGAAGTATCCGTTCCCGACTGTATGCGCCGACAAGTCTTCCACGGATTGGTTCCACTCCATCTCTCGCACGTTGAAATGGAATGAGCGTGAACGTCAAAAGTCCTTTGTCGTCGTCGAAGAGAACCCGAAACCGAGGAAGAAGGCTGTGCCCGGGGGTACCGAAGCGCTCGAGGAGGAAGATGAAGAGGACGAAGAAGAGGACGATAAGTTCGATATCGATGATCTCAGCACGTCGGAGGATGACGCTAAGGATACCTTGGACGCCTCGTTACTGAAACCGGAGGAGAAAAAACTTGGGCAAGACAAGGTCAGCGACTTTGCTGCGGGAAAGGACGAGCGGGCGCGCGCGGCTGCCAACGCCATCGCTGGGGACAACCCGTTCGTCCGACTCCAGCAACACCCGTCCGGCCTGCACTCCGGTATCGACACCCCGGATCGGTTCATGGGGCCACACCCACACCCTCCCCCCGTGTCGGCGCGACATGTCGCGTTCGCTCAAGCCGTCTCAGGTGCTTCCTCGTCTTCGTCTCTGAACGGTGGATACCACTCCCCCCGTGCGGTCTATCCAGGACACGATTCCGCCGAGATGGAGCGGGAGATGAACGCGAAGACACCTACGGTTTCGGATATACGGAAGGGAGCTACCCACAAGCATACACGCAGCCGAAGTCGCTCCAAGGACCCTGCGAACGGTAAAGCATTCGCCGTCTGGGGCCAAGACGAGAGCGAGAGCGAGAGCAATGCCAGTGACACTGATCTTGCATAAGGCTCGTTCTCCTGGATCTTGGCTTGGTTTATATGGTATCCTACTTTTCTGCTTTCGGTTTTGTTGGCGATCAGAGGATGTAGACTATCCACATAGAGGGCACGACGTCATGGCCACGAGTGTATATTTGGAGGCAATGTAATACTACATGTTGTAGATAGTCAAAACGCATGGATTTCAGAAGTACACGGTATCTTTCACTACAAACCGTTCGAGGCTGCGGTAGTCCGGGCGATCCTTGGCGACTGCCCAAAGCCACATGTCGAGATCGGGGAGCGTCATCGACTTGATCCACGAGATGTCGTCTTTCACATCTTGCTCATGATCCCCCGCTGTTACCTTACTCGGGCTGACGCTGCCGCCTACTGACGTGTTCACGGCCTCCGTCGCAAAGGATGTATCCAAAGAACGGGCAACCTCGATCATCATCTCGCACGCATCGATGGCCGCGGCGCGGAGTATGTAGGACTGGTCCGTCGTGAGCACGGGTCCTTCTTTCGGCACAACCTTCTGCTTTTGAGCCCCTGCTGGATGGTCCGGTGCTGCGGCGAGGAGAGATTTGAGTTTTTCGCGGTCTGCGTCTTCGGGGCCGCCAAATAGACGCCGAAGACCGAGCGACTCCGCCGAGGTCGAAAGGTCTATCACCCCTAGGTGTACCAACATGGATCTAGAGCATAAGCAATTCAGCGCGTCGGTTTCACGAACATCACGGCAACGATGTCTCACGGGATAACGTTGTCTGTGAACACGGGAAGATGGGAGGTCTCTGGTATAGGGAATGGCGCGGTTGTAAAGCGCACGGCGATGGCATGGATGAGGAAGAGTGCCTTCTTGAAGCAGTAAACGGCTATAAAGTGATTCTACCAGTCACGTTGCGAGATCAACGTTGGGCACACAACAGGCTTACGATGTCCATCTACGATCGCCATGTCTCGGAAGGCAGGAATAGCGCGGACAATCTGCAAGTTGGATCAGAGCCACGGTCTCCGAGGAGATGGTTAGAACCCACTCTATCGAGGACAACCTCGACATCCACGTTCTGTTCGCTAGCGGTTTTTGCTGCCTTCTTTCCCTCTTTCAGGGTTTCTGCAACAAATTGACCCAGATCGCGATAGCCGGTCTGAACCAGTATCGTCCCCGTCTCGTTGAGAACGTCGGTGATCATTTTGACTAATTGATACCCTTCACCGCCGAGCTTTCCGACCGTCAAGCCCGGTATGCTCTCGTGAGCCCGCTCGACGTGCGTCTTAACGCCCATCAGCTCCGCGATCGTTTGGGCCTGAACGGACGACATGCTCTTCGCGTTCAACATCTCTTCTCCGGAGATATACATGGAGAACACAAGCGCGCGTATGGAGTCCCATGCGCCGCGACCGGTCTGGCTGTGCAGCACCACTCGGTAGCCGTGTCCGAAGTTCAAGAGCGAGAGCACGGCAAGTAGGTTGAGCTCTGCGAGCTCGTTGGGAAAGTTGAGCGGCATGCCTAGGCCATGCGATTTCGAAACGCGGGTGAAGGTGCCAGTGAAGGCCGGAGAAAGGAGGAGGCGCTCAATGGACGTTGGCTCGATCTGTCGAGAGAGATCGGCATGAGAGCTCTATCCAACGACTTTCAAATCTGAAGCAGATCGTATCGTAAAGAGGTGCATAGATAAACGACATTAGGCGCTTACAGTAATGTTGAATGCCTGCCGTACTGCTCTGCTGGACTCCCGGATGGCTTTGAGATAATCACCGATTGCGGGGAATGGTGGCATTGGTTTATCTGTCGTCGACATCGCAGAGTAAGGTTGGAAGAGTATGCGAAGTTCTAATCTCCAGACTCATAATGCATAATGACTCGTTCCTCGAATAGTCCACGTGACTGGGTCAGTGTTCGGCGCCCCGGCGAGATGCCTGCAGGTTGGACGTCCTTGGCATCCAAGGGCAGAAACTCGTGTTGTCAATGAAGAAACAGGTTCCGCCCTGACCATCATGTGCAGCAGATAAATCTGGTCAGATACTCATATGACAGGGCCAGAACCATTATCGAACGTCCCTGAACCTTGCAACGGATGGCTGAACAGATCCCCTGAGGCGATGTATCATACAATCCCATGATGAAGCATGTCTAGGTTCCCATTACATTCACTCCTCCTGCGTTTCCGTTTCACGTTTCGCCCCATCGGCAGGGTCTTCTGGTGGTGAGTCATTGTCGTCCTCCAATGATGGGTTGCCGCCGGGCTGAGAAGTTACCGGAGTAGCTGTCGATGGCGCGACGGTCTCCCAGCTGTCCACCATTGACCCCTCGCCCTCCGAGCTAGACGCAGCAGCAGCATCCTCTTGAGATATTGTGCTGGGATCGGCTCGGGATTTGCCCTTCTCTATACTAACCTCCGGAGTCACGTCAGTGCTTCCGGCAACATCGGCGTCCCCACGGGCAAGCTGTTCCGCAGGCAGGCTGGAAGGACCAGTCGGCACCGCTGCCGCGGCGGGAGGGTTGGACGAAGTGCCCTGCGCCCGCGGATTTGGTGACACTGATGACGAGGTCGCCGAATTCGTTTTCCCAGATGCAGCCCCGCCGGGGACCGCTCTCGGCGCACTCGGCGCCGGCAAGACACTCCGCATTCTCGTCAGCTCCTCAACACAGCGCCATACGGTCCCGCTGACATCCGTCAAGATGCGCAACCTTTCGTCGATCGCCTCACGAGTGAGGCGGTCCAATTGCGCGAGTTGCTCGTCCGTGAGTCTTTCCGGCAGCTGACCGAGCGGAGCAGACGGCACCGCATTGTACAGCGGCTGAGCGTAAGGATACCGCGGGCGAAGGGGAAAGGGCCCGCGGGGCATGTTGGTAGGTGTAGGCGGAGTCATGCGCGGAGGCACAGTGGGCTGCGGAATGTGCTGTGAAAACGGAGAATAGGCGCTGCGGTAATCCGCAGGCGGCTGCGCGAAGTCATACAGCGGTATCAGGTTCGGCACGTCTGTGCGAGGTGTCGAGGCACGCCCAGCAGAAACTGCTGGGGGCACGGTTGTCGTGGGTTGCGCAGTCGTAGCCGCTGGAGCTGAAGTAGAGGCACCCGGATTGGATTGTGTCACCGGCATTGCTACGGGCACGGAAGCAGGGAGATTCGTCGGCGGAGCCGCAGATGCAGGAGGAGGTGCGGGAGTAGTAGGTGTGGGGCTTATCGGTTGCTCTTGCGTTGGGGTTGCAGTTGGGCCAGCATCCTGAGAGGAAGGAGCTGGAGAGGCTGTTGAAGTGGCGTTGCTTGGATTCAATCTGCGAAGCGCAGCCTGGACCGCCGCATCTCGAGGCGTGAACGACCGGGTCTCCGACGGCGTGGTCGCGCCGAGGTTGCGAGGTAGGGGCGCGGTAGTCGAAGGAGCGGTGGACGCTTGCTCAGGGCGTGTTACATCGGCAGAAGCGCCGGATGCAGGCGCCGGCGTGGCTAGAGGTGCTGGATGAGGCATCGAAGCTGGCGTGGCCGACTCTGCCGTACGTGTGGCAGGTGTTGGTGGCGGTCGGCGCGCCGGTTGCGCGGGCCATGGCTGCCAAAGCCCGTCGGGACGGTAAAAGCCTTGCAGCATCGGTGCCTGGGCTAGTCCACCCGGGTTTGCGCCACCAAGAACCCAAGGATACCCAAAGACAAATGCGGGGGGTGGGACTTGTCCTGGACCAGGAGGGGCCTGATAGGGGTATGGCGGCGTGCCAATGTTACGAGGAGGTAGGCCATTCACGTTGTTGGGAGGGAATGCATTATTGGGAATAGGGTGGGCGCCAGCGGGTAAGGGAGCAAATTGTCCCGGAACCTGAGGAGGACCAGCCGCCGCTCCGATAAGCCGGGCGAGCAAACCGGGCGGCTGATTGTTCACTTGCTGTTGACCCTGGGGATTCATTCTGCCGAAGTTCCATTGCAGGGGCATATTGGGGGGCGGCGCTTGACGGCGAATTGCATTCCGTTGTTGCCCTTGCCCTTGGCCGGGCTGCCCTTCTTCCAGCACGTTACGGCGACTGTGAACACGTACATGAGAATCCCGGAAAAGCGGCAAATGGGGTACGTACCATGTAGGACAGCTCTGCTGCCGTTCCAACCACGACCGCAAGCACTGGAAATGGAATGTATGGCCGCATGGGAGCTTCTTGGGTGTCATGTTGGGGCCATCATGTGCAGTGGGCAAGTTATTTACTACACCGCCCTCTTGCGTAGCAACAGGGACCATTTCCTCGCGACAGATGATGCAAGTGCGATCGCCGGTCACAGGCAGATCCGCTTCCGTAGCGTTAGGGTAGCGGGCATCCATGTCACGAGTCGCCGAGCGGTAACGCTGGAATGCACGTAAGCGCATCACGAAAGACCGCGCCGTCATGTATACATCGCGGACGATATTCAGCGGTATACCATATGCCGCGACCACGACCACGAAGAACAGTAAGTATGTCGTAAGCTTCAGAAAATCTGCGGTTCTCAAATCAGATACGTTGCGGGGAGTTGGGACTATGACCATACCTGTGGTTAGTTCAATGTAAAAGTTGTAAACACTCTTATCCTCCCACGGCAGCGCTGTTTCGCCTCCCCTGGTTCGCGCCCTCCGTAGCTCAACACATGACAACACATACTTCGCGACAGAGTTGAGTGCGCTAGCCATCAATATGGCGTACTGTTCGATTGAAGTTGAGGGTGATAGCCAGCACAATGATGATCGATGGCTTGCCTCGCTCGCGAAGAGTACAGTGCCGCCCACTCCTTGCGTCAAAGTGCTTTCGACGGCGAACGCGAACATGGCGAAATCTGTAAGCCACAGAAGAACAAAAAGGCAGTTGACTCTGATATGGAACGTCATCGGAGGGCCAGGATACGGCCTTTGGTCCATCTGGATTCCTTCAGTCTTCAGTAAGCGGACTTGGAAGATGAAGTCACGGCGCACCGATTCTATGCGGTCGCTCAACAGCCAGTGAAAACATTTGACAAAGAGCAGGAACCCGAACATTATGGCGAACGGCACGTCGAATTCATCTCGGAATATCGTGAACGCAAGTAAGGACTCCGTGACGAAATACCAAATCCGGTCATACAAACGCTAAACATTCGGTCAGCTGGCGAGACCGGTGAAAGATTGACAAAGCGTACCTCAACTTCCGCGGGTGACAAAGGGCCAAAGAATATCTGCTGCAAGATACGCCCGCTCAACAGCGCGAGAAGGAAGCCGAAGTTGGCCAGGATCTATGTTCATCTTCAGGTAAGCTACTGTTCCGCGTGTCTCCATGCCACCATACCAGAAGACTCCGGCTGCTCTTGGATAAATACACAGCAACAGAGTAGAAGTTGCTGTGATTCCTCAGTGCATTGCCAATGGCGATTGAGACAGCGAGAGTAGAGAGGAAGCTGTACACCAGCGTCCTGTTGGAAGTGACGAGAGGATGAACCCGCTGCCGGATGATGTCGGCAAGAGGCATTGTAGAGGGTCGTAGTGTTATCCCCTCCTTGCTTGCTTTGCGAAACTGGGAGACCGTAGGCTAGGGCATGCGTCAGAACGCGGACGTGGCTGAAGTCGTGGCACTGGGCCACGTGATTGGCTTCGACCTGCTTCGACCGAATGTATGAGGACGTCCTGACGACTGGCGAGATGTTCGGCCGAACATGTTCGCCGAACACGCCCACCGAACATGAGCCGGTAACGGGTTTATCCGTGGTGGCTGAACCGTTCACACAAGTGGCACCTCCGCCGGTAACGCTCACATTGTTGCCTCCTCACCTGTACGCCCACTTTATGAATGCCACCCCATTGTTCAATTGTTATACAAGGCCACCTGAGGGTTAAGTGACCCCGATGAAATCATGGAAGACCAAGACCAATGTGGCACCTATCGCCGGACTCATCAACATTGCCGTACACGTCCAACATTGCCCGCACTCTTTCATACCGCTATGGCTGAGAGTCGGTTCTCCTCCCTGCTTGAGCATCTTGAATTCCATGAGCTGGCTCTTACTATCGACTTGCTACAGTGGCTTAAACCACAGATTCAACTCTATGCAAAACAGCGAAGCGATGCCGTTGCACCGCCTGCAGAACTTCCTGATCCGGTTGCAACATTCCTCATGAAGGCCATCAGTGTTGATGCTGTTCAAATCAAGGAGATTTGGGACTCGCTGCAAAGCTTTGTATGGTCAAGTCCGGTATCTGGGGCTGTCCGCACCTCGTTGGAGTCACGGATCAAATCTCATGTACGCCTATTCCTGCAACATGGGCTTCAACATGATATCGGTGAGCTAGCTGCGTGCCTACGCATTCACAGCTTACCTTGACTGTTTACCCAGGCTTGTTCCATTTCTTCCCGCCCACGCAGACATGCCCGAAGTGCGAGATCAAGGACAAGCGCAAACCCGGCTGTTGTCGGCCCCGTCCTCTCGACCATCCAGTCACTCACAAAGCGACATATTTTTCGTATGATCTTGGCCCTATCCCAGCATGGACAACTTCGCTATATTGCCGTGGTGTGTTTCCTCGACAAGTATGTCAGACACATGTACTGATCCACGACCCTAGCATGCTCTACACGCTTTCATCCAAATTACTACGTCCATGATACCGCGACAATACGTACATATTACTCCTCAGATGTACCTGATGTTTTACACGTCGCACAGTACACATTTCTCGACAGGAGGTTGTGCGAGCTCTTTACAAACCAGATGGTATTTGCGTGGTATGATATCTGAAGTGATGTTCACAGAGTTACATCTCTCATTTTTCAGTCTCCATTTCAGGACATCAGCAACTAATTGTGCACGAGTATATAACGCAACTATGGCTCAAGAGATTGAGCTTCTCAACTCATTTCTCTTAGACGACCGGTCTTTCACCATTGAACTCGACACTGAACGAGTTCTTGCTTCGTTTCTTCTCTATTCGCTTTCAAATGATTTTGAGGACCGCAACGACATTCTGGAACTGCCACAAAACATCACCGGTACTCTTGAGCGCCTGCAATGTGCTATCCGTGAGCGAAACGTTCGCATGGCCGGTCCAGGACAAGAGCATTGGACCCATCTGTGCGATATCTGCTCTTGGCATACAACAAATGAAGATGGTCAGGATTGTGAGTCAAGCAGATTGTATCTCGAGCTTGCCCAGCCTCAATTACACATCTACATGTTAGGTATCGTGCGTTCTGTCGTCACAGATGGGCTGACCATTGGTCATCCATGTTGCGCGGTTCATAACTGTCAACAGCCACTGCCATCGGCCAAAGGCACTCGCTACTGTACTACACATCAAGAAAGGGAGAAGAAGTGCGCCGTGGACGGCTGTGATGCCCAGGCTGAACCTCGTCACAAAACATGCTCGGATCGTACTCACCGGAGTATCGAAGAATACCGAGTCGAACGCGGAAAAGCTATGAACCAACTCAAGCTACGACTCCAACGTTCGAAAGCCCCACAACCTCCGGACACTCTTACGGAAAAGGCGAACTTGAGCCCCACGGAGTCCACGGAGAGTGAAGAATCTGATGGCGACGACGAGAATATTACATATCGGTGCGCTTAGTTCCGGTTCAAATGCTGAGTACTTGGCCATACAACAGCTGAATTGGCTTGGTAGTGTTTCTACATCCACGAATCAATCGGAAAACATCACTGAGGTCGACAAGTCGACTGCCACGCAAAACATCGCGTGCATTGAGAAGCCCAATGCCGGCAATCGCACTCTCAGTGCTCAGTTTGGACGGCGTCGTACACATAACGAGCAGCTCTGCGTGGCGTCATGTGGCGTGATCCGAGGGCGAGCAACATTCTTTGGTGCGGAGGCGGTCAGCTCTGTCCTGGTGGGTTTGCTACGCTGAGTCGAGCCGCTCTTGTGAAAGACTCACCACTTGTCGACAGGAATTCTGGGACATTTTGTTCCCGACAGACGAATCCTTGCCAGAGGTTATGTGGTACGACAGCAATTGCCGTGTCTCAGCAACTCTGAACGCTAGTGCTAAGGACAAGCAGCAACGCTATGCACGTATAGCACTCCCCGTTGACGTTTTCCACTTTAAGTCCAAACATAAGGTCACCGATGAATGGTGTGGGAGTCATTGCAACCCCTACATGTGGAAGGAGCTCCGCACTGACGATGGCCGGAATTGGCGATTCAATTCGTCAGCGGCAGAGCAAGCTAATGTCTGGTTTGGTGGCTACCAGGCAGTCGTCCGCGAAATGCAGGTCGACCGCTATAATTTCTTCCTAGATGAAATGATCAAGCGTCGGAATCGTGTAATTGTTGCTGAGTTGAAAAAGAAGAGAGCAAATCCTTATAATGTACCTCGACATGTATTGCTTGGTAGTTCTACCTAATACAACATAATTACTCCCCCATTGACAGCCTTTTGAGGCCAAGGTGTCCCGTCAAAGTTCTGCGAGGCTGTCATGCATGCCATAGCCCTTCAAGACATGCACATGCTGTAAACCTTCGAGGCGAGCGCTCGCTGGAGTCTTCGAAGTGTGCGCATGCGGTACACCTTTGAGGAGTGTGCACGCTGGAGTTCTTCGAAGTGCGCGCACGCCGGAGTCTTCAAAGCATACGCATTGCGCACTGCAAGCCCGAGTCCGTCCTGGCTGTCAACGAAGTTTATTACCACGGACACCAGACATTGGGCATATGCAACCAACTAATCGTTCGACGTATCGATGAAGTGTCCGCCCGCATCGAAGTAGGCGTCCAACGCGAAGCCTCCACCTACTGGAATGCCTCAAGCTCACGATGAGGGCTGCGGGCGACCGTACTTGCCGCCAGATAGCATCGCAACGCTTCTCGAGGGTTCTCTGCGCAGTTCGCCGGGGCTGGATGTGCTTTCTTCCGTGGGCAGCGTCGCGAGAAGACCTAGGACCTCAGTGTGGGTCCTCGTGGTGGAGGACAACCTGATGAACCAGAAGATCGCGCTGCAGCACGGAGGAGGGGCGGCTCAATGACCACTCCGATCTTCACGCCGACGTCCACGACGCCCAACCGCCCCGCGAAGATGCCTAGTCCTTCGAAGTGTGCACACACCGGGATCCTTCGAGGCGGCACAAACAATATCAGTCAGTAGCTATAGAAGGTGAAGTGCTTACGAAGGTGCGAGGCGAGAGGAGCTTGTAGTACTTGAGTTTAAGTCTAGTACGAGAAATCATCGAGAGATGGTCGCCTCAAAGATGTCAGACGTGACGGAGAGGTAGAGTATCCAGTATCTGCCAGCCTGCAAACTGTCGGACTTAGCGGTAGAGGCAGAGGTAGAGGCAGAGGCGGTGGTGGTGATGGCGGCCTCGTCGGCGACGCGGACGGCGGCCTCGAGCTCGCCCTCGCCATCGCGCGCGGCCGAGAACTGCTCGTAAAGCGGGCGCTTGGGGTCGTAGGTGAAGCTGAGCGCGGGCTCGCGCACGACGGCGGTCGTCGGCTCCTGGCCCATCCGCTCGCGCTTAAGATCGCGCTCGAGCGCGTCGAGGAAGAGCCGATCGTGCGGGACCGAGAACCTGTGTACCACCTCGTCAATTCCAGGAAGGAAGGGAAAAAAAAGTAAGGATGGTTGGAATCGGACGGACCAGTAAAACACCTTCTGCTTCTTCTGGGTCCTGATGCACTGGTACTTGAACAGCAGGTCGAGGAACGGGCTCTTGGGCTCCTCGAGGCAGGCGTCGACGCCGGGCTTGAGGTTGCGGAGGTCGGAGAAGACGCCCTCTTCAAACTTTTTCATGTTGCGGACGGGGCGGCCAAAGGCCTCGAAGCGGAAGACGAGGGCGCGGACGATGTCGGTGCCGGTGATGTGGTACAGGCCGGACCAGAGGACGCAGGAGACGGATTCTTGGTTCGGGAGGAGGAAGCGGTTCAGCGAGGGGTGGTGGCCCGCTTGACTCGAGCCTTGACCGAGGCCGGACGACGAACCTGGGACGAGAGACGAGGAGGAGGATAAGGAGGAGGAGGAAGAGGCGGGCGTAGTGATGGAGGAGGAGGAGGCGGCGGGGTTGTCCCAGTGCGAGGGCGAGGTGGCGAGGAAGAACTTGAGCTTGTCGAGGTGGGCGAGCAGGCCCTGCTATTTCGCCGTCAGCGGGCGCGTGAGCTGCGTCATGCCCAGCGCACCCGCGCTCGTCGTCGGGGGCGCCGTCGGGGTCGTCGTCGAGGTCGACGACGAGGGCGACGCGTGCGGTGGTTGAGGGGCGTACGCCGACGCCGAGGACGAGGACGGCATGCCGTAGTCGACGTCCTCGTGCGGCGCGGGCCCGGCGGACGTCGTCTGCAGCGTGTAGGACGGCGCGGACGGGGCGTACGGGTAGGACGACGGGTCCGAGGAGGGGTAAGCCGGCGGCTGTTGGTACATGATCTGGCCGTCGGCGGCGTACATGTACGTCGGGGGCGAGGGCGGCGCGCTGCCGGGCGGCGAGGGCGCGGGCGAGAGACCGTATACGCGATCGACGGGCGCCCGTGTTGCGGGTGGTGCGAGAACGGGTGTATATGGTTGTTCTGGAGGTGCTGCGGAGCCGGGCCGGGGGTGTAGAGGCCGAGCGCGTCCATTATTGTACGGTTGATTAGGGGGGCGAACGAAAAGCGAACGTGAACGATTAGGTGCGGTGTGTTAACTACGCTTTGAGGACGAAGGGCGGGTGACGGTTACTGCATGAGGGGCGACGGAGATCGTCAGCCATCGGCGGGATCAAAATGATCAGGGGGCGCGCGTAATCGTAATAGAGAGCGCGCGCGCGGTGGGAGCGTAGGGCGGGAGCGGGAGACGGGAACGTACATTACTCATGGGCGGCGCCGGGCGGGTGAGATACGGGCGAGCTGGAACCACGCGCGAGGTTTTCTCTGCGGTGACGAGATCAACAGGCGGGGGACGTCGGCTTCGTCGGCGAGCTGTGGATCCACCGGGCGGTGCTGAGCTGAGCGGACTGTAGCGTAGAGAGGTCTCTATGGCACGGCGAGATTAAGAAGGAGGTAGATAGGTACGAGGGAGGGAGGGAGGGACAGCGGCGGAGGGAGGAGGAGGAAGGGGGACGGAGGACCAGGGTCAGTAGCGCGGCAGGGACGCTAAGTACGAAAAGACGGGTCAGGAGAAATGTCCGTGCGGCCTGTCCGTGCGTCCGGTGTGCAAATGTCCGTGCAGCGAGAATGTCCGTGCAGTCCGTGCCAAACAACGCGTCGCATATCTCAGCGCGTGCGTGTCGCGACGCGTCCCAATCACGGTATCCGGTTGATCTGCGGTAGACACCGTTCATAAAGGACTCGTACCCGCACGCTCTCTTGCTTCACGGCCTCTACCAGGCATGCGGATGAGCTGAGGGCCGACGCTGGAATCCGCCGACTCCCTCTCAAGTTGCTCATGCGCCTGCCGGGATGAGTGCTCGTGCTGAGGAGGCCAAGAGAAGGAGCAGATGTTGCTTCTGCTCTTGGCCCCCGCTGCTGACAATCTGATCTCGAAGCACGTAGAGTCAAGGCCACCTCCTGTATCCCGCTGGACAGCCGATCAGGAAGAATGCCATTTCGACGGAGATATTACAGACCAACAGCTTGCTCAACGGCCTACGCCTGGTACCGAGCGAGATCATAGCTATGCCGATACAAGGCCTCGGACGCGTAAACGCGGTCTCCTGGATGCGCGACCGTTGATTCGATGTAGGTCAGCACGTACAGCGTCGGTCACCACTATGTTCACGCTAATTATTGGCCCTCCGCAGAACATTTCTACGTCGGTCTCGTCTGGAGCTATCCATATATCGGGGCTCGATGTGGCGCTCGGCGGAGACATCGCTGCATGCCGTCAGCCAGCGCATCATAGCGCCCTGAATCGTCTGCTCCTCCGCAGTCCTCCTGGTGTTAGGCCTACTGGGACTTTCATAAGTCGGCCAGTCTTTTCGTCTCGTCAGTAAGCATCGCGCATGTTATACTGCCCTGCTACTTCTCATTTCCGCTTCATGTTCTCTGCGTGCGAGTCGGCATCTGCTCCTCTTACTCTCTTTGCACGCCCCAGCCCCTCGTCAACGGGACATTTGAGCTTCGTCGGTCGCTTCGCATGCGCGTTGCTTCTCGTTTTGAGTGCCACCAAATGCGAACCAGGATCCTTTCCTCGTCAATGATGCCCTCTTTCCCTTCCGCACCGGCATTCCCTTGCCCCTCTGCCTCCGCGCTCTTTTGCCCGCCTGCGTCCGTGCTCTCGTGCCCTTCCGTACCCGTGCTTCCTCATCCCTCCGCGTCCACCTTTTCCCGCCCGTCCGTGCCCGCGTTCTCCTGGCCGTCTGTGCCCGTGCTTTCCTGCCCGGTCGTGTCCTCGCCCCGATGTCCACGCCTAACCATGTCCAGCTGCCCGCATGCATTCGCCTGTCGGCGCATGTCCGCCCGGTCGTGTTCGTCCGTGCATCCGAGTGCCCGTGCACGTCTGCTCGTTTGTCCGTGCGCGCGGGCCCATTCGTTCGCGTCTATCTGTCGGTGCGCGGCCGCCCATTCATGGGCATTTGCCTGTCCATACGCATCCGCCTGTTCGCGTGCGTCCGCCTGCCCCTGTGCATCCGACTGCCCGCGCACGTCCGCCCGTTCGTGTGCATGTCCGTGCAAATGCACGGACAATCTCGTTGTGACGGTACTGTTCGCCCGCTGTTGTTCGGCGTTGTTCTCGACGATAGCAACGACCTACTTACACAAACTTATTTGTAACGTAACCAGTAGTATCTCTACGATGACATGTTACATTTGGCAAACTCAGAGGTCTCGTTTACGCAGTTTACATGGCAATAATCGTCATCCTAAACCTTCACCAAGGCGGCACAAACCTGCACGGACGCACGGACAGGCGGCACGGACAAAGTACCTTTCCCGCGAAATCGCAACGCGCGTAGAGCGCCTTACGCGCTTAGTTTTCGTTCCATGCCTCCCTCTCCAGATGTCATCAACTCTGCCCCAGCTCGACCACCGGAGGTTGTGACAATCCTCTTCAAGGACAGTCGAGCCTCTTGCTGGCGGGTTATGCGTGGCGTCTCCAGGATGCGAGGACGGTGCATTGCGGCACTTGCGCAATATTTGAAGACGGAACCGCGCTCGCTTGCTCACGCCGTGCGCCGGACGCCCTCGCTCGTTCAGACTCGACCAACACTCGCTCTCAAAACGTCCGCCCGTCCGGCGCATGATGTCATGGAACGAGAAGCCGGTGTACGCTGTTGCGAACGCAGGCTACGCCGACTGGGGGCACGCTTCCAGGAGGACAGGAGGATGGGCAATAGTGCAGAGGGGTTCTCCAGGTGCGTAGTCTTTTCTTTCTTCCTGCTTGGTCCCCAGTCTTTATAATTCATCTGTATTCCTTGTTACTTGGATGCTTCTCGCCATCAAAGATGCTGCCGCCATCGCTTCGACCGCGATCGCTTCGACCGCGCTCGCCTCGCAGGCGGCGTTCTCCAATACTGTGCACACCAAGGCCCGCTGAATCCCAAAGCTAACCGGGAGAAGACGATGGTCTGAGACGTTCAACGCACCCACGTTCCACGTTGCGATCCAGGCCGTGCTCTCCCTCTACGCTTCGACCTCTCCGGTGGTGCCGCCATGTTCGTCGGCGCACGATGGGGTAATATCGCCCACGGTGTCTTCATATGCTTCTGGTACGTCATGAGACGATGGCTATCACCGTACGGTCGACTTACCGATCCTTTGTAGCCTCGCGACGAACATCATCGTCTCGTCCATGCTCGCTGTCGGAGGTTCAGCCACCGTGACTGACCTCGCCCAAAATCGGTTCCTTCGCGTGCATGCATGAGCTCCTCGCCGCCGCCGCCGAACAGGCACCCGTCGACGGGAACGACCAGGGCTCCTACCTCACCATGCGAAGCCGGTGTGCGCCGTTGCAAACGCAGGCTACGCCGACTGGGAGCACGCTTCCAGAAACCAGGATGGGCAATAGCGCAGAGGGTTCTCCATGTGCGTAACCGTTTTCCTTCTCCCTGCTTGGTCACCAGTCTTTTTACACGGCGCTTACCACATTCATCCGCATTCCCTCTTACTAAGGTCGTTCTCGCTATCGAAGATGCTGCCGCCGTTATTATCGAAGACGCAGTTGCGCTCGCCAGACGCAGTTGCGCTCGCCAGTCGCAGGTGCGATTGCGCTTGCCCCCAAAGACGCAACAGTGTATCATCGCGACGTTGATTCATTGTAGTAGGTTAGAATACATGCTTGGTGTTTTTTACACGTGTCCTAGTCTTCGTCGATTACCAAAATCTCTATGCCATTAGCTATCTCCGTGCGGTAGCCGGACCCAGAAGATGATCCAAGTTCAATGCTGACCTCCTCGCGCTTCACCCTGGTTGACACTTGGTCACCTTGAACATCGTTTCCCTCAACGCCAGTAGCAGTCTCTAAGTCTCGAGGGATAGATAGGCAATCATCCCTGGACTCGTGCTTGTCCAACCAGTCACCAAAGGATTCGCCGACTTCTTGATTGGGATCGAGAGTAAAATCTGCAGCCTCCTTCGCTCGTAGAGCATTCATCTCCGCGTAGACATGAGCGACCTCATCATCATCAGCGCTATCTCCAAACATCCTGTCCCCGTATGTACGGCTTCGATGAAGCGTTTGAATAGCACCCTCACGGTCGAGTTGAGGGAGGTCTTGCATGATGAGCTGAGTGGCAGTTTCAGGGACAAGGACCTCATGGAGGAATAACGAGTACGACAAAGGGTTGATCGCAACGAGGTCAATCGCCGGAGAAGAGATAGGAAACAGGCTGTATTTGAGAACAGCCAGTATGATGAGGAGCCCCTTCTCCCCGTAGCTATAGCGTGCAATTAGCATCATCCGTAGCATGAACAGATAGACAACATGACTTACTAGCCCACAGAGGTCTTGCTGAGGGAAGACAATGAGCGCTGGGTTGTATTTGTTGCGCCTACTGTTCCCGCAGAGCGGGCTATTGCAGCGATAAGAAACTCGTTCATGGGGGACGTTGCATGGCTTCGTATGGCATCGTATAGACGTCGGATACGCTTGTGGAGGCGTGCAAAGTCAATGATTTGCGGCCAACCGAGATGGCGGGCAAGGAGAACATCGCTTTCGAAGTGATGTTGAGAGCAAAACGCAAGCTGACGTTTGAGATCGAATGTCGCATGGTGGTACTTGTTCTCTGACGATGGTTCAGACCAAGACACCTTCAAGAGTTCCTTATAGATCTTGAGGAAGTCGGCAGAGGGTATAAAGTCGAGATCCGTATCGCACCACGGGCACCGATCTGCAACTGAATATGTGTTAGGTGATGATCAGAGACTTGCGAACGGATTGTAGTTACATTTCATAACCGAGTCATGATCGATGAGATCCGGTTTCTCCGCCTCCTTCTCGTGTTCATCGTCATCAAGTCCGTGAATGATCGGAATCACCCTTGGAGGATCCAGGCGCTCAAGGACGGGAAATGGCTGAGTCTTCGGAATGGTGTGGCTTGCAAAAGCACTTGTTCGCCCGTGCTTGCTGACACCTTGATGACGATGAACCTGTTTCGATGGCATTGTCATGCCTGTCGGTTTCGCAGAGCCATATTCCTTGTTGTACGCTTTCTGAAATACCCGCCATAGGCCAGCATCCGAGTTGCCATATGCGAGGAAGCGTGTCCTGAGCTCCTCTGGGCTGTAAATCCACAATTTTCGATTGTCGTGGAATGTGGTCCGCTTTAAAGGAGTAGCATCAGACCATGCAGCATGATACGCAGCCTGCTGGTTTTCGATATCATCAGGCTTGAGATCCATGAGGTAATCGTAGGTCTGCAAGCCCAGGGCGATTTCGCAGACGTGGTATTCTGAGGGCCAATGACGGAGTGGAAGAGCGGCCTCCGTAGGAGCTGGGATGGATGGGTTGGCTGGAGCAGTGGGCATGACGTCGGAACTGGGGACACTAGCAGGGGCAATCTTGGAGGCGATGGCTGTAGGTAAAGTGATGTGCGATGTGTCCATCGGAAGGAGTAGATGATCCGATTCGACTCGGACCTTCTTAGCAATCGAATTCGCTGCCTCGGAACCACTGGGACGCTTTGAAGCACGACGATAGGGTTGCCGTGCAAGCTCCTGGTCAAGGTCAGGGCAGTTCTCGAGGGAGCGAAGAGCATCTGGTTTGATGCGAAGTAAGACCCGCGGAGTGGCAGTATTATCACCCTGATGCACGGGAACTGCAGCGGTTATTTTGATTGACCTCCACTCTGCTTCATCAGGGTAATATACATCAATCCAGGTCGAGCACATCAGCTGAAACATGTCGATGATGTCCGCATGATGCTCAAGAACGAGATTTGGCCACGTTCTGCTGAGGTCAATGTCAATTCGTCGTGGTGGTTCTCCATCCTGCAAAGAAAGAGTAAGACTACGGCTGCCCAAAGGAGTGTATTTGAAAACGTACCTTGTACCATACAACAACAACTATGCGCTTTCGAACACGGCTGTCAACCTCCTTCCGGACCTGCTTATGTCGGACAGTATTTTCTGTCTCTGCGATGACGGGTAATCGAGACTCTGTCCAAGTAGAGCTGATAGCCTTCAAGATGGGTGCACGAGCTGACGGAGTACATGGAAAACCACCAGAGGTAGATGGCGTGGGTGTGGGTGCAGGAGCCGGAGATGGTGAAGGTGTCGCCAAAGCCAGCGGTGCAAAAGGAGAGGACGGCTCAGCCACCGAAGCTGGGGCTTGTGGACTGCCTGGCAGAACATCGTGAGCAGGCTTTGTGGGAGATGGCCGGGAAAGCGACTGCAACAAGTTGCTCAGCATTGACAGCTGTTCTGGATCAGGGGCAAAGACATCTTCAGAAACCGCAGGGACAGGGATTAATGGTGCAGTTCGTGCGGTGATCGCAGCATGATTGTGAGGCGGGCACATCTGGCGAGCGGTCCCCAAAGCGACACATTTGTTGAAGTCGGCTAGGCAGCATGGCTTGCAAAAGAGACCAACACAGTTATGCTCAGCCCGCTTGGGCTGAGAGCCAGACTTAGGCTGTGTCGTGCACCCGTTTCTGCAGTACTCGAGTGGCCGCTTCTCTCCCTTGCGAATCTTCTTCCGAGGAGATGGAGGCGGTGCCTGCTCCAGGATAAGGTTCTCCATAGCAAGGCCACCACGGAAGCGTCGGACGAATTCTTGAGCATGGGAATAGAGAAACGGAATGTTTGAGTGGATATGTAGCTTATGGCAATTAGGACACTGCAGCTCAGATTAGCAGGTTCAACTAGATCATTGCATGAGCTGAGTGTACCTTCTGAACGATCTTTCCACAGTTGAAAACATCATTACTGCCCTTGTGGACGTCTACAGGGTCCATGCGTTGGAGACCTGGACAGTATGGACATGTTGAGATGGGGATAACATTGAGATCAGCAGCGCGGACTGGACGAGGCGGTGCCATGCAGGCAGGAAGACTTAAACAGAGAGGCACGCAGGAACGGGAAGAACAGTAATATTATTGAGCTCAAGGGGTTATTATACATATATGTGAGCTTGGAGCCACGGTGGGCGCATGGCCATGGCAGGTACAGCAGCGGGTGTGGCAGAACAGTGGCCACTGAACAGATGAATCCTTGAACACTGTCTGAGACATGGCGCCGCCACTCCGCTGTCGTGGTTGTGGCCTGTTGCAACAGTAGGCGGGAAGATGGCAGTAGGGCCATGGTTAGCATCAGGCAGATGTGCGTGTGGCAGTTTACAGGACAGGAAAGCGGCAGGCAGGTAGGAGCAGGCAGCAGCGAGCGAGAGAGTGGCTTGTGAGGAAGATGGCGGCGGGGACGATGGCGGCAACTGTGGCTGCTATGTGAAGACGATGGCGGCAACAGCGAGGTCGCGACTTGATGACAGTCATCGGCAAAGCACAATGCCGGGAAAGCGGAGCCACACTCCCGGACATGCCGCCAAGCCGAAGGCTTGCTATTCGCCGAACATGTTCGGCGAACACGTGCGCCGAACAACCTGCCAGTTATCGGGACTTTCTGGGACTTTCTGTTTCGGCGAACACGTGCGCCGAACAACCTGCCAGTTATCGGGACTTTCTGGAATGTATTGTCCTGGGTACTATGAGTGTGGTTAGCCAGAACACTTCAACCGAGTCTCGTCGAGGCCTATACTCCTTGCTCGATACCGGCTGATACTACCGCTGGCGCTGTTCGGCCGCTTTCGACCTTCAAGCCATTTCTGGACGCCGACGACGAAAAAGACGTCGAGGTGCACCCACAACCCGATTCGCTTTACCCCGGCGACTTGGACTCAGACATATCCAAAATATGACGGGGCTGATGTGGCAACTGCAATATACCGCCCATACAACAGGTACGGGAATCCTCCTGTATGATTGCATATCTGTGCTCGGGACATCGTTATAGTGCCAAGGCTATTGCCCATCGATATCCGGGGCGAGCAACGCGTAACAGGTTCTGTTCAAAAATGCCTAGGCATCCCTCCCAACTATTGCGGGTAAGGCCAACAACGGCGGCAAAATTGAACTGCATCTTATCCCGTGCATGGAACTTGGTTGTCCAGCCAACATCGAAGCTCAGCAACGCGACCGCGTTGCTTACTCAACTTCAGTCATTGTCGGCGTTTGTCTCGTGCCAGTTGCCTTGCAATCGACTTCTCATCTCCGTTGCCAACGTTGCTGCGGCATCACCATCTTGGTCAACAGAATTGCAATGGATTCCAGAAGATTGTCATATACCAATGTAAACTTCTCGTCCTAACCATGGCCAGAGGCCTTTCTGCGCCTTTCTGCTCCGGATTATCCGGACTCTTTCCTCGACGACAAACTCTACCTCGTATGCGTGGCGTCTTACGGTCAAAACCGCGGCAGGGATTCGGTTACCTGCTTTGGTACCCACAGAGCCGCAAAGCATTCATCGATCTGCCGTCGGGTAACAAATCGCAGGTTTCGGTCTTAGATCCCCTGAGATCTCTCGAAGATCGCAGTCATCCCCTGATCAACACATCACGGTGTCTGTGCCTAGGCGTGGAAACTGACTGCGGCTTTACGCCAACTTTTGACATCCACGGAGAGCGATGAGCGTCTCTGCGCGGGGTAGGCTCTCCAGGTTTCACGTTCCAAGGTCCAGCGCTCGGATGTTCGGATCTGTTGCTCTGTTTTCCCTGGGCGATTCCCGGGCCGCTCTGACCAAATACGAGCCAACATGCGCATGCAATGCGTCTTATTGACGATGACTGTTTGGCGCTCGTGCGCCTAAACGAAGGATGCCGGCGCTTGCAAGGAACACGCGTGATCCTGCTGCTCAGAGTCTATTCTGTATTCGCCTTCTATAAAATTTGCTACGTCGTGCGGTCTCCTGATTCGGTAGGGGCATGAACCGCGAACATGTAAGTCCGGAGAAGCCGGAATGCAAGGGGAAATGCTGAAACTTTCCGGACCTACGTACCCCAAGGAGTATGTCCACCGAGCCGGACTCTCCCAATGCAACCGGTCGCTTGCCTTTGTAAGAGCGACTCGCTTCTTTATGCCACAGCAAAAAAAAAAAAATTGCGCACGCCAAACCGTTTCATTGAACCGCCAATTGATTCCAACCCCGTTGCGCGGAGGGACGACAAGAGATTTATGGAAATTCACATGAAAATCTAGAACGACACTCGCCGATCCGACTGTATTAGATACCAGATGTCGATTGCACTTTCATATGCATATCCCAGTGCTAGTCATCCACTGGCGATGTTACACGACGAGCTGAAGCAGTTACCGGCGACTGCGTGCCGCCACTGCCGCGTGAATTTGCCGGATTAGACGGGCGCTTGTTTCCCTAGTGCGGAGTGACAGCCATCCGGAGCATCCCACCCTCGAAGTCCGAGGTATATAGCTTTCGTTGATCGATCCAACTTTTGAAGCGCGCGAATATACTCAGGCTCAGGGCTGTGAGGCTTAAAAGGCATTCTGGCTGGGGTGTGTGTGCACCCCTTTTCAGCTCAGGCCGGCCGTCTATACCGGTAATAATGTCGGACGTGCGCCAACGCCGCGCGGAGCCTGCTACGGGGTCCAAATCCAACGAAGATGCCACAAAGCATGGTCCCTCGAGTTCCGCTGCCAAAAGCCGTCAAGGGCTGAGCACGTTGGCTTACGTGGCATTAAGCTACGTCGCTGTCGGTGTGGCGTACCTTGCTCTTCGTCGTCCGCAGATATCCAGGTCACTGCCGCATGCGTATGCAATATGCTCACCGGAAGGCGCGAAAATATACACGGCTGATGATCAAGGACCTCAAGTGCAGTGTCTTGTGGTTGATGGAGACCGCTTCTTGGATGTTGGGAGCATTCGTATGTGGCTACTTCTACGAGCCAAACTCTCAATCTCAACCTTTTTGCGTAGAATCCGTAACTGAGAGGTGGCAAACTCACGGGAACGGGGAGAAGCTGAATGTGCGCTTCATAGAGTCCAGTTCTATCGTAGTGCCGGGTTTGAGCGGTACGATCATGGACACCTTCGTCAAAAACGTCCAGCCTGAATAACCACGGTAGATTCTCATGGTCACACGCTTGAGTACGGTGCGAGCCGACAAATACCTCTGGAGAGCGCCAAGAGTAGTAAGGGTACGCCTTTCGCGCCGTATTGTACACGGATTCGCCAGTTCATGATCGACTTCAGAGGCTGTCAGTCTCGTCCGCGAGTACATATTGTCCAATCCCGATATCCTGGCGAACTCTTCCAAATTCATTGAGGGCTGTATGTACTGCCAGACGCTGAAGGAACCTCGTGATTGATGGAATCATAGGGGGGTGGGATCATACGTCCTGGCCCAGGAGCGAATGGCCCACTGCTGTGCGTCTCAGTTCCAGTCATAGACATGTCACTAAAGGATGGCGTTCTAGGCTGATTTCGACGAAGACCCTTTGGTCAAGGGCAGGCCCGTGGTCCTTCAGCAGAAAGATGGGCATGCTCTGTGGGTTTCACCGAAGGTTCTAGAGCAGATGACCCCAATTCCCTACGAAGTCGAAGGTGGTTACATCCGGCGCGATTCTTCAGGACTTCCCACTGGTATGTTCCTGATAATGATTCAGATGTGGCGCTCATTCTATCTTAGGCGTTTTCCTTGATAACGCCCAGGAGCTTGTGAAACGTCCGGCCCTTACAGACGAAGACCTGCTCAGACGCTTCCAAACAACCGTCAACGATGCACATGCGCGAGGCTTGACTACTGTACACGATGCGGGTTTCGATCCCACATCATTGAGCTTCTTCAAGCGGTAAGCCCTTTAGTGAGGTCTCCCTGATATAGTACCGAACTTCCTTAAGGCAGTCGGAGAAGGCACCTTTACCGGTGAGATCGGACACGGATTTTCTGAGTACCTGCTGACGCATCATCGGTCAGATCCGCATTTACGGGATGACTTTCTTCGACGAAGAGGCTCCGTATTGGGGAGACACGAAGCCAAAGCTGATTGACAACGGCACGACCAGACTCACCGCTCGCAGTGTAAAGATCTTCGCGGATGGTACGGTGCCTTCTATCCGAATTCGTCAAGCGCTCACCTGCTTGATACAGGTGCCCTCCGCTCCGGAGGGGCTGCAGTAGGCACTTCGAGTCTTCGCCTGCCACCTTAGCTGATTAGACCCTAAGCTTTATGAGCCGTATACCGACAATCCGAGCACAAAAGGTTTCATGAGACTATCCTCCGAAGTTCTTACGACTGTCATACCGCGTTTCTTGCATGACGGGTGGCAGGTGGTGAGAGAGCTCTCCCCATGTACATGTCACATTTGTGGTCTTGACGAATGGGACTCGACTAGAACATACACGCAATCGGCGACAGGGCAAATGGCCTCGTGTTGGATGCCTTCGAATCAGCTCTCAGTGGAGTGAACGTGACGGCACTTCGACCGCGACTCGAGCACGCTCAGATCATGACAGAGGGCGACATGAGTCGCTTAGGTCGCCTAGGAGGTATGAGACTCAACCCAATCTCTCCCAGTGAGGCAAGCGCTGATGTCCTGTCACAGTCATCGCCAGTGTGCAGCCTACCCATGCGTGAGTTCTTCAACGCTCAGCACTGTCCATCCTTTCATGCGATTGGGTGATCAGGATTTCGGATATGTGGTATGCGGAAGACGTTCGTGAACATTCATCACATCATTTCCACTGTCGTACGCAGCCTTTTCTGACACCCATCTGAATTTGCTCAGCGTCTTGGACCCGAACGCGTCAAGATGTTGTACGCATTCCGGTCAATGGTGGACCGCGGGGCCAGAATCACACTTGGCTCTGATTTCCCGGTGGAAGATCTAAACCCTATGTCTGGTTTCTACGCCGCAATCACGAGGCTATCTCCTTCTGGTACATCGCCCAAGGGTTCTGAGGGCTGGTGCGTGTTATAACTATCATCCGCAGTTCACTTCTAACCGATGCGACTTGCAGGTTTCCGGAACAACGCCTGACGCGCGAAGAAGCCCTCAAAGGTCAGCCGCATCGACAACTCTCATAGCTATCTAATATTCGCAGCAGGGATGACCTTGGATCCCGCCTATGCCTCTTTTACTGAAGACATGCTTGGATCCATCACAATTGGGAAACGCGCCGACTACGTGATTCTTAACCAGAATATCATGACGATCCCAGTCCCGTCCATCTTACAGACAAAGGTGCTCGCCACCGTTATCGATGGTCGACCAGTTTTTGGTACAGTTTAGTATTGGCGTCCATGCGATGTCTGCCGTGGGATTTGGGAGGGTCAAACGACAGCGTCTGCGAGCCTGTCAAATCTCCGTGTACACCTCTCGCGTGGCTGGCTAGCGTCAATGCCATGTTTTTCAGATTTGGGCGTGGTATTTTGTGCAAACTTGCAGTTGAGATTGGTCCCGTTGTGGATGAACGAAGATTATCGTGCATCCAGAATGTTGTATTGATGACCAAGAAAACAAAGAAAGTACGGACAGACAAGATGACGTTCGATGGTTTAACTTAGCACAACTTCCGACTTCCATCCCACCTACTCCTCTACCGCTGCCTACGGGCACAACACACTGTGCTTCATGCAGGAAGGGTCGCTTGCTTGATACCGTACACGATATGACCGATGACGTCTCGAGTTCTTCATATGGCACGACATCCTTGGCTGCGACAGAGCAGGCGTCGGCGCAATTCCAGTCTACCAAAGTATCAGCACATAAGAGCAAGCCACAGGAGGGCACACAACAAACGGATCCGGCTACTGGGCTGTTAGGGACTGTCTCCAATAGTGAGAAGTCGAGCCCACCCGACTCCTTTCCTTCGTCGAAGAACAGGAGGTTTCGACCTGGCGCAGGGATCCTCAACGACATTCGGTCTCGCCTGCCTTACTATATGAGCGATTGGAAGGACGCGTACAACTATCGCGTGGTCCCTGCTATTGTGCTCATCTTCTTCGCGAAGTAAGTTTCGACCCGTCTGCCTGTTAGTGATGACTAACGACCAACGTAGCGTCTTGCCAGGAATTGCCTTCTCATTAGACTTAGTGAGTCGTGGCTAGCTGGTGTGCTGATGTATACTGATACTCTTTCTACACAGATAGAAACCACTGAACAGTATGGTGTCGCAGAAGTCCTGTTATCATCCTTCATGGCGGCCTTCATATTTTCAGTCTTCGGTGCTCAGCCCCTTTGTATTGCTGGTGTGACTGGACCGATCACAGTGCTCAACAAGACTATCTTCGACCTGACGCAACGAGGCGACCCTGCGACGAGGCCGAATTATCTTCACCTGGTGGGATGGGTATATCTCTGGGCTGCCATATTCCACTGGATTACCGCCATCTTGAACTGTATGTATTGTGAAAATACGATCGCTGGAAGCATCGCTCATGACCAAAACAAGGGTGCAATTTTCTGAGATACGTGACTTTGTTTTCCTGCGACATCTTTGGTTTCTACGTGTCCTGGGTGTATCTCCAGTACGGTGTTCAAGTCGTCACCCGCCAGTTTGTCAGTGCTCCGTCAGAAAACGGGCCTTTCGTCGGCATCATCCTCGCGCTCCTTATGCTCATTACTTCATTTCTGTTCCGATCGCTGTCGCAAACAACATTCTTCCATCGCCATGTACGTCGCTTCCTGGCAGACTACGGCATGCCGATATCGCTCGTTGCCAGTTCCGCAATGGCCTACTGGGGAAGATTCAATGCCGCTAACCCATCCACCTTGCCTGTGAACGGGGCTTTCCAGCCTGCCGGTGGGCGCCAGTGGCTTGTCAGGTTCTGGCAGTTAGACGGAAAGTGGGTCGGCATAGCGTTCCCCTTTGGCGTCGTCCTTTGGGTTCTGTTCTTCTTCGACCATAACGTGTCGGTGAGTCCATGGAAATCCACCTTCGTCTTAGTCTCCCGCCTGATCAACCTTGCATGCAGTCCTTGATGGCACAGGGAACACAGTTTCCTCTCAGAAAACCGCCCGGCTTCCATCATGACTTCTTCCTACTAGGCATCACTACGTTCATAGCCGGGCTGATTGGCGTGCCGGCTCCAAATGGATTGATACCTCAGGCGCCTATACACACAACCTCCCTCCTCGTCATGGGCAGGCCATTCAAGGACGACAAGGAGGAAGCGGTGCCCGCGTCTAGGGCCGGAACTGCCACTCCTGGCAGCGTTAGTAAAGGCAAGGAGGCGGCGTCAGGAACGGACAACCAAATGCGCATTAGGAGTGCCTCGCCGAACGTCACCGCTCGTCCCGAATCACTTGACAATGAGCACAATCATGGGCACATATTTCATGATCCCGAACCTCCGCTGGATCCTGCGACAGTCGATCGTCACGAGGTGCCGATCGCGGTAGTAGAGCAGCGACTTTCAAATCTTGCTCAGGGTGCCCTATGCTTGGTCCTCCTATCAAAACCATTCCTGCATATACTGCACCTGATTCCTCGTGGGGTCCTGGCAGGTTTATTGTATGTATCAATCTGGCCAGGACGTCCGAAACGACTGACAGGTCCACAGCTGGTACATGGGTGCCGACGCTTTGGAAGGAAACGGGATAACTCAGAAGATCTTCTATTTCTTTCGTGACAAATCCCTCATGTCCCCTTATGATCCTTTGCACAAAGTCAGGAAGTCACGAGTCTTGCTGTTCGTTGTCGCGCAACTCATCGGATTCGGCGCTGCATTTGCCATAACCCAGACTCAAGGTTGATTTGTATTGCTGTTATATGCACGCGGTGTCGCTGAATATGCATACAGCCGCTATCGGTTTCCCGATTGTCGTTTTCCTACTGGTTCCCGTAAGGACGTACCTCATCCCTCGACTACCACTCACACCGGAGGAGTTGGCTACCCTAGACGGCCCAACGGCTTCATCGTTTGTACGTGGTCGATCGCGGGCTTTTCCACGTCGTAGTGACTGAGATCACCAATTATGACTAGACCATGATGTCGGTGGGGGGCTCTGCATAAACGTAAACGCTCAGGTCCATGCTACGTTTGACATGTATACGCTCCTTGGAGCCTTTTCGCGGGCCCTACCTAGTCTCTGATTCGAATAGAGGTTTTGCCAATTATATTTCGTGTCCCAAGCACGTGCTTCCCGTACCAGTAACGTTCCCAGGCCTGTGCTGCTGCACGTCAGAAGGCGCTGGACACGAGTGAGCGTTCTTTGCCTTCATTGACCCCTGATCGCTGTAAGCTGCTCCGCGGAATTGCTGGCCACGGGACTAAGTTTTGAACAGCGACGGACTATGCTCAATGGTTCTGCGGTGGATCATGCGCTGTCGGAGAAGCCCACCGACGGGGAAGTGAATGGAAACCATGCAACCTCGGATGACGGCGATTCCTCGATTGTTGGGGACACCTCATACTCCAGCCGTATGGATGAGATACTAGGCAACGACGAAGAGGATTCTGATTTGGGAACCAAGGACGAGGAGGGTTCTGAGGGTTTCGTGTACGAGGGTGTGGACGCCGTGCCGGCAGGCGGTTACCGGGAACAGCTGCGGGACGTTCTTGGCCTTGAACACGACGAAGATGACGAGCTGGAGGTGGAGAAATCCCTGATTCACGATGATGACTACCATAGCACCTCAACACATGTACGCCCTCTCGGTATCCTCCTCTTGCATTTCGTTAATCGCTAGTTCCTCTAGGATCTCTCGCCCGCCAGTTCAACAAGACCTGTCCCTGTTATCATGACACCACCTCGTGTGTCGTCTCCTCTACCGAAGGGCACGCCATACAAGTTATCAAGACCATTCCTTCACCCAACAGTGTCCCGGCTGCGTTCGTTCACGCCTGGAACTCCAGACAACGCTGCGAGCTCTCGCTCAGAGGTTCAAGATATGATCTCTCCCGAACCGTCACACTTCTCCGCGATATCACGGTCTTCCTCTCTCTCGAACCTGCGTGCTGCCGCAACCAATATCTATGCCGGCCATGAGCGACCAATATTCTTGTGGACAAACTTGCGCTCAATATCAGAGCACGTGCAGCCCAATACCTCCCAGAAGGCGTCGACCTTGCTTGGGTCGTCACTCACGGGGACGCCAACGGTTCTTTCGGCCAATGGTATGATATGTATAGGTACCAGCAGCGGCAAGACCTGGGTCTTTGATTTCAAGCAGACCTTGAAATGCGTATGTGGTGGAAGTGATATAGCGGGTAAGGTCCCAGCGACCATATATCTGTTTTCTGGTCCTGATAATGTCCTAGGATCTGTCACTGCACTCGCCTTGTCGCATGATCACACGTACCTGGCTTGCGGACATGCTCACGGCCATATATTCCTGTATGACCTGAGCAATCCAGATGTACCTGCGAGGACCGTTCTACCGACTTCCCTTGTGAACGTGGCGTCTGGGAGGCAAGAGGGACATTTACTGGGCACTCGGATTGTCAGCATCGACTTTATTGCTGGCAGACACACCGCTGTTGTATCATCGGACGACAGCGGACTTTCCTTCTACCACAGTCTTGGCAAGGTGTTGTTCGTAGCCGCCAATGACACGCTGCGCATCTTGGGCCGATACCCCGAAGATGATCCCGGAGAACATATTCGCGACGCCAAACCGGCAGGACTGGCACCTCACCATCCTGCGGCGTCTCGTCGACGGAGGGAAAGGAGGATGAACACGACGCTAGCGATGGCCCCATTGCCGTTAGGCACAGGCCCTAGTCCCACCGACGCATATAACGTGGTGGCATTGCTTACTCCGATGAAGCTCGTGATTGTGGGCCTCAAACCATCCCCAAAGACATGGTACAGACGTCATAGGGATGAGGAGGATGGAAAAGGCAACAGATCTCGGTGGAGAGGTACCTTGGCATGGTTTCCGAGTATGCTCACCAGTGAATCCGAAAAACATACGCCTGCAAGTTCAAGGCTATGGAAACGAGCGCCCAAGGAAGAACCACGGTTCTCGTTGCCGGTTCTAGCATACTCCTGGGGGCCCACACTGAGATCGATTGAAGTCTCAGCCACGTCATCCCGACAGCAGGCGAAGAATACCAAAACTGGGAAGCTTACAGAGATTGAAGTGGGATCTCTCGTATTCCGCGAATTGATCTCCTGGGAGGCCGGTGATGACATCCTGGCGTTGCAGTGGTTGAACGTCAATGTGGGTTCGTTCTCTTTGCTTGCTCCGTCAGGCTTTAATTGAATATATTACATCATTCTTTAGCAAGTCCTCGTTGCGACCACCGAAGAGCTCGTCGTGTACGACATTCGTATGCGCAAACCTGTTGAACGCAGCCGTTTTGACGTCTCGTCTTTGGTTTCGCCAACACTTGAACACACAGTGAATGGCGGATACACTTACTCTCATGCAGTTGGCGACGTGGCCCACAGCGTGCGCGTGTACAAAGGCAAGATCTTCTTGCTCGTCAGTATTTGGTCAGCATCCTCGAATTAATCACTGCTCACCACACGTTCCAGACGCACCATGGCATCCAAGTGGGTACGCTTCTGACATGGGCGGATCGCATACTCGCTTTCGTGCAAGGAGGGGATTTTATCAGTGCCATCGAGCTTACGCGAACCTTCTATCTTGGAGAGGCACCCGGGAACAGGAATGGGTTGCCGGATGATCCGGATGAACTGCGAGAGGTTGTTGGCACGAAACTACGGGAGCTCATGAACGCTTCGGCAGCCTATGCATTCTCTGAGGATCGCATGAGGGACAGTACGCATCTTACGTCGGATGGTCGTGGAGTGGACCGTACAACCCTTTTTGAAGAGCTTGTTTCCGCTTGTACTCGGGCTTGCATCGCACTCGACAACTTCGACTTCCTCTTCGAAGATCTCTTCCAATATTACGAGGAATCGGGTATCACCCGTATCTATCTTCTCCAGCTGGAGGCCTTCATCCTGGATGGTCAAGTCCGTTATGTTCCTCCTCGCATCACGCAGCGCCTGGTAGCACTCCACGACGAAGATAGCAGACCAGATCTTGCCGAACGCGTTATCTGGCATATAGCTCCCGAGTGCCTCGACGTCAGTCAAGCGCTCGTTCTATGTCAGAGGCACCACCTTTACGACGCGCTCATATACGTTTTCACCCGCGCAGTGCAAGACTACGTTTCGCCTGCAGTCGAGCTTCTCGCCCTCGTGCGGCGGGTTCAACAATACCGCAGGTATAGGAAAGAGGCGACGGAAGGTGAACATGTGGACCCTTCCGAGATCGCCGCTCAAGATGACGGTATCGAACCTATCCTTATTAACGCCTATAAAATCTACCCTTACCTTAGTGATACCCTTTCCGGCCTTACATACCCAAGCGAGGAACCTATCGAAGAACCAGAGGCGTCACGAGCAAAGCAAGGCGTATACTCATTCATCTTCGATGGACGCTCGAGGATTTGGCCAGAGGGCGAAGGAGGCGAGCTCATCCTCACCGCCGAGGAAGAGGGCGGCGCCGAACCAACGTACCCTTACCTTAGACTCCTGCTCCGATTCGACACCGAAGCGTTTCTTCACTCTCTGGACATCGCATTCGAAGACGCGTACCTCAATGATGAACCTCAAGGCATCAGCCGGCTTCTCATTGTGAAGGTTCTTCTGGAAATTCTGTCCACTCCCGACCTCTCCCCCTCCGATATCACCTTCATCAATATATTCATCGCTCGCAACGTACCGAAGTATCCGCAATTCATACGCATGCCGCCCAGCGAACTGGAAAGTATCCTCGTAGCCCTCGCTAAGGACCCGGACGAAAGCACGCGGGAGGATAGGCAGTTAGCCGCGGAATACTTGCTATCTGCTTACACCCCTCATCAAACAGAACGCGTCCTCAGTATGCTAGAGAAAGCTGGGTTTTACAGGATACTCCGATCATGGCATATGCAAGAACGGCAGTGGGGCCCGCTGCTTATGGCCCACGTTCGTGACCCCGAGCTTAGCACTCCGGATCTTTTCAAAGGTAGCGAGGTGGTCCTGGCCCGCGCCTTCCGTGCAAACAAGAAGACTTGCCCTCCAGAGCTCCTCCAAGACGTTAAGCTCGCCCTTCCAACTTTCTTATTGTCGGAGGTATCCGCAACTGCCCTTTTGCTCGACAAGCACCTTCCGCAATTGCACCAGCACGCTGTTGACCTCCTTGACACCGACGAGGGCAAATTCGTTTATTTGCAATACCTGCTGGGCCCTCCTCCAGCCGACGACGACATGAGAGAACATTCTCGACCTGGCCCTCCCACCACAAAGCTATCGAAGGAACTCTGCAGCCTATACGTTGAGTTACAGTGTCGGTTACATCCCACGGACACGATCGCCGCGCTTGCCTATCTTCCAGAGGACTTCCTGGACTGGACTGAGACCCTGTGGACATGTGAAGACAACGACGTGTTCGACGCTGTCGTGTGGGGCTACGACCGACAAGGCCAACCCGACGTCGCGCTAAACAAGGCAGCCGAATTTGATAAGCGATTAGGCATCCAAGTCGTAGATACCTTGAGCGGACCGAATCTAGATGAGGAGCGTCTATTTGCCGCTGTCGAAGGCATGGAATCGGTCGCCAGGGTGGCCGTTGCCGTCTGCGTTGCGCACTCGAATCCGCGGAGTAATGCCAATCCTGTCCCGGAAGATCTGTGGTTCCAGCTACTCAGCAGCCAAATCACCTCCGTTCAAATTGTAGCGGGCGCGCTACAGCACCTTCCGTCCACAGATGGTGCGGCCGCGGCCGCCCTTGATCGACTTCGGGCACTCGTCCAGCAGACATTCTCCTCGCTCATGACTATGGCGCCGAGCACCGCCGTCTCGTTCCCGCGGCTCTTCAAGCGACTCGTCGAGTCGCCAAAACCGGTCACCAGTGGTGGAGGTGCGATGGCATACACCGAGTTCCGCGTGATCCTTACGGGCATGCTGGACACGTACCGCTCGGAAGGCGACATGCTCGCCATCGCTAAGCACCTCGTCGACCGCGACGTGTTCGAGACAATCGAGGAATTGTGCAAGGCACGTGAGAAGGGTTGGAAGGCGAGCAGGGGAGTGTGCGCCGGGTGTAGGAAGCCGTTGGTAGATCATGCGAATTGTAAAAACGGTGAGGGCGATGCTGGGGATGGGACGCCCGAACAGTTGGTGGTGTCGCGAACGGGTGTCGTTTATCATCGTCGAGCCGATTGTTTACCTTCCACTTTAGACGTTTCGCTGCCGTGATTAGGTAGCCATTAGGTCACCACATATGTACCATGAGTGCACTTTGCTAATGCTAATCGTAATTTCTACTAGATTGTTCTGCAGAAATCGGTATTCCCGGGCAAACAGTATGATACAGTCGTTAGTTTACAATATTGAAGTTGAAGCATCCGCACTGTTGTACGTTTTGATATAACCAGCGGGGACGATCAGCACCACGGTACGTCCTCTTTGATCACCTCCTCCAGCGCCTCCTCAAAGATCGCGCATCCCTTCTGCATATCCTCCTCGCCGATGTTGAGCGCCGGGATGAACCGTACCACCTCATATACGCTCGTCGTCAGCAGTAACATTCCCTTCTCCACGCATCGCTTCGCGACCCTGCTCGCCAGGCCCTTCACGGCATCAGGACGCCGGAGCGGATCACGCTCGCCGCCGACGGGCGCGGGCGAGGCGAACTCCACGGCGACCATCAGCCCCTCGCCGCGGACATCGAGGATCTGTTTTCCAAAGTTATCGTCCGCCTGCAGGCGGCGGAGGAAGGAGAGGAGTTCGGATGAGCGCGCGGCGACGTTGTCGAGGATCGGTTCGGAGCGGAAGACGTCCGCGACAGCGACAGCCGCGGCGCAAGAAACGGCGTTACCTGCGTATGTGCCACCCTGGGAGCGCGCGAGGTTACTGTCTGGGCAAAGCCAAGGAGAGCGCGTAGGGACGTACCATTGAGCCGGGCTTGAGCTTGTCAGTGAGCTCCTTGCGGCTGATTACGCCGCTCAGGGGGAAGCCATTGGCAAGGCCCTAGGAAGCACGTTAACCGATGATCGTTCAATTTGTAGATCGGTATCTACCTTGGCGATGGTCAAGATATCAGGACGGACACTGCGAAGGCAGACCAGTCGCATCAGAAGTAACTTATGCTCAGAATCAAGCAAACACCTACCCGCTGCGTTCGATGGCGAACATCTTACCCGTCCTGCCGAAGCCGCTCTGTACCTCATCTACGATGAGCAAGATACCGTGCTTATCGCATACCTCCCGCAGCCCCTTCAGGAAGCTTGTCGGGGCCGGTACGTACCCGCCCTCGCCGAGGACAGGCTCGATGAGGATGGCAGCCGTGTCCTTCGGTGCAGACTGCTGCGCGAGGACAAGATCCAGCTGGTAGAGTGCGAGCTGGGCGAGCTCGTCCGGCGAGGTGGAGGCTGGCAGAGAGAAGTGGTGGAAGTAAGGGTAAGGAATGGTGAACACGCTGTGGAGATCATGAGCATGCATGCTGAAACAGAGAAGCAGGGAGGCGCGACCTAGGCATGAGCGGAGCGCATCCTTCGCTGTAGATCGTCTTGCTCCGCGTCACGGCCATCGCGCCGAACGTGCGGCCGTGGTAGCCGCCCTGCATGGTGATGATGTTCTGCCGGCCGGTGAAGAGGCGTGCCATCTTGAGTGCGGCTTCGATCGCCTCAGAACCCGAGTTCCAGAAGAAGAAGGAGTCGAGGGATGGATCGGGCATTAATGGCAGGAGGTACTTCACGAGCTGCAGATAAGGCCCATGGAAGGCGATGGAGCACTGGACGGGGTATGAGGAGGGGGAAGCTATGGCCGTGGGTCAGAAATGGCACTATACCTGGCTGTGAACGATGTTCATGCATTGTTCGGCTGCCGCAGCACTAATCTTAGGATGGGCATGTCCTGACTTGGAGGTAAACGCGTTGGTACACGAGAGCAAACGACTGCGAGATCGTACCGAGGTTGGTCACGCCGATGCCGCAGGTGAAATCGAGCAGCTTTCGGCCATCGTGCATGTGCACATAGGACCCCTGCCCTTTGGTAACAACGCCCGGGGTGATGCGACCGAGCCCTTTGGTGACATGCGGGCCGAACTCGGCCTCGAGCGATGCAAGTTGGCTGTTGGAACGCATCTGGGTGGTCGGACGTGGACTACATCACAGGAGGCGTGGAGTCAGCGCATATATGCAGGCATTCAGATACACATACGCCGAAAGACGAGCGATGCCCGTGTTTCGCCATGCGGTAGAACGGGCACGAGTTATAGCATGCATCTTCGTACAACCTTCGTTTCTCGGAGAGCAGTATCCCGTATAAGTGTTGAAGCCCGAGCCGAGTTACAGAGACGGGGCAGCGTCCTGTCAGCGGCACCTGCCCAAGGCTGGAGATGACTCGGGACAGATGAACGGGCGTACAAGATATGCAGCAAGAGCCGGATGGCCTCCACAATGCCGTCAGGGTCTATTTTTACCCGACCAGCCGTGGGCGCGATCTCATCCTCCATCTTCACGGCTCAGCGCTCAGCAATAGTGCAACGGCAAGCCGCCCGAAAGGTCGACGAGGTTTCCAGCCAGAGGGCGTGAGTGGACAAGGTACCATCCTACATCCTGCCGTTATTAATTCTGCACGTTCGGCACGCGCATGTTGCCGGAGAGTTACAACTTACCGAGCTCAACTGAAATATCAAATCACTACCTCCACAGCTCTACAACAACTTCAATATACACATTGACACATGTTCGAATGTTCGATATGTCTTTTGGTTGTCTGGCAGAGACAAGGCTCTCGATAGCCGCGGTCGGCCGACTTGCCGCCGTTGACGGATCCATCGTACTCTTGCTGTCCATCCAGCTGGATCACAGGAATGTGAATTGGAGGCCGGATCAGTCACTGGGGACCTGGCCCCCTGGCTGATGGCAGGACGTATTATGAGGACGATCCTTGTCTAAACCCTTATGGAAGGTCTTCGACTTGAACCTCATCAATCCGGGGCGGCGGCTTTCGAGCTAGTGCAGCGTCTCCCGGGCTAAGATGCCCGGCGCTCGCGCAGGAGCTCCCTCTTGCCTCGCAGTCAGCGGGGATCTCATTCGACAGTACAACACCAAGAGCTCCAGGATATCGTGTTCTCTGTTCGGGCTCTGAAGTCGACGTTTGCTCTGAAAGCTCCCTGGCTGTTATTCCTCGATATGCTCATGCTCGGCCTTACGCTCCTTACGGTTTGCGCGCTCCTTTTACCCGGCCGCGCGTACGTTCCAGCTATACCAACCAACGACACAACCGTCTCTGGCGCACCCGATGCAACGGACTCATCTATGCTGATTTCGTGGTATTCTGAAGGGTAAGTCGCCGTAACAGACAAACATGCGCCACACGAATCCATCTCATACTCGAGTCGTCCCGTTCTTCAGATCATATGCAACCTCTGTATCCCACACGCTCATCCCGAGCGGAAGCTCGGGCTACACGGAGGGCGCGCTTGTGCACTTTGACGAGGACATGGTCGCGGAGGGGAATAGTATGCTTTTCGCCGGCACCCACACCTCAGCGGAGACCTGATCCCTTTTTTCAGCCACGACGCCGTGGATAGCCCTCGTCTCGTGTGATGGCAACGCGACAAACCCTTCCGAGACGGACATATTTACGCTCGCAAGTCAACGCGGAGCTGTGGCCGCAGTAAGCACCGAAATCCATCTGATCCAGCGGTCAAATACACCTGCTCATGTGCAAGCACTTTCCAGATACTATGGTCGAACTACTCCGTTGCATGTGCTATCCGCATCGATGCCGCCTATGTCGCCCCTCTGGACGTCTTCTCGACTCACAGTTTGACTTCCGGAAGGTCAGTCATCGTACTCTAACCCCTGCTGATTGCCTCATCAAGTATTCTCACCGATCAATCAATACAAACTTCAGGAATCTGGACAATACGTTCCTCCGGGCAGACCGGTTACATTGGCAGTATAGTTCCTACGACGGCGATCAGCTCACCAAAGCCGCCTCCGCCGTGCAAGCCGGCATCCAGGATCCTGAATCGGTCCAGCCGGGGTACATTATCGCGAGTTTGTATGCGGACGTCCCCACCAACTCCAAGGTATGGACGAGCACCACTGGATTGTCATCCTCGACATCGGGAGGTGCAGCTGCGACGGCGACGGCTGCCAACGGCAACAGCGCCAGCTCGGGGACAAGCACTGCTCATAGTACGCGGTTCACCCTGAAGTACTCCTGTATAGCTGCGCTCTTGTCCATCGTGGCTGCGTCCGTGTAAACCGTGTCTGTACGACTGCCTAGTAGCCAATGCGCGTTATCAACACACATTATGTTATCCGAGCCTACTAGTCGCACCGCACCCTCCCGCTTCCAAAACCCAGGTCATACCCCACTTTCAGGCGCCCCAATGCACGAAAAGCGCCCACTCGTACGCACTGAATCCCCGGTTTCGGAGCTTCTGGACAGCACTGTCGAGCGCGTACGGTACAATATCGAAGTCAACCACCCCATCCTGCGACTCGAATAATCGTTTGTACACATGCTTGGCGACGACTGGTCCTGCATCGTCTGCCATCGGCCTACAAGGCGGCGTCAGTCGACGACAAAACACACGTAAAGTTACGGTGTCCTCACCACATGGTCGCAACAACGCTGCGGAAGCCGGTGAAGAGTAGAGCAGCGGCGAGGTGAATGACCTGGTCGGGATGCAAGCTGTCGCCTTTGCCCGTGTCGCACGCGCTCAGGAATGCAAAGGTGGCGTCGGGCAAGTTGAGCTTCATCAGCTTCTCTATCGTCAGATCGCCATCCCCGAGCTTGAAGGCGCTCTGGAGCGGGTCTCTGCTGTTTTGAACACCGTGACATGCGAGGTGAAGAACGGTGCTCTCCGAGAGATGGTGGATCACACGGGAGATCGTTGTTGGCGTAGGCGGCTCTTGCTCTCGTTGCACGATGGTGGTGATATTTGGCGGCAATGCTTCGGCCACAGCATGGATTTCCTCCGTGACACCATCTAAGATCTCGGTCCTGCCTCCATAAGCCTGGGGTTCTGCTACAAGGAGCGCCCTGACGTCCTCGGTTTTCTTAACGGACGGTTTTCTTTGAGCAATCAGCAGAGCACTCAACGTCTGAGTGTACGAGGATACAAAGTACTGTGACGTGTTATGGGCCTCTTCTGATGTGTAAGTCCCGGCAGCGTGGAGTGGAAGGAACGAGAACGGGCCAGTGGGCAGCCAGGTGAGTCGAGGTCGAGCGTGTCCCTTGCGTGGCTTGCAGCAGCAGTTAGAATCAGTACGAGAAGAGTTAGTAAGATGGAAGCACCTTCAACCTCAGTTCTCGAACGATGGGTTCGACGATAGTAGTCCAAAGCCTCTCAAGAAGTGTTATCAGGAATTCCTCCTAGGTCCATGAGTGAATAACAAGCCGGCGAATTATGAACTCACACCTACCAATTTGTCGTCCGATTCATCCCCGTTGTCGGCACTAAGTATATAGTCAGCCTCGCTGGGAGATGAGCGAGGCCTATCTTCGAGTGTGATGGTCACTTCGCGGGCTCGGCGACGAAGCAACCTAAACTTGATGCTTTCGCCTCGTAAAGAGGCTCCCAGTGCGTGAGCAGTGGTAGCATTCATCAACGGAAGTACAATATGTGCAGCAGGTCGATCATGCTGGATGATGATTGCATGCGACTCGATCATGCCGGCGGTCAATATAACGACTGGCCCCGAGATGGCTGCCTTGGCGAGCTCGTCGAAAGGTTCCGGGAGCAAGAAGCGTTCGTACCCGGGTATGCTGCGTACTTTAGCTACCAGCCTGTCGAACTCTTCACTTTGGCGGCGCCTCCTAGCTGCGTGCTCAGTATGTCGGGCATGCACCGCCGCATTTGCCTGAACAGTTTCTGGCATGGAGTCTTCCTCGAGCAAGCGCGAGAGCCGAGCGAGCTCCGAGGAAAGATCGATCGGGAGTTCGTCGAATCGGGTGCGAAGGGACAGGGCTTGAGACCAGAAAACCGCTCGACCCTGTTCCAGCAGTTCAACCGCTGTGATCAGTCTACCGAGGCGCATGGCCAAGGATGATGCACTGGTGGTGATTAGCTGGGAGCCGTCTAGCGCTGACAGACGTCTCGAGGGATCAAGACCGAGAACTGCGATACGTGGCATGAGCCCGATCGCGTTTTCATACGCCTCGAGAAGATGGGTGTATATTTCGTATATTTCAGGTCCATCGTACTCTGACAGCACTGCTTCGAGTTCTTGTAGATGCGCCTGGGAGCGAGGCAAGCGCTCTCGTAATGATCCGAAGGGATATGAAATCGCTTTACAGACATAATCCACTGAAGCTGAAAGGTCAAAGAACGGCCTATCCTGCTTGAGATGATGTTGCGAGAAACGGAAGAGGACATCGACACGGTCGCCTGTACCCCATGATAGAACCTTCTCTGCCTGAACCAGTATCGAGTGCATCTCAGCGGCTAAATCCGGGTTTGGAGACAATTCGTGAACATGATACAGTGCCCGGTGGAGGTTGAGCAACGTCCCGAAACGGTTCGGATGCTGTTCAGAATGTATCGCCGAGGCCTTTCTCATAAGCTCAACCGCTTCATCGAGAGAGGCTGTGTCTTCGTACTGCTCGTAACGGATTAAAAGGCAATTGGCCAGGTTACTGAGAGCCATTCCATGCCCTGGATGGCGTTCGTGGCGCATTGACAGCGTTTCTCGTAAGAGATTGATTGCTTCTATGAGCAGGATCGGATCTTGGCGTCGATTATGCATTGCGGAGAGAGAATTGGCAAGGTTGTTCAATGAAATGTCGCGATCCGGATGAGTTTCCGACTCGATCTCGAGGATGTCTCTTAGTATTGAGATTGCCTCATCGAGCGAGGAAACGTCACCAAAGTGCTCGTAATGCATCCTTAGGCAGCTCGAGAGATCCCTGAGCGACGATGCACGATCCGCATGCCCTTCTGTATATAAGGCGACAACCTCCCGGCGAAGAGCGATCACTTCATCAAGAGCGGCAGCGTCCAGAGTACGATCGTATCGATCGACGAGGGCGTTCGCAAGGTTGGAAAGAGAATTTGCGCGAAGAGGATGTCCCGGTGCATGGGTGGATGCAACCTCTCTGGAGACCGAGATCGCTTCTTCGAGGGCAACGAGGTCTCCGACATGGTCAAACTGGATCCTGAGAGCATTGGCCAGGCCAACCAGTGCTGCACCACGACTTGGATGGTCAGCAGGCAACAGTTCCAGCGCATCTTTGTAGAGTGAGACAGCTTCATCCATATTTTCAACGTCTCCATGTCGCCGCACGTGCGTCGAGATACTGTTCGCCAGATTGTTGAGACAAGCAAACCGATGAGGATGAGAAGGAGGGGCAAGAGATAGGGCCTCTCTGCGTACGCTCATGATTTCCTTGGATATATCATCGCGCCCTTCTCGCGCATATACATGTTGAAGGCAACTGGCCAAGTTATTGAGGGAGGCCACGCGACCCGGATGACCCATTGGGTGTAGATCCAAAGCTTCCCTGAAACGGAAAGTCGCTTCACTCAGCGATTCAGTGCCTCCGTAACGCTCATAACGTAGCACGAGGGACGTTGCAAAGTTCCTAAGAGCGGCACCACGGTCTAAATGGGGCCCGGGTCGTAGGTTTTCCACCTGCCGATGGACAGCAATAGCTTCCTCGAGTAAATCACGGTCGGTATGACGGAACTGGCACTCCGTGAGCATCATAGCGAGGCTGAAGAGGATTTTCGCTCGCTCGGGATGCTCTTGCCCCAGGAGTATTATCGCCGCCCGGAAAAGAACAGTGAACCTGAGAGCGTCTACGATATCCCCGTTGGATATGTAATAGTTGAAATGTTCGACCCCATTGGAATGAAGAACCGAGGCGAGGGACAAAATTATGTTATCTTGAGATACCGCCTGGCTCGGGCAGAGTACGATGGCCTGAACGTCGCAGATACCGTCACGCCTTTCTTCGTATCGAACATAGGCATGGCAGATGAAGCCGTCTTCTTCCGAGTGATCCCTCTGCGCTATGTCCGGATGTTCGATGTCCATAACGAGGGCATCCTCCATTAACTCGACGACCGATGCCACCGAATTGTTGCGAAGCGGGTATTCTGGTGGGAGCATGTGGGCCCATCACGACGAGGCTGTGTAAGCAGGCATACCGTAGGTCAGAGACCATTTATAACTAGCTGCATTCAACGACGTGCATGTTGACAGGCTGTCTTGGTTTGGGCGCGTATTGCCGCCGACTTGGTACGTGAGCCTTACATAGCGAAGATCATCCGCATTCACTCACAGCAGTGTAAGAGATGTGTGGCATCCATTGTAACGGCATTGCCTTGAGCTATGATGAGATTTGTTATCGGTTTGGTGAATCCAAGTGATGAACTCACTTTTTGCGTCAACGCTATCCACAGCAACGAGACGTCCTTGACCGGTTTTACTTTCCTCCACCTTGATGCGAATGAATGCGAGCGCCCGCAGTTCCTCCTTGTCTACTGTTAGGGAGATCATGCTGCCACTCATGGCGTTTACGGCGGGAGGTGCTGGTCCCGAGAAGCCCCTGACGAGTTCAGTGGCCCGCAGCTACGGTGTTTCTGGACCGCATTACGGCATCTTCTCTCAGCGACCTCCGTTATCGTGAGTCATAAGGATAAACTCTCAAGTTCTGGGAGCTGAGAGAGACGAAGGGCCGCCGAGGAACTTCTTGTGCTGGATTTCGTCGCCAACAGACTCGAACAGAGTGCAATAGACTGGAGATGAAGCCAGTTTCGTGATCTCATCATTCCCACAGTCTGTCGCTGGATAAGTTCGGCAAGGCGTTCCCGCGGCCTCTTCTAAGACGGCACGCCGTCTATACATGAGGCTCGCTCGTCCCCACCTTCAAGGGCAGGACACTGCCTGCAACGACGTACCCGAGGGTCAATTACAGCAGAATAGCGCTCCCTGACACCGTTCGGAGTCGCCAGTCCTGCTTTTGCTAGTCCTATTCGCGATAATGACCCGATTTCAGCTGTACTGTGTCTCTCTCCTCACCTTGTTTCTGGCGAACTCTTGGGCGTATATCCCTGCGCTTCCAACAAATAACAGTGATCCGGGCATCCAAGGCAACTCACCAAACACCTCGGACACCTCGTCTCACTTGAATCTGCATTGGTACCCTTTAGGGTGACTTTGTTCTTCTGTAGGAGGCTCCCATACTCATTCAACATATGGCCCTCTGTAGATCGTATACGCAAAATGTTTCCTACCAGTTGGTAAAGAATGGAAGCGACGGATTTAGTCAGGGCGCGCTTGTGCACTTCTCGGAAGAGATAGTGACGAACGATACGAGTACGTTCAGGTGCCGTTCATGCATTGCGGTGCTCACACTATGTAGCTGTTACGCCTTGGATAGCCCTCGTTGCTTGTGATGTCAACGCCACGAACGCATCGATGGAGGATGATATATTCACACTTGCTCGGGATCGGGGAGCTGTTTCCGCTGTAAGTGTGGTCTGGGATCCGTGGCTGGCTCCGCTGAAACATCCGCTTCAGTTGCTGTATTCCAAGTACTCCAAGGCTTGCATCATCAACAGTGAATACGCGGACCCTGCCAACTTCGAACAAGTCTTGGATATTTACTCTACAATCGATCTTGCGTCTGCACGGTCTGTTCTTCATTCACGTATAGTCTCTTGATTTCCTAACACGCCACCTGTCACATCAGACTGATCGAGGAGCGCTTTCTGGGCGTAAATCAGTCGCTCTACAGCAACTGGAATGCTTCTCGTCTGAATTCATCCTCGAATATCATCCAAGAAGCGATTGAGACCGGGAACGTGGAGGAACCGACTTATCTCCTAGCCACTCTTACCGCCTACAATGCAACGGAGGGGTCGACGACGACAAGTAGTGGCATCGCGGCGAGCTCAACAACAGCTGGTGGTCACAAACATGCCACAACGAGCTTGGCGATGTGAGGCTGGCACCTTTGGGTATCACGCATATCTGACTCGAGTTAATAGGGTAATCCTTTATGCTATCACTGGCGTCGTATCGGCCCTGTTCTGCGTCGTGATCATATCAGGGGTGAGCTTGCTCATCATCGCGACAATCAATCTTATGCAATCATTGTCACCCCTAGGCCATTCGCGCTGTCAGGCACCCAGAACGGTACGGCCCACGCTCAGCACGTCCGGGGCACCATGGAGGTCTTCCGGGGCAGACTCGCACACAGGGCCTTACCCGCGCCTTCCTGGACACATTCCCCGTCATTAAATGGCGACCACAAGGTGCAGAACCCGGGCCCGACTCCTCCGACTCTGACGCAAAACCTCTCGATGTCGAGGGCAGCACGCCCGTTGTCGCGCACCTACACAACTCAATAAGGCAAGGACACACGAGGGGAGGTGGCGGGTCCAGCGATCTAGGGCACGCCGTAGAACTTGCTGAATGGAAGATCGCGGACGCTTACTTAGAGCATGGGACGAGAAGCGTGGACAGTCACGGGGATCGTTCACCCTCATCCTCTACCAGTAGCCGTCCTATACCCGCGCTCAACCAGGCTGTTGAAGTCCATAGCGCCGAGGTCGTGCCTCCCGCGCGCCCACGTCCGTCAAGGCAGCCCTCCACCAAACAAAGTAACGATCCGGTCATGCCGGATGCCATCGGGCGCGAGACGTGCCCCATCTGCATCGTGGACTTCGAGGAGGGCGACGATCTACGCGTCTTACCTTGTGCAGGACATCATCGGTTCCATCAATACTGTGTGGACCCTTGGTTACTCGAACTATCGAGCTCTTGCCCTATATGCCGGCAAGGTGCGTTATTGCATCTTCAGTTCAAACGTCTTGTCTGAATCTTTCTCCGATGCTCTTAGACTTCCTCGCCCTAGAAGCGATAATGTCGGGTGGTGATGCCCACGAGGAACTTGAACCACCCCACGCACATTTTGCTTCAAATTCAGGCGGCGAGAACCGATCCTCCTTCGCACAGCGCTTCTCGCGCTACGTTCGGAACGCGCGCAGGAGGAGGCAGACACGACCCAGAAGCGAAGGGCGCCATCCCGAGGGGCACGACGCCCAAATTATGGACACTATCGTTTGATGCTATCTCCGCTCGTTATTCTATCCCTATCGTCCCTCATAGTAGACCTACCATGCACGCCATATCTCGCTCGATTTCTCCCGTCCTTGCATTGCATCTTCAGCTCCTGTATTTGTACCAATATGCATGCACGCTCTTGTCTGTACGAGTTCTCTTTCACTCCTGGGGTGCAGCTGACTTGATCCCGGCACCTCCGTCGAGTACATGCGTAGCGGTCTAAGGCGAGTATTCGATCAGATCGGATAATCTGTTGATAGACAATGCGATGCGTGTGTTCAATATCAACACAGATGAATGCTACATATACGTATGAGTATCTTCTGTCCGTTATGTATGTTACCAGAAACAAACTGGTTGTACGATGCGTTGATTCCCTCTAGTAGTTAGTGCATCTCAGATGTCATCCATACCACGAGCGCCAAATACTTAGAATTTCCAGTCCTCGTCCACATGCATAGCCCACGGAACTGAAGACATGGATCAGTAACGGGTTACACTTCAATACGAGTACGCCGACGCACATTTGTTGAGGAGGGTTTTCGAAAAGATCTTCTCTATAGGCACGTCATGTTTGGCACACCAGGCCGCGGTAATCCTGTTCAAGTTTTCAATGGGCGATAGAGTATATAGAGACTGCATACGGACCTCGGGTCCAAATAGTTGATTTTACTACAAAAAGGGGGATCAGACACTGATATGCGACTCGTAGGACGAGAAGTGCCAAACCTTGTGCCTAAAGCGACCTCCTTTCCAGCGTCTCGATCGTCCATCTGGAGTTTAGTGGTTGTAATTCGCTCCGTCAACTTGTCGATAGCCCCCTCGAGCTTCTCAACAGGCTTCGCCCTCTTCGGCTCATGCTTCTGGGTACCTCGCTCCTTCCGCAACTGCTTAAACTCTTCCTTGATATCCGCGATCTTCTCCTTCAGGACAGAATCCGGGTGTGCTTTCTTGCCGTCCTCGACAAGCTTCTCGTTGTCTTTCTCAAACTTCTTCTCTGCCTTTTCTATCGCTTTCTGCTCGAGCTCTTCTTCGTGCTCCGCGATCCATTCATCGTCAATATCCGATTCGTCCTCTCGATACTTCTCTTTCTTCTTGTACTTCGGCTCGACAGTGAACAGCGCGTGCCGCAACTTCATACGCTCGTACTTGAGCCCACGGATCTACGCCACGATTAGTTAACCGACAAGTCGAAAGTAGGCAATCGTACCTTATCCCTCATTTTGGCCATGGACTGATCATGAGTCTTAGGGACGGCACGTTGATGGTTACACAGGATGGCCACCATGCGATTGGCATGATTGTAGGCGTTGAGCTTCTCCTGGGTGGTTGCCGTTTCCGGTGTTCCTTCATCTAGTTGTTGCTGGAAGGTGATCGACGCGTTATAGGTACGGAAGACCTTCGCCGTTAAGCCCTTCATGTACGATTGAAGATGCTTATTCAATGTTGTAGTCTGCAGTGGACACAGAGATTAACGTTGAGCAGGGATTCCTTGACAACTTTGGCGTAGACACACCGCGACACGATCAAATAGGTTGTCGTCATCCTCCTTGTCCTTTTTGAATATGCGAATATTCTTGAAGACCTGTTCATCGACGGCCACGCGGTTATAGTAACGAATCGAGTCTTTACCAAGGAAGTCGAATATGATGAAATTCGGTGCCTCCAGCGTGACGTGCTCGCAGCGCAATGAACAACAACCAACGGTGTCGGCCTCGTCTTCTCCCTTCTCATTACCGGCACGAAGAGCTAAACGATCGATGAAGTACATGGCCGTCGCTCGTTGCCTATCCGCCATGACCTTTGTCTTTAGGTCCGCCGTATAATCCTGTCGTATTCGCTCGACATGTTTCTGGATGTACAAATATCAGATCTGTGTCCGGCTGTCGACAATTCGGTTGCAAGGAACGTACCTTGAGCTCACGAGCCTTCTCGAATTTCGCCATGTCACTCTGGCCCTTGAGCGAGCTGTTCGCGGCGAGGAAGACGTATTTGTTCTGGTTATTGATGTTCTCCTGCCAGTTCGCCAGCCAGGTGACGGTCTGGTCGTGAATAACGTTCTTCCATTTGCCGGGCATGTTAGGCACAGGTATAGGGACGCCTTCGCCGATGTTAATCGTGATATCTTCAGGTCGCACACGGTGCTAGAGTACGAGGTCTGCATGAGATGATACATGAAGGGACGGGAATCATACAAACCTTCAACGAACCCTTCTTCGGATGCTCGCCACGGCCACGGAACAGGCCTGGAGGCTCAATCCTGAAGTTACCGATCTTCTCCTTCCGGCCATTGAGTTTGCAATATGCATACGGCTCCTCTAGCTTATCCTTCTCAGCCTTGAGTTCCTTCTTTTGGGCAGAAGTCAAGGCCTTCTTCTTAGCGCGCTCCTCCTCCAGATATTCATAGATGGGTCGGAAGTCGCATAGCTTCATGTCCGTAATGTTCGTGCCATCCAACTAATTCGACAGTCCATTGAGAGATACGAAGGATATCGGGTATCTACACACCGGAGGATGTTCTTTGAGTACCGCTTTCCAGTCACGGAAGAAGTTCTTATTGAATACGGCATCCTGCGCATGGTCGCTCTCAATGAGTGCCGCATAGAACTGCGCAACTTCCTCGGATTCGGGAGGTAGGTTGACCACATTGCCTGGAGGTCTAACGGTTAGGTGTGCGTCCAACGACAACATTTGCGTACTCGCCGTTGTACTTCATTTTGACGTGAGTTGGAAGTGGTTCGTATGGGGGAGGGAACAGCACTCCGTTGTGTTCGAGAGTTTTCCATTTGATGGAACCATCGTTCTCGTCGTTCTGTTCTTCCCACCACTTGTATATCTCCTCTTCCTCCTCCTCTTTTTTCTTCTTGCTCGGTGATTTGCTATCAGCCTCCTCCTTGACTTTCGACTTTGGCTGCTTCGCGGGTTTGACGTACTCCTCCTCTTTCTTCACGGCCTTCTTCGGCGCACGCTTCTTCGGTTTCTCATCCTCTGACGAGGCCCCATCTTCTTCGACTTTGACTTTGCGCTTTTTGGCAGGGGCCCTCTTCGCGGAGACAGGTTTATCCTCGAACGTGGATTCGTCGCTCTCCTCCTTCTTGATCTTCTTCTTTGGGGGAGCTTTGGGCGTTCGAGCGGTGGAAGGAGCATCGTCATCGGAGTCATTGACTGCTGTCCTACTTGCTCGCCCCTTGGCCTTTCCGTTGCCGTTGACAGCGGCAGGGACAGTCGTGGCTGCGGTCGCACCGGGCATAGGCACAGCAGCAGTCTTCGTTTTCGCAGGGGAAGACGCGAGGGGAAGGTCATCGTCACTCGATGAGTCGTCTGAGGAGAACGGTTTCTTGCGCTTCGCCCCGCGCGCCTTAGGTGTGGCAGGCTCGGACTTCACGCGCGTCGACTGGGACTGGATTAGGTTTGCAACGTGTTAGTGACTTCGGCCAAGACGCGTATAAATTCGAGATGCATGACACATACGAGAGGAACATCATCGTCGTCGCTCATGGACGTGTCCTCGTCATCCTTCGCGTACCCGTTGCCGTTGCCGTTCGCGTGGCCCAATTTACTGGGCCCAGGCTGGCTGCTCATGAGCGGCAAGTCATCGTCGCTGAGGTCACTGGACATTTCTGGAGTAATTTACGCGTCAGGGCTATAGCGCCACGGACGGGAGGAGGGGGATGGGTGTGGGGAGAAACAAGAGCTCAGGACGCCCAGGCAGATCATTGGTGTTGATTAATGTGACAAGAGGCTCCCAACCCACCCTAAAGCGGCCACTTTCCCACTGTTCGGCGTCCAGTACTGCTTCACCTCAGCTCTACCTCCGACTTCGTTTGACGGTGAGTTGTACTGCCTCTACGTTCCACTGGCAATGCCCCTATCCTCATGAACCGTTATTCTCCTGTCAGCCATGTCTCTGCCCTTGTTTCGTGATCCTTGGGCAAAGCGGGAAGCGTGGCGGAAACACCCGGTATTCTCGCAGCGTACCATGTTCTCTAGCCTCTTCCCCGGCTTTGGCTGGGGATTAGCGGCATTCACCGCCTATGTCATCTACGACAATATGAAGTCGAAGGACAAGCATGAAGCGCAGCATTAGAGCGCTGTTCAGTAGTGAGCACGCCAGCGTCGCAGGGTACAGCTTCCCCCGAACTAATGCATCGCTAGCTTCACCGCTATCCGCCTTCGCGGACTCAGGCCGTATCATCGGGCTATACCGGTGTGCTACAGCCCTCGATGATCGAAATGCGATTGCGTAGTGGTATCTCGCTGCAATCCACACGAACTTGCTCCTCTACTAGGAATGCTATATGTCAGGAGTAGCGCTCAAGGTACCAACGTCAGACACGCCAATGCAACGGCTCTTCATCCAAGGAGATATCGCTTGTACACCTCGTTTTGGGTCTCTTCCACGTAAGGATACCCCAGTCGTTCCAAAAAGTGGTCAAACTGGACAGATTCCTCCGGACGCACCTGAACGCCAGCCAGTACCTTTCCCAAGTCTGCCCCCATTGCGATCAGTATTGATTATCGAATCTGGCCATGCCAACTTACCTGCACCGTGATTGCGATAGTGGAAGAGGGAAACATTCCATTGTTGCTGTTGTAGACCAGTTAGGAATGTCCGCAGCGCTCCTGGGCGTTCTGGGAATTCTGAGACGTAACATGAGCTCATTTGGGTTGTTTGCTCTTGCGGTGACTGACCGAATCTGAACAGACGTTCATGAGGCACGGCCGCTCTCCCGCCGACCATGTACCGTCCATGGCTCTTAGCGAACTCGTCGTCGCTAATGTCATGGCCTTTCATCCCATCTTTCTCGAGCGTTGCAAGGATGTTCGCTACATCATCCGCTCGCGACAGCGCTTGAGGATCGATGCGGAAGGAGACGAAAATATGTGCTACGTCTCCAGAGGAATACCGGTAGACGAACTCGGTCACTGCCCTTGGATGTATGACAGTATGGAGCGCAAAGAAACTGCGGGAAAGGTTTAACGTCTGTTCTCCTGAATCCTGGATTGACATACCTTCCTGGTCTCTCAGGTATCTCAACGCTGAGCAACGCTTCTCGGCCTTCTCCTAACTCCGCCCGTTCTGACACGAAGCGGAGGCGATCGAAATTCATGTTCGCGCCGCTGACAACTGCGACAAACCGCTTCTGGGACCCCACAAGCTTATTTTGTGCGATGTAACGCTTGAGACCCGCCAGCGCGAGAGCTCCAGCTGGCTCAGTAATCGAGCGGGTTTCTGCTACGGCATTAGAAGCGGGATATGCGAGGTTTCGTACACACTCTACCTTCAAAGATATCCTTGATAGCGGCACATAACTCATCGTTGTCCACCTTGACGATCTCGTCCACGAGTTGTTTGCATATCCTGAAGGGCTCCTCGCCTACTATTCTAACTGCTGTGCCGTCGCTAAATGGGCCAACTTCAGAGAGCGTGACTCTTTCGCCCTTTTCGAGGCTGCGAGCCATAGCGTCACCGTCGACTGTCTCCGCGCCTACGACCTTTGTCTGCGGCGACCCGATGCGTTTCACGTATTCGGCTATCCCGGCAACCAGACCCCCTATACGTATGTCGCATATGTTATGAAGCGTAACTTGGAAATTAGTGTGGCGGCACTCACCTCCCCCGACAGCAGCGAATATGCCATCCAAGTTATGTGCATCGGGTACCTGCTTTAAGATTTCTAGTCCCACCGTGCCTTGGCCTGCAATGACCAAAGGGTCGTCGTATGGCGGTACAAAAGCCAACCCATAAGTCGTTGATAGCCGCGCACACTCGGCTTTTGCGGCGTCGAAGTCAGCGCCGTGTAGGACGACTTTGGCCCCCATTCGAGCCACGTTACGACTCTTGATGGATGGCGTGCCCTCCGGCATGACAATCGTACAAGGGATGTTCAAACGTTGTCCGGACAGTGCTACACCTTGCGCGTGGTTTCCTGCAAGAGTATATTGTTATCATCAACGCTGGGGACTATCCGAGGATAGTACGCACACTGACCCGCGCTACACGTTACGACGCCTTTCCAGCGTTCTTCATCGGTCAAGTTGGCCATGAGGTTATAGGCACCCCGTATCTTGAAGCTGAACACCTCTTGCAAATCCTCGCGCTTGAGCCATACTTGACAGCCAAGCTTAGCGCTCAACTGAGGAGCAAAAACCAGAGGGGTCTCCTTCAGTATCTCATAGACCTTCGCGGTCAAGATGAGTCGAAGATAGTCCGGTGTTCCATCGGGCAAAAGACTGTGAGCTGGAAGACGCGAGTAGAGCCGGTGAAGTGAGGGTATCCGTTCGGGGGCATGAGAAGAGTATTCTAAGACTGTCGACGCTCCGGGTGACATGGTTGCAGCTGAATGAGAGTCAGCGTTTGACGACTCAGAATTGTCGGGACGTCATGAACGTAAAACGTCTGCAGTGGTGCGGCTTGATGCACCGAAACGACTCGGATTCGATCTTTCGGCCGATGTTTTGAGAATGTAGATAAGATTATCGCGAGTAACGTTAACTGAGCCCGATACGTATGATACAGCATATGATTACTACCGTAGGTGTGTACAAGATCTTCAATGGAGTGCCAGATAGATAAGAAGAAAACAAAGAGAAACAATACATAGCCGGTCCATCGCGACAACAAAACAGAAGGCTAACTCCTCGTTCGACTGAATTTCTCCTGAAAGCTGATCAACTCCTCCATCAGCTCCTCCATCATCGTCATCGTAGAACGCGCACTGTTCTTTGCTGCAGCCACATCTTGGTCCTTCCCTTGTATCGGCGATTGGGTCAAGGTCCTGTCAAGCACCATATTGTCCCCGCCGTCACCGTTTGGCAATGCCTCGTCTCCATCCCCAGCGATACCCTCGGCAGCAGGTCCATCTGAAGCTTCCGTAGTCCTCGGTCGTCGCCTGGTTTCGCTCAGCGCCTTTTCAAGCGCCTCACGCCTCCTTCCTCTTTCCAGTGCACTCGCCTGCTCTCTCCCCACCCACTCCACCAGCGACCTCACCCTCTTGTTCATGTCCCCGACACTCATCCGTTTGCTGGGCCACCTCACTTTCACGCCCCTCTCCTCCCCTATACCTTCGACTATGAGAGGTACTGGCGTCTCTGATGGTAGAATGTGGCTCAGATGCGCCAGATAATCCGGTAGTCCCCAGGTGGTTAGAAGTGGCTGTTGTGACGCGGCGAAAGCGTCGCGTTCCCGCTCCCGGTGTGTCTGGTGGTTTCGGGAAGAGCCAGCGGCGCCGCCCTGGACACCTTGCGTTGTCCCGTTCGGCATGTGGTCCCGGTCTCTATCGCGGTCACGAGCATTGTTCTTTCGACTACCACCGGCGCCAATCCCGCTCCCGCCTTCTTCACGATCGGCGGCTTGACGAGCCTGGTTGCCTGTTCGTGTGCGTACCACAGCCATTCGCGACGTGAGTCAACTGGGTTCCAGTGGACGACACGTGTGAAGCGCACCTTTGCCCCGTCCAGTGCCACTCTGCCGCCTGTTCACAGCAGCCGGCACGCCCGTCGGAGCTGAAACGGAAGGTCACGTGAGCAATTCGGTTAATTATGACGCGCTCCGCGTCGCCGCGGGAGACAGCTTGCGGGGATATGCGCGCCCGCAGACCAGGATCGCATACCTTCGTCGGCTTCCACTCCCAGTTGCTCTTGAAGCTGCTGAGCTTTGGTCCTCGCTCCGCCCCTCTTCACCCGCTTCGGTGGCGGGGGAGCGCTTAAGGGCACAGCCTGCTGTTTCGGTGTAGGCACCTGCACTGGTGTCGGATCGCGGACACTGGCCGATACCGTGCGCTGCTCAGAAGTCGTTGATGCGGAACGCGTTCGTTTCGTAGAGCGCACAGAGCGACTGAGGAGCAGAAGCAAAGGAGTGATGGAGGCCAAACTCGGTGAGAGCGGGAGCAAAGCCGGCAGGACAGACTCACGTGTCATCGTCTGTCCGCTTCCGCTTCCGCCTGGGGCCCGAGGCGGCGCCAGGAACAAGCTCTTCTTCCAAGTCCTCCTTGATGTCCGTCGTGATATCCGGTGTCTGTGTCTCGTTTGCGTTTACACTGCCCTCGTCGTGATGTTGATGAGCTGCTGCTGCTGCCTCCGCGGCCGTGGCTTCCAATAATTCTTGAACGCTGTCGTCGAACCGACTGTTCACGGTATTCCGTCTTTTCGCTTGTTTGGGCATTCTGAACGGACTTTGCGATCGGCTGGCACGTGCGTTGGGGGCGAGTGTGGTAGTGGTGGCAGGAGCTGAGCTGGTGCGGTGAGGCTGTTGTGATCCGTGTCTAGTTTTCCACGATTTGGCGCGCCTGAAGGTCGAGGGTTAGGCGTGCATGCATGAATCAAGGTCCGCGTTTCAGGTAAACAACTTAAAGCAACCCCATACCCAGGTAACCCAGGGAGCCAGAATTAGATGGCAAGAAGAACGACAAGGCATGTGGCCCAGAATGGAAGTATTGCTCTACTAAAGGGGAGGGGTGCGTAGAGACATGGGAGGGTGTACGCACTTGAGAAGCTCTTTATGCTGGTCTGGCCTGCATTGCTCGCAGTACCAGTCTACGCCGTCTAATTCGGCATCTGATTCAAATCCAAAGCACTGGCCGTGCTGCCAAACGTTGCAGTCTTCGCAAAACACCATAAACGGTACGTTTCCGGAGTCGTCATCTACCCAACGCGACGTCATATCAATATCAGGAAGAGAAACGCGATGTTAACAAGAGAATGGTCATACCTGCGTCCTGCCGACCACATATACAGCGCGTGATGCTCGAGTCCTCCTCGTCCCCTAGGATGGGGTCCACCTCCCCATCCTCGACGTTATCGGGTGCAGTGAAACCAGGCTCCGTCAGAATCTGAATCGGGGGTGGCCTTTCTTTATCCTTTGTCCTTCTTTTGTTCTTGGAGTTGGTGAGCGGGCTTGTACGAGAGGTGGCGTTCTGAGGGTGCTCCTGGAGCGCGTTGTGCGGGTCGTCGTGATCGTCGGGCTTCGCACTGCGCTTGGACCTGCCAGATCCAGAGCTGTTGGCCGAAGAGAGCGTCGGGCGATGGCCGTTTTCCTTTCTGCTGTGCGTGTGGGCACTGGCGGGCGAGTCGGGCGGGCGGGGTGAGTCTGGTGTGAGGGACGAGGTCGAGATGGGTGCGGGGGCGCGACGGCCAGAGCGACGAGGCTCACGGGGGGAGAGTGGGGGGCCCATGAGCGCTGCCTGAGCCATCGACAAGTTGGGGCGGAGAGGTGTGCGTCTGTGTGCAGCGCAAAGAGCGAGTCCCTCTCCTACCCCGTGCGGCACGTGATCTCATATCCCTATCCTGACCCTATCGCCCTTCGCCCATGGCCATCGCGCCCAGCAACAGCGACGACCCGTACGACATCGAGCGGCTCGCCAAGGAGATCGAGGATGTGCCGCTCAACGACGCCGCCGCGCCTCCTTTACCCGACTTCACCCCGCTCGAGGCCGACACCGCGCTGTTGACGGACACGGACGACGTCTACGACATCGACGCGTTTCTTCTGTCGCGTTTCGAGTTTTCCTCTCTTTCCGAGCTCCGCTCAGAGCTGCGGGACTTCCTCGCACATCTGAAAGATAGCCTCGTGCAGCTCATCAATGACGACTACGAAGCGTTCATCTCGCTCAGTACGGATCTGCAGGCGGAGGGTGCGCGCCTCGAACGGCTCAAGACACCACTGGGCGATATCAAGGCGCAAGTGCTGGTGCATACCCTCCCCACTCCTTCCGTCGATCTTTGCAAGCACTCATATTCCGTTGCAGATGTCACGTGATGAGCTGCAGACGTTACAGGACGAGATCGAAGCCAAACTGCAGAAACGTGCTGCATTACGAGAAGAGAAGGTGCGCAGCTTGGACCTGTAGCCGCTGAATACAGGCCACTGACTGCGCTCAGGCATTCCTCCGCCAATTGATCAGTATATCAGAATCTGTGACGCGCCTAGAAAGCCTACTCCATATTACGCCTTCCGAGGACGCTGGCTCTTCTCCGACCATACGACCTGCCGCTCTTGCCCCCGAGGATGAAAGGTGAATGGGACTGCTGCTGACTATAGACTACACTGCTCATACTTGCTCGCGCATGCAGAGGCAGCTCACGCGCCAAGCACCTGTCGCGCGTCGCCGCAGAATATACGCAACTCCTGTACCACGTTTCGAAGACCGCCTCCAGTGCCTTCATAGACGAACTTCGATGGCGCATTGACCGGATCTCCTCGACGCTCTCTTCTGACCTCGATCGTCTCTTTTCCGCCACCCTCAACTCCCTCATCAATGACCCATCGGACGCGAAGAAGCACAAGGCTAGAGCGACGGAAGCCGACAGAGCGCGTTGGTTAGCCGACCTCAATGAATGTCTCAGGACATATGACGCGCTTGGACTGTGGAGAGATGCCGAGGACGTGCTGAGGAGAGAGGTGATGCGGCCATTTGTCAAGAAGGTTCGAGCCTCCGCTATTTTGTTCCAACATCTGATCATCCATGCCGCTCCTTCTAGACGATCTTTCCAGCGGCCCTCTCCGCTCCGCTCTCCCCGCTTGTTCCACACACGCCCTTCCTGCCCTCCAGCAAAGCTCCTCAAATGCAGTCGCAAACACCGTATACCGCTTCCTTTCCTCCACGTACACCATACACCCCATACACTGCCTTCGCGTCCAAGCAAAATCCATTCGACCAGACGTTTGGCGCGGCGACTTCATCCGCGCATGCGGGTCTAGGCACCGCGCACTTACTGGACGACAGCGAAGACGCCCTCGCGGCGTTGTACAATGCGGTGCTGAAGTTCGTGGATCGGGATCTACGACGCGTGATGGAGAGTGCAGAGCGGATTTCGGTTGCAAGCGGAAAGCGACCAAAACCACCTCTGGCCGGGTTGACGCTGGAGACCACATACCAGAATGGAAGCAACAAAAAGGAGAGCGAAACCTTTGAGATCATGGCCAACGTCGTTTGGGCCGAGATTGGAAGAGCAATCATGGACGAGCTGGGCAGCGTTGCATTCAGCGTGGGCAATGCTGACACGTTCCGCAAGGTATTGTTTGTTCTCTCCGCTCTCGCGTTCTTTATTCCGTGCTGATCAGTCCCCGCTAGCACTATGAAACAACCCAAGCGTTCCTTCGGTCACTCGAATTTCTTGCGCCCTCGGTGCACTCCGTCGAAGCCATGCGCTCACACCCGGTTTACAAGACATTTGAAAGGCGGTGGCAGCTCCCGGCTTATATGCACATTAGGAAACGAGCGATTGTCGGTAAGCTGGAGGAGGCATTGTGAGTGCTGCCTTATATGTGCTTCTCCGCCGAAGTTATTCATCCGCAACGTAGAAGCGAACCGGTGGACGTGAGGGCCAAGAGTAACGGTATGTTTACACGGTCAATGCGGCATGTTGGTTGAACGTGGTCAATCATGCAGGCCACTCATTTGTCACTCCCCAAGCCAACGCAACATGGGTTGCAATCACGAGCTGCTGGAGCGCGGAGGTGTTCATACCAGACATCAGTGCAAGCCTGTGGAAATTTACATTGCAGGTCAGTGCGTGCGCGGTAGAATTTGCGTATTATCTCACTCCGTGGGCCCCGCTGCAGCTGTTATATCGGTACAAAACATGGGTAGAGAGTAGCATGTCACCTTTCGAGCCGACGCTCAAGTTCGCCGCTGTCGTAAGTGGTGACAAGGTATGTTCATTCGATGATCCCCAGTTTTGCCACCCTAATGATCACGCACAGGGTCCTGGATCGCCTGCTGGCCTCACACGCTCTGCTACGCCATCTACCCCGATGGATGGCACATCCTCCGGCGAAACGTCTGCGCCTGATAAGACGCGATTGCGCGACTTCGCATCGGCAATCACGGATATTCGAGTCATGGAGCAACAGATTTGGACGCTCTGGCAGCAGGAGATTAGTATGATGTTGCCGGACATAGATCGCAACGAGGAGGGAGTCGAGGATGCCCCCGGTCCAGAAGGTAACCTCGTGCTTCGCACCTTTTATCACGATAGCTGACGTTTGTGCCCTCAGAGTCGTTGCGCCAGATGCTCGAAACCCTAACATCACTCATCCCTCCCATGGTTGGACAAATAACGACAACGCTGAGCAAGCAAGCATGCGATGCTGTTGCGGCTGTGAAGGGCATTCCCGCACAGGTGCGCATGTCCCAGAACCGCAAGCCGCCTACGGACCCGAGCCCATTCGTAACAACGATACTGCGCCCCGTGAAAGCGTTCTTCGCGGTTGATGGCCCCGGGGAGGCGCTTAAGGACTCTTATTTGAGAGAGGTCACAGAAGAAGTCTTTGATCATGCCCTAGCGAGGTACGGTGATCGCTCTTGCCTTCTCCCGTTTCACTCGGTAGGGAACTGAGCTGTTTTATTTTCCAAGGTATACTTCATACGTGTCGCAGTGGAAAAAGACCGAAGAATCCCTGCGGAGACTGCAGCGTGGCCAAAAACAATCTGCGTTCTCTCTGTTCAGCGCCGCATCGCGGGCTGCGGGGCGAAACGAAGGCCAGGTCCGCGATGACGAGCGGATACGCGCGCAGATGATTGTGGACGTGGAAGCATTCGGCACGGATGCGGTGTCTTTAGGAGTGAATCTTGAGCAAAGCAAGGCGTACAAGGCACTCCGTGAGACAGTACAAGCGCCCATCTCCGATGGTTAGCTATGTGTGTCCCTTCGACGGATGGTTTTCATTGACACCCTGATAGATGCGTGACGTGGTCTGTCGTTGCAAGGCCGGTGGCATGACCATCCGGTCTGGATGGCCGGACTGCGGTCATAGAGGCTATCGAAACACTGCAATCAGCGAGCGCTCCATACGTAGCATAACTCGTCACGGTGACGAATTTCGTATGCTGGAGGTCGTTTCGATGGCTCGGACATGTATAGAGTGTGACCCTGTTTCGCTTAGCTCTGTTAGCGCTTCTCCTTGGGGCATTCGCAACCACGATCATACTGCCGGATAGGGAACGCAGATACTTCCGCTTCCATGTATCAGGAACAAGATACAGTTGGGTTGATGCGGTGGAGATTTGATCGGGTGGCTATGCTCCAGTCCTGTTCTGAGCGGAAGGCTCTGTTGACGCTCAGGCTGTGCCGTCTTGATCTGAGTTGGGCAAGTACTTGCTCGATGCTATAACAGTTTGCGCCTCTGCTTCTACCTTTCCCTACGACGCTGATCGTGGACCATTGCGCATGAAGCACTGTAGGTGCCGCGCAGCGTAGCCTGCTGGACATCGCCCAACCGCCTATCGCATCTACCCATCGCGCCCAACCGCCTACCGCATCTCATTTCTAGCACCATACTACATATACCGCTACACTAAGCGGCTCAGCTCTGTGAACAGCTCGCCATGTCGCAGCGACCTACTTCATTGTTTGCTTTCATTGTGGGGATAAATCAGTATCATAACCATGAACTGGTGAGCTACCTGGACCTATCGTTATTCCCACAAGTTAACCGCCATCTAGGGCAATCTCAATTCAGCTGTATCCGATGCCGAGGACCTGAAGGGCTACCTTGAGGAGCACCTCCTCGTCCCAGAACACAACATTCGCCTTATGCGTGACTTGGAGGCGACGCACGACGGCATCATCCAATCATTCCGCGAACACTTAACCTTCAACCCCCACATCCGGAGAGGCGACCCCATACTGATCTACTACGCCGGCCATGGTTCGCGTTACCCTGCGGGTGGGAGCTGGCCTACTGACGACGGATTCCACGAGGCGATCTGTCCCTGTGATCGTGGTGTGGTCAAGATTGACGGCTCCGTCCAGCAAGACATTGCCGACCTTACGCTGGGCGGTCTGCTTCTCGAACTTTCGGAGACGAAAGGAGACAATATAACGGTTGTTATGGACTGCTGCCATTCCGGTTAGTATTGTGCCATATTAGAGAGCCGAGTTCGCGCTCTAATTCATTTTCTGTAGGCAGCGGCACTCGCGCAGGCGGTAGCAGCTCGAGCTCGTCCAGGATGCGCCCGCGTTTTGCGACTCCCCTAACCCACGAAACTGCGATCATTCGGATGCGGGAAGAAGCATTTGATTTCATCCGACCCCAGGTCCAGACCCGGCGCGTTGAGCCGGTGAAGATGCGCTACCCAGACTCGCGAACGCACGTTTTACTGGCTGCTTGTCGGCAGGACGAGCAGGCATGGGAATCGGACGAGGGCGGCTCCGGGTTATTTACGTCGGCGCTGCTGCACGTTCTACGCAGTGCTGACCTCCCACGGCTATCCTACATGACGCTGATGGCGGAAATCGGGAAGCTGCCGTATCAGACGCCTCAGTGCGAGGGCAAGCACAGAAACCGCATTATCTTTGATGGCAAGGCGCTCGGTATCGACAAGAAACTTGTCCCCGTACGGCGCAGCGGGGACGGCGGTCTTCGCGTCGAAGCTGGTGTGAGTACAGGCTGAGCTCCTTTACTGTGTGCGCGTTCTGATCAAATCGGTGTACAGGAAATTCATGGTGTTATTCCAGGAACAGAGTTCGCTGTTCGCAGTCACAATTTCTATTCGGCAGAGAACAGCCACCTTGGCTATGTGGTGGCAGTGGATGTCTTCGCTGTTTATTCCATCGTACAGCCCAGGGAGTCCTCCGTCACGGTGCCCCCGAACAGCTACGCGACGGTGTCGTACTGGGCAAATGTCGATGACCCCTTCGTCGTCTCATTTTTCCCTCCTCCTCCTAACGATACCCGGCAGAGGCTCCTCGAGGATGAGTTCGAACGATTCGCGCAAGGTGACCGGAGTAACTCCGACATCCACTTTGAGCGCGACGACATGAACGACGACGCGAACCTCATAGTCTTCGTCGACGAGGAGGAGATGGTGATCGAACGACGGCATCCCCTCATTACGGAATATTGCCTGGTGGACTGGACGTGGAAGCGCAAGGGGGATCGGCAGGAGTTGGACATTCTCAAAATGATCGCGCGGTTCGAGATGCACCTGGATCGCCAAAACCCGGACCAACCGTTCCAGAAGGACGTGAGCATGGGCTTGGTGCGTCTTGGATCGGATTCGCAGCCCACCCGGGGCAACCACATTAGCGGAGGCGTGGCCGATCTACCAGACGATCCCAATGCACAATATGCGGTAGTGCTTCACAACTCCTCCAACACCGATCTATGGTGCAGCTTGTATTACTTCGGTGAGTGCTGTTGTAAGGAGTACATCAGCCGCACAACTGAACCCGAGCACAGACCCTTCCGAGTACGCCATCACGGATCTATACGTCCCCCCATCATCGACAATGCACCCGCCCCTTCGTCGCCACTCGGACCTCACGCTGGGCTACGGTAGCACTGTCGTCACGCCCTTCTCGTTGACATTAAAACCCGAGGATGAACGAGACACGGGATTCCTGAAATTATTCATCTCAGAACAGTATGCGGACTTATCTCTCATGGAACAGAATGCCTCGTATGATTACATGGAGCCGGAGACGACGAGGGGAGGAACTTTGCCTCAGGGACACGGTCGCTGGGACACCATTCTGACCATCATCAACGTGTCGAGAAACTTAGAATGAGACCTTGCTTTTGATGTTTGCTGTTGCTTATCTTCGTTAGTTCATGTTGCGGAAGTGGTATACCAGTAGCAGTGCTCGGAATGAATCACGTTTCGTCTCGAATCCCGTGTCATTGTACCCGCGGCAGATGCCGAATCACATTGGCATGACGCGTGGACGCGCCTTAACCTTCGGTCTGTGCCAGCCAGCCATAATACTCCTTCCTATCGGACCATAATGAGCCGACCACAACCCGGCGGGCGACCGTCTGTTGCGTCCCGGACGGCGTTTGAGCTACTGAAGGTGGACTCTGACCCGGAGAGCGAAGAGGAGGTCTTCTCCGAGGAGGAGCCAGCAAAGCCGCCGAGGTACCGTCATGCCATGCTTGGCCATGCTGTATATATATGCTCATCGCACCCCGACACGGCAACATCAGTCCCACCGAATTCGCCCCCAAGCTTACGAAAACTGCTCAGCGCAAAGCCGCGAAGGCTGCTCGTCTGGCGAAGAAGCAGGAAAAATCACGCTCCAAGCAAGTCACGCCCGAGCCGCGTCCGGCGCCTGCGATACCCACCGAGGACGCGCCCGCTGTGAATGGCCTACCGACGCCGTCAGGCAGCACCGAGAAGCCCTTGGAGGTACCGGAGGAAGACGTCGTGGAGGACCCGGCTGCCGCACCGCCTGTGGACATTCCGCCAAACGCGACGCTAGTCGTGCCGCCCGCAGCCAACGGCAGTGCTCACGAGGTGGAGACGCTTCCGGCGCCTGTGTCTAAGTCAGAGCCCGAGGAGGAACCCGAGGCCTCCTCGATAGCAACGTCGGCGACGACGACGGAAGCGCGGACCTCACCGGAGCCCGAAGCGACGGAAGAAAAGGTGACGGCACCGAGGGCAGGCGCGGTGGTGGTGCCCAATGGCACGTCGCATCCGCCGCCTCCTGTTACGAACGAGACCGAAAAGAAACGGAAGAATATCGTCCAACGGACGGTGTTTACCTTCCTCATGATCGGAGGGTTCATCGGTGAGCGAACCCGTTTGTCTCACCGCCATACATTCGCTCATACTGTATATTAGGCTTGCTCCTACTCGGGCACAGCTATATGATCATGCTCGTGTTTTTCTGTCAGATGCTCGTCTACCGCGAGGTGACTGCGCTCTTCGCGATCCGGAAGACCGATTCGGCGGAAGAACAAGGGAAAGGAAAAGATCCATGGAGCAAAACGCTGAATTGGTACTTTTTTGCCGTTGCGAACTACTTCCTGTATGGCGAGAGCATCATCTACTACTTCAAGGTGAGAAGATCTCGCCCGGCGCCAATCGTATGACTCACGCCTTTTCATAGCACATCGTCTTCGTGGACGCGCATCTGACGACGATTGCGACCAAGCACCGGATCATCAGCTTTTCGCTGTACATCATGGGCTTTGTCGGCTTTGTGGCCTCGCTCAAGCGCGGGTACCTCAGAAAGCAGTTCGGCCTGTTCTGCTGGGTGCACATGAGCCTGCTTCTGATCGTGGTATCGAGGTGCGCTCATTTTCAACTCACTCACCCTTCTGATCGTCCCCACTTACGCGCTCCACAGCCACTTCATCGTGAACAACATCCTCGAAGGCCTGATCTGGTTCTGGGTGCCGGCCTCGCTCGTGATCTGCAACGATATCTTCGCATATGTCTGCGGAATGACGTTCGGGCGGACGCAGCTCATCGCGCTCTCACCGAAGAAGACGGTTGAAGGCTTCGTCGGCGCGTTCTTCTGCACCGTCGCGTTTGGCCTCCTCTGGGGCTCGTACTTTATGCGTTTCGACTATATGATCTGTCCCGTGCACGATCTTGGGGTTAGCGCGTGGAACTCGGTCGAATGCAAGCCCAACTCGGTGTTCGTTTGGCGCGAGGCGCAGATATCGCCACCGCTCAGCACCTGGTTGTCTACGGCGGTGCGTTGTTCCCCCTCGGCGTTCGATCGAGTCGTGCCACTGACCAGTTTCGAACAGGTCGGGCACCCGGTGACGGCGGTGCCGTGGACGCCGTACCATTTCCATCTGCTGTTCTTGTCGTGCTTCGCGTCGCTCGTCGCGCCATTTGGCGGCTTCTTCGCGTCTGGGTTCAAGCGCGCGTTCAACATCAAGGACTTTGGGCACAGCATCCCTGGGCACGGCGGCATGACGGACCGCATGGACTGCCAGTGCGTACTGCACCTCTCTGCTATCTTGATGAGTGGCTGAGGGTAGTTTTGTCCTTAGGTTCCTGATGGGCGTGTTCACGTACGTGTACTACAGCAGTCTCATCAGGGAGAGCGGGGTGTCGGTCGGAAGCTTGCTGCAGATGATCGTCAGCGGGTTAACAGTCGAGGAGCAGCTCGAGCTGATGGGCGACCTGAAGCGATATCTCGAGGGTCAGGGTATCGAGGTGCGGAAGCTGTTGACTGAGGCTGCGTCGAGGCGGCGGTGAAGAAGATAGAGGGATTGGGAGGCAACACAACAAAAACTTGATCGTATTATGCTATCCGTGCTTGTGAGGTATTATATCATGCATGACCTTCTAATAATATGGCATGGCATCGCAGCATGAGTGGAGGGAATGCATGATCGCATTGTTGATGATGACAAGGATGAATTTATACATGCGTATCTGATGCAAAATGGGGAGGTCGCATGGAATGCTGCCGCGACGCAGTCATGGGTATTGTATCGTCTATGTGTATCACGAATGGTATGTTTGACGGAACAACGCGCGGTCGGAATCCTGCTGCAAAAACCGGGCAATCGCTTCAGAAATTGAACACTCGCGCATATAGTCGATTCGACGCTTACCTTGCCAGAGGCAGGCTCGGACCAGCGGCGTCTACGTTCGCGGAGCTCCTGCTCGGCGCGGTCCCAGACGCTGCCTCCGCGGCGTGCGGCGGTCTCCCACTGGGCGACGACGGAGAGGGGCGCGTGCTCGGCGACGAGGCGGCGACGTGGCGCAGGCGCGGCCGGGGCCTTGGCGGTGCGATTGAGGTCGTCAACGGCGGGACGCGCGTCGGCGGCGCGTCCGACGAGCTGGACGAGGACAACGCGGAGTGCTGGGCGCGCGTCCAGGAGGGCGTGCAGTGCGCCGGCGAGGTCGGGGGTGGAGGAGGCGGAGCGCAGGACGAGGGCGAGGTGGGTGAGCGAGGCGGGGAGGCTCGGGAGGAGGGCGAGCGTCTGGGTGGAGGCGTCCGGGAGGTGTAAGCGCAGGCGGGCGAGCCCCGGGGCGAGCGCGGAGGGATGGAGGCTGCGGCAGGCGAGGCCGAGCAGGTGTTGCTCTTTTGTGTGCGGGGAGGGAGGCAGGGCTTGTAGCGGCGGAGTGGGCGAACGCGAGGGCGCTATTTGGGCGGGAGTGAAACCGCACGCGAGAGATTTGACGCTCGGACAGGCCGAGATGACGTTCTGTATGGTGCTCGCGGGACCGGGGGTGAAGATGCCGAGGTGCTGCACGAGGGGCGCGAGAAGCGGAGATGTCGAGAGGGCGGCGGCGAAGGACTTCAAGGAACGCGCGGACTCGAGGAGCACGGTGTGGTAGAGGATGTCTACGAGAAATAGTGAGCAATACGTATCGGGGGCGAGGCCAAGAGGCACGTACGGAGAGTCCAGTGGCGCGACCAGGAGGAGACGAGGGCGAGGCTGAGCGACGTCCGCTTGTCGTCGGCAGCGGCGAGCTCGAAAATGTCGCGCAGGAGCTCGGACGGGAAGTCGAAGAAACATTGGCTCGAGGAGGTCGTGGTGGCGACGGCCATGGAGGGCTAGCGTTCAGTAGCTGGGTGGATGGTGGTGGTGGTGCAGCGTCAAGCTACACTGGGTCGAGATATGTAGATGTGGAGCCAGAAGCACGGGTGGATGGGTGCAACGGCGAGGTGGAAAGAAAAGGACCCTGGTTCGAGCGGCGCATGGGGTGGCAGCGCCTTCCGAGTGGAGCGGCGCCGCTCATTCGTCCTGGCCGCCGCATCCGTCGGGCTGGCGTCTGTTGCGAGCCAGCGTGGATTTCGGGGTCCAAAAAAACCGCGTTCGAACATCAAGCCGATGGGAACGCGGCCAGGGCATCGCATCAATCCGACGCGGAGGTTGAGGAAACTGACCGCCTTGGCCCAGATAGGAAAATCGCGTTCGGGATCGACGTCATCGCGTGCCGGTGGCTGTGGGGTGCGGACGACGACGAAACGCGACTGGCTTGCCACACCACGGCGAGGTGGAGGTCCAACCCTTTGGAAACGTTGCTGCTGCGCTGGCATCTCGAGGAAGACGGGGTGCGATCGAGAATACGTCCTGCACTGACGAGGGTTTGTGCCTGAGAGATTCAGATGCGGGGTGAGTTGCCTCTAAAATATCATCGCTCTCACAAGAACGCCTTCGAATTTGTTCCTTCAGATGTGCCCAAGGTTTGCGGACGGCCAGCAGGAACAAGAGAGGTCAGGAGATTTATCCACCATCCCGCGCGCTTGATCGATACGTAGCGGCTCCAAGGTCGCCGCCCGGCCTGCCGTTCGAGAGACAGCACCTGGACTCGGTGGAACCAACGCTCGGCGACTTCGCTGAAGATCGTCGTGGTAGGAAGGAACAAGGACAGACAGGACGAAGCCAGGCCCTACAGGGCAACGAGGACTGATTCACCGGACGTTTCTCGCTGATATGAGGCGTGGCTCTGCGATCCCTTGAAGAACCCTCCGGATTCGACTACGCCCTAGCTTGTGAACCATATCATCTCATCCCGGCCTGTCGGACGCTTGAGCGTGGTGGAGGAACGCGAGGATTGCAAACGAGGATGGCGACCACGCTGATCGATCCAGCGCCAAAGCTGCTGTCGAGTTGTTCGTATAGCAGAGCAACGCGTTTTGCTTCCGTCCTTGTGCATGAGCACGAAGAGCGTGAATCTGCGACAACGGCGACCTTTGCACATTGGCAGTTGTTTGCAGGATGCATGCGGATGCCTGGCGTATCGACAAACCTCAAGCCTCGTTTGTTGACTCAATGAAATGATGGGCAGCAAGATTCCGGAAACGGGCAAGTCTGGACGAAGCTCCCCGGCATGGACTCCTTTCATCGTTCGCGTACACGGGTGGGCCCCGGGTATATCTGATATGGTCCCGCATCCCATAATCAAACGAAGGCGGAGCCGTCGGGGCTCGAAAGGGGTCCCATGTGCTCTTCTCGAAGGAAGTGTCTACGTTGAACTAGGCTTGCGTCCGACGGATAGGCGGTGTCGTCATGTACGATGTGCTTGTTGATCCCCCGACTGACTGCATATCCCTTGCAATTGGTCCAGCCCCTCGCCAATATTGAATGTATGGATTATGTCCGTTCATCCCACTATTGAGCCTGTACAAACTGAGAACGACTGGATTCAGTTCCCCGCCGAAAGCTGACGGTAGTTCCGTGTAGACTAAATGCTTACCCCAAAAGCTGTGCTCCGTCCGGCGACATGTGAGCCTACGCGTTTCGCGCTCCTTCGCGTGTTCGCGTCAGCCTTTGGCGATACCACAAACACCTTGTCTCGCCTCGGATTCGCACCGAAGTTGTGAACTATGGGCCGCCCTGAACGGACAGCGCGAAAACGCAACTGGCTCTCGGCGTACCTCGATTCCGACTCGGATGAGGAAGGGAGCATGTTCTCTCGTGAATCAAGCAATAGCGACGAGGAATTTCAGGCCCCGAAGGTGCGTGCTTGGAAAAGTTGTCCCTGGAATGGCCCTGCGACAAGATTTTCCGTTGGTACTCATCATTACTTAACAGCGGAAGGCTCCGAAAAGACAAAGGGTCAAGAAGGAGAAAGAGCCTCCGACCAAAGCGTCCATTGCAAACCTTGCAACCGACGGCAACGACAACGTCGATGCTCAGGAAAGGGAAGCAAAATGTTGGTAAAATGGTTTTCATTGCGTTGCAGAATGACTAACACCAGGACGCATGACGAAAAGTGGGCCAGGTCGGACATGACATCCTTGAAAGGATCAAGGGAGCGTTGCGTCTCGCGAATCACCCGGGTACTGGCGAAAATGAGGCCAAGGCTGCTCTCAGGTTAGCTCCTTCTTTCCATTGCTGTATGAACACCGGGGGTCTCACGGACAATGCGATCACAGGCAAGCATCGAAGTTGATGGCGAAGCACAAGTACGTCATAGTCGACAAACGGGGGCAACGATTGCTAAGTATATATGTGTTGACTACGTTCGCAGTGTCACACAGGCCGAGATCATTGCTCGCGAGAACAGCCAGGAGAAACTCAAGCGTGCCGGCATGTCGTGCGTTATCTACCTCAGACACTCAGCCGAATCAGTATTCTCATCCTCGTTCAGAGTCGTGATCGTGAGAAGCACCAAAGATACTCAGGTTATGTGCGAAACCTGGGCCAGCGGGGCGGCGTCGGCCGTCACCAAGTTCTTCGACTGTAAATTCTATACCACAACCTTTGAACAGATTGATCGGGTGTCGTATACTTTCTACGGTACGCCCAAAGGGAGCACCTCTTCGAGTGCTAAAACATCGTAATACCAGGTCTGGCTGAACAAACGGTCGCTGCGGCTCATGCGTACGAGATGGTAGGGGGTTACTGATATTCGAGCAAGCGAGACACACTGTAGTTGACTGATTGCGACTTAGGTCTATAACCAGATCATGCGTTGGTCGATGGACAAAACCGAAGCGAAAGGCAGGAACGCAAAAAAGTGCGCGAAAATCATGGAGCCGCGTCGAGACTCGTGCGGTGTCGCTGATCGTTGCCGTTGTAGTGCCTATCGACGCGGAGTGGCGGACGGTCTCTGGAACGTGGCAATCAGAGAGAAGAACGAAGAGCAGAGAAATGCCGAGCGCAAGGAGAAGCTACTTCTCGAAGCGGCGAGAAAACAAGAAGAAGAGGACGACAAAAAGAGGTTGGAGCGGCTCCAGCAGCCCGATATCGCAGATGATGCTCTGGTCGCTATCAAGGTGGAAGAGGACGATACGATTAGTTCGGACCACCTGCCTAATCATGCGAATGGTGCCTTGGCCGCGGTAAAGGTGGAGGAGGACGACAAGAGCACGCTGGAAGGCTTGAAGGAACCAGGGCTTGCGACCGATGCCTCGGTTGCAATCAAAATTGAGGTCAAGATGGAGTCGGAGCCACGTGCTGAGGGGAACAAGAAGGTGACGATCATAGATGTCGAAGATGAAGACGCGGAGACGGCCACGAATCCCGCGCCACTCGAGGATACTGTCGAGAACAAGCCGGCAAACGGCATGAACACGGGAAATGGAACTGACCATTACCCAGATATCGATCACGCGGACTTTGAATATGATCCAGGAGATTTCCAACAGGCGGATTTCCATGAAAATGACGAGGACGAGGACGGAGAGTATGATCTACCGAGCCTCCGTCCCGAACCCGCGCTGGATGGAGAGTTGAGCAGAGCTACCCCAGGATTGTTAGGAACTGGTCCGGAGCCGAACCCCCCTACACTTGTTGACACGATCGCAGAGGAAGAACCTGACGAAACACCTTGGAATTCAGTGGGTGCCCTGACCACCTTCCGCGCGCAATCCGTTGCTGTAGCAGATGAGTACCTCGCCTCCGTCGGTGTTGAGCTCTCCACGAAACGTAAAACACCAAAGATCATGTTCAAGGATCAGCATGCCCGGAGAATGTACAAGGATGGAGAGGAGGATGCGAAGAAGATTGACGTGAAGAGGAGGCGGCTGAAAGCCGCTGAAGATGATTCCTGATGATGATATTGTTCTAGCCTATGCTACAAATGTGATTTCCATCAGGGGGTGTCGCGACATAGGAACCTCCGGAGCCAAGATTGTGGAGTCCGCAATGATCATTTGTGCGCATGTCACCGATGACTACTGGATGGAAGCCTCCGGGTGTGAGTATAGTCCTCGGCATTCTCGAATTCGTACAGTATAAGTAAATTTCAAGAGTGAATACGTATCAGAGAAGCACATAAAACCTCTTGACCCGGTACACCGCGCGGCAGTAAAAGTCAAACCGGCGCGACACGAGTCGCCGAAACGATGCACTCAAACGAGCTCAAACGCGCCTGGGCCTCTCGTAAAGACAGTAAATCCGACAGTGGTGAGTCGTCTGGCAGAAGCGAAAGCGAGCTGGAGCGCTCCGACTATGAAGCATCTATTGGTCAGCCTCCCCTTCGACATGGGATGCGCCAGCTGCAGGGTGCGGTACCAGGGTGGAGGTGAATTGACGATGACATTATTTCAGATGAAGAGGGGTGCAAAAAAGCCGAGGACTGGAAGGGAAAAGGCCCCAAAACAGCCAGCAACAAAAGTGTTCATTGCCGGTCTCTTGCGATCGACGGCAGCGAGGACGTGCAGGAGAGTGAGGTCAAACATCAGTATTTGGTGTATACCCTCGGCGCCTCTCGAAGGTCATTGAGGAAAGCACCGCATGGAAAGTTGGGAAAGTCGGTGCTGGATTTCTCGAAAGAATAAAGGGCGCGCTTTGCCTCGCCAGCCATCCTAGCACAGGAGAGAACGAAGCCAGAGCTGCATTGAGGTACGTTCTTGCTCTACCTTCCGACGATTCGTAGAGGTATAGAAGGACTCATCGCTGCACGATGATCCCGCAGGCAAGCAGCCAAGTTGATGGCAAAGCGTAAGTAGGACTGGCTGTCGCACCGAACTTCTAGAACCTCTCGCGGGTCACCCAGGCAGAAATTGCTCGTGAAAGCATCACGGAAAAGCTCCAGCGCGCCGGCATGTCCTACGTCATTGGCATTGATCACATTGCTTCGCTCACGTCCACCGAACGCTTCATGTAGTGTCGTAGCCATTCGAAATGTGCATGTGGGAAAGAGGACGCCAAGTAGATCGATGTGAAACGAAGGCGCCTGAAAGCCACTGGCGATGATCATTTAACATCTTGTGGAGGCCTCGTTGCGTTTGCGTTATGACTTTTTTGCTCCAAAGTAGTCCTTCTGTGTCTTGCAGAAACTGGTAGTGCTGATGCGTTATAATCGACGCTCAGAACCTAGAACCGTGACATTGATTCCATTTAGCAGCACATCCTATGATAATGACGAGAGCTGGCGGTTCCGTGCTCTTACAACTTCAATATGCGACGAGACAGAACTATATCGTCGACTATGTGCATCCATCCGCACTATATCATACATGAAGCCCGGAGCGAACAGTTCTTGACGCAGAGAACGCGACATACTTACTGTGACCTTCATAGTAATACGATGCGACTCTTCATAATCCCACGGTCACCTGGCAATGGTCGAAGAACTGTAACAGTTGATTCTCACGATACTTTCCATCCCGGTCTCCTCAAGCAAGCATGGGCTGTATGTCGTCTGGCTGCTGGATGAATCGCTCGTAATGCTGACGGACAACACGTATCGCAGCCAACAAACCTCGCGGTCTTCAAGCAGCTCGTAAGCTCCGCACGGACCGCCGCGTTAACCGCTGGGTCAGTCGCCGTATCGCTACCCACGGCCTACGAGTTACTGAACTGGAGCCTCCCTGCAACTTTTCACTCTTATAGGCGGATAAGAGCTACAAAAAGCGCGCCCTGGGCAACGTTTACAAGACATCACCCACTGGTGGTTCGTCCCACGCAAAGGGCATCGTACTCGAAAAAGTCGGCGTTGAGGCCAAGCAACCCAACTCCGCCATCCGCAAGTGTGTGCGTGTACAGCTCATCAAGAACGGCAAGAAGGTTACCGCTTTCGTGCCGGTGAGTAGGAATACCTACCCTAGCTCGAGTGTTATTGATCGCGCGTTGTTCATATAGAACGATGGTTGCCTGAACTTCGTCGACGAGAACGATGAAGTCCTTATCTCCGGTTTCGGTCGCCGCGGTAAGGCAAAGGGTGATATCCCCGGTGTGCGGTTCAAGGTCGTGAAGGTGTCGGGTGTTGGTCTTCTCGCTCTTTGGAAGGAGAAGAAGGTTCGTTTCCCTAATATCAATCACAACACACTGTCTCACTCTTGCGCTGCAGGAGAAGCCTCGCTCGTAGAGCCCAGTCTCGCTGCATCCTCTTTCGACTCTTGTATGCTATGTTCTGTATTGCGCCATGCAACATCAATCCACGCAACACGCATAAACATTCGGAATATCGCGTTCCTGAGAGTGAAGATCATCCCATTCACCACACTTCCAACCCTTGACCTGCACAAGGAATAAGAATGATTGTCGATATGATAAACCACTGAACGTAGAAATACATTGTCCTGAGCTAAAGTCTCGCTATGCCGATATAGGCTTGATAAGGTAATCTACGGGATGGCGGAAACTACAAATACAATGCTGGTTTGATCTATGCGTGTGTGGGGTATGCCAAATGGACAGTCCGTGCTGTTTTCATGGAGGATAGCCAGAATATTGGCGATATGCCGGCGAGTAATCCCGAGCAGGTGCGTATGCGTTCCAGCCGCCCGCAGCTCTTGTAGTCCTGTTTCCAGGTTAGCAGACTGTCTGGATGAGAACGGTCAGTACATACCCATAGCCTTCATTTGCTCCGTATCCAGTTCCTTCCATCATTGCTCCTGGCGCTGGGCCGGAACGCCGTTGCTGCAACATCTTGGGATCGACGCCCATGCTACTCCCCATACCCATACCGTCGTCGACATCGTACCGGGTATAGTCAATGCCATAGCCCTGTCCAGCCTGAGCATACAGATCATCTCCAGTCCTCGAACTGCGCAAGCTCGACGCTCGTCGCTGCAGACGACTGATTGACATAACTGGTCGATCCGTAGTTGGCAGATGAACAGGCAAGGTGGACGTTGAGGCTTGTGGGGTGGTCCGATACTCCGAATGTGGTTGATTGTGCGAGTTCCATGCGTAGGAGTTGTGCGCCTGCGAGGGTGCGCCTTGCCTGCCGCGAGGCATCTGCGTCGGATCGGGACCGGTCCAGACCGGTGCGTTGGATCCAGCCACGTCATCGTAACCACCGTAGCCTGCGTATGAGGAGGAGCTGGTTCCGGCATCGGAGGAAGAGAACCATTGCCAGTCGTTTGCAGAGTGCATCTGCATAGCGTACGATGCGGTCGAGGGTTCAGTGTAATCGTTAAATGTCAACTCCGGTTGTGAATAGTATCGTGCATGTTCGTAGGTTGGCCTGGGAGGAGGTTGGGACTGACTGTATGCGCGAGGCTGATGGTGGTTCTGCGTATATTGAGGGGTCGAACGGGACGAGACTTGTGGAGGTTGCAAGGTCATTTGCACTTCCGTTTTGGGCGGCGGCAGTGATTTTCGTAACTCTCTCCTGCGCCACGATTTAAAAGGGGCTGACACAGGCACAGGTGGCAGGGAAAAAGCTCACAGGCAAATGCCGGCAAACTCCCATCTGGGCTCCACCCATTCCAAAGCCTTCAAAAAAGCATTGACGTCCGTCATGAGCGCATCAACCTGTGACGGGGCCGGCGCATCCAAGCGTAGTGGTTTAATATCTTCCATGAGAGCCGCGCGCTCCCTCGCCTTGGCGTGCCATACGTTCAATATGAGTATGGCTGCGCAAAGGTGTGAGACAGCGATGAGAAGCGGGATGTTGGATAGGCCCCGTGGGAGCTGAATCTCGAGGATGCGGGCGCACGACTTTGCTGCACTGGCACAGATGGCGAGGGCGGGAAGCGTGTCGCTGGAATGGTAAGGATCGACGATAATATGCGGGCGTATAAATGGTCGGTATATGAGGATTTGAGTGAGGTAATAGGATGTATACAGCGTTGTAGCTTGATTGGCAAAGAGTTGGTTTTCCATGGTAGACGACCAGCGAACTACGAGGCATTGTCAGCGAGGATAGTTCTGAGAGAGACATCAGATAACGAACGATAGGGTGGCACGGCTTCTCCCCACTCTGTGAGGGCAGTGTTAAGCTCAGAAATAATACGTTCTGGCCACCGGGGCCCGACTAATCCGAGCAGAACTTTGGATTTATCGATAGCGTACTAGGTGTAACGTTGATCCAGTCAATCGGAGGACAGTATTGACGAGGATGATTACGCACGATTGTACGAAGGGCGAATGCTTGGATTTGAGTGATCTTGATGAAGAGAACAAATGCGGTTACAGTACATGGTTTGCCTGGCGGTTGCTTAAACGCCTTGTCGGGGTTCTCGTGTTCCCAATATTCGTCGTCGACCTCCAGCGGCATATCAAGGTCGAAACTATACACTTATGAGAATATGCGTATCAACAAATGACGCAGTCACGTACTCTTCTTCTCTGGAGCAACATGTTCGGCCCAGGGCGGCACTGCCGATACGGTCCTGCACGACCAATGTCCAGTACGCGCGTTTCCACAGTTCTTCATCCACAGTTGGCCGCGAACTGTACACCTTTTTCCGATGTGCGCCCACATCCTCGGCCTTCCGTAGACCGACAGCAATCAAAAGCCAGCTCACCGGACCCCATTTACTCATTCGGAGGAACATGGCCAGAAGCTACAGCATGTTTTAGGCATGCCGTGAAGCGCGAAGCGGAAATCTCACTGTATGTGTCTGCACTTCAGCAAGGCAAGCTGGACGTATGACGCTACGTTTGATCATATGTACCCCTGTGTAACGCTCGGATAGTCAGTTTTTCGGGTATGGAATGAATTTTCGCAGCACATACGGATCGCAACTTCCATATACTTCCAGCCAGCTAGAAGCCACCTCTGTCGAGCTGCCTCTGCGTTTTCGGGAGAACTGCCTGGAGCTCTTTCTGTCAAAACGCGCGGATCGTCCGACCAGCGAGACGCGACGGCGAATATCGACATGCAGAGGCAAGCAAACCAGACATCACGTTGGTGAAGTCCGCTCATCCAGGATTTCTCGAATGTCGGACGGTGCAACAACGGAAACTGGCTGTTGACATGGGCAAAGTACAGATCAATCAACGTCCTCGCGAGATCGGGGGGAGGGAAGTGTTCCTCGAGGCCGGGGATGCCTGCGGGCGAATCAATCTGAAGTCCGTCGTATATCGCTTCCCACTGCGGACGAAACAACGGTGTTGACGGTCATTGTGTCGAACACTCCCACAGAAGAATTGCGACCCACCTCGGGCATAGTCCAAAATTCATCTCGCATGTTAGATCGGTCATCTTCGGGAGATGCTGCCACGGATTCATCAGCCTCTGCCTCCGTCTCAGTCTTCCTCAGCTCGGCCCTATGCTCCTCCCGGAGCCTACGCGTCATCCCGACGAGCTTGTACGAGCTGCTCTTCCCATGGTAACGCAGCTGATTCTCCGAGTGCGGGGCTGGCTCGCCGGCTGGTTCGAGTCCGCGGAACGTCAACCGCTTGACCCCCCGAGTCAGACTGAGCTCGCCAAGCTCCTCGACATCAGACGACACGTCATCCGATGAGCTCTCGTCGTTGCCGTCGTCCTCCCTTTTGCTCGAGCCCGATGGGGACTTTCCCTTGGCGGCTGCCTCCCTGACGACGGGGCTGTTCGGATTAGATCGAAGATGGGGTAGAGGTGCAGAACCGAAAGAACTTGATGGAGGAGACAAGGACTGGATCTGCGACGTCGTCTGCGCGCGTGTCTTCGACGTCTCCCCCCGGGACTGCGCGGAAGTGGAGCGTTTGTGAGGAGGGTCGTTTTTCCAAGAGCCTCGGACGATCGGCGGTCCAAGTTCGTCGGTAAAATCCTCGTTCGGGCGTAGCTGTGACGGCGGCGATGAGCGCCTTGTTGCGCGGGTATACGAGCCGATCGGTCGAACTTACTCGCTTCAATAACACGTCGATCTTCTCAATCCTGTCTTCTAAAGCGGTGACATACCTGGTTGGGCGTCGATCAACCCTCGAACCAAAGACGGTCCCATGGGAGAAAACTTACGCTTTCGGAGGACCTCTTGGCTTTGACGCCTCTCTGTAGAAGCGTGGGTGAATTCGCGCGGAAGCGTGAATAGAGCGTTTCAGGGGCGGACGTACACATATGTGCAGGACTTGCGGTTCTGTATGCAATTGGTGCAGATGTGATTAGGCATCTTCGGACCGTCGCATTTAGTCTTTCTTCTGCGACAGAAGTCGCAGGCGCGTTCGATCTTGCGTTTCTGTGACGCGGATATCTCGGCCGCGGAGAGACTGAGGTCATGGTAGTTCACATCGTCCTCCGTCTTAGGAACGTCGGGGAGGCCCGTGTCCGAATGGTCGCTGAGCTGGATGGTGGTGGCTGAAGCATAGGCGGAGGATGGCGGATACGGGTCTGCGGCTTGCATGGAAGTGCAAGGCGCGGGCGTGGAGACGGGGTGTGTGGCAAAGAGAAACAGGCGAGTAGGCGGTGGGCGGCGGAGGGTTATAGAGCGCTGGGATCTGGCGTGGATCCGACTCGTGCGCTTGACGGACAAAGGACGAACACAGGACTTAGACACTCGCTTCCTGCTGCGGACGAGTGCGTTCTGGCGCACGTGATCTAAGCAGGTTCAGTATCCATTCCCCTGGTGACTGTTTTCCCGGCGATCAGAGCAACATCCGCGAATAATCTGCATCAGACCTGCGGCCCTGGCTCCAATAAAAATCGAGAAGCTCGAGCTCGGACGTCCGAAGTGCCCCAGGCATGTCGTCTTTACACTGAAGCGTACTCGGACCTGACCGGCTTACGATCATGACCCTGCGATCGCTACAATTGTAACTGCTTCTGTATGGGGATCGATGTCCTTCGTGCTGTACGCAACGATACGAGTCTCGTGTTTTGGGAGCAAGTTTTCGTCGAATCGGCAAGTATGTCTGGGTGGGCCAGCCGCTAGCCGGTCAAGCAAGCTGTCCCAAGCGCACACACGACGATCGGATGGGATGAAGTACGGGTCTCGCCCCTGGCTCGACGGCTGCGCCGGCCGACCTCTTTGCATAGCTGACCGCCGCGTGGCTGTGCCCCCCCGAATGACACACACCATACCCACGCTCCTGTTCCGCTTTTCACCCTCCGTCTCCCGCGGCCCATACCAAAATTGTTCTTGATCGCGCCCTTCGCGCACAGGTTCTTCATCTCTGCCTCATGCTAGCGCGATCGCTCAAAGCGGGCGTAAGGCGTAGCGCGCCGGCCTCCAGCCGCAGCCTCCTCGCCGCCCCCAAGTTCTCTACGCATCCCAAAGTGCTCAGCGATAGGCCCTATGACCGACCGTCGCCGCCGCCCCTGCCTCAAGAAGACCAGCGGGAGTTTGAGGAGCTCGTGCGCAAAGCACAGACGCCCCTAGTTGCCCCCTCTTCTGCTCCCGCTTCTACGACCGCAGTCTCAGCCGAGGCCGACCTCGCGCTGCATCCCGACGCGCGACGCCCCGTGGCCCCCGAGTTCATAGGAGACGTGAACCCGGTGACGGGCGAGCAGGGAGGGCCGAAGAACGAGCCGGTGCACAGGTGGAGGGAGGACGAAGGGGATTGGAGTTTCAAGGGTAGGGTGTCGGATTTCTGATGGAGACAATCGTCTACGCGATTTTTGCCCCGCCCGCTATCGTGGTGGACTACATGAGGTTGTCTACATACCTTCTACAGTTCTGTAATCCATGCATGGCGACTTTGTCGACGTAATCACTATGACGTGCTCTCGTACTCGTTCGAGTCTCGTTACGAGTTGCTACTGCAATTGGCTTCCCGGATTCGACGGGCGTGTACTGTTCTGATTTGTGGCTGCACCGTGCTGGTCTACTGCGACTCCTTTCCCATCGTATCTGGATCACCGCTCTCGTCATGGCTTCTTCGCAGGACATTTGGGTATGATTCAGCGCTGGAAGTTGCTCCCGATAAAGCTCGCGCGTACCGCCCCACCGGATTTGGCTTCTTTCCTCCCTCTCGACACGAGACAGCTTTACAGACCATTCACCACTACCATGGCATCCGTAGATGGAAAGACTGAGCGCCGTTGGAACCGTGTAAGCAGAGGCGATAGTTATCCGGTCCCGAGGATCACAGCAATGCTGCGAGAGCAGGTTACCGTTTCATCCGCCGTATGAGTGCTCATCGATTGTCGCCGTCTCAACAGTTGGCAGATGAAATGCGTTATTTCCATGACATGTGAGGTCTCCCGAATCTCGTGCGTAAGCGTCGCATCTCCGGACTTCCTAGTGCTCACCGTGACCCATTCCAGGATCATGTTCGGCATCTAAATTGAAGTTGTGCGCTGATACAGGTTCAAGAGAGATTGTAAGTAGCGTAGGTTCTAGCGTCCTATGAACGTCCCACTTATACGACGAACATGCGATCACCAGTCAATGATCTCTACGAAGTGGGCCAATCATATTCTTCGAGTTTCTCATGCCGAACGGTCACCAATTCACAATCTGCTGTAGCTTGCGGATGGCTCGTTCAGTAAGCGGGGAATGCCCCTGAAAGCTTATCTCAGGCTTGCGCATGGTCTGAACCAACGTGAGGTCTACCGCTTCGCTGCGTGTTATCACGCTTTAATGAAGGCATGTGTCGGCCCACGAATAGACTTGACCGCACACCACACGATCGAGGAGACGTATTTCTTCCCCAAGCTGGCGAAACGGATGCCGGCATTTGCCAAGGACAAGGACGGTGATCATATCAAGTCTCACAAGTACGTGCACGTCTGCCGTTCAGTCTGGGGTTTTGCTTTGGCTGATGCGGTGTCGGTGCAGGGCAATCCACAAAGGTCCACATTGAGCTTGGTCGAAATTTAACGAGTAGGCTGACAACGTTACAGGTCTCGATGACCTCGCAGCCTTGATCAAGAAATGGAACGAAGAGCCGTCGACGTACTCACCCGAGGAGATGCGGGCGTGCTTGGATAGCTGGAGGGATGTCCTATTCAGACACCTGGATGAGGAGGTGGGTGCATGTTCGGGAACGATCGCAGTGACATTGACGACTGATCGCATGAGAAGGTTGCGGACTTGAGCGGCGAAAACATGAAGAAGTACTGGAAATTGGAGGAGGTGGATCGTCTTGGCGTCTGACTGGGCTCAGAGCATCCTTGCTCGTTATTTGCTTCTTTCTACGTTACCTGTATGCGATCTGGTGGTCCCGATTGCGCTAGCAAAGCCAGTGGCTTTACTTATATCCGTTTGTGCAACTTTGACCGCCAGTGCCCGGCTATGGGCCAAGTGCCGCCCGGTCACCTGACCGTGCTCTTCTCCCGACATGAGTGGCTGCGACTGCGAGGGGCCTAAACATAGGCGGCCACGGCGACAGACTAGTCTGAGGCAGACGAGGTCTCTCGTAGGTGCATACCGACGTGCGGCGCCACAGCACCAGCCCCTCGACGATGTCCTTGCGCAAGAGCCGATCGGTCGCTGCGATTCCGGACGACGCCGGGCCTTCGAGAATGCTCAGCGGACCGTCATCCACCACCTGGCGGCGACAGCGCCTTCTGGCGATTGGACAGGGCGGATCGGCGATCCCCGCCTCGCCGGACGAAACGACTACACTCGGCAGGGACAGCACCGAATATGGATCCATCCCGCCCAACAATACGGTCCCCAGCCCGAGCGCAACTCGACGTGGCTTCCGTTCCCGTCATCGGCTGCCGGCACTCCCCCACCTCGATCTGCCCCATGGCGCGGCGTCCGCATCTAACCCGACCTCACCGCGGACGCCCATGTCATTCTCGTTCCGTGACATCCGGGACTCTCAGACCTACTTCCGACAGAGGCCCATCTCCGCGTACGATTCGAACCTGGTCAAGGACCTGACCGCTCAGCGCGACGCGGAGACCGACGGCGACTCCGCAGCGCGCAGCAACGGAATACGGGTTTGGTACTCGAGCTTCACGAGCATCGACTGGTTGCACGACGCCATCAAGGATTCCGTGCGCCGGTCGAGACTCCACCGTCGGAAATCCGTGCGCGGGAAGATAAGGTTGGCTGTCGATCGGAGCATTGGCTGGATCATCGTGACCATTGTTGGTGAGCATCTCTGTCATACCTGACGTTCTGTTTCTCACCGACACGTGTCGTTTTCCGAAGGCATCCTCACGGCCATCTCTGCGTTTCTCATCGCACGATCCGAACAGGTCCTGTTCGACTGGAAGGAAGGGTACTGTACTGCAGGCTGGTGGAAAGCTCGCAGGTTTTGTTGTCCGACGGTGGATGAGGACGTCATCATTGCGAGGCAATGGGCATCTCCGCTGTTCGTAACGCAACCTGAGGGTGACGAGCCATGCGCTGCCTGGCGCGTATGGTCCGATCTATTTGACCCTAGGCATCACGGAGAAGGATCGTGGCTGAAACTTGAAGCTGAAATGGTCGAATACGTAACCTACACTGTTGTTGCTGTAGGTCTTGTCGTGCTTGATCCGCCCCCCTTCGAAGTCCTGACCCAGTCCAGCTCGTACTTGCTTTGATTTCAACACTTTTGACAATCCATCTTACTGCCTCAACGTCGTTCATCACTCGCAAAGATTCCGGCGTGCTCGCTCCAGACTTTCCAGAAAACGATAATGACAAGCCAAAGCCGGCGCAATCAGACGCACCCGACCCTAGGAGGAAAGTCATGTACTATGTAAGTCGGATTTGGGCACGTCTAAATGAGTATGTACTAACTTATTCACTATCACAGGCAGCCGGAAGCGGAATACCAGAGATCAAGACTATCCTCTCAGGTTTTGTCATCCACGGCTACCTTGGCGCTCGCACTCTCTTCACGAAATCGGTAGGCTTAGCTTTGAGCGTGGCCTCCGGACTTTCGCTAGGTTCTTCTGCCGTTGACCGTTCTTAGGTCGTGGCTGACCAATATATTCCTAGGCAAGGAAGGGCCGTTCGTCCACATAGCGAGCTGCATTGGTAATATAGTCAGTCGCTTCTTCAACAAGTACGAGAACAACGAAGGTCGGTTCTGCTCGCCCTTGCGTTGTCCTATCCTGAGATCGTTTCATAGCTAAGAGACGTGAGATACTCAGCGCAGCGTCTGCTGCAGGTGTGGCGGTTGCATTCGGTGCGCCAATAGGCGGCGTCTTATTCAGTTTAGAGGAAGTCTCATATTTCTTCCCGCCGAAGGTATGTTTGGCGTTTCGCCGAATGAGGCTCCTTCGTCCTCATTTTGCCCCATCTTCACAGGTTATGTGGAGAAGGTGGGAGCTGCCTGATTCACTGACAATCGCTGTTCATAAATCAATGCATCGACTTCAGTTTCTTCTGCGCTATGATTGCCGCCATCACCCTTCGGTTCCTGGATCCATTTGGCACTGGCAAGCTTGTACTGTTCCAGGTGACATACGATAAGGTAGGTTTCAAACAATTATAACCACTCCCAGGCTAATCTCCTCACAGGACTGGCACGCCTATGAACTTGTCTTTTTCCTGCTCCTTGGTATCCTTGGGGTAAGCGAACCGCGGTCGTATCAATAGTGCAGGATCTGAGCCATCGGAACACAGGGTATATACGGGGCGTACTTCTCCAAGCTCAACTTCCGCTGGAGTCGCGACGTACGAAACAGGACATGGATGAAGACCCATCCTGTTTTTGAAGTTTTGCTGGTATGTCAGCTGTCGTCGTCATGTCGAGATGGTACACCAACCTCATCGCTAGATCACGCTCATCACTGCTCTCGGCTCCTTCTTGAACCCTTACACCCGCATGGGTGGTACAGAGCTGGTCTACAACCTCTTCGCTGAGTGCCGTGCTGGATCTGGCAACACCCACTACGGGCTTTGCGTCCTGGACCCTCCCACACAAGCCGTGCCGGTGATAAGAGCCATCTTCATCGCGCTATTGGTCAAAGGTGCTCTCACCATCGTCACCTTTGGAATCAAACTCCCCGCTGGCATCTTCATCCCTACTCTGGGAGTTGGGGCGTGCGCGGGCCGTATCATGGGCATACTCGTACAATGGGGGCAGTGGAAGTACCCGGACAGCGGTATCTGGTTCAAATATTGCAGAGGTGACCTTGACTGCGTAGTTCCTGGGTTATATGCCATGGTCGGCGCAGCTGCGGCGCTATCCGGAGTTACAGTAAGTTACGTCCGCCTCGCTTGTACTGTTCTGACCATGCCTCCCAGCGTACTACAGTGTCTCTGGCCGTGATCATGTTCGAGCTCACGGACACTCTCACTTATGCGGTGCCTGTGATGCTATCCGTCTTAGTCGCAAAGACCGTCGCGGATGCGCTAGAACCGAAGGGCATATATGATCTCGTTATCGAGTAAGTATGAACCGACACGTACCATCTCCACGTTTGACGGTGTTTGTCAGCCTGAACCAGTTGCCGTACCTTGACGGCAAGCACGATCCCTTGTGGGGCGACCTACAAATCAGCGATGTGGTGAGTACACCGAGTCGAAGTTGGCGCAACGCTGATGGGACTACATCGCGTAGGTGAACCGCGACGTCGAGGTCATCCGAGTGGACCGAGAAAATACTGTCAAGTCCCTTTGCGATCAGCTGCAGCAGCTGTTGTCCTCGGGCACAGATGATTCTGGCTTCCCGATTCTCAGACCGGACGACCGTAAAGACGGCGGTGGTATGAGGATGATAGGGTACATCGGTGCGAGTGAACTAGAGCACGCCCTCAGTACGTGGACCCTCCTCAGCCTCGCGGGCTTTGTGGTCAACGCCTTGTTCCGATAGGCATCGTCGCCGATGAAGCGGATAGCCCAGTTTCATTCCGCGTCACTCAGGCTCATCAACATGGTGATATTACCTCTTCGTCGATATCTTCACTGGCCGAAACGAGCATATACGCTGCTGGCGATCCCTTCGACTTCAGCGTGTACATGGACCAAGTGAGTCGTGATTGGTGTACTCCTTTCATCGCCAAATATTGAACTGTTTCCATGCAGGCGCCGCTCACCGTCCAGTCCAATGCCCCGCTTGAACTCATACAAGAATTCTTCGTCAAACTCGGAACACGCCATGTAATGGTTACCGATACGGATGGATGCTGTAAGTCAGTACTGTTCCTGCCTTTTGCAGCGCTTGACGCCGTACCAGATGAGGGCGTTATCGATAAGAAGACGTGGTTGCACTTCGTAACGGAGTTGGAGGAGAGGAAACATTGATGTAGAGTACAGCCAACACATGTCAAAAAACTGTATTTACTACATGCTTTAGGTTGCAATGGACATGGACAGCGGAACGTAGAATATGGCTATCATCGTGTAGTAACTTAGTATTCACAGCAAGTTCACAAGTAGGTAGGTAGGTATATTTCCGGCAGGTAGGTATCGCGGCAGGGTCAAGCGTCCAGATGCGGAAGCGCTCAGCCACCGTGATTTGAGGCTGCAGGCAAACGCGAGTCGCGTTTCAACTCGAGTCGCCATGCCTCAAGAAGGACTCGGTATCCCCGTCAAGCTCCTCCACGAATCTTTAGGTCACATTATAACGGTTGAGCTCAAGACGGGCCAGCTCTACCGTGGCAAACTTGCTGAAGGTCTGCTTCCTCGCGGTCGAACCTGCCTATAGCGCGCGAGCCCATCTCTTACCTCTCTTGCCTCTGTCTCGCAGCCGAGGATAACCTGAACATCTCCTTGAAAGACATAACAGTCACTGGACGTGACGGACGTGTGTCTCAGTTGGATCAGGTCTACATCCGTGGCAGTATGGTCAGGTTTTTCATCGTGCCCGATATGTTGCAGAACGCCCCCATGTGAGTGCCACATCGGCTTCATTTGGAATGGGAAGGCGATCTTACACGGACTTTATCAATCAGGTTCAAACGCGTGGGCCCGAATGCCATGAGAGGAAGAGGTATTGGCACGGCTCGTGGACGAGCGACCATCATGCGCGGTATGTTAGGCTATATTCGTGACCAAATGTCCTTACTCAATATCCGTCTTTTGCAGCCAACGGTACGTTTATAGTGATAGATTCGGAAGAACTTGCACCTGATTGAAATTCGCCTTACAGCTCGTCGTGGTCGCGGTGTGCCTGCGCCTCGTGGAATCCGGCGGTAAAATACCTTTGTTGTACTCCGATGTGATCATATTCGCTTGTGTCTCTCATCCATCAATGCATTGTCACACTGGCCAGCGTTTATCTGGGTCCAACTGAGAACTCAAGCCAGCGATGCAGTCCATGTCCCCCCCATGCATATACTGACAGACACGAATCTGCTTTCCCGCCATACGTCAGTGCGGTTTACCATCACTACAGAATCACAAGACTTCGATCACATCCGTCCTACAAGCAATCCACAAATCGGCAATGGAAGGGCATCCCTACTCGACGCTCCCAATCTGACATCACTCAGCATCTATGGCTACAGCGATGTCCAGTCGACCGCGTATTGCTGGTTAGTCTCTGTCGTGCAGAGATTGCAAGGCGGGACATGGACACGCCCAGTGAAACAGCAAGATTGGAATATCTAGAACCATGCTGCTCGGGAATTGAGACGGGGAGTTGGAAGCCCTGCGAGAAGTCGTCCCTGAGGTTTGCTTTAGGAAGTGGCCATGGTGAAGGAGACATGCACTATTGATCTTAGCTAGCAGTACCTCCGAAGCACATCGTAGTAACTTTGATCCGCAGCTTATCGTAGTACATAGTCGATTCATGTACATATCGCAAAATAGTAGGTCCTATCTATATATGTATACCCGTTCTATTGGTCAGGAATGTCTTCAATACATTGAAAACAACCTGCACCACCATGAAGAACGTATACCAAAAGCCAACTGAAATATCCACGTTAAAACAAGGCAAGGTGATGCAACCGGAGACTCACTGAAAAGCATAGGAATCCAGAATATGACGAGCATCCGATCCTCTGTACATCCGTGTCAGTTGAGTATAGGTATAATAAGTTGCAAACATACCTTTTTTCTGCATCTTGCTGGTCCGTCCTCCATCTCGTTTGTACACATAAGACTCCACTTCTTGTTCGGGCAAAGGTTCGTCCCGATATCCTACGCGGCGCGTCAAGCCTTGTGAAGTTGAAGCCTCCTGGGTAGGTTGCTTCGTCCTAGGGCTGTATGGCGGAGGCACGTCCTCCGCTTTAGGGCCGGCAGTGCTGGCAGCAGCAGCAGCTGTCATCGCCTGTACCATCCATTGCTCCCATAAAGCAAGCCACTCCTTCACGTTTGGGCGTTGCTGATGCTCGCCCGTGGAAGCGTTCTCAGGCGTGGGCTGGGTTTGCTTCCCCTTGCCCCTCTGGACTGTGTTCGCGTTGAGGAAGGTGGGCCAATTGGCGGAAGGCGTGACCACAGGGAAAACCATGGGCATAGGCGGCAGCTGCGACCACTGGACACTCGACATCCCCGAGAGCTGAGGTAACGGCGGTAGTGGCAATTGAGGAAGGTTGGCGATCAAACCCTTGTTACGTTGCCACTGCATGAGGGTACGTTGGATGACATCGGCATAGGAGAGTTTGGCGCCCGACACCTCCGAATTTTTCTCGGGACACTGTGATACGGAAGTAGATGGAGGCACTTCCTCGCAAGTGGGTGTCAAGGTTGTCGGAATATGACTCTCCGGGTTCCGTCGAGATGAGCGCCGCTGACGCAACATTGCTGGTGAAGGGTCGATGTCTTCCTCATCCTCTTCACCATCGCCCCAGTCCGCTTCCTCGTCGTCGTCCTCGGCCCTCGCCCACTGCAATTCACCGTCAACTTCGACTAATATTTCGTCGAAAAAGCCTTCGGGGCCTAGTTGAGCGGCGATCATGCCCTTGGCATTTACCACCTCGTGATCGGCGCCGACGCGAAGGAGGATCTGTGCACACGGAGCACAGCCTACCAAGGCAGCATAATGCAGAGCGGTGAACCCGTTGTTGTCCCGTGCATCAAGATCTAGGTCATGCTTGACAAGGAACTCGGTTAGGCGAGAAAATCCGCGCATAGACGCTAAGTGAAGAAGCGTGTGACCAGTCGCAGATGCGTGAGACATCGCTGACGCCAAAGATGAACAAGTAGCATGCTCTACTGGGGTGTCCAGGATGGAGAGGAAGTCGACCATAAGGGTCTCGAAATCCTCCGCATCTCGGGCGCGCCTGAAGAGAAGCGCCTGAGCAGCCCGAGAAGGATCGGATGTGGTCGGATCGACTTGCATGACATTGTCCTGTTGTGGGTCTCCGGCGGTGCCAACGATGCGGAGCGCTACATTCTTCGCATCCTCGAGTTTGCCAGTCATCTTAAGCCCGACAACCTGCAAAGCGAGCTCCATCCTGAATGAAACCATGTTAGTCACAGTATGATTCATTTTCTGGATTCTGTAACGAAGACTCACAGCGCTCGGTCGGTCTCGTCGATGTACGTGAAAAGGACGGGAGGACTACCATCCTCGAGTTTCTCGATGCCCTCGAACCAAACCGCGACTACACCGGACGTTATACGTGGAGGCAAGATGCACAGGAGTGTGTTGTCACTCCATCGCTGGGTTGAGCTCGCTACCACATCACCAAACATGCAATTCAACTGGATGTTCGGATGGAAATTTGCGCCCAAGATGGTGATCTCGATGCCTCCGGCAGTGGGACCAGAAGATGGAATGAGACGATGGATGATGGGTTGGGGCAAGTTCTGCAGGTTGGAAGTAGGATCAAAATAAAGGAATGACGATGATGGAGCTACGGTGGAAGACATGGTCATTTGCTGTTGGAAGCCCAGCGATGGTTGTACAGGCGACGGAGGAGCGGTAGGCAAGAATGCGGTTGGTGAAGCCAAATTCTCCAAGACTGTGCTAAGCATATCCGGAGTGGCGAGAAGGACTGCCGACGCAGGGTCTACTGATGGGAGAGCATTCGGTGATGCCGTCTGCTGAGGCCAGACACCGGACAATGGCGTTGGCACGTTAGCAAGTTGTGATGGGCTACCCGAACGAGTTTCCGGCAGCTCCGAAGTGAAGCTGGCGGGCGATGCTAGGCCAGATGCGCTGCCTTTTCTCGACTTCAGGTTGCGATCATACGGCTTGGCCCGTTTCTTGGTTTCCGCGTTGCCTTTGGTAGTTGCCTTGCGCTTTGCAGGAGGGGCGGGACTATCTTCCGGAGGTGTAGACCACGGTGCATTTGACGACGGGACAAGCGGGCTGGCTTGCTTGGCAGCCGATGCACTCGTCGTTTTGTGGTCGTCCGTGATCATTATAGGTGGCGTGGTCCCAGAGCCGATCAGTCTGCCTTGGTGGTCCAGTAGAGAGAATCTGACCAAGAACCCAACCTTCTCCCGATGATGGCGGCAGTAGCACGTCATGCGGACAGGAAGAATCGTGGTACCAGACGAAAACTCGAGAACTTCCGGGCAATTAAACTGTACAACGCTCGTCGTGTCTTCAGTTTGACGAGGCAATCCTGGCCCGCCTTCTTCACCCGAGTCGGAGTCCGAGCGTACAGGTCTGACCCGCATCTGAAGCTTGCGCGCAGAGCGTTTTGCCTAGCACGATATGTCGTGAGATGAAGTTGTTATGAAGCGGAGCGTCCTCACCTCGCGGGAACGACAGCTTGCACAGCTTACAACAGGAACATTAGGTGGAGAGGCGCATGTCACCTCGAATCGGAGATAAAGAGTGTCTTCAGGTTTAGGATCTGCTCATCGTTTAGCGATACGTGAGTTCTAAGCGGAAGGCACGTACCAATTCTCCCGTCTTTCCTCGGCCTACGCTTGGTTGCAGTCCCTTTGGGTAGCCGGAGGTACTTCCACGAGCCTACTAAGTCGTACCGCAGTGGATCCAGCGCGGAAGCATGTGCGTTGGCCAGTTCCATAGTGACACGAATCTGGGTCTCTACTCGTGACTTGGTCCCAGTCGCAGGGATGTTTGGCAGGACGATGGCGAGCCTATATACGAGCAAAATCAGATGAGTCCAGTGAACCCTTGCGCATCCGCTTACCCCTCGCAAGCCTCCTTGGGGGGAGTCACGACATTGGGAGGGTTCTGTGACGGCAATTCTCGTCTTCGTTGGCGCTGCTTCGACCCCTTTGTGACGGTTGAATTGGGAGGAGTGTCGGATGCCGTAGGGCTGCTACCTGATGGCAGTGACTCGTTCGTGTTGGAACGATAGTTGGCCGCGAAGAGAGGCGTCATCAAGCTACATTCATAGGGCGCGTCGTGGTCGTACGTGCCCTCCCTGATGAGGTCGTGGAACTCAAGGATGTCCTCGCCGTCGGTCTTGGTGGGTATATGATGCACAGGATGGAAGCCCTTCCCTGAAGGCCACGACAGGTCGGCGATAGTGACTTGTTCAAGTGTATCATACGGCTCTGGTGTCGCTGGCGATGGCGAGCGCGAGCTCGTCGTGGCCGAGGAGGATGACTGGGCGAATACTGGGTCCATGAGGAAAGCGGGGAGAGGGAGCGCTCCAGCTGCCGCGCGCATCAGGTTCGACCGAGACGCCGATGCCTCTTATGGTAACTCTGCGAAACGTTCGAGTACGCTCCTCCACGTTTCGAATTTTTGCTCCGGAGTCACCGTCGCATTCATGACATGGACTCACTTTGCGCAGAAAGGGCGAACAGCCAACAGTGTAATACGTGTATAGCGTATCAGGTACAGATTCACATGGGGTTGCACTCAGAGATGATGCCGGAATATACATCATCACGATGATCCCTGATCCCCACTCGTTTGAACTTCGCCAGTAAAACATTGCGTCCAAGAAGCTCCGTGCCTAAACCGCGACAGGTCAAGTTGCAGATGGCGCGCTCTACTCATCCGCCGAAACGCCACTCTTTCGTGGTAGGTCCAATGAATCAAATACTTCGCAACCACTGGCTACGATAACAAGTGCACGCAGGCGCAGGAACATGCATCGGTTCGCATTATAAGGATCATAATTAATACAGGCGAAGTGTCACGGCCTTGCTCTGGTCGCGAGCAGATCGTGGAGGTGATGTTCCGCCGCGATGACATCTTGCTCCGGAGACGTTGCGTTGACCCAATGCCATTGATTCTCGATTGCCGGACCAAGCCGCGCATAGTCGTCTCCATATCTATCATCATTGAACTCATACCTGGCAACTTGTCAGACACGAACACAATCACCACGAGAGCGGACTAGTTATAAAAGCATACATCATGCCTGACACCCGCGACTGTTCTAGGACGTGGTTTGCCATGGGCAGTCGGATGGTTTGATAGGCTTGTAATGCAGCAGGAAGGGTGGATATAGTGGTCGATCTGTTGCCCAGGATAGAAGCAAGCAAGTATGCATCCTGTTGTGATCGGATTGGTCTGTCTGCCAGGTGTCGATATGATCGGTAGAACATACGTCAATGGCTTGCCCAGCACCAGCACCTTGATGAGGTAGCATCGCGTGAGCCTGAGGCATGACGATAAGTCCGGGTAACCGATGCCCAGAAACGGATTTCTTACCGCATCCCCCAGAAGGGCAACACGCCCAGACACGTAGAAAGGAAGCGGCCTCAATGCGTGCAACGCCCATTTCGTCGGGGCTTCTATCTTCTACAGATGCAAATTCAACGATCGGCGGTAGTTCATCGAGGTGTTCGATGAAGACTCGCTGTCAGCAATTCCTGCACGTCGGCCTCCCAACCTTTGTAGCAGTCGAGGAGTTCTTCCTTAGGGCACTCCTTGACCCATACGTCGTCGTAGGGAGTGTGTTCTTTGTTAAGATCACTTGCGAACGTGATAACGTTGACGATGCTTCCTGCCGCAATCGAATAACCAACGACGTGCTAGGAAGCGTTGCGGATCAGAAATTTGGGCTTATCCGTGAGGGGCAAAAATTATAGGGACCTTGCTCTTGCCGCAGTACTATACGCCCGGTATCCTGTCAATAAATCAGGGAGCCGGTAAGCTAGAAAGAATACTTACCATCATTGGTCGGTCGATGGCACGGTGTGATGTCGAGAGTTCTTCCTTCGGTATCAAACCACGATACGCGATGGTACCACTCCATACTGGATCGATGAACCCCAGCAATCGAGGATCGCTCACGGCATGCTGTTCGTACATTTGCTTCCGCACCAAGGACTTGATGCCGTCACATCCAATGAGAACGTCGCACGTGGCCCGGGTACCGTCCGAAAATGTGAGCTCGATCGCCGAATAGGGAGATGTAGAGGGGGATTCGCAGTAAAAGGTCACCCGTTTGCCGAAGTGAGCAACGTCGGGCGGCAGGTTGTCCACAAAGACATCGAGGAAGTGCGCCCGGTGGAACCGGATACAGCCATCTAATGGGAATCTTAGCGGCACTGAATTCCAATCGTGAACAATTTACTCGCAAGGCATCTCCATCAGGCGAAAACGAAACCCGTCTTCCGGCTGGTCTGAGCGACGATAGTCAAAGCCGACACCTGAGAGAATACACACCCGCACATCAGAGCGACGGCGAATGACGACAAGTTGTCGCACTTGCCCAAAGATCCATCAGGCGGAGCGTGGGCAACCGCGGAGAACTGATCCGCTAGACAAAGTAGTTGGAGAATCCTCCAAGTCCTTGACCATATCATCACACCGGCCTGTAATTCGATGAACAGGTAGCTCGATTGCAGCGGCAGTGCGATCACGAACACCGATCTCTTTGAACCGTTCTGCGGCTTCATATATATCGACTCGAATATCGGGATATTTGGACAGGGCTACGGCGAGACACAGTCCGCCTATGCCTCCTCCACTGTGATAATCTAAGTTAGTCTATGATGAATCGCGCGCAGACTGCTCAACTCCGTACCAAATTGCAACGCGAAATCTGGGCATGGCCATGGTTCAAGTAGGGTGCCAGACCGAAGTCCGACCTTTATCAGTAGGAGTGTGCCTACCGAAGCCTCCGTTCTCAGATAGCGACCACCTGAGCATCTTGAGCGCTGTCGTGCGACGTCGACCGTCCTCCATGGGACTCGGAGAAGCAGAGTAGTGTCGTGGGTAAAAAGAGGCCAGAAACGGAACCAACCCCCTTCACAGTGCACACCCAAAGCTCTCAAAAATTCATGCTTCAACAACACAACCCGATATTTACGTATACTATTCACAGCTCCCAGGGCCTATGCATCAGCTTGACTCGACCATATGCATGTTGGCCATCATTTTACTCTGCGAATCATAAGGAGCAAGCCTGAGCTCGAATTCTGTTCCCGAAATTGGCGTCTCGCCGAATGAAACAAGGAGGACGCTTGATCTGGTCGAGTCGACCAAGCCTTTGAGCGTCCGGTACGGAGGGAGGACTGGAATTTCGACTAGCTAGTGTCGTCCATCGCATTCCTTTATACACGTAGAATGCATTCACTGTCCAAACGGCCGTTGTGAACCTCCGGAACTTCGTGCGTGGGCTCGTGTAATCCAGTCCCACGAAGTGACGATAATGGCTATACTTATGCGAAATGGATTCACGAAACTAGAAGATAGTGCTGAATAGAATAAGTCAGAGCAAAGGTACAGAATAAAACGCCGCAATCGTCATGTGGGTAGTCTGGTAGTGGACGAAGCCAGTCCGGGTTCGGATGATGAAGATGTCGCTGATGAAGAAGTGCCTTCCAAGGGTATGGGCTCTCGTGCAGCCGCAAATCCCGCTCCAAGATGTTTCTCCGGGATTATGGACATCGCGGGTGCTTTTCCCTTGTCTGTTTCTCCTCCTGTGAACACAGATGGTGCCGAAGAAGTGCAGGAAGTGTTCCCTGTTCCCGCAGCAGAATCACCGGGCGCACGCATGCCGCCGACGATGGCCGGATCTGGAGGGATAATGTACTTCATTTCGGGGTGCGGAAGTCCCTTAACCTCAAGGTCGCGGTGAGACTTGAGACCTTCGCGCCGGGCTCGCTTGCGGCGTTTCTGACGTTTGTAGAGAAACAATACGAACGCCACGGCCCAACCGAGGGCTACAGCTCCTCCGGAGATGATTCCGGCGATCATGGGTGTCTTTGCTTTGTGACTAAGGACGAGGTCCAGCAACGTTCGTGTGTGGTAGGCCGGCGGTACTCACCCGTGCAGCGCGGCGGCCTCGGAGGACGAGACGGCATGATCATCCTGCAGCGAGAGCGTTGGGCTGAACGAGGGGCTTGGGGACATGGCTCCTGCTGCGAGTTTCCGAGTCCTGGAGGGCGAACGCGCAGTCGTACCATACGCTCCCGTCCCGCGTGAGACTGGGTTAACCTACAGGGGTGCAGTCTGACGACGACACGCGGAAGCTTGGAATGCTTAGAGCGCGTGTGCAGGATTTATGGATGAAGTCTTGGGAACTTGAGGTACAGGCGCCTCGTTAATCGTAATTTATGGGGAGATCAACGGAGGCATAGGGGGCGCGTTGCGCAAGGGGCAGCAGCTCAGATATCACAGTGGGTCGGGCCCGCTGGCTCGCGCCACATCCCGATTCCCGAGCTCAAGCCTCTTGAACGCAAACAACGACGACCGCAATCATGGGGTCCACAGACGCGCCTTTCTATTGCCCGACGACGAGCACGAGACTCGAAGGCAAGACTCTTATCGTTGTGCGCGCCTAATTCCAGGGAGTGAGGAGATACACTCACAGAATCTCAAGCAAGCCTGTCGTGACCGTCGCGAACTTGCCTCAACTCGCGGCTGACCTCCTCATTGCGACCTTCGCTCTCAAGCGCATCGGGCTGTTTGACCCGCGCGATGTTATACCAGTGGTCGGAGCGAGGGAAGATGGCGAACCTGGCTTGACCTTACCGCTGGAGTGTATGCCGTTCTGGTCCTTGGCGTGATTCCACCGATACTTATGGATAAATATGAAACAGTGTACGGCAAGGACAATTTTGATGTCGTTATTCTCCAGCAAAGGTCACCCGCGTTGAAGGTGCGTACAGGTTCTATTTCTTGTTACCATGTGAAAACTCATGACGACCGTTAGTCACGAAAACAAAATTTCGTGGACTCAATCTTGGAGTTCATCAGGTCATCCAATTTCAGGGCCGTTTTGTTCATGTGTGGCGTGGACATGAGCAACCGCACGGATGCACAAATGATGTATGCATGCATATTCTTCTTCTTCTATACCATAACCGATTGCGAGAATCCCAGGACTCCGATCTTCCACATTCAGCCCACAAACACCCCCGCCCTTGAAGGTAGTCCACTCTCAACGATCAAAGCGCTCCAAATTCCTGCGTATACGACGCCCTCTACGACATCTCATTCTTCCAAGGAAACACAAGCACCGTCTGCGTCATCTGCGGACGACGTGCCTTTCATGCCCGGCGGCGGACTTTCTAGGCGCATCCTGTCGTCCATCTCGAAGGCATCGACCTCGGATACGCCAGCGTGGAGCACGCCCGTTGCTGCGCTGGTACAGTTTGTTCTCGAAGGAGACAATAGGTTCGATGCCGGCTTGATGGCCACTGCCGCCACTCGTGTATTGGGAGGAGCAGCGGAAGAAATTGTGAAAGCACAGGGGGGCTTCAAGGAGCCGACGAGCTGGCGTCAAGGACTGTTCGGCACACCTCACGATCAGACGCTCTACGGATGAGCTTGGTTTATCACTGTCATGTGCGAGATGCGCTTTCTGCTAGTATCGCAATAAAGGACGGCGAAACGTGCCAAAACATGTGACGGCCATCTCAGTCGCCGGTGTCGTAGGAGTGGCATGAAATGCAGCAACCGATGTCTCCTTTCTGTCCGCGTGCATCGTGAGACGCTGAGAACAAAGCGGGTCATGGTCGTCGGCTCCGTGGCAGGTCCAGAGGTCTCTGTATTAAGACGTGATTCGGACGTTGCAATACATAGAATGAACATATGGTCTGGAGTTGGTTGCGACTCGGTTGAGGATCTCGCCGAGAGGATCGGGGCACCTCAGAGTGCAGTACGAGTATATTTGTTGGATGCACGGTGTGCACTGGTATATACGCGTACGCCAGATGCATGATTCTCGCGGATATGTGGATGAGTGGCGATGATCGCACCAAACTGTATCACTGGTCGTCGAAACGACGGGTCGTTTCGAAGTCAGGAGAAAAGCTGGCAAAAGTATTAAACGAGCGGTTGTGGTATTACAGTATATCTGTAGTACGTCCGGATCCGCACGGAGAGGACCTGGATGTTGCGCGAGTGTGGATCCTGTGCGATGACGTACATAGGTTTGAATGCAGTAAGTGAAACATCGCCTTGATCGCTTCCTGCCCTCCATCGCATGCCCGCGCTCACCTGAGGCAGTGAAAGGCGGTTCCTGCGCGTCCCGACCGCATATCTGTGCACCCCTGTGCCTCCTAAATGCCCCCAAGGACGGCTGGCCATCTCTTCTCTTTTACAACTTTCCCCTTCACGACACATCATGTCCCATTGGAACACAAACACGAACGAGCAATGGGGCGGGCAGCCCAATCAAGGCTACCAACCCATGGTCCATCCCGGCCCTGAATCCCAGCCCTACGCGCCTCAATATGCCCCTCCACAAGGTCCACCACAGGGGTACGGTGCTGGCTGGACCGCCGACCAAAAGAACCCCTACGAGAATGAGCGCTTCAAACCCAAGAAACGCGTGAACGACGTGTTCTTCTTGATACTGTATATCTTGACTGTAAGTCTCATGCGTTGGTCGCAAAGGGGTGTATTCGTCACGCCGCCAACCAGTTCCTCGGATTCGCGGCGCTCTCTGGAATAGTGCTTGATGAATGGGTGAAAGACGGCGGACTCGGTGGTGGTTTGGGCGACGGGAACACAGGCACCTCTGTTACATTGAACCAGTTCGTGGATCCAGTCCTTCTCGTCGACCATCCGGTTGATATCGCATGCAGGCATACTGTATGGTTACTTCTCCTGGTTACGGCAGCGGGTCTGCTCCTCTCAACGGCGTGGCTTATGCTCACCCGATTCTTCACGCGAGCGATCATGCACATAACTCTCGTGCTTTCCATTCTCCTCAACATGTAAGTCAACCGCAACGTTGGCCAGTCTAGATTATCTACTCAGACCCCACGTGTAGCGGAATATGCGCATATTATTGGGTCACGAAGTACTATTGTACGTCTCTCCAGATTGGAGAATAGGCGATATCTCACGTTCGATGCCTACAGCCGGAGCGATTATCTTCACGGTGATAGCGCTCCTCTCTGTCCTGTCGTACTGGGCAATGCGTTCTCGCATCCCGCTCTCCTCGCTCCTCCTCCAAGTCGTCATGGACGTTTCGAAACATCACATGAGCGTATACGTAGTAGCGTTCGCCACCCTAATCATCCAAGCAGCTCTCTCCGTGTAATGTTCCTCATTTCCTTAATATATTATGTTTCGCTGACGTTCCTTCAGATGGTTCACCTTCACTGCCATCGCGACGTACGCCAAATGGACGCCAGGCAACCCGTCCTGCGAGAACGACTCATCATGCTCATCGGGCAAGGTTGCCGGCCTTATATTCTTCGAGACCTTTGCGTTCCTCTGGATTTCGCAGGTCATCGGTAACGTCGCTCTCGCGACCCTGGCCGGCGGTCCGTTCGGCTCGTGGTACTACTTTGGTCCGCGCGAGCAAGGGCAGATGCCGAACCATCCCACGACGTCCGCCTTCGTCAGGGCATCGACGCTGTCTCTTGGTTCAATCGCGTTTGGGTCGCTGATCGTGACGCTTTTGGAGGTCATTCGCATGATTTTGAACGCTGCGAGGAATTCGGCGCAAGAAGACGGAAATCGTAAGTGACATTACTGCAGTGTTGCGTGCGTTACCTGACTCTGCGTGTCTTGCAGCCGCTCTGGCCATTGTGGCTTGCATTGCAGAGTGCTGCATTTCATGCATCGAAGGCGCCGTGGAGTACTTTAACCGGTGCGTGTGCATTCAGGCTTGATCGCGTGGAAAACGGTCTAACCAGGATTTGTCTCCTCCAGCTACGCCTACATCGAGATAGGTAAGCGGATCGCCGAAATCCGCACTTGTCATGCTCATTGGCTATCATCCAGCTCTCTATGGCAAACCATACATTCAAGGTTCGTACATCGCTAGAAAATAGTATGTGCGGATACTTATTCCCACCTTAGCTGCAAAGGATACATGGCGATTGTTCAAGGATCGCGGAATTGACGCTCTCATTAATGACTCCTTGGTTAACATCACGTTGACATGGGGATCATACGTCGTTGGCATCCTCTGTTCGCTGTTTGCGTATCTCTATCTCCGCTGTACGTGCGATCTGCAGAAAGTAACCAGTCCTGCGATCGTACTGACTGGCCCTTCCTAGACACGCACCCCGCCTACAATGACAATGGCCAGTATACGGCTCCCGTTGTACTGTTTGCGTTCCTCATTGGTACCTCATGCTGTACGAGTGAACCGCCATTATCCGTTGACCTCATCGCTGACATGTCGACAGTGCTTACCCTCGGATCGGCCATCCAAGCTGGTGTATCTACGATGTATGGACGCCCCCGTTCGCCGTCATTACAAACACGTTACTCATCATCTCTTTTTCCAGATTCGTTGGTTTGGCAGAGGATCCCCAAGTTCTCGCTATCAGGGCTCCCGAACTGTTCGGCGTACGCTCTCAGCCTTGTCTGCTTCTCGCTCAGACTCGCTAACTTCGCCTGCAGATGATTGCTCAAACATATCCGCACGTGGTTGAAGGTATCCAGATTCCATGAGTGGATAGATAACAACCCAATCAGAATGGTCAGGGCTTGAATGGCTATAGAGCGTACATCGCGAGCATTCGTGCTACTACCATCTTGTATTTTCTCGCGATTTTCGTAGTCAGAATCGTAATGACATGACGTAATGCAAGGGTGTAGGCGAATGCGAGATGATCCGAAACATAAGGAATAGGGAAAACGAACGATATCGCCCGTAGCGTTTATCCTTCGATAGGACGGTAGGCGCGATTGCCCGCAGCCCAGCGATGGCCCGCATCCGCGGACAAGCCCGTCGTAACGACACCGAAAACGACGGCGATCGCGGATACCCAGGAGATGGTATTCAAGACATAGCCCAAACCTGTGACGAGGTGATTCGGGATGCAGAAAAGACGTGACGCTGATGCTCACCAGGGCGAGCGCGCTCGAACGTTGGGAAAGCGGCAGTACTGTACAGTTCGGTAATGATCCCGAAGGCGATGATTTGGCACAGAGCTTCAGCACCAGTCTCAGTTTCCTTCTGAAACCGAAACGAGGGGAGGAATCACTCACCATGGAACGCAACCAGCCAAGCCACAGCCTTCCAGATCCTCCGTCTCCTCGAGTGCGTCGACACGCCAAATACAATCGCGAGCAGGGCGGTGGCGCCGAATCCAATACCGAGTTCCACGACATATCCGGCGGTTGTCCATGAGGCGCAGAACGTATGGAACTCAGTCTCGCACTCGTCCGCGACGCGCGCGGGGAAGGGACGGCATTTATACGGGCCGTACTTCTTGATTCCGCCGCCCTCCCCATCCGAAATATCCGTGATGGTCCGCTCACAACGCTCCATGAGGCCATAGCGAACTACTGTCTTCGTGTGGAATATTTCGGGAGATTGGGTGACAAGCCTATTCCGCCTTCTGATCAGAGTCCCGTACGAGCATCGCAGGAGTTGAGTCGCACCAGGTCTGGCTCCTCGCAGACAAGATGTTCTACTCGGAGCGGTCAGTTGAGCGAAATGCGCGGTGGACTTGACTGGCGTTACCATCAAGACCGTCAGAATAACGGCACAGAAGGTCACAACATAGGATGTCTTTCTCATCCTTATCGCCTTTGAGAGGTGTGGTTGTCGTCTGAAGCAAGGTCGCGCACCGTACTGGTGCGCCGCGTCGGCCAGAGCACGCATGACATCACGCCACTCTCAGCCCCTTCACCCTAGCAATGATGAATAAAACTTTGATGCCTTTTAAGGCTCAATTTCTTCGGTACCATCCATTGACCTTACTGTCGCAAAATGTCGTACGTTGCCGCCTCAATGTCATGTGGGAAAAACATGAGTCGGCCCAGGTTCGAACTGAGGACCTTCTGTGAGCAGGTGTTGCTGTTAGACAGATGCGATAACCAACTACGCCACCGACCCTTGTCGACGTTCACGTTTCAAAGCTATTCAACCAGCTCTTTTATATTCCCCCCAACAAACTTCAATTAAGCTCAATCACCTGCAAAATGATCAGCTTCTCTCTCACCTTCCTCGTACGCGGATTGGCTGCTGTCACTCCACCATAGATCAACGTTGGTTTTCATATGCACCGTGCAACAGGATTTCATCGGCAGCGAACGCAACAAATACTCAGCTGACCGCGCTTCGGCTCACGCTATATAGTGCGATCCCGTATGCGCAGCAGAGCACGGACGTTCTTGACTTTCCTCCCCTCTGGTGTGTACGCTTGATCGGAGGACATCATGCTGCCCCGTAAGCTACCGCCAGGAGCCTCGTTGCTACTCGTTCTCGGCGTTGCTTTGCTTGCTCCTTTGGGATTCCTCTGGGTTGCACGCGACATCCTGCAGCAGAACGGGGTAACGATATCGAACGCTGTATTCGTCACTACCTATGTCCTGTCGCTTCCGCTGCTCTCGGCCTTGCGCGTTGTCTTCAGACAGCTGAAGGACGCACGCGAAGCCTCCAAACGAGGGGCTCGTGTCGTTACGCGTGCGAAGGGACGATGGCCCGGTAATTTCGATCTCCTCGTCACCGCCCTGAAGAACTGGGAGCAGTACACTGGTAAGCTGCGAAACAAACTCTCGGCGGGTGTTCGTGAATTGATGTCTTTATGTAGGCGATGTCATGACCGAACAGAAGGTCGCTATAAGTCCCGGGCCGACGTTCAATATGAACGTCTTGTGGGACACCGTCATCTTCACCTCGGAGCCCGAGTATATAAAGGAGGTCCTCGCGACCAACTTCCAGAACTACGAGAAGGGGCGTCGCTTCAAGGCTCAGATGGCCTCAGTCCTTGGTACGGGCGTCTTCAACGCCGACGGCGATCTTTGGAAGTTCCATCGCTCCATGACGCGGCCATTCTTCTCTCGTGACCGCATTTCCGATTTCGAGATCTACGAGCATCACGCGCAGGCTGCTATTGCCCGCATGAAAGACCGGTTCCGGGAGGGCTACGCCCTGGACTTCCAAGATCTCGTAGCGAAGTTCACGTTGGACTCCGCGACGGAATTTTTGTTTGGCAAATGCGTTAACAGTTTGGAGAGCGGACTTCCGTATCCGCATAACGCGCCGATCGCCCAAGGAACTGCGGCACAGATGAGCCACGGGCAGAGGTTTGCGGTCGCGTTTGCTCAAGCACAGGAGACGATCTCTATGCGGGCTGTCGTCGGCAAGTTGTGGAGGTTCCTTGAGTTGACGAAGGACAAAACGGAAGAACCGATGAAAATCGTCAATAATTTCATCGAGCCTATCCTGAAGGAAGCTATCCAGAAGCATAAAGCCGACGCTCCGCTTCTGGCCGCGGGAGACAAGCAGGACATAGGAGAGAATGAAACGCTCCTTGATCATCTCGTCCAGCAGACAAACGGTGCGGCATCCCTCCCTGTGAGGCTGTAGCTGCCAGGTATTAATTCCATCTGCGCCCAGATCCGGTCGTGTTGAAGGACGAGATCCTGTCGATGATGATCGCTGGACGTGATACCACCGCGAACACGCTCATGTGCTCTGTCTATCTCCTCGCCACCAATCCTGATGTGCTTTCCAAGCTTCGCGATGAGATTATGACGCATGTCGGATCCGCCCGGCCGCCGACCTACGATGATATCCGCGCTATGAAGTATCTTCGTGCGTTCATCAACGAGACGTTGCGGTTGTTCCCCGCCGTCCCCTTCAACATCAGGTTCGTTTCATTCGTCACCTACCAGCCTAACCACTAACTCGAGCTTCAGACAATCCATCGGACCGTCAACTTGGAAGTCCTTGAACCCGGAGGTGGATCCGCGCCCCTTGTATATTCCTCCGAGGACGGAGTACGTGTTCGCTAAACCTACGATGTTGCCGTTATTAACCCTAGACGCGTTCAGTATCATCTACTCAGTCTTGCTCATGCACCGCCGCAAGGATTTGTGGGGCCCGGATGGTGAGCCGTCTGCATTACATGATTGTGCACTCTTCTGACTTGATATCTACAGCGGAAACGTTCGATCCAGACCGCTTCATCGATGAGAGACTGCACAAATATCTGGCACCAAATCCTTTCATCTTCCTGGTGGGTTTCGTTTGTTTCTGCCTGCGTCGCAATGTTGTTGACTCGCCTTATGCGCCGTCTAGCCGTTCAACGCGGGTCCGCGCATCTGTCTAGGTCAACAGGCAAGTTCCTGGTTCTGTCCACGTGAAACATGGTGGCTAACCCCCTCTTGTAGTTCGCCTACAATGAGGTCTCGTTCATGATCATCCGGCTTCTCCAACATTTCTCCGGCATCGATCTCGACCCCTGCGCTCAACCCCCTGACTCCCGGCCCCCGGAACACTGGAAACAAGCAGAAGGTCGCAAGGCGTACGAAAGGTTCTGGCCGAAGTCGCATCTAACCATGCATGCTAGTACGTATCGTTGAGCATTGAAATTGGCTTCCCAATGCGGCTGTTAACTTGTGCTCTTGCAGAGGGTGGGCTGTGGCTGAAGATGACTGAAGCTCCTGAGGCGGCCGATGCGACCGCGAACACTCTCGCATGAAGGAACAGCATTACTGTGTACGTTATCGAGTGAACGAAGAGGATTATGTACATTCCCTATAACGTTATCTTACTGTAACTGTGACCACCTATGCAAACATCCTCGGCTCCTTATTCGTGTCCGACCAGAGGCATTATTGTCCCGGACATGATGGTCTTCTGTGGCATAACGCCGTGAATAGGACGAAGCCATGCGCACGATGGATCAGGCTCACAAGACAATGAATATCTTTCGCCGTGCTGACGGAAATCTTGTCGAGTCTCTTCTGGCACCGTAATATTCCAAGCTTTGAATTTCCGGGTGTACCCTATGTGAGAGCTGTCCAGATTCTCGATGGCATGATTCAGCTCTTGGTCCGACATGCGAACAGTCAGAATCAGGTTCTCCTGAACTTGGCCGTATACGACCATCTCGCTCCATCTTCTGGGACTGTTGTCGTTTTCGTGCCTTGCGAACAGAATGTACGGTTTTTGCACTCCCCAGACTGCCACCTGACGGTCTCGGTCCTCCTGGCTCCAAGCGATTTGGAAAGCGTTGGCAGTCTTCACCTCGATTTGGTGAGATTTCTCATTCGGCATCCATATCTAAGAGGAGGTGTAAGAGATTTCCTGCGTAAAACCTGAAAGACGAATTCTCGACCTTGTTCATACGATGAAATATGTCGCTATCTCTGGCATATATTGCGCAGACCATCGTCGAGGCTTGGGGCCCGAAAGTCGTCTTCTTGATCCATTCGGAGAAAAACTTTGCGCTGTGTCTGAATTACAACACCGATTGCAAACGAGACACCATTGAAACTCACATTGTGGGATTGTCAGTGACGTACATTGCGTAGCCCCATCGCGCACCTTCTGTGCGGTCCTGTCGTCGGCCTCCAGCTTCAAGTAGTTTGATGGTGTCCAAGTCCATTGCGGAGTATCCGATGAGTTTACGTTTGGGGTATAGGTGAACGTCGAGTCCGCGCCATGGACTATGAATTCCCCTATTGCGACGCCACATGGCGAGCCCGTCTTGGTAGTTGTCCCAGGTCAAACCTCGCTGGTCGCGTGAGACCTGGAATGTTACACCTAGGCATACAATGAGGCTCGAGAACAATGAGTGTTCTAACGTACGAAGCATACCGAGGATCATCTCCACAGTATTATTGATAGCCTCGTCATCGTACAGAACCTGTACGAGTTCCGTTGAGCGCAGCGACATATGGCGTACTGAAGATCGGCTGCGCACCATGTCAGAGTAGTGAAAGTTCGTCCAGCCTTTGATCTTGCGGAAGTGATTCACTTTGTCCTCTGTGTTCGAGGTTCACAACCCGCTACACATTGGCAACAATGCGTTCACTCACTCACCGTCATATATTTCGTCAAAGTCGACAAGGTCGATAAGAGATCGCTTGTTTCCGTGAGCGTCATAGGCATAGAAGTACCACAGCGCTCGGTCACACCTATGGAGATGAGCGATTGTCTTTGATTGACTGAGGATTGCAAATGGCTCACAATTCTTTGCTTGTGTTGCGGGAGACAATAGCGAGCTTTGCTCCATGTTTCTTGATATCCTGGATGATACGCGGAATGTCCGCGTACATGATGCATACCAGATCGTAGTTGCTAAGATCGACTCAAATGCTGAGCATCCGTCCGCAACATCGTCAACGACAGACATACGACTGATCGCGGACCTCCCATTCGGTGACTTTTAGTATGTTGTTTTGAATGAGAGGCGTTGCGTTAGGACCCTTGCCCCATTCGTTGGAGTTGAGCCAGCCTGAGAAAATGGTCCAGCTATCATAGCCCGTAAGTATGCCATCTTAGTAGAGGTAGAGCGAAGAACCGACTCCGTGTCTAAAGCGACAAGTTTTGGGTACATGGCGCGAGGTTTCGGTCGCTACATAACAGCTAAAGCGAGCTCAACTCATATACGTGTCGATAGGATGGTGCTCTGATGTAGGGCATAGCCACGTTGTCGGCATTTGGCTGTTTGCGATGGCGCGGTGCAGAAAGAACTTTGGTTTGGTCGAATCAATGGCCGTGGTCGGCTGATGCGAACGAGCGTACCGTGGGTGTGAAGAGCAGACATCAGGAAACATGTCCGGGGCATGATTGGCTCCGAAGAAACGTCAATACTCGAGCTTAAGCAAGCTCTCCTCGCATTCCACTCATCCCCAACCACCGGCATACAGATACGTAATGTGCTATGAGGTCGGAAGCGTAATCATGTCTTTCGCGGTTGCTCTGCCGGCTTTTCTCCGATGCGATTGATGCAATTCATGAGCGGGACGTAGTTATTGCCATGAATGCTGCTGAAGCATCGACACATGCATTGCAAGATCTTGGCCGTCGTGGAGTCGGTGCCCGCTTCAAGCCTCTGGAACCACGTCGGCGCCACACAGCCACGCTCGCCTTCCCTTTCGTCACTCCATGATGTCACTTGCCCCGCCCAGCGTTTATAGGGCGCCCGACATCGGTGCTCCATCTCAAACGCCAAGATGTCGTCTCCGTATCTTGCAACGACCCCGCAAAATCCAGGTCGCATCAGTATACGCGCCCTCCAGCGCCCGGTCGGAACATCATTTCTCGTCCATACCGGACTTTCTGTCGGCACATGGCTCATCGGCGCGTCGACCGACAGGGCAGACGTGAAGGACATCCTGTGGCCGACCGGCATGGTATGTGTTGACATCGTTTCCGGGATGACACGGTGTTCATTTGTACTGCATAGGTCGCAGACGCGTGGTATCAGGCGATTGGCATCCCTGTCCTCCGTTACGGTCTTCCTCTGAGCATTGCCTTGAAAGGTCTCACGTATAGGCAAGCTCTTCTGGTAGGTTGTAATGCAGTGATCCAATGCGCGTACGCTGGAACAAATTGTGTTTCTAGTTGGGCGGCGTCACCCTTTGGGGGCTGCGTCTTGCATACCGCATCACTTCGCGCGCAGTTAAGCAAGGTCACGACGATTTCCGTTACACCAAGTCGAAGCTGCAGCCGTCATTCTGGCTTGAATCTCTCTTCAAGCAATTCATTCCGGAGGCCCTTTTCCAGACGATCATCTGTTTGCCGTTTACCGCACCCTTCCGCGCAACCAATGTTGCCCTCATCCCATGGGGTTGGACAGATATTGCCGCCGTCGGTCTTTTCACGTCCGGCCTGACCCTCGAAACCATTGCGGACGCGCAACTCGCTACTGCCAAGAAGAACGGCGAATCTGGCCTCGTTCGCTCTGGCGTTTGGTCCATCGTCAGGCACCCGAAGTATGTCCGCATATGCTGCAAGTGTACAGCAATCCTGACTCTCTATTTTCAGCTATCTCGCGGACGCGCTCACGCACCTATCCTTCGCTCTCCTCGCCGCCAACACCACTTCCTTCCACCCCGTCATCTTCCTCGGCCCGCTTGCAAACTACATCTTCCTCAGGTTCGTCGGCGGCGACAAGGACACGGAGGCGTTCCAGGAGGAACGTTACTCCCAGTTTAATCCGAAGAAGGATGCGCAGCTCAGCGAGTATCGCGCCTCAAAGAACTCATTCTGGCCGAGCCCAAAGGAAGTCGGCAATTTATGGACGTGGGCTGTTCTTGGTGCCGGCGCGATCGGCGTCGCTGCCGAGAAGATCTTGAGGAGCACAATGAAGCCTGGTATATTGTAAGATTATGATGATTATCGACAATACGGACTGTACATGTAGCATATAATTGAATCGAAACATCTCACCTGCATTATCACGCCCATTGTGAGTGTCAGGAATGCGTGAGAAGATGACTGCTGTTGGCTTCAACGTTCAACCTTGCTGATATTACGAGTCTATTCTCATCCTCTGTCGAAGATCCGAGTCTGCGAAGGACGAAGCCCACTATTTATTGGACATAGAGCGTATCTACCACCCCGATCTGGAACCGAACAAGCAAGCCCACAAACGCCGTGTCCTGAACTGTTCGCCGCCCGATGGCCACTGCAATCGCGCACCACGCAGAATATGGACGACAGCGAAGGAACGCTCTCGTGCGACCGATAAACATCGGGAATGCGTCGATCGAGCATGGCATAGGTGCTGCGTCCGGGGTACGTGTTCAAGACGCGGTCAGGTTCGCCGGCCTACGCGGTCTGCTGTGGTTGTAAAGCGCCACTCAGCAGACCACTGGGTGCCTGGTTCATGTTCGGGGGCCAGCGATGGAAACGCGGTCTTCTTCCCCACTTTTGGCGACATGCATGCGCCTATCCTCCAGCGACCCCATGTCCTTCCGTGCGTTTTGCGGGGAGTAGGCGCGAGTCTGGTGCGGCAAGAATCCGTACGCTCCCACCCATGCTCTAGTAGGCTTCATATGCTTCATCTCGGAACAAGATTAGGCCTTGCCGTGCGTCTGCCGGCCCTGGCGCTGTTGCTCGTCTACGAAGCTGACGAAACCTCGTTACGCGACTGTCGGTTTTGGAACCGCGACGGGTGTACCGTGGAGATGATAAACGGGACATAAGGCTGCATCCAGGAGGCATGCCGGCTTAGCGCGCGGGGAGGTCGCAGCTACCCTCTTCCACGCTCAGATCCTCCCGCTTTCGCTCAGGCTATAGTATGCATTCAAGACATACGCATGGCAGGGAGCCGACTGTCGACGACGTCCTGGAGCTACCTCGATTGGATTCTGCAGAGGGCGAGCGTGGAGATCCGATCCTGCCACAGGGAGACCTTGACCCGCGACTGCTGACACGCACACCAAGTCCTACCCCAAGCGAAAATGCTTATCTTTCGCGAAAAAGCGTTATCAACTGGTCGAGACTGCGCACGCGAGCGTTTTGGCTGAGGCGGGAGCTCGCATGTATGGAGATTATCTTGCGGTTCTATCGTCCATTTGCTCAGTATTTGTACCAGGGCATTACCTCGCGGCCGTCATTGTCATCGTGCTCGTCACGTTGTTCTCGCACTATGAGAGAAGCATTGTCCATGCATTGAGGCCAATCGCGACGTGGATGAGAGAGTGAGTGAATCGGACAGAACAGCGGGGGCTTTTATTCATTCTCAACAGTAAGAAATACGGGTGGTTAATACCCATCGGGGTGTTGTTCGTAATATCGTTTCCTCCGGTAAGCACTGGACTGCGAGAGGGAATACCCTTCTAATGGTAACAGCTTCTCGGTCATGAAATCGTCGCCATTCTGTGTGGACTTGTTTGGGGACTGGGCATCGGTTTCGGAATCGTCGCTGCTGGAACGTTGATTGGCGAGCTTGGAAACTTCTAGTGAGGCCTTGCTGTTTCACATTGGTGAATCTTCACCTGACAATTCCTAGTGCTTTTAGATATTGCTGTCGTTCGCGAGCTGCCAAGATGGAAAAGAATACCATCCTATATGCGTGCTTCACTAAGATTGTCAGAGAAGGCGGATTCAAGATTGCGCTAATCACGAGATACAGCATCCTTCCCGGTCATTGTGAGCAATTGGCTCGTGCATCCTTTCATATCCTGATCACCTACTCTTCAAGTAACGACCGCGGTATATTCGACATGCGGACTCGGCGCAGGCTTGTTCACTGCGGCAGCCTTCCTATCCCTTCCGAAGCAATTCATGCTTATCTACATCGGCGTACTGGTGGAAGACTCAGATAAAGGCGAGTTTGTTCATCGAAGATGTCATCTACCTCGCTACAACGAGAAATCCTAGGGCATGGCGTGTCCACGAAAGCGAGTCTCATTAGCTTCTTCATCGTGTTGGCCACCACGTTAGTCACGGTGGTCGCGGGTTGGTATATCGTGCGGCAGATGAATCGAGTGAAGGATGGGGTTATTCATGAACGGCGTACAATGAGGTGCTGTAATAATCACATTGACTTTGATTTCCTGCGCGATCTGAGGCCTATACCAGACAAACAAAGACTGGAACCCCATTCGACCCGGAGGGTGGATTCCTGTCCCGATCTGATGATCCAGGCAAGCAGGGCAGCATCTCAGTGCCTCTTAAGGACATACACACATGCAAGGACACTGAGATATTAGGATTACCCCCTCTGCACATTCGAGACGACTTTTGACAGTGCATTGCTCCGTATATCAATAACCTGTCTGTTGCCAAGGCCTGGAATACATAGGATAGTCAAGTTCCGGACTGCATATTCCCTTAACCAATAAGGTCATCGCGTAATCAATTGGCAGCTTACTCGCCACATCGCTAACGATGGATTATGGCCAAGGATGGCCGCCCAGGAAGTTCATTCCTTCCAATTTTGACGATGTGGAGTGCATCTAGGAATACAAATAAGGAGGCTATCACGCAATAGCCATTGGCGATAGCTATGCCGACGGACGCTACCGCATTTTCCGCAAGCTCGGCTTTTGGGGGCTCTTCTACTCTCCGGCTGGCGCGCGCGTCGGAGGAGGAAGTCGAACTACTGTCCAATCTGCTGTCGAAAATGCTGAAGTATCGGCCCGACGAGAGGGCTACGATGGAGGAAGTCCTCGAGCACAGTGTTCAAGCTATGAGAGCGATGATCATAGTTCTGTACTATTGCTGTAACAATCTCTTGACGGGATGCGTGTTCAGATAAGTAGTACTCTTGCGGAAGCTGATGTAGGCGAAAGGCGAGGAAGCGGTAACAGCATTGCCGGAGTCTGATAATAATTGCAGTCCAGCGGCCGCGCTGCTTACCTCTCGATGGAACCCCCGTCCAGGAGATTCATCCCTTCTTCGTTCGACGATGTCGAATCCATCGAGAGATACAGACCGGGAGGCTTCCACCCCATAACAATCGGCGACTGTTATGCCGATGGCCGTTACCGTGTCCTCCACAAGCTTGGCTTTGGGGGCTCTTCTACTGTTTGGCTAGCACGCGACTATCAGCAAAACCGCCCTCGTGGCAAACTGGTGGCTTTGAAAGTCATGCGCGCCGACATGTCCAGCACGGCAGGAGACGAGATGCCCGAGTTGATCGTCTCGAAGGCCCTCCGTGCGATCACTGGCTCTTGCGACTTTCAGACTGTGGACGATCACTTCCTCGTGCAGGGCCCGAACGGATGCCATCAAGTCCTTGTCTCCGCGTTTGCTGGCCCTAGCATTCTCGCCATCACAAACTGCCCAGGAAGAATAACTGGAAGTCGACGTTTGCGCGGGGATTTAGCGAGGAAGGTTGCGAAGCAGACAACGATGGCGATAATGCGCATGCATCTTGCAGGAATAGTTCATGGAGGTCAGCTTGAAGAGGTTTATGGTAGAGACGACCTCCGCTGACAAATGCAACAAGATCTAACCTCATCAAACATCCTATTCCGCGTGGCGGAGCCGGTCTTTGACTGGACCGATGACGAGGTTTACGCTCATCTGGGAAGACCTCGCTTTGACGAAGTTAAGACGATCGACGGTTCACCTCGCGGCCCTCATGCACCCGCCCACCTCTTCGACTCGGTGAATCTGTCTCGACTGGCAGATCTATCGCTTCTCCAAGAACGCATCATCCTCATCGACTTCGGCCAGTCTTATGTGATTTCCGATCCACCAAGGGATTATCGGCCTGCCACGGCGATACACTACAAGCCCCCAGAGATGCGCTTCGAGGGGCGTACGGGTCCCGAGGCTGACGTATGGGCACTCGCCTGCGCTATCTATGAGATTCGGGCGGGCTGTTCCCTGTTTGAATCGTTCATGGCGGACAATGCAACCGTTATGAGAGAAATTGTTACCATGCTCGGGAGGTTACCAGATCCTTGGTGGCGCTCCTTCGAGCCGAGGACTGAGTGGTTCGAGGAAGATGGAGAGCCGAAGGACCCTGATTTGAAGATTTCTATTCCGGAGTTGGTGAGCTTTATAGGAACTGAGGATGAACCGCCGTCCATGGACGAGGGTCCGATGATAGAGAAGTGCGGGGTTAGGCCGTCGGAGGAGGAAGTAGAACTACTGTCTGATCTGCTGTTAAGGATGCTGAAGTATCGGCCAGAGGAGAGGGCTACGATGGAGGAGGTCCTCGAGCACAGGTGGTTCAAGTTATGAAAGCGCTGTGCATATTTCTGTAGAATCTTGCTTCAACCATCTTGGAGGGGATGCGTGTTCAGATCGGTGTTCAGATATTGAACCTCCTGCGGAACGTACAACGGGCACCGCGGTGACAGCGGTTCCGATATCGACGGCTGTAGGCCGTTCATAACCACTCGGGCTCAAGACTTGTACTCTCTCCTTGCTCACATACCCCGGCTCACTCGGTTTGGCTTCGACCATGAGTAGCTATCTGTATGAGCTACCTACGACAGGCGCAATATCTTTTGCCGACTTCTGCCACCACCGACGGGCTCGTACACGACCCGGGTAGCGGACGCTACACGGGCGAGGGCCAACCTCCGCGTCGCGCTCAAGGAGAGCAAGCGCGCCGATGGCGAGAAGGACCACCTTCGATTGCGTGCACGGCGACCTGTCTTCTCGCATAACCCGGAGGTAGATGCTAACGTGTAAATTTGTGTATCGATGTGCAGACGACCTTGCGACGCGTTCCGCAATCGCATGAATGCATGAACAAGGGCTGCAAGTTCCTGGCCGATGCTGCCCGTTATCGTTTGCAGACCTGATTTGCACAGGGAACACCAGGACATCACCAGGCGGGGAAGATAGGGTGCGGATTGCATCTTAAGGGGTTGAAGGTGGTCATGCATGGAGATCATGTGGAGATTGTCATGGTCTCGAGTCGTTAGCCTCCTGGTTCTACTAGCAACTTCCTCGCGATGGACTGGGCACACAGGAGATTCGTCCCGTCCTCTCTCGACGCTGTTGAAAACACTGAGGAGTACAGACCGGGAGGGTTTCATCCGATAGCCATCGGTGACTGTTACGCCAATGGACGTTATCGAGTTCTTCACAAGCTCGGCCACGGGGGAAGTTCTACTGTCTGGCTAGCCCGCGACTACCAGCAAAACCACCCGCATGGCAGACTGGTAGCATTGAAGGCCATGCGCGCCGATGACTCAAGTGCGGCCGTAGACAAGATACCCGAGTTGGTCATTTCGGACGCGCTCCGTAGGATCGCTAGCCCTTTCGATTTCCAGATCGTGGACTATCACTTCCTCGTACAAGGTCCGAACGGATGTCATCGATTCCTCGCCTGTCCGTTAGCAGGCCCCAGCGTCCATACTATCGCGCTCTGCGAAGGCAGACCAGCTGGTAGTCGACGATTACGCGGCGATTTGGCGAGGAAGGTAGCGAAGCAGACCGCGTTGGCGATATGGTGCATGCATCTCTCAGGCATCGTTCATGGAGGTGAGCACGAGGTGATGTCAGCCAGGCGACGTCCGCTTACATGCCGCATATTTCCGTAGATCTGACCGCATCCAACATCTTATTCCGTGTGGCGGCGCCTGTCGTTGACTGGACGGATGAGGAGTTGTATGCGTATTTAGGAAAACCTCGCCGTGAGACCGTCAGAACTCTTGACGGTTCACCTAGCGAGCCGCATGCACCCGCTAAGATCATTGAACCGGCGAATCTTGCTCGACTAGCAGACTTGTCGCTTTTGCAAGAACGCATTCTCCTCATCGACTTCGGCCAGTCCTACATGATATCCCACCCGCCCAAGAACTATGAGCCTGCCACAACCATACACTACAAGCCACCAGAGATGCGCTTCGAGGGGCGTGCAGGCCCCGAGGCTGACGTGTGGGCACTCGCATGCGCTATTTTCGAGATTCGAGTGGGGTATCCCCTCTTTGATCCTTTCTTTCCAACCACCACGAGCATACTGAGACAAACCGTCGCGACCCTTGGGCGGTTACCAGATCCCTGGTGGCAGGCCTTCGAGGAGCGGACCGTGTGGTTCGAGGACGACGGTCAGCCAAAGAACCCCGATTCCCAGATTTCTATCGCAGACTTGCTGCGCTCCATAGGCACCGACGATGTGCCGTCATCCGTGGACGAGGGCCCGATGATAGAGAAATGCGGGGTTAGGTTATCGAATGAGGAAGTGGAACTATTGGTGGACCTGTCGGGGAGAATGTTGAGATATCGGCCAGAGGAGAGGGCTACTATGAAGGAGGTCGTCGAGCACAGGTGGTTTAGGCTCTGAAAGCAATGACTGCATTTCTATGTAGGACCGTCAGCGTTGTTGTTATGATAATATCGTTAACGTTCAGTGTAGGATAATGGAGTTCATGTCACCGTCGGTATTCATACAGCCGTTTTCAAAAATCATGAGCGCGGCACCAGAAACGAGACGCGCATCGTGAGCGACCCTAAAGTGGGGTCACCGCCAGCTCAGGAGGTCAGCCAGCTCAGGCATCTCGACGGGATCGTATTGCTGTTGTTGTCTGAGGAATGCCCGAGCATAAGGGAGCCAAGGTTTAGCCCGATTTTGAGCTCGAGATACGATGTGCAATGTTTCTGGGGGTTTCTGGTTCCCTCAACTTGATGGTCCCGGCGGATTGTCTTTCACCCATTCTGTCAACTTCCACTCGCCTATGGGATCTTCTTGATAGCGGGCTACACCTTGATTTGGAGCAGTACACTTGTAAGGTAGCTGCCATGCAAATCCTGACCGATATCACGTGGCTGCCAAAAATGGCTTCAAATTTCATCTGCTCTTGCAGTTTTACTCTTTCGTCGGAGTCGTAACCTATGATCCCTACTAATGAACTGTATCTAGACAATATAGGTCGCGCATTGGTGATCGTGCTTGATCTGCAGGAGGAGAAGGGCCTTCAAGCAGTCGATCATATCATGTGACATCGGTCTAGATTTGCATGACAGCTACCTTACAATGGTTGCCCCTCAGTGAGCCTGGCAGTAACCCTAATATAAGGGTCTTACCCAATGCTCCCCAATGACGAGTCGACGATGAGTTCCCAAACATCTCGTTGTCGAATACATCGGTAGACTCCTGGGACACATATTTGATCATACAGAGGCTGGACTGTGTCCAGATTTGCTGGACGTAGCGTCCATAATCATGGTTTACATTCGCTGACACTATCCTTGCCTGCTACTGGGAAATTGCTCGTTAATTCCTTTGAATATCATGTTTACCACTCCTCAGAATCTTCCTCTGAGCTCCTCACGCGTATTTTGATCATTTCCATGCTATCCTAGGGCGCATCATCGTAGAGTTCGTCGTCGAACACGATGTGCTGGCGGCAAACCCAGCTTTGGGGTCATTCACGACGCGCATCTTGTTTCTGGTGCCGCGCTCATGATTTTTGAAAACGGCTGTAAGATATCCACGGAAGGCTCGGACCGATGGGGCGGTAACAGCGCTGCCGACACCGGGAGTCTGATCATAACCACGGTACAGCTCAAGTACTATTACTCACTTCTTGGTCGTATACCCTGGCACCCTCGATTGCGTGCACGGTGGCCTGCTTTCTCGCATAATCCGTGGATAGATGACGTGTGAATTTGTGTATCGATGTGTACGACCTTGCGACGCGTTCCGCAATCAAGGATGAACAAGGGCTGCGAGTTCCTGGCCGATGCTGCGCGTTATCGTTTTCAGGACTGGTTTGCACAGAGCAACCACCAGCACATCACCAGGCGTGGAAGATAGGGTGCGGATTGCATCTCAGAGGATTGAGTCGGCAGGGACTGGAGTAGGTCCAGGTGGACATGCATGCGGAGATTGTTATGGTCCCCTGCCCCGACGCTTACTCACGGATAAAAATGCTGTTCATCCCTTCTCGTTTGTACGATGTCGAAAATGCCGAGGATTATATTCCCGGAGGCTTCCACCCGGTGGCCTTCGGCGACGTTGATGCCAACGGTCGTTACAGAATCCTCCACAAGCTCGGCTTTGGAGGCTCTTCGACCGTCTGGCTAGCCCGCGACTACCAGCAGAATGATCCTCGCAGCAGATTGTTTGCTCCATAGATCATAGGCGTCGACGTTTCAACTACAGCCGTAGAGAAGATGCCCGAGTTGGTCCGCTCGGAGGCGCTCTAATAAGCGATCGCGGGCTCTGGCGATTACCACACCGTGGACCATCACTTCCTCGTGCAAGGCCCGAATGGATGTCGTCGCGTTCTGGTTTATCCACTTGCTGGCCCCAGCGTTCGTCATATAGTATTCGCACCAGGCAGAATTGCTGCTAGCCGTCGTTTACGCGGGGATCTGGCGCGAACAGTTGCAAAGCAGACAGCGATGGCGATCAGGCGCATGCATTTTGCGGGAATCGTTCACGGTGGTGAGCAAGAGACACGTTCATGAGATGTACTCCGCTCATATGATTACGCAGACCTTACGACGTCAAACATCTTATTCCGTGTGGCGAAGCCTGTTGTCGATTGGACAGATGATGAGGTGTATGCGTACCTAGGTTCACCTCAGAACGTGTGACGGATCACCTCCGGGGCCGCATGCAGCCACCAAGCTCGTGGAATCGAAAAGCTTTCCCGGTTGGCAGATTTATCGATTCTCCAAGAATGTGTTACGATCATCGACTTCGGCCAATCCTACTTCACCCGCAATCCCCCAAAGGACTATGAACCCGCCACAACGATGCATTACCAGTCGCCGGAGATGCGCTTTGATGGGCGTATAGGCATCGAGGCTAATATTTGGTTGCTCGGATGCGCTATCTTCGAAATCCGAGCGGGATATCCTCTCTTTGAAGCGCTCTTCGGAAACGCCAACGATATACTGAGGCAAATTGCCCAAACCCTTGGACGGTTACCATATCCTTGGTGGGCCGCCTTTCGGAATGGGGCTCGCTGGTTCGACAACGATGGTGAACCAAAGGACATGTTGGTACAAAAGCAGGCGGGGGTCTCGATACCGGCTCGCAAAACTCCGATTGTAGCGAAGGTGCGCTCCATAGGCGACGTCGATCAACAGCCGTCCGTGTACGACGGCGCGATGCTAGAGATGTCCGGGGTCAGGCTGTCGGAGGAGGAAGTAGCATTGCTCTCTGATCTGTTGGAGAGGATGTCGAAGTATCGACCAGAGGAAAGGGCTACCATAGAGGAAGTCGTCCACCACAGGTGGTTCAACCTCTGAATGTGGTGATTATCTCGATCCCCCTGGCCTTGAAGCTTGAGTTCGCAGCTCGGATACGTAGTTGGAGACGACTTGTCACAAGCTCCGTTGCACGCATTTCCTGTACGTAAATCCTGTTGTTGATAATCGTGACGGTAGGAGTGAAAAACCATGGGACCAACGCAACGGTAACAGCACTAGTACCGGCCCAGTCTGATCACGATCCACAGCCCAAGTACTACTCACTCCTTGCTCTCATATACCCCGGCTCACTCGGTTTGGCCTCGACCATGAGCAGCTATCTGTATGAGCTACCTACGACCGGCGCGGTGTCCTTTGCCGACTTTTGCCACGACCCGACGGGCTCGTACACGACGCAGCTAGCGAACGCTACACAGGCGAGGGCCAACCTCCGCGTCGCGCTCAAGGAGAGCAAGCGCGCCGATGGCGAGAAGGACCACCTTCGATTGGTGAAGGTACTCAGGGCCATGTCTATACTTATGACCGGCTTGGGCTTAGCTTCTATGTATAGGTCCTAGATGACTATCTCCCGCATCTGTGTGCCATCATCGCCTGCGTCGGAGCCGGAGAGCTCGTGCTGAAGAGCGAACCAGGTAAGTAGCCTATGCTAAATCGTCTACTGCAGTTGATCACGATCGTTGATCCGCCCTCCAGTCTTCAGCTGGCGCACGACCCTCGCTTCCACACTACTCAACAACTCCCCACGCCTCTCCGTGCCGACGCTGCACGCCGACCTTGCCTTCGCGCTCCTCACCTATGCCTTTGCGCTCTCTAATCTCGCTCGTGCAACTGCCGCTGCCCTAGGTGCCTATGAGCGCTCGCGTGCCCTCTCCGAGCAGGAGCGGAGGGCGAAGGACGACAAGCTCAACTTCGCCGTCACGTTGCTATGCCGCGCGAGCGGCGTGTTCGCGTACGTGTCTGAGACCGTGCTTCCGCAGTGGGAGCGGGGGGTCTCCGGCAAGCCAGGGATCGCCCGCCCTCCCGAGCTGAATAGGGAGGTCACCACCGCCCTCTCCAAGTGCGTGCTATTCCCTACATCTGGACTGTTACCAGCAAAGAGGCTCACACGTTCCCACAGGATGGCGCTCATGGACGCGCAGACGCTCGCGATCCGCAAGCTGCTCACGAAGGCGACGGCCGAGAGCGCGTTCTCGCCGGGCCCGCCGCTCCCGAAATCGCACCCATCGCCGGCGCTCGTGGCAAAGCTGCACCTCGAGTGCGCAGAGACCTACGCCTCCGCGCGCGCGCTTGCCAAGACGCCCGGCGCGTCGCACAAACCGAAACATCCTTTCGGACTTGGGAAGAAAGACGCGGACGATGACGGCGCCGGAGGGGGCGGAGTCGCGAGCGAACTGAGAAGGTATTTGGCGGACGAACACGCGCTGCACGCGGCGCTGGCGCACAAGTGGCTCGGCGTCGACGCGGGCGAAGCGCCGGGCGGCGCGCGGGCGGGCGAGGCGGTCGCATTTCTGGCGTGGGCGAAACGCGAGCTGGACGAGCTCGGCGGGCGCGGGGTGAGCGTCGGCGGCGGCTCGCGAGAGGACGACATGCGCAAGCGGCGGAAGGAGCGCGTGGCGGAGGAGGCGGCGAGCGCGGGCGTGTTCTTCAAGTACTACAAGAACATGAACGACTCGGTGGGTGTGTTCTAGCGATATGCTGGTTAGGCTCGGTTTGGCTGACGGACACGAATCGATCAGCTCAATTTCCAACCCGTCCCGGCGCAGGGCGAGCTTCAGGGGCGGATCCCGGCCGGGCGCGCGGCGGTCGCGCCGAAGCCGTTCGCACCGCCCGCGCCGGCGTTCGGACCCGGCTCGGCGGCGTACGCTGCGCGGCAGGCGGAGGAGCTCGCCCTGGTCGACGCGGCGCCCGACGCGGCGGGACCGAACGCTGCGAGCGGGAGATCGTACGCTGGAGAAGGGTCGTATTTCTGATAGACCCGCCGGCGATCCAACGGAACCGGGGGGCCTACGAGGGGGGCGATGCGGACACTCGCACGGAATGGCTAGACTATGCTTTAGGTACTACATCGAGGTGAATTGATTGTCCATGCATATACCGTCGCGAACATGCATGCAGACGCTGTGAATTAAACACTTTGGAAAAAGTGGACTATATACCCTACTGCTTAGAGAGAGCACAAAGACAGGTAGCGGGAGAGAATAGGGGAAAAAAAGCAAAAAAGCCGACTGTTCTGTTTCTTCTTCTTCGTCTATATCACCCCAGAGGCCCGGGAAAGGGGGGAGAAGGTCCGTGTGCCAGATGCCGTCTACTACGTGCATTGTGCGTCGTGACGGGGTCGTGTCAAATAAGGATATGTATATCGAGCGAGAGAGATAAGATAGGTTCCACCAGCAAGGGACGAGAAAGAGCAGGGAACGGACGAGCGAGAGGAAGAGCGTTATGCCCGCCTGCCGCCCTTTTTCCTCCGTGCGCCGTCGATCTTGGCGCCGGCGGTGGAGACCATCTTCTTGAGCGTGCCGTCCGCGTTGAGCTTGCGGACGACGTCGAGGTCCGTGATCGGGTGGCCACCGACGATGAGCACCGGAAGCGAAGAGGCCCCGGTGAGCCGGAGCAGAAGTGGCTCGAGCACCGGCGCGTCGGCTGTGAGGGTGGCAAAGATAGACGTGAGCAGGGGGAGAGAGATAAGCATGTTTTTGATGGGGACCTACCGCGCATGTCGACGTCAAAGATAGTGGGCGCGGGCTTGAGATACATGTCGGAGAGCATCGCCTTGATCTCTCGTGAGACGGAGGAGTGCAGCTGCGAACGGGAGGGATTAACATCGGGCGCTGACCGCCTGGGAGAGGCGCCACCGAAAAGTGTATAACTAGCTGACCTTGCCGTAGAGGATGACGGGATTCCGCGTCCATACGTCGTGAACGACCTCCTCAAGCTCCTCGCGCGCGTTGTCGCCACGGGTATCGAAGTCCAGAACGAGGCTCGGGTCGAGCGGCGCGGCAGGGTCGACGCCGGCCGGGATATGGTTCTCCGGAAGCGCGGCTAGGAACGACGAGAGCGCAGCGAGCTCGTGCGGCGCGTCGAGCACCAGGTCAGGGCGTGCGGACGCGGCTTGGTGGAGCGCGGCTAGCTTCTTCCAGTCGAGCTTCTTGTGCGCCGCGAGGCGCCAGGCGTCGGTCGTGGGCGGGGGCCCTCCCGCAGTCGACGGGTCGCGCGCGAGGGGGAGGGCGGCGAGGGAGAGCGACGGCTGGGAGAGGAGGAGAACGTAGGCGCAGAGGGCGAGGAGGGAGAGGAGGGCGAGGACGGTGGTGCGGCGCTGGACGGGCCGCTGCCATTGCCACCGCGCGGGCTTGCTGGTGGAGAGGGAGTCGAGCACGCGCCGTGGGCTGCTGCCCTTGCCCGAGGAGAGCATGGAGACCGGGAAGGGCGGAGAAGGGGGCGGGGACGGCGAGCGGGTGAGGGCAGGGAACATGTCGGCGTCGTCGGGCGGGGTGCGCGGGAGGGCGGGGAGGGTAGGGGACTGGCGGGCGGGGAAGCTGAAGTTGTCGAGGCGGCGCTGGGAGGCGGTCCTGCGGTGGGCCATTGAGACGTTTGGGTATTTAATCAGAAATCAGAAAACGAGTGTGTGGCGATCGGACGTTGGGTCGTGGACGAGGAAGGGAGAGAACGTTCGAACGGTTAGCGCCGCGTTGTGTCCCGTCCCCACGCGCATCTATCGCGGCCTGCCATTCTTTCATTTGCTGCTTACTTCTTCTTACGCACCCTTTCTCTTTACAGATCTGTGCGCTGGAAATGCGCCAGCTCACGAAACGACGGATGTGGCTCCCGTCCGTCGTCCATACCGACTGCGAAGAGCTCGCATCACGGAAATTTTCGAAGGGGTTATCGCTGTCGGCAAAGCGGCGCCGCTGTGTGTGTGTGTATGCGTTGACAAGTTTACACCACCCCCATCATATTGCTATTATATTTCATCCGAGTCTCGTTCTCGCCATCTCGCTGCCATGAATGATTCTCCTGATCTCATCTAGGTCTCAGCGCAGCAGCGCCACAAAGGGCCCAAGGCACCGAGGGCACCTGGAGGGCACCCGAAAAGTGAGACCAAGAACGCGACGACGAGATTCGAAACAGGAGGGACACGGACAGACGTCCGAGACGGCGGGGTGAACCGATCAGCCTGTTGCCTCGAGGTACCGACCAGCCGTCCGGCGACCAATCCGGCCACCCAGCTCACAATGCTCCTGCCAAGCTGAGCAACGGCGGTGACGAAGAGGGTCTCTGCCCATCACGTCATCGCCCGAACGACTCAATAACAGCGAACTCACAGAATGCCGACACAAGTGTCACAACAAACAAAGCAAAGTCTTGTCCGAATGCGATCGTCTTTATCATTGCTAAGACTGCCACCGTCGCGGGGGCGAAGGTGCTGGCGCCTCGGGGCACCTTCTGTCTATATAAATGGCACGATACGCCACTGTTCTGAACCAGCACACAACAGCATCTATTGTTGGCATTGAGATCACTGGCGGAACATGGTCGGGCCAAACATATACAATACAGAACTCGACATGCTCATACCTCAACAACACAGGCATCATGGGGATGAACTTGGGGTCGCTCCACTTCTTCACGAAATTGACAATGTCGTAGCGTGAGCGTGCATGACGTTATCCTCTATCTCGGAGGATGCAATCTGCCATCCCTGGCAGCTGTCTGGGGCACATCCTATACCGTTTCTAAGTATACGACGGTACGAAGAGCTTGTAGCGAAGCGGCTATCGCTTTATTCCCTTCATGCGTCCAGGTGACAGTACTTCAGTCGAGCAGCCTGCAAGATATAGCCTTGCCCAACATGGATGCATCGGAAACGATGCTGTTTGCCCGCCAACCGTGCTCCGCACCCTGGTTGTAGGTGGCTCGATGATGTCGGAACGGGGTACGCCATGTACCGATGCGCGCGGTGCCTATCGCTGGACAATCTAGACACCTAGGACACCTCTCTCAGAGGCGATTCATTCGCCATCTGCGGATGCACTGCCATGCCCCGGGCCATAGAGTCGGCATCCCCCTGCGCGGAGGAAACGCATCGTGATGTTTTGATGCGCGCGCCAGACGGAGACGCGCATAATTAGAAAAGAATGGAGGATCCGGACGACTGGGAATGAATGTTGGATGTCGGTTAGATTGGATGGGATGGTGAGGTATGTTCATCTCTCGTAAACGTTGCCGCCGCCCGAGGCAATGACGATCATCATACTGACTTTCATGAACGAAATGCCGCCAAAGCCGAGATGGGAGCGTTTCTGATAAGGCCCGATAGCGGATCCGGAAAGAAAGAAGCGCGAGTACGGGATTGACGTGGGACTCGGATGCGGAAGCACAGTGCAGCGTGCATGTAAATTGCCCACCATTCCGTGGCCCCGGTCGAGAGCGAGGCCAGCGATGCATGATACTTGATGGTGTGGAGTCCAACCATCGCACATGTTGTCCGCATGGGGGTGTACAACGGACATGGGATAAGACGCTCCCGTTATTGGGCCAGTAGTACGGCACGTGGCGGGCTAGAATTCATCAGAAGCATGATCATGCTTGTGGTCTTCTACAGGAGAAAGGCCACGACGCGACTCCCCGTCCTCTCTTGTATTGCACGTTGGTTACTGCACCATCGAGGGGGAGGAACCGGGTTCTCCGACGGAAACGAGCCCGTCATAGTTCCTGGTAGCCGACTCCGAGTCTATCCATATCGGGTCGTACCCGCCCTTCGTCCGGTAAACAGGAGAAGCTAGCGCCCAGCTCCCAAAACGATCCCGTATCACCCGCCGCAGAATTCGTGTTCTAAACACTAAGCCGAGTCGCCGTCACAAGAGTGCCCGAGGGCAAGCAAGCAAGCAAAATGCGGGTTGGGAGGCTCCATGTGGCATGAGACCGCGAGCCGGATGTCAGCCGCGTAGTAAGCATCTCATCGACATCGTCGCGCTTGAGGACCGTTCGATGCCTACCACTTTGTCCAAAAGTCATGGCATCCAGCGCCGGTAGCACATCCACTGGCAGGCCGTCGAGTTTAATGTACGAATTGGGCTGTACCCGCCCGGGTTCGGTCAACATGAGTAGCATGAAAGCCGGGTGACGCGCCACGGTATCTTTCCCCTCGTGGCACCAAGTCTGGGTGAAGGCGTCGAGTCGACCAAACCGAGCGTTAGCCGCCCACTTCCTGGCTCTGCCTGGCCAACGGCGGTTCAAATCGATAGATCACCGAGTGCCGCCAGGGCCTCCCGGCGTACTTTTTGCACACGCTATTTTTGGACCGCCAAAGCGCAAGTTTGGTAGAGCCTTGTAACAGGGGCCCGGGTGAACCGGCCAGAGGATACACCACGGGCCGGGGTAGATAGGGGTCCGGGTTGAAGTGACGGTCCACGGTATAAGCCACGGCTTGTCAGCGAAGATTTTCGTGTCTGAAGTCCCTGAAGACGGTCGCGTGTCTGGAATAGAGGAACAGCAAGCACAGGAGACGGCCCGAGCGCCGGGGTCAGGGCGACCCAAGGACAGTGTTTCATTTATTGTGGATGCGAACGGTCCGACGATGCGCAATCTGTTTGACCTTGGCGTAGCAAAGGTGTTAGAAGGTGTCCATTGTGAAATCACTATCATGAGATGGTCCTGCGGGTGTCTTCGCTTGCCGATGGACAGGAAGAATATAGGACGAGACTTTGTCCATATCAGGTCCAGACAAAGGTAATCGACGTTAGAGTGGCATTATCGACTTCCGCCTGCGACGGTCATGATTTTGCTGATCTTCTGGTACCAGTAGCCTCGGCCGTCCAGGACCGATTTCATTGAAGTTGATACCTGGCATGAAGTTTATAATTTATCGTGCAGTGGAACAGAAGTAGATGGAGGAGGCGTTCAGGCCTTGCAAGATCGTCAGCACAGTGCAAATGCCGTCAAAACTCGCAGAGCGGCTGACGCAGTCACCACAGTGACATTGATACTGATAAACATTTGCACGTGAACCCACCGGTCGGCGTACCTTGCCGGATCGCCGAGTGTGGGGAAACCAGCGACCGTGACGAGGACATAAGAACAACCTTTGCAAAGGTCATCGGGAGACACCGCGTCTAGACGGACCATGTTGAGCAGAGCGAGCAGCCGTCTGTCTATCCGCACGACCTCCACCTCCGCCGCATTCCTATCGACCTCGCGCAAGGCAATCTCCTCATCAGCTGCCACGCGCCCGAAGCTCTCCTTATCCTCCACATCTCCTTCCCTCGCCCCGCGTTCGCCGAGACATCCAGCCCGGGACAGCTCTTTTGTGCGGAAGATGGGACACTTTGCGTCGGAAGATTCTGCTCGACCGGAGCCCGACCAGGTACTGAAGGACATCGCGGACTACGTGCATGACTATGAGATCACCTCGGACCTTGCGTACGAGACAGCTCGGTTGTGTCTGATCGACACCATTGGATGTGGTCTGGTATGTGTGAAGTCCAAAATCAATCTGAAGAATGCTGAACGGAATCGAAACCGCGCGTCATGCAGGAAGGTCTCCGGTTCCCTGAGTGCGCAAAGCTCCTTGGGCCGGTCGTTGAAGGCACTATTGTTCCCAATGGTCGGTACCTCGCATGCCTCATTGTTTGGAATATCTCTCAAACATATCTCAGGCACAAAGGTCCCTGGAACGAATTACCAACTTGATCCCATTCGAGGAGCCTTCAACATCGGCACCATTATTCGCTGGCTGGACTATAACGACTGCTGGCTGGCTGCCGAATGTACGTGCTATTCTAGAGGTTGATCGTGTTTGTTGACAAACCTGGATATGCAGGGGGCCATCCCTCGGACAACTTGGGCGCCATCCTTGCCGTGGCGGATCACCTCGCCAGGAAAGGGGAATCGCTCACCGTGCGCGACATTCTGACGGCCATGATCAAGGCGCACGAAATACAGGGCGGCCTCGCGCTCCTGAACTCGTTCAACCGCGTCGGGCTCGACCATGTCGTCCTCGTCAAGGTCGCCTCCACCGCGGTCGTATCCAAGCTTCTGTTCGTCTTACCCCAGGACATCGGTGACAATATCTGAATACATGCTATAGCGGTCTGACTCGAGAACAAACTATCGACGCGATCTCGCATGCCTGGGTCGATGGTCAATCGTTGCGCACCTACCGACATGCCCCCAACACCGGTCCCCGCAAATCCTGGGCCGCAGGTGACGCCTGCTCGCGGGCAGTAAACCTCGCCCTTCTCGTGCAGAAGGGTCAGGTCGGCATGCCATCAGTGCTCACCGCAAAGACATGGGGCTTCTACGATGTCCTTTTCAAGGTAACAAGCCTGTGTTACCCCGAGATGCCTGCTACGGTACTCAGACTCATTGCGTCTCACAGGGCAAACCCTTCGAGTTCCAGAGGCCCTACGGTTCCTACATCATGGAGAACGTCCTCTTCAAGATCTCCTACCCCGCTGAGTTCCACGCCCAAACCGCCGTCGAAGCCGCGCACATCCTCCATGATAAGCTGAAGTCGCTCGGCAAGTCCTCGGACGACATCCAGAGCATCACTATCCGCACGCAGGAGGCCGCGCTCCGGATTATAAATAAGAAGGGACCGTTGCACAATTTCGCCGATCGGGACCACGATATCAACTACATGGTCGCCTACCCGCTTATTTTCGGCCGGCTCACGTCCGAGTCCTATACGGACGCCGCCGCCGCCGATCCCCGCATCGACGCCCTCCGCGCAAAGATCACCTGTGTGCACGACGAGCAATTCTCGGTCGACTACCATGATCCGGAGAAGCGCTTCATCTCAAACGCGCTCAAGGTTACGCTGAACGACGGTACCGTCCTTGACGAGGTCGTCGTAGAGTTCCCGGTTGGCCACAAGCGTCGACGCGAAGAAGGCACTCCCTTGCTCTTGAACAAGTTCAAGACTCACATCGCCCCCCACTTCGATGCCGCTCACCAACAAAAGTATGTTTTTTTGACCTTTCCCTGTAAACACAGAAATAACATTTCTTCTAGGATTCTCGACACTGTTAACGACGCTCAATCGCTTTGGAAGCTGCCCGTCGACAAGTTCACCGATCTCTTCGTCAAGCCATGAATATCGGTCAAAACACAGTCTTGATTCAAATGTAGAGTACATGACATTGAGTTACAACAGGGAAACGGGACATAACCTGGCATAACATCCCATAACAATAATAACAATAAGTCAGGATTATAGTTTTCTGCGGACGCATAAAGCCGAGACGGACGCTATGCGCGTATATGAGGGAACGAGGTATCCAGGCGTGATCAACGGAAGTGGTATGTATATTGATGTGTCAAGCGACTTCCGCGGTAGCTTGGATAGGTTCCGCTTTGGTGGCCGCAACCTTCTTCTTCCATCGCGTCTTTCTCTTGTTCGCCTTGGAGACCTGGGCAAGGTCTTTCGTAGGTTTGCTGACCTTTAACAAAACTTGTCAACATACACTCCGTATCAGGACAAGACAATCACCTCATCGACGACAGGAGCCCTCTGCGTATTATTGTCTGCACGCTTGAACGGGGAGCTCAACGGCGCAGACGGCTGTGCATCCTTCGGCTTAGAGTAGACAGCGCTCGAGTTCGACAGCGATCGCCTGTCCAAAAACGAGCTCCCCATCTTCAGGCCAATGCTCGGTCCAGACGGCCGCCGTGGTCCTGGTGACATACCTACCGTGGACGCTTTTGGAGATGTCATCCTCTTCGACAAGTCGCCTTGGTCACCAGCAGCATTCGACGCAAAGTACGGTTTGTACTTGCCCATCTCGCCGCCGCCAAGCCCGAATCGACGGACCGGGCCCCTCTCGGAGCTGGCCGCACGCTCGACGTCCTCGGGAAGCTCCGGAACAGAAGCTAGGCGTCGTTCGACGAGCTTCGCCAGAGGTATAGACTTAGGCGCTTGGTAGGTCAGGCTTCGTTTTCTTATTCCAATCATCGGCGAAGATACAGGGACGGGCGGAAGAGGTTCAGCTGAAGGAGACCCAGGCACAGGAGAAGCACCAGGTGTCGACAGTGGGTTGTTTACGACCTTAGGAACCGCGCGGACAATCGCGGGATCAGTGACATGGTTAACGCGAGCGGTGCTGTAGAGGACCGCGTTCAGGTGAGGGTGCGCAAAGTTGAGACCTCGGGGATCCGGGAACTCGTTCTGAATTATAGGATTCGGTTGACGAGTTGCGTTGCTGACGACAGGCGGAGAGTACCAGGTCGATCGAGCCGTCGGGGATCTGCCGTTCGCGTAGCCAGGTCCTAACAATCCTATTGGTTCCATATACGGGGAGAAGGTCGACGCCCAGACAGGTGAAGTAGAGCTCGGCGGAGTCGGCAGAAGCATCCTTGGAGGCAGCCGCGCCGGCTGGAGCTTTCTATGCTGGTCGCCGATTGGCACCGGAAGATGACTCGGAGGTTGACCAGACTGTCCCACTGGAGGACCAAGAACTATAGGAGGTAAAGCACCAGATGGCGCGTTATTCTTGGAGGTCGGCTCATATTCGACCGCATGACGCAGATACATGTTGAAGTCGAAATCTTTCTGCGCTTGACGAGAGGCATCTGCGGGAGCCTGGATCGGCAAATGGCGATGTATATCGATACACTGTTCATTCGGAAATATAGAGGGCTGATCGATTGTAGGGGATTGGTTCCGTAGATGCGTGCCTGGATTGGAAGGGAGATGCACGTCGCTACGACGGTTTCCAGAGGAGACGTTGGGCAGTGCACGAGCAGCTACCGGTTCAGCCCGGGTAGGCAAGACAGCACCAGGAAGACCAGCCTGAGCAAAGACCTGGGAATCAGAACGAGGGTAGAGCTGCCTCAGGATGCCGGGAGGCTGGGGTGGCGCTTCTCGTAGAATGGTGTTCTGCACTTGACGACCATGATCTTCCGTCAGTCTTACCTTACCAGTCGGGCGGGCGTCAGAAACGTCAGCTGGTAACACCTCTGTGTGAAGCCCCCAGATGATTCGGGGCAGGTCTCCCTGTTCTTCAATCACGGTCCCTTCCGCTCCGCTAGAATGAGGAAGATGACCCAACCGGTTGTGCGGCATATGCAACTACTGACCTTGGACAACGCGCGTAAGGAAGCGAGAGTGGGCCATGGAGTGCAGGAATTGGCTTGGGCGGGGAATCTGCCCAGCTGATCCACCCTGGTAACTCGGGTGAGACCAATTGCGACGAGAGTGGGTACCCGAATCACCTTCTTTGTCAGTACGAGGTACTTTGTTCTTGGGAGATTTGATCCTTAGAAAGTTTGTCGCTATCTGAGGGGTGGCCGAGATGAACAAGACAGATTCAGGAGACGATGGAGGAGACGGAGTGTAAGGTCGTTCAGAGCCCAGAGTAGAAGCGCGAGCGCGAGAAGAACGCCGTTCAGGTGTTAACGATAACCGAGAATAGTCATAGCATCCATAATCCACGACGCGCGAGACCGGACTGGATGGGAAGGCAGCAGTCGGTCGTACACGCTGAGGCATGGAAACGACCCGAGGAGAAGAGCGCTTGATCAGGTCGATAGGCCGATCGTCGGGCATAGACGCCAGCCTTTCCGTACGAATATACGAACGGGGCGGTCGTTGTGCAGGAAGTTGTGGAGGTTTGATTTGGCGAGATGCGATAGACTTGTTGGAGGTTTGCGCGGGCGCTTGTCCCAGAGTTCCAACATGGCCGGCGTCAGATCCTTTATGGCAATCATCGCGAAAACCGTTGTCTGGCGTAGGGCTGTGCAAGGCCTGATGAACGCGCGGGGTTCCAGCTTGAACGGCGCAGTCGGTATACAGCTTCGTGCTGTCCGTCGACATTGTTGTCGCCGACGTCCCTGGCGGCGAACGTAGCGGACGATGAGTTGAGGTGGAAGGCAAGAACAGAGGCGGATGTTGAGCGCGGCCTGAAGGGCGGGTTGAAGGGAGGTGATGGACTGTTCCCACGCTGGTGATGGGGCCCCAATTCAGGCAGTCGAATATCCAACGACCAAGCCCGCCGTACGATGTCCTCTGGCCGTCGCCATGATCCTCCTCGACGAGGTCGACAATGAGGTCCTCAAGCAACGGCACCGACAACATCCCAGCACGTCGACGCTGTCCCCTCCACCTCCCGCCTTCATCTCCGACCCCGCCCCTCCTGCTTACACCACCCTCGAATACGTCCCGCACCCAGAACGGAAACGCACGCAGCTGGACCACCGGATATGGCGGGCAACTCTTTACGCCCTGGGGATATATATTGCGCTTTCCGTGGTACTGGCCGCGCCGCTCCTTGTTTGGGTGAGGAAGGCACACGCCCACATTATTTTCAGCTGCGGGCGCTCACGTTTATCTCACACTCATAGAAGGCACGCCAATCCTCGAGCCATAAGCATATACCCATTGCATTTAGTCGGTACCATGTAGAGGACGTCAAGACCGCCAACCACGTCCATCTCGTACGAGCAGCAACAACCGTCCTAGCATGCAACCCGTGGCGCAATTCGCCATCATCGGCGACCGCCAGCATGGAATACACGCTCCCTCGCAATGGCTCTATCTTCTTCCATTCCAATGTCTCGGAGGGCGACGAATGGCAACAGCTTGTTAAGGGGACTCTCCAAGTTGGTATCAATCCGGATACCAAAATTCACGATACTGTCTTTTCGTTCGGGCTGTCGTATGCCAACGAGGTTTCCTTGAAGCAAGTCAGCGTGTGTCTAGTGGACATAGGCGGCAGTCGAGGTATCAGGATCGTCGTACGTGCTCAACGTCGCTTCTTCGTCCTCCCGGAATCTTACCAGTGCGTAACAGATGCCAGGCGATGTGACCCAGGTACATCCTGTGATCTTCGACATGAAGGTCCTGCTCCCGTATCATTCTGGTTCGCCCGCGTCGTTTGGCGAATTCAGGACGTACCTCCCTCTGGTTACGCAGAAACTGGGTGATCTGGATGCGTTCGCTCGGTTCGACCGAGTTTACTTGGAAGGGCCTCTTTCTCCGGTCACTGTTGACGTAAGTTCCTGATGCGGTCCCTACGATTCAATTTGACGAAATGTGATTTATTTAGTCTATACAAGCGTCAAAACTGACCATCAAGACGTCCATGGCAGAGATATCTGGATCATTCAACGTGTCCGAGTTCCTTGACCTTGATACAACTTCCGCGTACGTATCTCTCGCATCGACCCCTCGACGGATATTCACTCGCCCTCTTCGGTAGTGCTGTGAAGGCGAATGTCCTCTTAGCCAACGATCGGAGTAGCGATTTCCAACGTATGACGCGCATGCAGATCTCCACAGGCAACAGGTGCATCATACATGCTTATCTATTGTCACACCCAATTGACTTCCTACGCCAGTGCTATCGATGCCAACGTCACCCTCCTTGCGCACGGAGGCCACACGGGAGACTTTCCCCCCGACTTCGACGTGTCCTTCGCTACCTTCAACGGCGATCTCTCGGTCTCATTAGGCCACCATTCTCTCTCCCGACCGTCTCACCTCAAGGCGAAGATGCAGAACAACCTCGCTCCTGTAAACGTCACCCTCGATGATCTCTATCAGGGAACGTTCGATTCCCAGACAAAATTCGCCACCGCACATGTACTAGAAGGGTCCACGACTCTCCGAACGCCGTTTCGCGTGGAAGCTGCCGTGAACGGGCGAGCAACCCGGGCGCCGAGAATCTTGTACGAGTATGACCACTATGTCACCTCACGCATAATCGGCTGGACGGGTTGGGAGAAGCGGGCTAGGGGGCGCGGTCAGGGGCACGTCGAGGTCGTGTCCAGTTTGAGCCCAGTGACACTTCGACTCGGCCACCACAATACTACCTGAATAGACTTCACCACCTTGCTCCTTGTATTTTGTAGTGTACCATTGGGGGGGGGGGGGCTGTGCTCGACAGAATGTATCATTATGTTATAAATCATATTATTGTCCGGTGTTGTTTTGTGCAGCTTTAAGGTAGCGGTAGCTAAACCGCGCCGGAGGGAAGGAAAATAAATGTGATGCATTCCCTAGGTACAAACGACACGGATAGTCTACAATAAGCTGTTTGTCTCCAACAATAATATGATACCTGAAGCGCAAACGTAAGCATCGTAAAAGCGGCAATTAGGTATGATTTACTCACTGTGCACGATTTCCGGTATGGTTTGGGTAGTCGTATCCACAGTCAGGTCCGCCTTCTCGGGTGTCTCGTACTCGTCGTCCACTCCGGCAAAGTGAATGATCTCCCCTTTTCGCGCCTTAGCGTATACCCCCTTGCGATCAGTTTTCTCGCAGTGCTCCAGGGGAGTTGCGACGTGGATGAGGAAGAAGTTGCCGCCAGCACCGCCGTTGTGGGTGACGACTTCGCGAGCAGCGACACGTCCCTTTTCATGTGGGGCGGTGGGCGCTGCGATGACGGCTGCACCCGCACGTGCGAGCTCAGCGGAGACCCAGGCGATGCGATTCAGGTTCGTGTACCTGTCCTCCCTCGAGAAACCGAGCTCGGAAGATAATTCTTGCCGCACGGTTTCACCGAGGAGCAGCGACACAGAGCGACCTCCCTGCTGGTTGAGCACTACCTGCAATGCACGCGCGATGGTGTCTTTGCCCGAGTTGAAGAGCCCAGTGAGCAAGAGGACAAAACCCTGCTTGTTCCGCGGAGGATAGCTTGCACGAAGAGTCTGAACGACTTCTCTGTGAATAGCGTTAGTGGCCAGAAATCACGAGCACAAGGAGCCTCTTACTCATAGCTGAACCATTCGGGGATGGGAGCGCCTGTCCGTAGTCGCCTGCGGAGTTCGGTTCCAGAGATGTCAAGTGTCTGTACACCCTTCGGGACTTCGTCAACAGGCTGGTACTCGTCGGTCGAAGGCAAATACGTCATCTGCTGGAACGGAACCATCTCGATTTGCAGCTCGTCGTGATATTTAGTCACAAGGTCCTGCGCATCGTATGGGCCGTAGAAATCCCGGCCGGCGGAGTTCTTGCCTGGGCCAGCGTGGTCGCGGCCGACGATGAAATGGGTAGCGCCGTAGTTCTTGCGGATGATCGCGTGCCAAACAGCTTCACGAGGACCAGCCATACGCATAGCCAATGGCAGGAGCGCCAGGTGCCCCATGCCGTTAGGGTACTTTTTCATGATCGCCTCGTAGACACGGACGCGGGTATAGTGGTCGACATCGCCGGGCTTTGTAAGGCCGACGACGGGGTGGATCAGGACGTTAGCTTGCCTTTGGCGAGCAGCGCGGACGGTGAGTTCGCGATGCGCCCTGTGCATCGGGTTGCGGGTCTGGAAGGCAACAACTTTGCGCCATGCTAGCTTTTTGAAGTGTGCACGCAATTCTGCGGGGGTGTCTATAAAGAATGCTTATGAGCAAGGACATTGTTGCTTGACGAAGAATAGAGGACGCACATCGGAGAGCGACATAATCAAAGTACGTGGGTAGTTGAATGGCTTCAACCTTGCCGCCCACGTAGAAGTCCTTAACCCGGTTGCGGAGGTAGGTCACTGAAGGATGCGCGGGGTCGTCATCGCCAAGAACCTTGATAGCTTCCTTTACTTTGTCGGGGGTATAGATGTCTTCAACTGCAGGCATCGTGAGGATCGGCTAAGGGGCGAAAGCATACACCAGGCGATGGACTCACCAGTCAGAATAGCCAGTGCCTCGTCGTCCCTCGGGTCGCGAAGCGCGATTCGTGCGCTAGGCGCCAAGGAAAGCGTATCGACATCCTCCTGCGATACGTCCAGGGTGATGGGCATGGGGAAGAGCGCGCCATCTGCGAGCCTCAACGTCTCAACTACACTGATGTAATCCTTCTGGTTCATGAATCCTTCCAGTGGACTGAAGCCTCCGTTCATGATGAGTTCGAGATCACATAGTTGGCGCTGAACGCGATTCAGCATCTCACACACCCACAGCTCGAAGAGACAGGGTAGCATACCTCGGTCAATGTGATGCTCGGCAGTCCATCGGCTTCTCTGGAGAGCTCTGCGTGCCTGTCTGCATCACGAGCCAAAAGGTCCTTGATGACAACCAACGCATGTCAATCCCAAAGTGTGCAATGAGCGGAAAGGGAGCAGACCTTGAGGACACCGCCATGTGGGGTATTCGCCATTCTATTGATCTATGATTGAGATGGCGTCTAAGAGAATCTAGTGGGCCGTAGAATTGCTAAGGACAGAGTTTTGATTGAGGGCAACATCGGGAGGATAGCTTTTAACGAGGCGCATGGCGGGTAAATCACGCAATCCAATCGCGACTGGATGAGTGGTCCGGCGGTTCCCTTCAGATGCTCCGTAAGCCCATACATACAATTATTAGCGTGCGCGGTTAGAGGCAAGCATCCTTGGTCGGTCGATGGAAGGATCTTCATTGGAACTGGCGACGAGGATAGGTTGAGGAAAGGTAGGCGACGTTGATGTCCTTGAGAACTTCATCGACCGTGCATTGATTCAAGCATTGACGGACATCACTGCCTCTCCCTCCTTCGCGTACAGCGACTTACACGGTACTTCGAGGGCCCATGCCCACGGATCCTCCAAATGCTACAAATTAATGTGATTGATATTCATTGCGGGCAGTACATTTCCGGGAAGTGACATAGTATACATTATGGGCTATATGCATGATCAAAGAGCAATATGATCACCTATCTCGTTACTCTTCATGTATAGGAGTGAGCAAGCTCCGAGGGTGATCCTAGCACATGTCAGCCAAAGCAGCCAATCAAAGACGGTGACCACGGACTGCTTGAAAAGACTCTAAATCAATTGTCCTAGCCTTCTCTACTGAGATCTCAATGACTTCTGGTCCTTCCTCTGGATATACGCCAAGCGCGCTTGGTTGCTCCCTTTCCGGCTCCGACGCTTTCTCCTGCATCCATGGGTCTGCGCTTGAGGTTGGGCGACTGGGTGTCCCGGAGATGAGCGAATGGCGCCAGCGTATAGTTGGCTTCTTTAGACGGCTGATGCACTCTTCGTCTACACCCTGGCCCTGTAGAGACGGTCGTGTGTTGAGGCACGCCAGAACGCTTATGACAGCCACTGAAGGAAGACATTAGCAGCTTCTACTCCAAAAAAATGGGCAAGGAAGGCTCACGTTGCGATGCGAATGTGTTCAAAGCTAGGAACCAAAGGTCATGTGGACTTGTGGAGGACTTAGCCTCGAAATCAGCTTTCTGGGCGTTTGAAGACGAACGCGAAGCAACTAACCACAATGACGGCCACTATATCTACCATACTAAAACAGCGTTGATGCGATGTACCAAGTAAAATCAAGGACTGAACTTACAACAGCAGAAGCAACCTATTGATGGAGTAGAGCAGCGCCGTTCCCATCGGACTCCTTGCCCTAAATCCCGAGTCACAAACTGCCTTGTGGAGCAAGGGGGATTTCGCTTGCCTTCCAAACCCCATGTCGGATAAAGGTTTCGTTATCCCTACCACCAGAACAGCATCGCAAACGACGGATACGATGCCGTACGGCAGTGTTTGCGTAAACTTTCATTAGATAGAATACATCAGCCTTTATTTGCATTGAGATGGTAAAGGCAACCAACCTTGATTGTTGATAGACGACTGAGAGTTCGGTGCTTGAACCTACCACACAATCAATACACGCGCACCTTTTCCCTCGTTAATGGCTTACAAGTCAGCAACGGTAACTAGGAGTACGGTAAGTGATTGTGACACCCTAACAGATATTGGTACGCACCAAGACGAAGGGCCAATTGTGCAGCCAAGAAAAACAACTACGCAACTGAGCAAGGCGTACAAAATTTCAAGTCATGATTACTCACGCTGGCGCCAACGAGGGACCATCGAACAAGCTGGGATCTGTTCGCCCAAACTAAACGCGACTTCAGCAACCTTGCTTAACAATTTCCGGCTGTGAGGGCTTGCCTTTCGCAATGCGATGTACGTGATAGCTGGCAACAGACGATGAGCGACGAACGCGGAAACCAGTTCGATGACATCACCATTTGGATAATACCGATAGAATCAACTTCAGGACGATTTGATCATGAGCGTGATCAAGAACGCAGCAATTTTATTGCAATGCTTACGCCGAACAGCAGAGAGGTCTTAAAATCCCGACAGCGTTCAATCAGCAACGGCCGCATCCCTAGGTACCGAGAAAACCTACGTAGAGAGTTCTATTGGGCGCCGTCGTAAAACTGGGGTTCTCGAAGCGTGAACGAGGACTTACGCAGTACCTCTTTCCAAATTGAGAGGATGATCAAAGTTCGCCACCAAGTATGACCAAAGGGAATGAGTCACTGAGCAAACATTAGCGGCATGCATGATTGCATGGCTTTGGCATACATACAGAGAGCTAGTTGCGCAAGTCCCAAAGGCCATAGACAAGAAACCTGTACATAGTGTGAGCAATGATCAAATGTGTTTCACCACAGGAAATCATACAAAGATCTTGAGTCTCGGCTTGTCGTTAGGATAATGCGTAAAGTACAGGTACGTCTAAGCAGAGATACCATCAGCATCGAGTTACATCAGATGCATTTTCACTCACCAGCGAGCTAACAACCCCACAAAGCAATGTGGTGGCAACAAGGCCTATAAAGAGAGCTCCTGAGGCAAGAAGATTGTTAGACCTCAGGTAGTGGCCCTCGATATACTGCGTTGATAATCTTACCGAACGTATTGCCGAGATGCATGAATGGATGGATATCAACAGGCACCAAGAGGAAAGAACCTGATAACAGAAAGAGGGGTGAAACCGCCGCCGTACATGAGAAACGGGCTTTGAGGTATTGTATTGCGCTCGGACGAAGCTCCACCAGTGAGACTGGTCCTGGTAGTATATCCCAGGTTAGGAAGGGGCGGCGCTGCACCGGATACCAGCCGCATATAAACAACCGCGGTCTCTGCTTCACACCGAAGCATCGGGTGGCGCCCAGGGGGGCCAGGACGTGAACGAGTCAGCACGAGCGCATCACCCACGCCGAGGTCCGTGTAAACGGATCTGTACGCCGACGGCCGCGCTGCAGCTCAAATTAGGAATGCGCAGCTAAATATGCGCCGGAGAGGGCGTAGCTCAGAGCCGTGTTGACCAAATGCGATCAACGGACGCGTCAGGATTGACCAGCGCCTTCGAGGTGTGATAAATCGAATGAAGGGCGCCGTGTGACGGGGGTTTTGTCCAGTCATATTAGCCTGATTGAGAGGTCAAGCTACCCTCTCTCACCGCCTAGTCAGGGCGCGACTAAGTCCGGAATGGGAGTCGTTCGCACGACGACGCGGACATTGCTCGGACCGTTGCTCTTTGAGAAAGTCTGAAGAACGGGCACCCACGGAGTCAGTAGTCTGCCATGTATCGAGTGCTGCGAAAGCACCGCGAACTCGGCATGGCAACGTACTGTTCGCAAGTGGGATGCGGTACGGAGGAGACCTATCAAAATTGGAAGTCATTTGCACACATACTTGAGCCATCAAAACACGAGCGCGTCGGATGGTGCAGCAAGATCCACAGTATTAGCATCGATTCATGATGAGGTTGTTGATGCCAAGTAACCTATCACTTGCGCTACCCAATTGATGTCGAAAGAGGAACGTGGAGGTTGCTGCAGTCTCTGGAGCCGCGAGAAAGGGGCTTTCCATCTTGGGTTTCATACCGGAGCCCCTCACTCAATGTCAACGCCACCGCTGAGTGGCTTGACCACACCTGGCTTGGGACTTGCCACAGCAGCATCTGCAATGTCTTCAGGTACGTTTGTATTCGCAGGATATCGTTGTAGTACATCGCTGATCCCCGATCAGCACCAGGAAAGTTATCCCGTGAGGAGTTCCGTCGCCAAAAGGACCTCGATGCCGCTCGTAAAGCCGGAACAGCACCGGCAGCTCTTGATGAAGAGGGCAAACCCATCAACCCCCATATCCCTCGTGCGTAGCGATAGCTGAACTCATAGCCTCTGCTCACCAGCATAGCACAGAATACATCTCGCAGGTACCGTGGTATGCGGATACGGGTGCTCCTACTCTCGCGCATCAGCGGCGCCAAGCGGACGACCGCTCGGCAAACAAGCTCGATGGCTGGTATGACCGTGGCGCGAAAGCTGGGCCAGCTGCCAAGAAATACCGCAAGGGCGCCTGCGAGAACTGCGGCGCCATGACGCATAAAAAGGCGGATTGCCTGGAGCGCCCGCGCAAGAAGGGCGCGCGCTGGACGAACAAGGACATTGCTCCGGACGAGGTTATCCAGGAGGTGGAGCCGGGATACGATGCGAAGCGGGACCGGTGGAACGGGTACGATCCGAGCGCGTACACGAAGGTGTACGAGGAGTACAACGCTATGGAAGCGGCGCGGCAGAAGGTGCGGGAGGAGGAGATTGACAAGCAGACGACGACGGACCTGGCAGCGGTGAGGAAGGTGGCGAAGGCGGGGAAGGGTGACAAGGAGAAAGAAGGAGATGATGAATTCGGGAGCAGTGATGACGAGGATGAAGACGAAGATAAATATGCGGATGCGGCAGATGCGGTCGGGCAAAAGCTGGATACCAAAACACGTATCACAGTCCGAAACCTGCGTATACGAGAAGATACGGCCAAGTATCTGCTCAACCTCGACCCGGAATCCGCCTACTATGACCCGAAGACGAGGTCCATGCGTGATAACCCACTCAAGCACCTTCCCCCTGAAGAGGTATGTTGCCTCGCTAGATTACCATCTAAGATGGTCCTGACATCGTCGTAGGCGAAATTTGCAGGTGACAACTTCCTCCGTTATTCTGGTGACGCTCCAGAGGTTCAGAAGCTGCAGCTATTCGCATGGAATTCCGAACAACGCGGCTCCGATGTACATCTCCAGGCCAACCCTACCGCGGGCGAGCTCCTTCATCACGAGTACAAACAGAAGAAGGACACGCTGAAAGACAAGAACAAGGTCAGCATCCTGAGCAAATACGGCGGTGCGGAATACCTCGAGGCCGCACCGAAGGAGCTCCGACAAGGGCAGACGGAGGAATACGTCGAGTACAGCAGGACTGGGCAGGTGGTCAAGGGGCGCGAGAGGATAAAAGCCAAGAGCAAGTATGCCGAGGATGTGTACATCAATAACCATACCGCCGTGTGGGGCTCATGGTACGACATATCTTCTGGGACTTGGGGCTATGCATGCTGTCATTCGACCGTGCATGCGTCTTATTGTGCTGGCCAAGCTGGTATAGAAGCCACTCGTGCTTCTACGGCTCAACATCTACTCTCCAATGCTCCCGCCTCATCATCACCACCTCCTCGGGCTAAACCTCTCATCGACGATCAACCATCGTCGTCATCCAAGGATATCGGCAAAGACGCCGAGGATCGCCGGAGACGGGCTGAGGCCGCCTTTTCGAGCAAGAAGAGGTTGGGAGAGGGGGAGCTCGAATTCGATCGCGAGAAGCTGTCGCGGGCGATCAATGAGGAGAAGAAGCGAAAGGGCAGGGATACAGACGGGGACGAGAGAGAGGGGAAGCGGAAGAAGGATACTACCGAGGTTTCCGAGGAGGATTTGGAAGCATACAGGATGACCAGGAGGATGACGGAGGATCCGATGGCCAACTATGTGGACACCGATTACTGATATGGTATTATCCTACTGCGTGTCCGGTAGTTTCATTTTGTCGCGGCAATGCCATCTGTAGGTCCCAGGCGGGGTCCTGGCCGTTGTACTACTTACCTTGCTTTCATAAAAAAAACACTGTAGCGACGGAGGATTAGCAAGTTACCTTGAGATCAGAAACACGCGTCGAGTTCGGGAGTAAGTATGCGGGGATCAGTTGCATTGCAGTTTCGTCTCGTATAGGTGGTAGAATCTACTCCGTTTTATATTGTTCGGGTAGTACTGTATATCGAGTCAAAAGGACATGTATGCACAGCGCGAGCTTGTTTAATCCTCCTCGGGTCTCGTTACATTATGGTGAACCAATACCGTTGCATTTGAGCCCAACCTACGGAAAAGATACAACTGTTGTATGACCTGTCTCTATCACAGGAGGACCGCCACATGTCCACGCGCTCACTTTTTTGAGGCTGCGCCGAAGAAACTGCTGATTGGCTTCATTCCGATCACGTTGGCTTTCTTCAATTTGCCCACCCCGACACTTTCTCCCGCCTTCCGTTTCTTGCCTTTCTCGTCATCGTCCACGACGGATTTCGAGCTTGCTTTCTTCCCCAATGGCGCGCCTTTCTTCCGTGTAGGGGCAGCATTGGATGCATTGGCGAGGATGGCGGCGGCGTCCGCTTCGCGAAGCGCTTGCAGATGGGCATCTAGCGTGGTGAAGCTTCGAGAGGGATGACGATGTCAGAGAAAAGGATCATTATTGAGGCGTCAACGTACTCGTAGGATGCTAGAAGATCGGTGTAAATGGGCTGAGGAAGGTACTGTGCGAGCAGATCGCAAGCCGCTTTTATGCGGCCCACTGAGGCATGAAGAGCGCGCTTGAGGAAACGTTCCCCGGTGGCTAGGAATGAGAGCTCACATTCCAGTAGGCTCTCCTTCCCGTCTTCCATCAGGCCATCTTTAGCCAACACCCGTACCAGCGTTCGAGATGTCTCTATCACCGCGCTTTGCGATAGCCTAGCCACCTTCGGCTGGAGATACGCCATAGCAGCCGATGCAGAATAACGGTAAACCGTAATGTCACTTGTGATTTCTTCGGGCGCATGTTAATACGTCTTGACGACTCAATGCAGGGATACAATGTACACACCCTTGAACTCGCATATGCGCTTCATGGCGCATTGGACACAAGCCAGACTACCAAGGTAGGTGAGGTCCTCCTGTGAGACATGTAACGACGGATCTTTGGAGGTGGATGGAGTGGAAGGGGAGACGGTCAGGATTTGGACGAGATCTTCGAATATATCATCGTAGGGACGGAACTGCCCTGGATTCCCCTCTCTCTGTGAGCGGCATCACGACAAGGTCTCAGTGACGGGACAGACATGTCGACGCACCGATTGGATAGTCTGCAAGAGACCCATGAGCAGAAAAGCGGGGTCGATGGGCGTCATCATGAGAAGCTTGCCATCTGTGTTTGTATGTCAGGTAACAGATATTAAACGAGAAACAGTGCCCACCTGCGATCACTTCGCCTTCGCTCATGAACCATGAACGTGGATTCGGAGGCGCAACGGCTTGCACCTCTAGTATCGTATGTTTAGACTGTCCCAAGGGAACATATGGCAGAAACAACGAGGGTATCCCTATTCAAGCGGTCATTGAGAAGATGGGATCGGTGTGCTACCCGGTTAACATACCGGTTCTCGGATGGGGCAACCGCAGAAAACGGAGCGCCGTCTCCGAGTCTAGCTTCACCGCAAGCGCGTCTAAGACGCCTATTATCCGTGTTATACGCGTCATAATAGCGATTCTTTCAGATCTCACCAACTGGCAGTATTCCGACGTGGGTCGACATTCGAAAAACGCGGTATTCGTCGTGGAGGACGCGTCCAAGAGGGATGCGGGAACAATGGGATTGTGGGAACCCTGCTGCAGGGTTAGGGGCATCCGCCACATGTTCGCCTCGTGGCGGGACAACAATCTCGGACCGCCCTCGTACTTGAACCTCTTCACCTCTTCATGGCGTTACAATTCTTATTTTCCTGTACAACATATCCTTAACACCAATACTACACTCACGATGCCCCTCACGATTGCCCTCCCTCTCTTCGTCGGCCTCGGCGCGCGCGTCCTCTTGGGCTACATTTTCTCCCCCGCGCTGCCCATCCCTTCCGTCCCCGGTGGTCCCGCTGCCGAACCTCCCTTCTCCCCGGGCGACTTCATACTCTTCGGCGTCTGGCAAGGCGTCGGACTCTACCACTCTTTCTCCGCATTTCCGGAAGCAGCGACGTTCGTTGTCGGCCTGGCCATCGCCGCAAAGCTCCTCTCGGACCTGTCAAGCGGAGAGATATTCAAGAGTCTTTGCGTGTTCATTGGCGTGGCGCTCGGTGTGCTTTTTACGGACATCCTGGCGCAGCTTATCGAAGATGACGTACTGGGGTTCAACGGCTCTCCGCGACCAAAGAGCTCAAGCCAAATCCCGCGGAGGATCCTGCAACTAGGCGGCGACCTTCAGTCGGAGCGAGCCGCCATGAAACATGCGTACGAAATGCGCAGTGCCCGCGACCGCGAAAAAGAGAGGAAACGGCACGAACGAGCGTTCCGGGCAGCCAAATCTCTCGCCGCTGCTCCCTCCCTTGACTTTAGCTCCCTCGACATTTCTCTCCCCTCCATATCCGAAGTCACAAGGACAGGCTCCGCCGCCTCCACCGCGCATTTGTCCCCGTTAGAACGTGAAATTGCGGCGCTGAGGGCCAGGGCAAGTCTGGCGGATAGCGAGAGGAGGAGGTTCAGGGAAGAGAAGAAATGGGCATTAAGCATGGGGAACAAGGCGCGGGCAAGCCAGATGAGCTGGCAGGTCAAGCGGTACACTGCGCTTATGGAGAGCTTCCATCGGGAAGCGGACGCGAGGATGATTGAAGGTGATTGTCGACCCGCGTCATCACTGTCGCGTCGTGCCTGACGAGAGCATATATAGCCGCGAAAGCGCGCGATGCAGCAGCATATGGCGTCCTTGGCGCCCCCATCGTATCCGGGAGTCAGGGCATCGGTCTTATGAATGGCCTTGGACCTATGGCCGAGTCATCGCCTCCTCTGCGCCAACGCGTTCGGGGGTCGAAGAGCAGCCTTAACCAACTATATCAACCAGCGCGACCGAAGGACCGCTATGCACCCATGGTTGTGCCAGAAGAAGGGATCGATATATCTCCACCACCTGCGACGAGGAGACGAGCTGAAGAAGATAGTTTTGACCGGAGCTTCGACTCACGGCCAAGCCGACATAAGCTAGAGGACTTCGACCGAAGTTTCGAGAGCCAACCTCGCAGCCGACCTGCGGCGGAAGATTTCGACAGGTCATTTGACCTCTCCCACGCTGAGACCGCGCCCCTGCCCTCGAGCTCGCGTCAGCGTACGCCTAAACCACCGAACGGCAACGCGAACGGGCATGGCATCCTTGGCGACTTAAATCAAGACCCTGCGGAATCGAGGCAACGCCTCTCGAGGCATTCGGCGGAGATGCTCAACGAGACGGAGGCCGGCAGCACGAGGAGACGCAGTCATACCACTGGTGCGATACCCAACGGGCAAAGGTTGAGCAAACTTCGCGCTAGCTGGGAGGGCCAGGAATGACTATTGGCACATTCTGTCGTCAAAACTCTCGGTCTGTATCATGTTGCGTCGAGCTGCAGGTGAAGAGATCTAACATGTATACGTGCTTGTAGACCTGGGGTCTTATCCTACACCTCTCGGTCTTCATACCGAATATCACGCGTCTGTGTATATTAGTGCCATCTCTTTATTTTCTCTTGCTGGATCCGGAGGAAAGACGCGTAATGGGAAATCTTGTACCTCTCTGAATAAGTTTATAGAACTGATGAACACGGGCATGGAATTCTGTGCACATCAATTCATCGATGGAGACTCATTGCGGCCAACCAAAGGTGCCGAGAGGAAACGCGGCCCTACATAGCTAACGAAACGCGTCTGACCGTGACGATGATTTATAATTAGGCGCGTTTCCCAGCGCAGCACATCTTGGCCTCCTCGTTCTTTGCTCACCTTTCGTTCTCTCAACACCGAGCCTGGGGCTCCGTAACAACTTGTAGCGAGAACCCAATCGCGGAGTTGTCGTCGGTCATACCTGCTAATCTAGCGCGATACACCGCGCACTGCCCGGTTCGCGATGCAGTCCCTTTCGAACATATTCCGGGATGCGATAGACGCAGCGAGGCCTCAGCAAAGGCCCCGGGGGGAAGACTACGCCTACACCTACAGACAGCTCTCCGCAGACCCTGCCTCCGACTTGCCTCACCCAGTGTATGGTCGCCGCAAGAGCTACCTTGGTGACCTCAGGGCACAACTGCGTATTGCTAATCCCGCCTATCTGGCTATCTTATTCCCTTTTGCCGTCTTTGGATTTGCGTGGATGTACCTGACCTCAGAAAACTCTGGCTATGCAAAACTGAGGAATCCGAGCTACCTTATCGAAGCAAAGCACGGGGCGGTAGCCACGGAGAACCAGGTCTGCTCTGAGATGGGAGTGGATATTATGAAGGCGGGAGGAAACGCCGTGGATGCCGCTGTCGCTAGCACTCTGTGCATCGGGGTTGCGAATATGTTCTCGTGCGTTTTAACAACGTGGGCTCTCGCGCGCGCGATTCTGACAGACTCACAAGTTCTGGTGTCGGAGGCGGGGGCTTCATGACCATTCGTATACCCCCAGCCCTCGCGGACGGCATTTCATCCGAAGTGTGGACAATCGACTTCCGCGAAACCGCACCTGCCGCTTCCAATGAGAGCATGTACGTTTCCGACCCCAACCTGGCTCGCTTCGGGGGACTCTCTGTTGGCGTTCCTGGCGAACTACGTGGGTTGCAGGAGGCGCATAACCGCTGGGGCAAGCTTTCCTGGTCGCAGGTTGTCATGCCCGCTGCCGAACTTGCCTTGGGCTGGCCCGTTTCTAAGGAACTCGCTCTGCGCATCAAATGGCCGTTCTTCTATGACCTTATGTTTAACAACCCCGACTTCCAGGCGATCTTTGCCCCTGAGGGTAGGCTGCTCGAGGAAGGGGAGATCATCAAGAGGACCAACCTCAGCTGGACGTTGACGACGGTGGCTGAGAAGGGCGCCGACGCATTCTATAAGGGGGCGATCGCGGATAGTATCGTGGAGAAGGTCAAGGCCACTGGCGGAATATTGACAAGGGAAGATATGGCGAACTATAGTGTAATCGTACGCAAGGCATTAGAGGGTACTTACAGAGGGCGAAAGGTGAATATCCTGTGTTATCCCTTTATTGGGACCTGTTGTCAACGATACTTCGTTAGATTTACACCACCCACGCACCAACATCTGGGCCCGTTCTATTACATATGTTCAATCTGTTGGAGCACTATGACTTTGACCTCATGCTTGGCGTCAACGTGCATAGAGTTGTTGAAGCCATGAAGTGTCAGTGATTCTCGCTTGTACTTTTTCAAGACATCTCGCATGCTTACGACAGACGCTGCCACAGTCGGATTTGCCGCGCGCACGAAGATTTGCGACCCGGCGTTCAACGACGATGCGAATCGAATTCATGAAATCGCAACGAAGGAATTCGCTGATAAGATAGTGGCCAACCTTACCGATGTACGTTATGAATTGCCCCCACCGTCCTTCCATTCGTGACCGGTAAGAAGAAGGCGGACCTTGCCCAATGCCCTGAGCACGTTTCATTTGTCTCTATTTTCATGGCAATAAAGCCATTGATTGACATAAACACTCAGGATCGCACGCATGCGCCTGATTATTACAACCCGGTCTTCGACGTCAAGATTGACCACGGGACCGTGGGCATTATTATTCGTCGTTGGCCGCTCGGTTTACTGATTGGTGTGAGGTGACGCGCAGAGCCATATCTCTACGGTAGACCAGGATGGCATGGCGGTTGCTATCACCTCGACCGTTAACCTTATCTTCGGCAGCCAGGTGATGGATGGGCCTACCGGGATTATTCTTAACGATGAGGTATGGTCCTGGAGCACGGAGCACGTCCCATCCTGACGTGAATTGTGTCTCTCAGATGGACGATTTCTCTGTCCCTGGAATTCCCAACGCCTTTGGACTACTCCCTTCACCCTGTCCGTTTTCGGCACCATGTTCTGCTGGGGCTCGGCTTACAGATGACATGCTTGCAGACAACTATCCGGAACCGTTCAAGCGTCCTTTATCTTCAACAACGCCTACGATACTGGAGAATGAGGACGGCTCGTTCCACCTGGCCATCGGCGGCTCAGGAGGCTCGCGCATATTCCCCGCCGTGTTCCAGACCATCGTAAATGTCGACGACTGGGGCATGAATTTGCAGCAAGCAGTCGAGTTTGGCAGGTTGCACGATCAACTGTACCCGCTCATTGTGGTGCGCAGATACACCGGAGCTTGTGTACGGTGATAGCTGAACGGCCTTTCAGGACGCGGACGACGTCTATCCCCCCGATTTGTTGGATGAGCTAAGACACAGGGGGCATAACGTGACAGGTATGCATAATGGTGTAGCCTTCCGTGTGGACGAATTGAACGACTTGCCGGTCTAGTACTCCCCGTCGAACGCGTAGCTGCGGTAGTTAATGCAGTCATGCAAGATGGTCGCAGTTACTACGGTCGGTTTTTGCGTGTTTTCTGGCCCTGAGCAATATTGACACGAGATTTAACCTCCAGCTGCGAGTGACTCTCGAAAGAATGGTATCGCGGCTGGATACTAAGTTATAATCGAACTCGAGCAGAAATTCATAATCTGGTAATCAAGGGTATTCGCATGATTCGAGCTATTTTATCCGCGAGCCTTGAGAGCAGCCGCGGAGGACGTCACGAGGTTATAGACGTCTGTACCGGGGTACACGGCGTAGCCATCGTTGGGTGTTTGGCCATTGGTGAGGGTCGACCCAGCTTGCCAGATTAGGTCGCCGGTAAGGCCAGAGCTATCGATCGCGTTGAACCATTGGGTATAGATTTGCACCTGGTTGGTGGTGGCCTACGGACACGAATATCAGCTCTACAACATCATTTGAGGTATCGGTGAACGTACGCCGAATTCCTCAAGGATCACGGGCTTGTTGGCGCTCTTTTGCACGTTGGCGTGGTCTTGGATCCACTGAACGCCCCACAGGGTCTCGTTGGCGGATTGCCCCCAAGATTCGGGGTACATCTGCGATCAAGGCGAAATTGTGAGTTCAACGCCAGGCCCATATCTCAAGCATTCACTTACGTGGGCAGTGCCGAAGTCGAGCGTGCTGATCTGAATATTCTTCTGGAAGTCAATACCCTCGGTACCCCTGTTGTGCGCGGTCAGCTAGCGTTGCAATTTGAACGGTGCTGACTCACTGGTAAGGGTATGTGTCGCTCAGGGTAGTGTTAGCAAAGAACCCTTCATCTCCAATGGCCACCAAGTGGTTGGAGTCGAGGGACTTGATGTAGGCAGAGATGGAAGAGGCCCAATTGGTGATAGTTGTCGTCGTGCATGTACCAGATGTAGTACCGCTGCTACCGCTGCACCTTGGCTCGTTGGCTATGGAACAAAATTAATCAGGAATAAGGTCATGCCAAAATTGCTCCTCGACTTACCCAGCTCCCATGCCATGATGGTTGGCTCATTGACGTAACGGCCCACGAAGGTCTTGATGTAGTTTTTATAGGCGGCGATGACCTGGTCGTTCGTGTAGAAGTCATCGTGCGGCGCACTGGACCCAAGGATCTGATGAGTGTAAACGTCCATTCCACCGTAGTCGCTCCAATTGTTGGTCCTGATATTACGATTTACTGGGGTTGTCATCGAATCAAGGAGAAGACCACTCTCACAGTGCGACAATGAGACGAATGCCATTCGCTTTCGCAGCAGCAACAGCGTTGTCGAAGTTCTGGAGACCAGTTGCTCCGGTATTGATAGTGGGAGTGCTCCCAGACCAGCTTTGGTAGTAGATGCCATTCGGCGACGTCACTTCGTTGAAACCCCTGCAAGACATTCCTGAGCAGGTGCTTCAGCGGGATTGTGTCCACGTACCATGTGCGTACGACAGTAGCGCCGGTTCCAGCTATGTCGGAGAATGCCTTGTTCATGTCGCTCGTGCTGTACCCCATGAGACCAACCCAGTAGGAGTTCTCACTATAGCGTTTGTCATGAGCGCACCACTACAGGGCATTGCCGGGGCAACAACCCACCCGACCACGGTGAATGGAGATCCATTTAGCGTGAACATCTGTCCTGAGGTTTTGACAAAACCAGTTGATGCAGGAGCAGAGGCAGTCGAAGTTGCACTGCTGGTCGTCGTCGTCGGTTTAACAGTAGTGCTGCTCGTCACGCTCGCGGAGGTCGAGGAGGCTGTTCCGGGCAAGCATTGAGAGTAATAGTCGTTTTGCTCAACACAGACGGTGCCAGAAACACAGGCTGGACCAGAGTTATCAATCATTGACTTTGCGCAGCCAAGCCTTCAAACGTACTTGTGGAGCCAGCATAGCCTATGCCTCCACATTGACCTGAAGGATTGAAGTAATCAGTGCAAGGGTTGCAAGGGCAGAACGGCGCCTACAGACCCCATTCTGACACTTGCGAGCGCGCCCCTTCAAGGAAGGCCAACGCCAAAGAGAGTCGGACCGCGTTGGAAAGCTTCATCCTCTCAGTTGCAAAGATAATAACCGGATAATGACCGATGGAACTGAATTCAATGAGACCATAGCCGCCGCTCGGCTTTATACGCGCGGAGAGCTGGGTGCCAAAGATTCAGCGAACAGAGCCGTTTCTCCATTCCGCGCAGACACGTTACCGTCTCATCGCCAGCTATCTCCACGTTCTCCGGTCATTTGAGGAAGGGATGAGGTCGCTTTCGGATCATCATCGCGCGTGATGCCCAGAGCGAAAATTCTCCGGGTGTCGGATGACTACGTCGCGTGAATTCGGGTTCAAGATTATCATATGTTCATAACCTAGTTTGACCTTAAAGAAGGTGAAGTTCATTCGGCTTCGGGCGGGCCGCTCCTTGTAGCTATTAACTTATGTGCATATGGATACTGTACGACGTGTTTCCGGGATTTGGTCAATCCTCCGAAACAAATGTCGTCAATCATCGCACCGGAATAACTGTGAAAGGGACCGCATATGGAACCGTGTTTAGGGATCTAAAGATCCGAAATTGTTCCAACGACGTACTCTATAAACCTCCTCCAACGGTTTGCTGGGGGGCCCGGGGAGAATGGCATCGACGATTGTCTGTTGACAATGAATACGGATGCCAACTCTGAGCACGTTAGACAAACGGCGCGGGGCATGTGACAGAAGAGATGATGCCTGCAGTATGCTCCGAACAAGAAAAAACTGGATGCTCGGCACCAGGATCGAACTGGTGATCTCCGGATTGCACAAGCTATGCTTGCTCATATATATGAGACCGGCGCTCTAACCAACTGAGCCAGCCAAGCTGTGTGAGCCTGGCTGGTTGCTGTGGTCATGTTCCTCCAGGACGCGTCGCGCGTCTACATAGACTCGAATCTTTGCCGACGATGAGTTATCCCTTTAGTTTGAGGAAGCTTAGGGCAACGGGTCAGATCCTATGGTCCAAATGCTAGGTATCCTCGTGCAGGAACATAACGCACTGAAACGTCGTCAACGTGGTTATTTGCATTCCCGGTTGACCAATGACCATGACTTGCCGTACGTTGGACGTGGATCCGGACAGTGTCACTTCTGAGCCTGGGATACATTTTGGCATCAACATGAACATGACAGGCCGCCAACCAAGCCTACGTGGACGGTATAAAGGTGTCGGTCGGTGCCCTCCGAACTTATCCTGGCCTGCATCCGCACCGGAACCTAGGACGACCGCCGCCCTCACATTCGTAATCCACAGATCTACTCTCAGCCACTATGATGCACTACACACTCCTTTCTTTCGTCGCGCTCGCGATCCTCATCACCAAGGAAAACACCTTTGCTGCGCCTCTGTCCGCTGAGCTTGATATCAACCGTGGAGCGCCGGCCTCTCCTACCGCCTCTTCGACGCCCTCGTCTCCCGCCATCCCGGCCTCCTCGGGTGTCCCCGCTCCTCCCAGCTCGACTTCCTCCATGACCTCCGAGGTGATGCAGGATGCCAAGACCACCATGACGGAAGTGTCCCGGCTCCCCTGCATGATCTCCGACTACACCATCGAAGATCCTAACGACATGATCGCACAGGTGCAGAGTCGCGCGGTCACTCCTCCGGACGGCATGTCCGCTTCCGACTTCATCCAGCAGTTGATACAGGAATGCAACGTGAATGCCGGTTCACCCAATGGTCAAGGTGGCGCAGGCGCCGGCGGTTCCTCCACCGGTACCACCTCTTCTGGCAGTTCGTCGTCTGGAAACGCATCCACTGGCAGTCCATCTTCTGGCACTTCCTCTGGCAATACATCGTCGGGCCCTTCGTCCTCTGGTGATTCTGGAAGTACTTCGTCCGGTGGCGACCCCTCAGGGCCGTCCTCCGGCAGCTCATCTAGCGGAAACCCTCCGTCCGGTACTGCACCATCGTCCAACGGACCATCCTCGAACGGCTCTCCGTCCGGTTCTACGTCGTCCGGCGACGCAACCTCCGGCAATGCATCCCAAGGCGATTCGCCATCTGGTCAACAGCCTTCCTCTGGTTCTTCCTCCCCTGAAACACCCTCGTCAAGTGGATCGTCCTCCGACCAGCAAACGACCTCGCCTGGAACCGAACAGTCTTCACCTTCGGGTCCTTCGTCTGAAGCCCAGGGTCAATCCGGGGATTCAACTGGACAATCATCCGGTGGTGAGCAGCCTGCAGGTTCATCTGGCTCACCGTCTGGACAAGCATCCGGTGCCGAGCAGCCCGCGGCTTCCTCTGGCCAATCGTCCGACGCTGAGCAACCCGTGGCTTCATCTGGTACACCGTCTGACTCACAGCAACCCGACGCTTCCTCCGGTTCATCCTCTGGTTCTCAGCAACCTGCTGCTTCCCCCGACGCTTCCGACGCCTCCTCGTCTGGGTCTGGACAGTCTGCGGCTTCATCTGACTCGTCTTCTGGATCTCAGCAACCGTCTTCCGGTCCCGCGTCTACTAGCTCATCCGCCGGAGATCAGAATGGGAGTGGATCCCAAGACGGCTCGTCCGCCAACGCACCGCAAAGCCCCTCCCAGTCCAACAACTCTCCGGCGGACTCGTCAACAGGTCAGGGCGCTACTCAGGCGGGTGCTCCTTCTGATGGTACAAGCTCCTCTAGCGGAGATGACGCAGGTGCTATCATCGTCGACGTTAGCGGTGGTGTAGCCTCCGCGCAGACAGGCTCGGGAATGGTCTCCGCCCCTATGCCCGCGACCGCGTCCTCCCCGGAGTCTGATGGATCTGACCTTGGAACGAATGGCGCTTCCCCTGGCACGGATGGATCTGCACCCGGGACAGATGGAAATGTCCCCGATGCGGATGGGTCTGCCCCGGCGTCGGCCGGATCTGCCCCCGATTCGAATGGATCTGCCCTCTCCTTGGAGGTAGCTGGCGACATGACCCCGGATAACTCAAAGCGCGCCATGAGTGTTGGTGTAGGCGAAACTGTAGGCCCCATGCCGAGCCTTATGCGCCGCGCTACCTCGGCAACTGCTGCCCCTAGCTCGACCACTAGCGCATTCCCTGGATTACCCGTCCGTGCGCTCGCACCTTCCGTCGATGCTGGAATGACCATCAGCCCCGTTCCGACTCTACTCGCGCGCTCGGTTGCCCCCTCTGTCGATGCTGGAATGACCATCAGCCCCGCCCCGACATTGCTGGAACGCTCGATGTCCGAAATTGCACAGTCCAGCACAACCGAAGCTTCTTCCAGTCTTCCGACTCTCCTCTAGGTTATGGCTATTGGGCCGCGACGTGTGGACTTTCTAGACTGGGGATAACGTAAGGCTGGTGCGGATAGGATGTATTTATGAACACGGTTTGGTCTTGTGGACTATGTGCAATGCAAACGTTTCCTGGACACCACGGTCATCTTCAATTCAGAGTTGATGTGATAAACTCGGAGGTTTGAATTGTGTAATCTTCTCTGAATTACGTCGTGTAGAGTCTCGCCCCCTGAGGACTTGTTAGCTTCACCCTGAAAATACGGAATTCGGTTCGCGAACAACGATCATAACCATATTGGCATGCGAATGTGGCCATAGTCCATTAGTTACACGTGTGGTATGAGAACATAGAATTCGACGGAAAAGGCGAATCTTCACGCTTAACGACCATATGGATTGGGCGTCTTCACTACTTGCGTGTCTGACGATCCTGAAAGATCGTACATAAGGTACATAATTAGTATATGAAGAGAAAGAGAATAGAAAATAAATATAGTCCGCGCCCGTCGGTGGCTGAGGATTGACCGCGTAAGAGCGAAGACGCCCTTTTCCAAAGGGTTCAGGGACTGGTATCCCCTGGTAGCCTCCTGAAGGAAGGGAAATCGTGTAAGGGTCCCGTTTGTCTAGTAGCAAACGACACAACATACCCGACTTCGGAACGCTTCAAAAGGATTGACGCTCTCCTCGTATCGTGTCCTGTATTTACTGGTATCGTCTGGTTGATGTTGCCCTCTCCCGCTTGTGGGTATGATGGCGGGCTGTCGCGAGGCGGCCTCTTCGCGGTAAGACTGCATGTACCGCACTTTCTCATACAGTTTGAGATTATCAGCTTGTAGAGACTTGATTTCGGCGCGTAGTTCAGAGATGACTTGGAATTGCTTGCGCAGTTCCTTGACAATACTATCAGATTGTGTGGAATAACTGCATCGAACGTTTGCATACCTCTTCGAGTTCGGCATTACGTTGCCGGAAGCGATCTCGTTGGCTTGTCACTATTGGTAGGATCGACGTGTCTGCTGAGGACGTGAATGGTATGGGACTCGACCGAACGGTCCCGTCCTACGAGTGCGTATCAGCACGACTCCGGAGCAATGGTAGGAGAAACCGTTCACCATTGTCTTCTTGCCCAGATTCAGCCCTGATAATGCGTGCTGCTCATCCAGTTCCTCAAACTTCGCCTTCCCTTTGTCTTTTCCAGTATTCTCCATTTGCAGCAAGTCGATCTCCAACTTCTCATTCAGTTCCCGCTGCTTCTGAAGTTCCGTGTTTGCGTTTTGCAGGTCGTCCTGTGTCGCTTGCAATGATGCTTCGAGCTCTCCGTGAAGATTCTGTGACATATCGACATCGTAAAAGCAGCTTTATAGAGGACATCAATGTTCACTCACTCTAAGCTTGGTGAGTTCTTCCTGGATACGCTTGTTCTTGATAGCAAGCAACGCCTCGAGGGACTTGCCACGCTGCGCGTTGGCTTTCTCCGCGTTGGGATTAGGCAGTCGCACACCGTGCCCATTAGCAGATGTGGCGGTCGCTGGTTCATCGACGTCGTACCCTTCTTCACTCCCCGAGGTTTCCTCGTCAACGTCCTCGAGCCCGGCAAACTCGACGTACTTCATGATCTCAAGCTCGCGTTTGATCTCATCGTAGTCAGAATATTGCTTCAGGCGGGATCGGAGCTGATCGCGTTCGCTGATCTATGTGTCGAAAAGGCCGAAGTGTCATCATGTGCTTAGCGAATGAGCTGCTGGGCCGCCTACCGCTTCGTTCAGAGCTTTCTCGGTGTCTTGGGTTTTCGCCTTTAGCCGTGCCTCCGCATTCTCCGTGCGTTCCTTCTGCATTTCGAGGAGTCGCTGCAGTTGCTCGACCTCCTTTTCCGTTGTGGAGACCTGTTGCTCGAGATCTTTAACCCTGCAAAAACAAACATGAAGATCATCGAAGATCATCTGGAGTTTCATACGGCTGACGTACTTCTCGGAACGCTCTTCCCCGTTTCTCATAGCTTCGATTTCAGCACGGAGGAGCTCCTGTTACGAGACAATGAGGTTCAGGCTGGAGGTAGCTGAGTAACGCCCGCTCACGTTTCGTCGCTCTACAGTGGCAACACGGCTGTTTGCATGCTCCAAATCGGTCACGAGCATGTCAAGCTCAACCAATTTCGTCAGAACCTCTTGATCTATACCCAATGTATAATCGTCAAGGGGGCGTTGCAATTCGTTCAGCCTGCACATACCCTGCTTCTGTCCGTGATCTAGTAATTTGGCTTGGTTCGACTCATTCGATGCGCGAAGGTCACGAAGTTGAGTTTTGACCAAAGAGAGTTGTCGTTGGAGGTCCTGTTCACTGATAAGAAGCTCTCAGTTTGACGCGGAGAGCTACGCCAGGAAAACTCACCGTTGCTCGTAATTCCGCATTTTCTCGTCGTAGGTGGCATTGAGTTCGTTCTGCTTCTGTGCGATTTTTTCCTGGACCATATCCTCCATCTATGCGCACGTACTTGAGATTTGTCATCAGGAACGATTCGCCGATGGACCATACCTTTTGCTCCAGGTGCTGAATCCTTGCCTCGGCCTTCGCTCTGGCAGATTCCGTACTAGAGAAATCAGAGACGCGCTTCTTCAGGTCCGCATTCTCGGTCTTCAATGTTATCAAGTCCGCTTGAAGCTCGGAGTTGATTGCAGCCTGTGCAGCCTGATCCTGTTGGCTGTTGAAGGACGTTAAGCGGTAAGCAGGAGCTTGTTCTACTTACAACTGCGACTTCAAGTAGAGGGTATGGGTCAGGTGCCTCTGCAAGGACTTTGTATACGTTCAAGAATGCTGACTCTGCACTCTTGGCACGTTTGGTGAGAGCGTCAACTTCTTGTTGGTATGCTACAAACCATGCATGACTGTATATTCTGGAGAAGCTATTACGAACGTACATACCCTTCAGTAGGCCCTTGATGGCAGTAGCTTTCTCCTCATCGGGAATCTTCTTGAACTCCTTCGTTCGGTCAGCGAGGTTCTTGCGTCCAACGACACTCTCCTTCTGGTTGTCCACGATCTCGATGCCTTGAACGTCCAATGTCTTCTGCAGTTCAGACAGGTGGATATCTATGGCTATCTCAGCGATGGTCATACAGACGTAGTAAACATGGTGCGCACTCCTCCATGTCGCCAAGGCTCCGGAGAAGTTATGCTCTGCCGCCATGTTACTTCGAGCCCGGTAGAATTCTGCGACCAAGTTTCTTCTGGTATATCCTCTCGTTTATAGCTCAAATTCTGCGTATCGTGATGTCGTTTAAATGCACGGCGCGTATGTCAGTTATCCCAGCTCAAAGTCCTGCAGGGTTACAACAGCATGCAAACGCAACGTCACTGCAGAACTGCCCCTGCGCGTCGGGGTGACGCACGTGGCATTGCGCACCAAAATAGGGGCTTTCCAGGGCGGAAATCGATTCGGATTTATTGGACTGTGTACCGTCTGAGATATTTATTGCTTGTGTGCCCTCTACATACGCTGCTAGCTTCACTTTGAGATTCGTCAGTATGCCTGGACGGCAACTAATTGTTTTCGATTTCGACTGGTCGCTCGCCGATCAGGATACGGACCGATGGGTTATGGAGGTGCTGGCTCCGGATCTCAGGCGCAAGATGAAGACAGACAAAGACGTCGTGCAATGGACTGATCTGGTGTGAGTTCGTGTGTTCGTCCTTGATCTTTCGCGTTCAGCTGCATCTGGGGAAAGCGGGAACCTTGGTGCACGAGCTGGAAGACGCTGGCGACGACATATCAAGCATGTTACTTTGGATCGTTGCATACAAGCGAGGAGATGGTCAACGCATCGCTGTATACGATCAGATCGACCCCGAATACATAACGAGTATTCAATTGCAGTAGCTGACCCATATCTCCGTACGCAGGGCACGCTCGTGCCGTGACCTCCATGGAAGGGGGGTCAAGCGCGCCGAGATCGAGCATACCCTTGAAATCATGCCATTTGTAAGCCTGCCTATCTGATTCCTGCGGACCTCGGTGTAATATTCTAGAACGTCTAGCATCCAGCCATGGTTCGCGGCGTGAACAAGCTCAAGGTGTCGCAGGACCCCAAGACTACGTTTTTCTGTCTCAGCAATGCTAATGAGGTATTCATCAAAACGATACTCAAGGTACACGTCATTTTCTCGACGGGATCCTGAACGAAAGGCGGAACGAACTGGCTAATTATGCCCTACACTTCTCGGCGGCTTTCTCAAACGATGCAGTCGAAAGGTCTTGAAACGCTCTTTGACGAAATAGTTACCAACCCTGCCCATTGGGAAGACGGTGAGCCGTCGTCCCCGTCCCGAATGAAGTTTCATGGTCATCGTGCCGTCCGCTGAAACGCTTTGCGTGCTTCTCTCTCGTCACTTATAGAACTTCTCGCCATCCGCCGGCGTGTATCCCCGGACGGTCCCCAACACTCATGCAAAGTAGGGTGCAGCCCAAACATGTGTAAAGGTTCGTGAGCGGTATCCGTTGTGCGCGCCGACGCAAAAAAAAATCGACGGCTGAAACATCCTGCAATCACGGCGCCCTTCAGGCGAGGAACTCACAGCCTTCCTCGAGCGCCATCAGCCGGGTTTCGACCGCATAATCTACGTCGGCGACGGCGGGAACGACTTTTGTCCTGCGCTCCGTCTGCGCGCCCAAGATCTATTGTTGTGCCGACGCTACCGCGGCCTCGAGCAGCGCATCGCGAAGGAAAACAAGAAGATCGAGGAGGCGCTCGCAGCTGGTGAGACGCGCAGCGATGTGGAGATGGAAGGTTTAAAGTTGAAGTGTGGCGTGAAATATTGGGCGGGCGCGTGGGAGGTGGAGGAGATTTTGGGCGAGCTCGCAGTTCCAATTCAATGAAGATGTATCTATGCGAGTAATGATCTAGTTAAGAAGAATATCCAGAAATCAACTTGATGATCAGGCAGACTGTGCTAGATACAACCGGTAGAGAGAGAGACTTAAGGACAATTTAGCATCTCTGATATCGGAAGAGACCACGGTACACGCGACCCCTAGCTAGTACGGGCTCGTTAGATCGTTACCCCTGTGATCGCGTTGCGCGTGGTTGCAGATAATCCCGAATGTAGAGCCACGATCGAAGACATTAATCAAGCCTCACACTCTCGTGAGGATGAAATCACGGACTTCAGAGTGGTTCTAGAGAGTCGGAAGCCAAGAAGCGATAGAGGAAGACCAGGAGAGGGTCCGGTCATCTCGCGCATCGAGAGCTAAGTGAGAACCGGCTCGGATGTGGGGCTTTGACCCTGCTGCTCTCGTAGGCAAGATCGACTACGTCCGATCTAAGCGAGGGTACGCCAGAGGGTTCGCATTAGAGTGTATCTGCAGGTGGTAAAAGTTCTCCGCAGTGGTCAAAGATGTCCGCGGGGAGCCCCGCCAAAAAATGCAGTGCATGGTAAAAGTTCCACCCCACTTCGCCGTGCTGCAGATACACTCTATTCATCCGTGTTCACCACCGACGGAGACGGAGCTAGATCGTGGCCGCGCCTATATGGGCCGCATGTCTAGCAGCTGATTTCACGGGTATCCGTTGCTTAGATAGCGCAGATGCGGGGAGGCGCGAGAACTAATCGAACAAGTGCCGAGTCCTTTATACGGGCTCCATCTCCCCAGTGCCGGTCACTGGACCCAGGCCCTAGTCCATCGACGGAGAGAATCCGTGAGGCATCGTGGAAAATGACTATGCTCGCCATAGATCGCAGCACAACGCGAGTACTGTATCGGTGGAAAATGACCCACTGCATCGCGAATAGATGAGAGTGCCTGTTATTGGAGGAAGCCAAACAGGTATTTGCGAGGATTGTCCTCAGTGTAAGGCGCCCCGCCAATGACAAACATGATATCGAGTTAAGCTAGGATCGCATGTCCCCAGACTGGCGCCGTCGAAGGCGACTGTATGCGTTTCCTGGTAGCTGTTAACCGCTCATACGCAAGCGGAGATAGACGTCCATAGCGAATAAGGAGCAGCTCGGCGGCAGCGCGGCGCGTGATGCCAGGTGATTGCCAGGACGGCGCCGGGCGGAGCAGAGGGAGCCATGTCGGCTGCGCGTCGTTGCTCTCAGCCTTCACGTCGACGACGGCCAGTGAGACCCGGGCCGTTTGTATGCGGGGGTAGATAACAATCAAGCATAGAAGGACGACTGATAGTCAGCATAAGAAATAGACTCGGACATCTCAGAACGTTCGGAGGGTCGGCCGGGAGGTTAAGATGGTGACGGGATCATGCGCATCATAGGCGCGGTTTCTATTGCGCAGGGGCTTGCGCTGGCAGCTCCGTCATATATACCTCAGCCAGGGACGTCAACATCGTCCAAGACGTCTTATCACCAACGTCCACGACGACAAAGCGCGGGACATAGTCGGCTGTAGACTGCTCGCCATTGGTTGCGGCCTGAGAGCGGCCCGCGGGCTATACATTACGACACGACCATTGGCAGCCCGAATCATTGCCGCCAGGACCGACGCACTGAACATATTTACCGGCCGCACCTCTTTGCCATACCCGCGCTCATGCCTGCCCCCATCTACCCCGCCCCGCCCGCGTCGTCGTCGTCTTCTTCGACCTCTGATCAAATGGCGACGCTCACAAAAACCTTCAAAAAGGTTCCCAGCGGAGGTGGGCTACCCAAGCGCAAGCGCACGGCCTCGTTCGACGCGGGAAGCGAAAGTCCAGATTCGTCTGCGCGCGAGGTGCAGCGGAAACCTTCAAGAGACGGACCGAAGAAGAAGAAGGCGAATCGCGCCTGCTTTCACTGCCAAAAATCGCATCTCACCTGCGATGACTGTGCGTCATTTATCACTCCCGCGCCTATCTATATTACATATCTCTGACACAAACACTCAGCGCGCCCTTGTCAGCGCTGTATCAAGCGCGGTATCGCCGACAACTGCACAGAGGGTCACCGAAAGAAGGCCAAGTACCTCCTGGACGACGAGGAACTAGGTACGTCATCGGACAGGCGCATATACTCAACTTTTCTCACCGATATTCAGCCGAACTGAAGAACAAGAACAATAGCCATTCAGCGAAAACCGTGACGCCAACGCCGGTGCCGCCACCACCGACAACGACCCAAGCTCCGACGTACGATACAGCGCCATTACCGACGTGTAAGTGGCCCGACGCGCGTTAGAAAATCTAAGATAAATTTGACTGACTTCTTCATTAGCGGAACCCTTCCTCCCTAATGACCCATTATTCAACGTTTCCTTCGATCCCAACTTCCCATTCGGATCCGAGGCCGCCAACCTCGAGTATTCCATTCTCTCCGCCATCCTTGGCGGCCCTAGTCCCCCAGAAGTCGACCTCGAGCAGGCACTCCGAGACGAGCTCGCCTTGACCGAGCTTCACGCCAACAACGATGCAGAAGGTCTCGATACCCGTGGACACGAAGGCTCGCCCGAACCGTATATGCAGACGCTCATGGAGCCGTCCTGGCCTGTCAGCTCGCCATTAGCGAGTACTCTTCCACTTGCTGCTTTGGGCGACTTCCCCTCCGCGTATCGCAATCGCACATATGGAAGCTCGCAGCTCTCGGTTGCCCCTGGGCAGACCACCGGTGACGCCGATGGCCTCGCCGACGACTTCATCACGCTGCAATACTCGCCACAACAAGAGCGCGAGCAGCACCAGTCCCTCCTCTCGACGTCTCCGCGGTTGGGCTCCGCCCGGTTGTTCTCAGATAGCGTCGATTCGGGCGAATTTGGGGCGGACAAGGCGGTCAAGTCGAGTGTGTACGAGAAGGTCACGGCACCGTATGACTACACGGAGGGGTATCACGCGCTTATGAAGCATCTCTCGAGTCGGTGCGTTGCGTCTATACGATGCGGCGGGGATGCGGTGCTCGTGACAGCGTGTCTCTGTCCCGCTATATGCAGCTTGGGATGTAACGAGCTGATGCTCCGGTTGCTTCCTTGGGTCCCACCTTCCATGACCGCATGATGGTCTGCCGACACCATTCATCGGATGTTACCCTTCCCATCCGGGCTCGGACTGATATAGATTCGAGAAGAATGATATACTGCGTATCGTCCGCGCATTGGCAATCTTTCGTCCTTCCTTGATTGCGTTGCAATTGCCGTTATCAGAGGAGGATGAGGTGTTCGTGGAAAAATGTTTCCAGCGGTCATTGCTTGTGGGTACCTTGCGTCTTACGTGGATCGATACACGCTTATTTCGTCTTTTAGGAGTTGAACAAGCTCATCTCGTTCAGTGGGACGCCAACCGTGGCGTGGCGACGAACGGGCGAGATATGTTTGGTCGGCGCCGAGTTCAGCACACTAACAGAGTGGTCGCGTGAATCGCTGCTGGGCCAGCGAAAGTACATCTGGGAGGTGGGTCAATGCTCTCACCGTCACCTCCGTCGTAACCTGAGGCACGGTCTCAGCTCTTCGAAAATCAATCCGTGGTCGAGTACTGGGAAAATTTTGCCTCGCACGCTTTCGAAAACACGACACAATCTGTCTATGCTCACTGCATATTACTCAAGCCGTCCGGCACGCCGGTGCCTTGCACCTTCTGCTTCTCGATACGTAGAGACATGTTTGACTTGCCGAGTCTCGTCATCGGTATGATCCGTCTTCGTTTTTGTGCTAGGCAGTCTCGCTGATGCCTTGTAATCCTTCAGGACAATGGTTGCCGTTGTTATAGCAGTAATCTTGTCGGCGTTGGACACCGGATGTTGTTCTATACTTATTTATGACCTCGGTCTAGGTAGTTTCATCCTTAGACGTATCTCATCGCTTGATTGCTCTCGCTTCTTGTTCTCAGCATCGCTACTTTTCCGGCATCTTATTCTATCGCATCCTTATACTTGCGAACTACGCTTATTCTCTCCGTCAAAAAACGTTAGCCTCGGGTTGTTCACGCAAACCGAGCGGTACTTTTCCTGTCCAGATGTTGCATTACTATGGCCCTCATCCTATCGTTCTAGCTTTTGTACGAAACCCAACTACATAGCCCATCATCCTAAGTATGGCAATCGAGAAGGAAGTCGCCCTCTGTGTTCGACGCGTTCACGCGTGCTACCGCGGCAGAAAGACGAATATGGGCATGGAATGATTTTCACGCCGACTGGCTTCTCTTCGTCTCGAATCGTTGATCGGCAAGGACGAGTGTGAGTATCTGATGCAGATCCACGCATTGCCTGATCTCATGGTCCTTGTTCATTGCTCAAATCCTCCGCCGATGGTTAGTCGGCATACTACTGGTGTTCGGCAGCTGAAACCCACTCGGCAGATTTTTTTGCGGTCCCACATGGTCGAATTCCCAGATCGACATGGGCATCCGGCTCTCGGCCTGCATACGTACCTGCCACGCCCCGAAATCGGTCATCAACCACTGGTAAGCTCAATCATGGCATCATCCCCAAACGTCATCAATATCTCGGGTTGAGGCTTCAAGCTTCAAGCGCAAGTCGCTATAAATTTTAATCATAAATGCTCCTCATACCACGTTCACGTTATGGTCCGCGGCCCTTGATTGAAGTAAAAATGCAATCAACAGTTTGCTTGTTGGATGGCGTGCGCTGCTCCCATGCACGCCGCTGCCAGCATACCTTGATTGTTCCGTGGCTTTACATACCAGCGTGGCGGGCTGTGGGACGAGTTCATATCCAAGCGGGCCTCACGGCTGACATGAGTGGCAGCGCCACGCTGTCCCTCTGGAATCGATCTCGTGGAGTTGCGCAGCTGTGCCCGAAGAAACGGAGGAACGGCAATCAAGGTTGGGCACGACCGATGGGCGTTTTTCCCACTGATGCAACCCGTCCGGCTTTCTAAGAGCAAATTCAGAGCTTCTGAACATGCTATCTGGCGTGGCAGTACTTGCGTTCGGACGGAGTTGGCAATGTGACGTTTAGCAGAGACACGAGAACTCATCGCGAGCGAGTATGTACATCGTGGCTTCCATCTTGATTGACAACGTTGCGCCAGCAGGACCGGCGGCGGAGAGCGCGCTCGAGGCATCGGGTGAAGACTGCGAGCGAACGATCGGACCGCGTTGGCTTCGCCGGCGTGCACCACGGGAGCTCCTACAGGCAATAACTTATCATGCGTGTACGGCATGGACTCGCACCATTTGGCACTGACACGACCTGTTTCGTGCTTATTTTTAAATAAACGATGATTGGGTTCGGACGCTCTGTTCAAGGCAGGTCGTCGCGATACATATGTATTGAGCGAAGTTCCAGTGCGATGATATCCCCGGCATCCGTCATCGTCGTAAGCGCATACTCCAAAGCATCCCGTGAGCTCCGCGTAAGTACTGGGCGGAGCATGGGCGATAAACCGGTTCCATCAGACGAGGAAGTTCAATCGGACGAAGGGCACACTTGGCGCAGACGGTCACGGTGCCTCACCGCCGCCGACCCCCCGATCCAGACTCCACGTTTGACGTTCCTTTTTCGACGGAGCAATGGTTGCTGTATACGGCATCGCCATCACACGCGCCTGAACCTGCCCGAGTACGTTCGAATGCATTGACCGCAGCGGATATATATGTACGCATATGGAACGTCCGTTTCAATGTCCGAATACCCCTATCGGACCGACATGTGCAGAGAGCAACACTCAGTACTCACTCTGCACACTGTGTCTCCGAGCTTTAAAGTTTATCGCCATCCCTCCCGACACTGCCGCGCAACGACAATTCCTGTGACGCCGTCCTCGAGGATTGTACAGCCAGAAACGCGGTCTCGCCGAGCTTTCGCACTTGGCATTAGCGCTTATCACAACACCGCCACGGGACATCGATGGTGGTGCGACTAGCCCCAAGGGGCTTGGGCCTGTGGCTGGGACGTCGATATCGCGTACAATACGACGCTCTAACCTGTCTGAGAACGGCCGGCCGGCGCGCAGCATCACTGACGCCTGCTCGCTGATCTGCGAACTGCGACGCCAGCGCGAGTGATCGCCGTGGATGGGGCACGTCTACGCGCCGCAGCGGGGGGTGATAGCTCTCTCCATGGATATTGTCTCCCGCAGCGGGGAGGAGAGAGAAACGGCGCTGGCAGGTCGACGACCACGTCTTCGTCGGAGGAATGACGATGGAGAGGGGGGGTCGCAAAGCATTAATGCACTGCATTCGGTGCGCGTTGAATCACCGGCGGGCTTCGATCCGGCACGTCCTTGCACTGGGCTGTCAGAACCTGGGTTACGGCGGGAGCTTTTCCGGTGGCTGTTCCACGCCTGCAGCGTCGTGAACAGATCGAGGAATGGAGAAAATGAGATCGGTCCATAACCTGACATATTATACTCGCCAAGGGTAAGACAGGAGAGTATTAATTGTACAACGTAGCACATCGGGGCCGGAACTCCGCCGGTAGGAGCACACAGAGTCAATCGGGATTGAGACCAATAAAGAAATAGAAACGAAAGAAGCGGCGACCGCGCGGTGCGCTCCGGTTGGGCCGACGACGATTACGATGTCCCGCGCGAGCTGGATATGGGCGGAAGGAGCCCGTTAGCGGTCTCCTGGTCGGCAGCCGTATTGCTTCGCTGCTCCCATTGCTCTTGACCCTCCCCGTTCGGGCCTGGCGCGCCGGTGCCACCGGCAACCGCGAAGCGTCCATATGCGGACGCGGTGGGATCGCTGGGAGCGGAAGGCGTCGTTTTGCGCAGGGCGCGTCCGCTCGGGGGAGCGGGCGACGCCGCCTCCACCGTCGCTGGCGCGGGCGGCATGTTCTGCTGAGATTGCATCGCGGCGTGCTGAGCACGGCAGTCTGCGCCTCCTTCAGATCGCACTGAAAAAAGAAAACCCGAGGTCAGAGATTGAATGGGGCTCCAGATAGGGTTAATCGCGGGAGGGGCGGTACTCACAGTGGCGCTATTAGCGTTGCAGTGGCGTTTTCGAGAAGATGAAGTCAAGTCAGGAATGGACGTCCGAAATCTGATAGAACAGAAGAACGGAGGGGGCGACTCACGTTCAGAGCGTCCAAACGACTGAACGTCTTGCCACAGCCATGACACACGTTTTGGGTCGTGCGCTGATAATGCAACGCCTGGTGCCGTCTGGGAACGGAAAGAAGGAAGACGTGAGAATCGACGAACTGAGAATACCGTGGCGGTCATGCGGTGCTCACTTGCAATCGTGCTGCCGGGCGAATCCCTTTCCGCAGCCGGGCCACTCGCAGACGTAAGGGCGTTCCTCGGTATGCGAGCGTAGATGACCTGGCGGGCCTCGTAGTCAGCATCGGCTCGCGGTTTCGGCGGATAAAGGATAGAGAGATAACGTTGCGGAACGCCCCACATCGAAACCGTTGGAGGTGAAGAGAAGGAAGACCGGCAATGGAGAGATCCGAAGAAGACGGGAAATATCGTACACACCTCTGAGATTGAAACGCCTGGTGAAGGTACTGCCACATCCAGGGACGGGGCAGACAAAGTTGGCCTCGTTCCGCCTGCGGCTCGCGCTGGCGGCCTGGGTGGCCGAGGTCGTGACCTGCTGCTTTTCGACCTGGAGTATGGGCGGCAGGCGGGGGACGGCGCTGGTGTTGATGTAGTGCGTCCCGATGGCGGAGGGGCTGCCTGGCACCTCGGCGCCATCCGGCGGCGGCTGGGTGCCGTCCCACGCGGGCGAGGCCCCGTTGGCGCTGGCGTTGGCGAACGCGATGGCAGCCGCGGCGACGGCGGCAGCGTCGGGGGACGCGACGGCGAGGGATCGCGCGGGATCGTTGGGATCGGCGGGGACGTAGCCCGCGGCCTGGAGGCCGTAGAAGACGTTGGGGGCGGTCGCGCGGCTGCCGACGGCGGGGGCGCCACGGGGTTTGAGACGAGGACCAGGGGTCGGGGCGGGCCCTGGGCGCGGCTGGTCGTTGCTGGGGGTGGCGGTGAGGGCGGGGGGTGGCGCGGCCGGGTAGGGGTCGCCCTGTGGGCCGTCGTCGCGGGAGCGCGGGCGGGTGATCTCGGGGTGGGCGGACATGGTGGCGAGGAGGTCGAGGGAGGTGGAGGTGGTGAGGGCGGGGTCGACCGGCTGGTCCACGGAGGACATGGTTGGAGGAGAAAAGGAGGCGGCGTGCGTGACTTATGGGCGCGACGTGCACCGGGGAACACGGCTGCTCAGACTGATCCCTTCGGAAGGCTGTGTCAGCCCTTTGCTGTGCAGGAAGCCTAAAACCAGCGTGGTCCCACTGGCGCTGCCACCGGCCCAGCTTCTGATCTAATAACACGCCCGTATCCTGTACCGTTACGCTACCCAGACGCAAAAATGTGCGAGTCCAACAGCCGCCGCCGCCTCATCAGTTCCACCTCCGATATCGTCTGCCCGGTCTTCCCGGCCGTCGCAGCGTTCCCCTCGCCCAATCTGGCCACGTGCGCCCCGTGCTGCCCACCCTTGCCGCTTTCGGGCGTCCCCAGCTCGCCGGATGGAGACGTCCGGTCGCTGCTCAGCGTCTCGTCCGAGTCGCGCGCGGATCGTCCGAACGTGCTGCGCGTCGCTACCGCCGTCTCGTCCGAGCCCGCGAACGAAGGTCGCGCGTTGCGCTTGGGCACCAGCATGATAGGATCGTCCGCCTCGCTCTCCGTCACCTCCGATTCCGACGTCTGCCGCTTCGAGCTCCGTGGCGCATCGCGTTCGCCCCTCGGCGACCGACGACGTCCCGCCCCCACGTCCGCAGCACCCCTTGAGAGCATCGCGGCGTCCGCACCGAGGGCCGCCGCACTATCGCCCCGAGCCCCGAACACGTCGTCGATCCAATCCGCGATATCGTCGATGACCAGCCGCGCCTCCTTCAGCAACATCGGCATCTGCAGATACCCATGGCTCCAATCCGAATATATCTGCATCTGCACCCAGTCTTCCTCGCTTTCCTCCTTCAGCCGCTCGAGCTCACGCGCCTTCTGCCGCAAAGAGTCGTCAGACCCCGGCGATGCCGACGCGCTCATGCGCAGCGCCTCGCCGAACTTGGCGCTCTGGCCGGCCACGGCGAGCTCCAGTTCCCGCTTCCGCGCGCGCTTCGCTTCCCGAACGCGGCCAGCGAATATGACGGTGTCGTCAACAAAAGGATCTTTCTCCCCGCACTGCATCAGCAGCGGAGGGAACTGCGCCAGGAGATTGCTGTGCAAAGTTATTGAAGATCAGCCGAGCTGCACGACCACCCAGTCAAAATGCAGCCACTGTTCTCACCGTGGGGTCAAGATAGGGGAGATGTGATAATCAGTCGCGAAGTCCGGGTTGCGGTAAGGTCCAATGTACAACAGCGCCATCGCACGCATCTGTGGGCGCGGACGCAGGCGTCCGAAAGAGGCATGTTCAGTCTCGCTCTTCTCGCGCGTGTGATGTGATGGAAGATCCCCGACGCACCATACTGGGCGTGATGATTCTATCTTGGAAGTAGCCTGTGCGACTCGTCATGGTCATCCTTGTCCCTAAAGGCTCGCCAGCGCTGGGCACCTCATTGTTCGGCGCGCGTGGCGTCTCCCTTTGCTGCTGCTCCAACGTGGACTGGCTGAGGGGCAAGAACCGAACCCTATCCGCGACCGGCTCCTCGGCGGTTTGGGTTAGCGTTCGAGAAGATCCGGACCTAGACGCGGGCTCGTCTTCAGAGTCTGCGAGGGTACCCCGCTCCTGTTCTCCCGTTTCGCGTCTGCGGATCTCCGGCCGCGTCTTCGTGCGCCGGACGCGCACAGGAGAGACCTCAGTCGACGTGGTGCCGAACGGATGTCTGATAGTCTCTCGCCAGCTCCGCCGCCGTCTGATCTTGCGCGGTCCGACCATCGACAGCGGGCTGGCGTGGCTGAGGTGGTCTTTCGACTGGGCTAAGCCTCGCAGATTAGCAGAGGACTGTTCTGACCGCAGCACGCGGAGATTGTCAGGGGACATCCAGGACGTGAAATTGAAGTCCAGCGCCGCATAATTCAGCACGATCGCGAGAGGATGCGGCACTGCCGCTTGCGTCTCGAGTATCTTGATCATGACATTAACAGTCATCGTTGCACCGCTATAGCACAAGTCAGTCGACGAAACGATCCAGGGCGGCCTCGATAAGAATACTAACGCAGAATCGCCGGACATGACGATGTGGAGCCTCCTACCGGACATGCCTATCAGCTTTCCATTGGAGGCTGCGAGGACACGGTAGGCATCGAAAGCCTCTTCTATCGCCCATGGATACGGATCTATTGATAGCAAGTAAGCATGAATCGACGCACTCAAACAGGCAGGTTCTTACATTCCGGTGCCTTGCCGTAATCAATAGATAACACAGGTTTGCCCGTGCGTACGGCCCACATGCGCAGCCTTTCCTCATGATGAAGGGGGTTCATGGCGATGAAGCCGCCTCCAGGGAAGTCAAGTATAAGGTCCGTCGAACGGGCAAGCTGGTGTTCTGGTGCGGCGAAGAACAACCAGGCGGTGATGGGCCGCTGGTAGGCCGAGTCCTTAGGCCGAGGCAGAAGTATCTTTCTTCGGATGGTAACAGGTGGGTAGTATGTGAACGCCCGCAACTGCGAATGGAGAGATCAGGCTCATGTCCGTGAATGATGGTGGGCTACGCACAATGGGGTTCCCGGTCTTCTCCCAAGTTGTGCGGAGCATTTCTACAGTGGGTACAGCTCGGAATCGTCGGAGCTAGGTCCAGGTCAGATGAAACCTCTTCTCGAAACGAGACGAGCGATGCCCTTGCCTTTTCGTCTGCTTCCTGAGCATATATGATATAATACACCGAGAATAAAACGGAGCAGAGATCACGAAACCATTTAGGCCTAATGTTCATGGCGGTCGCAAAGCCCGCATCTAATCCTGTGACAATCCATGTTGCTCTATAATATGATGGGGAATACTGAATCCCAAGTCAGACGAACGTGTCAACGCCGGAAAGTCGATGAGACATGGCGTACCAAATTTGCAAGCGGTTCGGGCGCTGAACCATGGTCAGATACAATCTGGATTAATACCGATACAACTCACATCCGAGGCCGAGTATCTTGTCGAGATTGCGAATAGCATATACAGCTGTGAGTGTGCTAACGATGATTTGCCAGGGAGTGAATCGCTCTAAGGCAACATGTGAGTTGAAATTCGCAATTTAGACATCGGCGGCGTACGAAGAGTCCTATTCAATCTCCTTAACCACAGAACCCGCGGCCCTCCGGGGTTCCCATATGTGATTCTCCATACCCAAAAGAAGATGACGAAAAAGACCTGTTCGAGTTGCACGCCGGTTCAGAACGATCCCACCGGACAAAACACGGAGCATCGTACTTGTGTGCGCTTCCAGGAGAGGCTCGGGCGTCCTAACAGGTGGTCAATCATGGCGGGTTAAACACGAGCTGCATTCGCGCAGAGGAGATCATAACCAAAGGGGTGGCTTGTCGCATGTGATTACGCTGATGATGCATGCTGGATCTTAACGTGGCTGTGCAATCGTGGCGGAGCACTGGACGCGCGATAACGGGCGAATCGCGGCCGTCGCGTTCCGTTGAGTCACGGCAATCGTGCTGAGCTCGACATAATAACTGCCAGCAAAGCGCGCCGATCTTATTTACGACCGTGCATCAGCAGCAATGGCGGAAAGAATCGCACTCGAGAACTTCTTACAATCGTTCGGTACTGCAATAGGTGTGAGCGCTACAGCTCCTATCCGATGAATGGTCCGACCGACCCCGAAACATAGAGCTGTCGAGTGTTGCGCTGGGAGGACGGGTGACATCCCTTTCAGACGAGTTCTTCGCGGAGGCTTTTCATCTATTACTGGTCGAGGTGAGCATCAGCGTTCTCCGTCAACTGCATCCGCTTACATTGAACCTTCTTTGCATGAAGCCCGCACCTAGCCTAAAAGGTCAGTTCGGCCCCAAGGGTGCTCTGTACAGCGGCTGGGAAACACGCAGGCATAACCCGAACTATGATTGGTATGCTCGATCGCGGTATCATCTGCCGTATTCACCTCACTAAATCCCTCTTCTCAGGTGCGTCGTCAAGCTGGGAACGACAGGAACAATCTTCGGCTTCGATGTTGACACGACACACTTCAATGGTCAGGGTCAAATACCGTTCGTCTGACGGAACGAAGCCGTGACAACTCCATACGCAGGTAACGAAGCCCCAGAGGTCTCCATACAGGCCTTGCATTCCGTCGACGGACGTGACCCAGTCGAGAACGATTCTCGCGTTAGTTCATCTCCACTCCGTTCGTGGAATATCTAGCTCAACGTCGTCAAGTGGATAGAAATTCTCCCGAAAGTGAGCTTAGGACCGTCGTCAAGACACCTATTCAAAATCCCGGAGACGCAACCTTATAATTATGTCAAATTGAACATGTATCCCGACGGTGGAATTGTGCGTATAGCAACGATTGCGATCCTCTATTGCGATTGCAACTGATTCATTCCACCATAGGCACGTTTCCGCGTCTATGGTTCGGTTTCCCCCGTGTTTCCAGCAGACGAATCCGCTTCTTGCGACCTTGCCCATGTCTTTGCAGGAGGAAAAGTTGTGTTCACATCCGATCAGCATTTCGGAGTCGGATCCAATCTGATCATCCCAGGACGCGGTATGGCATGTCAGGATTTACGCATCAGCATCCACTGACATATTCGTAGGCAAAGATATGGGCGATGGCTGGGAGACGAAGCGTAGTAGGCAAAAAGGCCATAAAGACTGGGTCATCATTCAGCTGCAAGTCCGGATTTTTGCGTCCATATGTGCCTTGCTGATATCAATCCAAGTGGCGCGCCATGCTACCTCGAGCAAGCCGAGATTGACACGGCTCACTTCAAGGGCAATTTCCCCGAGAGCTGCGAGCTTCATGCGACCATTAGCTCCGATACGGTTCCGGCCGTACCTGAGGATGAATGGATATCTATCCTGCCTCGAAGCAAGCTTGGCCCTCATAGGCAGCATTATTTCCAGCTGGAAAATGTCGCCGACCGTGCATTCACCCATGTACGACTGACCATCCATCCTGACGGCGGAGTCAAGCGGGTGCGCATAATCGGAAAGCGGGCCGCGGGTAAGCAAGGTCTTGAAACCAGCGTCGAGTCGACAGCCGCCGTAGCCGACGCGGCAGGAGGCGAAGCAGACTCGACTGGTGCTACTACGACCTCCAGCAAACGCGGTCCAGTGATCCCAGCGCTCCCGCTTACGTTCGAGGCCTTCGCGCCTTTTGGGAAGGTCGTGCAGGCATGGGACGACCCCCACGCTGCGCCGCGAGGCATCAAGCTCACCCCCGCCAACCAAGGAACTGCCACCAAATTTCACAAGCTCTCACTCCTGGAGCAGTCGTACCCGGCGAACGCGGGCGCCACATCCGGCCTTTCGGTCTACCGCTGCGCGCCCATCGACGCGCAGCAAGGCGGAGAATGGCCCGTCCGTGTTCTCGAGCGGCACCCGTACACCAACCAGGCGTTCGTCCCCATGGGTAGTGCCGCGTCTTCTTCCGGTTACGGCGCCGAGGACGCGCTGAAGGTACCCGGCTCGGCTTATCTGGTCATTGTCGCGAAGAACGGCTCGGATGACAAACCGGACCTGACGACCATGCGTGCCTTCATCGCGAACGCCGGTCAGGGCATCGTATACGACACAGGAATCTGGCGTTAGTCGTTATCCCATCTTCTCTGCATGCGCGTAGAAGCTGATCCGCGAATAATAATAAATTTTCATAGATCACCCAATGGCTGTCCTGGATCGTACGATGGACTTCACATGCGTCGAGACTCAAATCGGCAACGGGGATATCGCCGACTGTGAGATCGTAGAACTGGATGGGTCGCAAGGATACCACACGGTTTCCATCCCCGTCCTGCAATAGTTCCTGGGCTTTGTTGCAGCCGTGATGCATTCACAGAAAATAGAGAGAAGAGCAGAGAAATGATATTGGACAGTACAGTGACAAAGCTGTGTAGTCGACGAAAGGGATGCCGCACCAGGCTCTGAGTTTACAAAAGAAAACAAGCTTCCAGCTGGGCAATCATGTACAGTCCGAAAGTATGATCTACTCATATTGGATGCACGTTGGACAAGAGGTGTGTGTGTGTCAGAGGAGAATGAAGTGACATTGACATACAGGATGTTGGATGGGTGGATGCAAGGGAGTGACAAAAAATATTCGTCGTTGGACAGATCGGTCGAACTTGGATGGCAGGATGATATGGGGTGCAAAGCAAGATGCGCTCCCTTTCATCGAGGCCAGATGTCCATGCCACTGGTTCTCCGAGCATCCTTCATCATCCCCTGCTGTTGAGCAGGCGCCGGTTGTCCACCAGGAGGAACACCGGCCCCGTAGAATCCAGGCATGACGGATTGCGGTGGAGGCGCCACGCCCCTACCAGCCTGGCTCGGGCCCGCGCCCCCGGCAGCGCTGTATGCCGACTGGTACTGGTCGGGCTGCAGGGGTACGTACACGCTACCGATCTCGTTCCTTCTGTCGATAGAATCGAAGGAGGCTGCCGCCTGTGGTTGCTGCCCATAGGCACTAGCGTATCGGTTGCCGGTCGTCGTCGCCCCACTGTTGTACGCCTGAGGCGGGGCTGCGATTGGAGCGGAGCTGCCCGACGCGCCGCCGTACATGCTCTGCCCATCGCCCCTCGCGGCCGAGCGGACGTTGGACATGACCGCGTCGCGCCGCTGGTTGTGGTCATCGTCAATGACGATCGGAGGCGCGTGGTACGTGTGCGCGAGCTTCGACGTTGGCGGCGGGTAACGTCCGCCGGCATGATGCTGGTGCTGCGGCCAGTTGGTCATTCCTGACGCCGCAACAAGCTCCGCCTGTTGGTGTAGGTACTGTAGTTCAGGATACGGCTGCGCCGCCGCGGCCTTGCCCGATTGCCGCCGCTCCCACTCGCGGTAGGCGTCGTCCCCGCGGTTCATCACCGGCGTCAGGGCGTTGCGGCCACTGATCACATCGTGGTTCATGTGCTGCAGGCGCGCGAGCGCCGGAGGGATGTTGTCGATCTGATTGATCGTGTTAGAACGCGTGCGCGTGTTTGGGTAGTACGAGCTCGCGGGCGGGTTCGGCCGCAGGTTCGAGGCGGGCTGCAAGCCGCCCGCCGTTGCGTAGCTCGAGTGCTGCGGGATGGACGTATTCACCTGAAGCTGCCCGTGCGAGCTCTGGTGGTGGAGTGGCCGTTGTCCGCCGCCAAGCGGCTGCTGCTGCGAGGCCGGCGTATACTGCGCCTGCGATCCATATGAGGCTCCGTAGTCGCCTTGTCCGTAGCCCGTTTGCGGCCCAGCGGACGCGTTTGTGGAGCTCGGAGGTGATATATAAGGATTGCGGACGACGTTGTTGGCAGCTTGCTGTGCCTGCGCGGCTTGCGCAGTGTGCACTTGATGTTGTCGGAGGCGTTCGTTGTACGATGCTGCGTCCGTATATGGTTGCGCACCCTTTGGCTGCGACGGAACGAGGCCGCCATACGGCCGTTTTGGATCGGGTCCTGCGCTGGGCGCAGGTGTTGGCATCTGCGGATCGGGCGCTTGCGCTTGCATGGGCTGCGATGAGGAGAATGTTGAGCAAGGTCCGCACGCGACGGCGCCACGGACGACACTCACCGTCCATGGCTTCGTCCACTTCTCTCCCGTAATGAACGGATGCAACCTCGCCTGTTGCGGCGACCATCGTTTGATGGGATCCATATTCAACAGACCTTGGCAAAAGTCAATGAAAGATGCTCGGCTATTCAACTCTGCATGGTTGTCAGTTGCGACCCGCGAATGTAAGGAAGAGCCCTGCGCACCTTTCTCGGTTTCATGCTCGGCTCTGGACGACTTGAATGCAGGCATCGGAGCGCTGTTTATGATATCGGGCAATTTCGTATGCTTGAAGTATTTCTTCGCGGGCTGTTCGTTCGTATTATGTTCCCGCGAATATTGCTCAAGGCTCTTCAACTTCCACTTCTTTTGTCCGTAATGGTCGACGTAAGAGTCGAAGAATTGATTCGTTTGTTTGCCCGCCGCCAGCATGTGGTCCGGCGGGTTGCTGGGTCATGTGTCGTCAGTACTCGGAGCGTAGGATGAATGTCTCCAGTCGGCGGAACGTACCCGAGCATTTCCACGATCCGGCTAATCTGGTTGTACTCGCTCGTCCCTGGGAACAACGGCAACCCGAGGAACAGCTCGACAGCAATGCATCCCAACGACCACATATCGATCGCCGCCGTGTACGGTATCCCGAGCAATACCTCCGGTGACCGGTAGAACCGAGACTGAATGTACGTGTACACGGTCTGCCTCTCGTGGCAAGCCGATCCAAAGTCTATCACCTTGATTTGCGGTGATTGTAGGCTGCAATGACGATCGTCAACGAAGGCAGGAAACAACGGAGAGATCCACTCACGATTTCAACAGAATATTCTCCGGCTTCAAATCACAATGTATCAACCTCGCCTCTTTCAGCACCGTCAACGCGTCCAACAGCTGCGCCGTGAACACCTTCACCAGCTGCGTGCTCAGGCCTAAGAACTGGTTCTGCTTGATGAGCTCGTACAAGTTGCTGCTCAGCAGCTCAAAGACGAGGCACAGGTGGTTCTTGTGTATGAACGAATCGCGGAGGCGGAGGATGTGGTGCTCGTCGTTCGGGTCGCACTGGTTGTTCAGCAGCTCGAGGATGGTGACCTCCATCATCGACTGGTTGAAGTACGCCGGCTTGTTCTTCACCACCTTCACGGCGACGATCTCGTGCGTTTTGATGTTTTGACATTTGACGACCTGTCCGAACGTGCCTTGGCCGAGGATGTCGAGGATGAGGTACCTGGGGAGATTGTGAGACGCGCACTCCTGCGAGGTTTCGATCGCGAGGCGTACCGATTCTCCTCGGCGCCCAAACAATCGTTCACATAGAGGATGTAGTCGTAATCCTCATTGTCATACCCTTCATTATGCGCCGCTTTGCTCGGCTTTGTCAACACCCGTCTCGGGTTCAACGACGACTCGTACTTGAACTGCGGGTTGCACAGCCGGTAGGTGTCGATGATATCCGTCGTCAGCGCGCGCAACGGCTGTTTACACAAGAACAAAGTCAGTCTTCCAGGGCCTTACCTCTTGCAAATGCTACTTACGGAAAGATACGTCCCGTTCTGCCCCATTCGCCTTCCCCCAGGCTGCGCACTCACGTGCGGGCGAAGATCGCGCGCATCGCGCACCTGGCGGAAGCCGTCCGCACGTCGCCTGGACGGCGGTGGGGGCTCGACGACCATCGCCTGCGGATCGTGCTGCGGGTAATACTGCTGTTGTTGCTGCTGCTGTCCGGCATTCGGGTGGAAGCTGTGCGGGTGCGAGAGCGGCGAGCTCGGCGTGGACAGCGAGTTCTGCGGCGAGTGCGCGTACGCGGCGAGATGCGCGTGCGCTGCGGGGGGCGGGGCTTGCGGTTGAGGGCTTGTCGATGTATCCATCGCCGCGTACCCGCCGTACGCCGCCGCGGAAGCCGTTTGCGGTGGGCCTGCTGGAGAATACGACGGTCCGAGAGCGTCGCCCTTGGCGCGCGAGTGTGAGCGCGAATGAGAGTATGGGCTCGCGTGGCCGGGGCGGTCGGCGTAGGCGCTCTGATAGCCGCCGGTGCCGGTGGTGGGCGAGTACGGCCCCTGGTTCGGGGGCGCGTACGGGTCGAGACTGGAGGTGTCGATGGCGCGATGCGGCGAACGCGCCGAGGCTGGATCGCGCGTCGTCTGCGAGCGTTTCGGAGTGGCGTAATGGGTCGTCGCCGCCGTGTCGCCACCGTACGCGCCCTCGCCGGCGCCATTGCCCGCGCTGTAGCCACCGTAATACTGCATCGATCCCTGCTGCGATTCGCCAGCGTACGCGCCGCCGGCGGGTGCGTCAGCGTGGAAGGCGCCCTCTAAGTCGTCGTGCACCCTGCGGCGGCCGCGGGCGGAGCTGCCGCCAAACGAGGCACTGCGCGCGAGTTGGCTGTTCGCCTGCGGGTTGGGGGGTGGAGGCCCCGAGGCGTACCCGGCGAGCGAGTTCATCGCATACGGTTGGTCTTCGTCGAGGAGCTGTGAGATGCGCGGGGGGCGAGTAGCGGGGCTGGCTGACGAGGCCGATGCGGGCGATGAGATGTGCTGCTGCTGCTGGTGGATCGAGGGCAAACGATGGTTATGAACGCCCGCGGCGGCGGCGGCGGAGGGCGGGGCGGCGCCGCCGTAGAGGTAGGGAGACTGGGCGCTGGCTTGGGCGGCGGCGGACGAGGAGAGGGAGAGGGCGTCCGGGTGGGGATGGGAGGAGGGCTGGGACCAGCGCGGGAGGATATCAAAGTCGTCGTTCGTCATCGCTGTATAGGCCAGTTCGGGATTAGACATGCTCCGCCGGGGCGGGTCGGCGCCGTGTGCGAGGGTCCTGGGGTGCGTCGTCGGGCGCAGGGATGGGGTGGTTGTCGCCGTCGTCGACGACGTCAAATGAGTCGGGCTGGATGATTCAGACGGCGTGGACGACTACGACCGTGCTTTGGCGGCCTTGTGACTGGCCGTGGGTGCTGCGTTGATGAGCTGTTGGAACGTCTGGGTGGAAGCTGGCGAGAGCAAAGGAGGATGAGCGGCTTGGCCCGTCGGCTGCAAGACGGGCTCGGCCAAGCAGGGCGTGGCCGTGCGCACTGGGTCTTGTGTATGATAATGTAACTGCCCGGCTCACAAAAGGAGGGACGAACACGCGCGAGCAGTGGCTAATTTCGTGGCAGACGGCGGATCGCATTCGCCATACTGCTGTTGCGCTGCTGACGGGGGGGACAGCCCCGGGAAACTATGCGAATACAAATCGATCATTCGATTCGATACAGCCGTATCGACAAGCCCATCAGCGTCCCCCTTCTCAGTATCTCTGACCCTCTCGCCGCAGATAAACCGGCGCCCTACCCATGGCCACGAGCCACTTCTCCTTCCAAACACACGCACGCCCTTGATCGCGCGAAACGCTATCCCTGAACGGGCGACTCGAGCTCCTTCAGCGCGGCGACCAAACTCCTTTCCATCGCAAGCAGCACGGCCGGGCCCTGGCCCATCGACAGGAACGCGGGCGGGACATCGATGGATAAAAAGATCTGCTTCTTGAACCGCCGCGCTGCGTGATTCGTCCAGGTAACGCCAGGAAACACGACCGCGAGACACAGAATCCGACCGAGGAACCGAGAGTGAATCAGCAGATGACACAATGGATAGATCGCCGTCAGCGGACCATTCGCACTGAGATGAGAGCACACCATGCAGTGGAGCGGGATGAGAATGTGTATTCACCGAGCCGCTGCGCCATCGCGAGCGCAAAGTCGGACGCCGCCGTGCTGAACAACGCGGTGCCCAGGGGTGGTATGGGCTGCCGAGACCCGTCCTCAACCACCGCTCGGACGTTAATTCTTCGTCTTGGCTAACGTACTGAATTGGGCAAAGGCGGCATCGCACAGGCCCAATCCCTTGCCAGCACGCCTTGCTCGATCGCGCTTCCGCTTTTGACGTCTTCTTCCTTGGCCTCCGTTGTGCCGACCCATAGCATGTAAGAGTCCACAAGAGAGGTCACTTGCAGCGCGAGCGCCGGAGTACCGCCAGCATCGGACGGCGGCACGTAACGGTTTTGAACAGTGATTGCGTTCGCCATCGGAGAGAATGAGCGAGAGGAAAGCGGAAGCCGATGACCTGACAAGTATTGAATGGGCACAGCCACCTTTATCTACCCCCCTGACTTCTCCCACCGACTTCATGCCCAAGCTCGGCTTTTCGAGTTTCACTTCATGACTCTGCCCCTGCCTGATACAACACAGACTATACGCAGCTACATCCATTACATTCACCCCGTAGGCGAGGACGGTCAGATCCGTTGCTACAAGCACAACGTCGTCTCTCCTCCCCGCACCGTCCAGAGCGGCCCGAACGAGGGAAGGTATGCATACATTCAACCCCAACTCCTAAATTCCGGATATATGCTCACTTGATGCGCTTGGAAAACTCACAGGAAGTTCTATACGTGTTACAAAGATCGTTCGGACCCGGGTCACTGCGGCTTCTTTCGTATGGCTCGATTCCGCATACATCCACCCCTATTGCGCTGACCAGTCGACGCACAGTCTGGGCAGACGAGCCCGCATTGAAGCAGCAGCCTAGAGGAACGCTCGTATACCCGCCTACGCCCAAGGCGACACCATCGCCTCCACCTCCACTCACCCCTAGCTCAAGCCCCGCTGTCCCAACCTCATTCGCCGAGATGAGGTCAAACCGCGCGACCCCCACAGGGCCCGCCAATCCACCAGCTACTCCCCAAAGTCTCAAGAGGCCTCGACATCCCTCGAGCCCTTCCTCGAGCCAGAACCCTCCGCCGATGACGCCCGAGAAACAGCGCCGTCTCGCCGCCATTCAAGCCGCGCTCTCGGAAAGTCAAGAGCGCGCCGGGACGCACGCATATATGCCCTCCTCTCCCATCTCTTCGCGGTATGGTGCAAGCCAGAGCCAGACGGAAGACGAGAGCCAGTCATACGACATGCCCCCTCCCACCAAGCTCTTCCCTTCAAACGCCTCCTCTTCTAAGCATTCCAAGGCCTCCTACTCCAAAGTAGGCGGTAAATTCAACGACGACATTGACGAGGGTGATTCCGAGGACGAGTTCTGGCTTGCCGTAAGCCGTGATCCCATTCTCAGCGACGACTCGCAGGGCACTTCGAACCCTAGCCCCGCCAAGCGTCACAAGCCAGATCCAGCGTCGGCCAAGATGTCTGGGTGGAACAGGATCCAGAGCGATCCGGAGAACCCATTCCACGTCCGCTCCGCCGCCCTGCGCGCCAGCACCAGCGCGTCCTCCACCCCTCGACAACAAACCCAAAGCTCACCGCAAAATGAGGCGACCCCGGTTGTAGCCCAAGTACCAACGCCAGCCCCCAGCGATGATGTCTCGGCCACCTCCATCTCTACCCTCGTAGCCCAGCTCTCCTCTGTCCCCGCCTATGTCTCGAAGCTCGAGCGCCGGCTCGCAGCCGCGGAGAAGAGCAACATTGCCAAGCTGGACCGGATCAAGGAGCTTGAGATACAGCTGGGGAAGTGCGTCCCTTCTACTTGTTATCGCGCTTACATTACAAATTGACGGACTGGACGAACAGTGCGGAGGCTCGGTGCAGGTACCTAGAAGAGTCCAACGCTGCGCTCGCCGCGCGCCATCCGGGCACTCCCCGCAAGCCATGAGGCGTTCCTTCGTCAAGATGTTACTCGGACTTGGCTCATAGCCTTATCCGCTGCCGTACGCCTTCTTCGCGGCTACTAACCCGCCTTCTTTATTCTGCTACTGTGTCCTGCTGTCACTACCGCTACGAGGGATACTGGCTCACAGACTGGGCGAGTTCGAGGCTGCATGTCCCCTGGTCGGGTTAGAGCCTCAGCGAGCTTAGATCGTGGTTGAGCTTTTCCCCTTCATTATTTATTCGCTGCTTTCGCTACCTATCCGCCCTGCTACTGTCAATCGCACCCTTTCGCTGCTTTATCCTTTATTTTACGGTATTCCTAGTGCTCCTCAAGGACCCTCGGACTCAGGGGCTCGCATTCTCGAAAAAAAAGGAGTGAAAAACAAGATTGTAGATTACGCAAGACTGTGTACAAAAAGATTGTATCTGATGGCTCGTAGAAAATACCAGGGTCCCGTTCGCGACTCATAACACCCCTTGCCCCACTCGTCCGCAAGCTCGTGGTGCGGGATTTCTAAACGGTTTCCTGCACGCTCGCATACTCGCTCTCGATGCCAGGCTCCATCAAGCTCGCGTGACCGAGTATGAGTACACCGCTCGCGCCGACGAGCCAAAAGAAGGTGCCGAGGGGCGAGGACCACCACAGGAGCGGGAGGCCAATCACGAACAGACCGGTGTAGAGCGACTTTTGCGTGATGGTGTGATCGCCGACTTGCATCGGGTCCGCGGCTAAGCTCACAGGTTAAGATGTCTCAAGGAGAGGAGAGACGACAATACATGCGTACCAAACTTGTTGATGGCCGCGAAACCGCCAATGAGGAAGGCTAGGGAGATGAGGAGGAGTGGGTTCGTTATCCTGTGACCGGAATCAGCTGGTGTGTCGGGACGCTGGCTAGGCGACCACTTACACTGCGTATACAGCAAGGATGGCGACAACGACGCCATAGTTTCCAGAGAAGTATCTGGTGTTGTACGATATCCGCTGGGTCTCTAGTCAGCCTTCTCGGTCGTCTGCTTGTGGAAGATACCATACCGAAGTAGCCTGGTTGAAATCCGCCGGGCGCGAGACGCGGTTGTAGTCAAAAAACTCTTGCGGTGGTCGTAAAGCGCTCATACGAGCTTCCTGGACAGCACACCCAGCACGTTCTTAGTCGTCCGTAGTCGTGCGTGGCAGAATGGTTTGAGTGGTAAGTACCCTGAAGTTCTTGAGCGCATCGGAGGCACGCAGGACGGTTTCCATGTGGATCTTTGCCAGTCGGCAGGGTGAGAGATTGAGAGGCAGTAGGGGAGGAGGAGGAGCGGTTCGGCAAGGGCAGAGTCGAAGGCGAAGTTTATGAGACTGCCAGCCCGCAACTGCGCGACGGTAGAGTTCGTGGCGGTGGTGACACGTCCGGGCTTACGCGCAGCCGCGACCTCGCGCCCCGCCGCAGCAACCTCCTCGCGCTTTCCAGCTTCCGTCGCGAATACTCTATACATCCCTGTCGAGCCAACGTATCACCGTAGCGATGCTCAGAAGGGACCCGTCGCATATCCAACTCAACGACTCGGACGTGCAGGACATCCGCGACTACCTGGCTTTCAAGAAGAGCGCCGCGAACGCGCAGGCCGGCCAGGATCCCCTCACCGTAGCGCAAGGGAGCGCGAGCATGGCGCCTCCGCCCGTACCGGGTCAGGCACAACAGCTTGCGCAGATGCCTGTGAACGCGGCGGAGGAGGCGAAGCGCAGGAGGGAGGCGATGAGCAAAGATCAGCGGCTCGGGTTGTGACCGTAGCCAGGGTCCACGTGGAGTATGTGGTCGCTTCGACGATCCGAATAGCCTCCATGTATGCGTGGTTTACAATGTGTACTATAGATCCTTCCTGACGTTGAAGTATTTATACCCCTTGTATTCCCCGCTCCAACTGGGTGCGAATGCCTGCGCGACAAACCAAGTACGTCAGAGAAGCGTCTTTCCAGTGCTTGTAAAACCAAGAACACACCCTCCAAGTTTCTCGTGTCACACATAGTCGCCATATCCGGCCTCTGCATGTGGATGCACGACGTCTTCAGGCTATCCCACAACGAGTCAGACGTGACACCACGTTTGTCGTCCACGCCGTTTGCGTCGCGCACGCTCTCGCTCTCTTGTAGCGCTAGTGCGTCCAAAAAGTGTTGCGCAGCCTCTTCGTATCTCTGCAAGAGCATGCAGGGTGTTGTGAACATAGCCAAAGGGGAGGGGTGGTTTGTGGTAGACGTACACGAAGGTTGATGAGCGCAATCCCTACATTGTATCGGGCCCGAATGTAGACAGGGTTCAGCTCCAATGCTTGAGTGTAATAATGCAGCGCTTCCTCCGCGTTTCCGCTGTTGGCCAATGTAGCGCCTACGCGGTTCCAGAGCTGCCAGTCCTGTGGCGAAGCAGTCAAGTAAGCAAGAAGCTCGACATTGAAACGCAAAGGCGGCTGCGTACCTCCGGTCGCACTTCAAGTGCGGCACGGAAGCAGTCCCGCGACTTGGCATAATCCTGCCAGTCCATTCGAATTAGCACTATTAGCCGCGGAAAACCAAGCAAATAAGATAGCTTACCTCATGGTTGTTCAGTAAGACAGCCAACGCAATCTGGATGTCCGCGTCGAGCTCGCTCCCAGCCCGGCTTCTCGCCATAGTAATCAGGCAGTCGACCAAGTCCTTCACCCTCTCTGACTGCCCCGCGCCATCCACCTCCGCCTCGGACCGCAGGCTTCGGTGCTCCCGTACCGCGCCCTCGTACGTCTTGTTCCTGCCGACCCATTCCCTGATCGCGTGGAAGCTGCCCATACGGTTTCCTTCGTTCGTGTACGAAATCGCAAGCGCCAACCAGGACGGGAGATGCTCCGGGTCAAGCTCCAGCGAACGCTGGAGCGCGGCGATCGCCTTGGCTTCACGTTCATTCTCTTGTTGCTTGACACCGAGCTCGTACCAGGCGCGCGCGTTGTTTGGGTCGCGCTGAACGGCCGCTTCCATCTCCAACACATTCTGGTAATGGGTTAAGTCTTTGGTCTAGTAAACAGCACAATGAACACGAACCTCGTGTATCAACCTCTGCCTGGACGCATCCACATGCATCATATGGTGTCTCGTCCGCGACGCTTCACCGAGCACATACGGATTGTTCGCCGTGAAGGTATACTGCGACATTCGTCGGATGCCCACGCTTGTCGCCTCAAACCGATCCCAGCTCTCTTGTAGGTGGCCCCACTCCGCCTGCTGCGCGGATGTCGACGTAGAGCCAGAGGCGGTTGCCTCGTAGTGGTCCGCGTACATCTCATTCATGAAATTGGCGTACTCCTCGTTCTCCTGACGAAAGTATGCGTCGTTCGGGTCCTCCTCCCGGCTCTCCGCGGATGCCGCGTTTTCTGCACTCGTTTTCTCAGTCACTTGCGCCAAGGCGTTGGTCAACACTTGGAAAGGGGACTCGGTGAGGATTTCGGACCCTACAATAGGCTCCCCTGGTTCTTTCCATCGACCGGTCATTTGAACAGAAGCCAAAGTGTTGGGTTCTGCTCTTCCCTTGCCCTTGAGGTCTACCTTGACCTCCGCGCCCGTGGTCAAAACGCCCGCCGGATCAGCCTCGACCATTTGGTTTCCTTCGACGACCATCTCCCGATCGCGAAGCTGGCGCATCATGCCCAGAAACTGGCTGTTCTTGAACTTGGGATTCTGCTCGTGCGATATGGCCTCGATGAGGCGCCCCGCGGTCCGTGCGAGCTCGTCCTGCTCCACCGCCGCGTTCTGTGTCTCAGGTTGCGATGTCGTTGGTTCAGATGAGATTTGCGAATCTGGAATGAAGTCTCCCCGATGAAATTGGGTGAGGAAAGCTTTCTCCCATTTGGCAGCTTGCACGGAATGCGTCAATATCTCGAATGGCTCGGGCCAGAGACAGTATTCACCATCGTGTTGAGTTATCTGTCGTTCTTCTTGAGCGTGAGATATCTGAGCGGGGGCGAATGGCATGGGGCTCATAATATGGGCTTGCACGGGCGCAGACCATAGAGGGTTTGGCTGGTTCATGACCCCAAGGGGTGGTTGGTGTTGCAGCGGCCCCAGCGAGGACGGTTGTTGATGGGCCTGTGTTTGAGCGCTAGGTACTGGAGCCGCGATCTTGCGCTCCTGCCTGCTCGACGACGGACCAGGCATGATCTGCATGAAGTCCGCCGCCCAATCCACCCCGGCAGATGAAGGTCCTGGGATAGTTTGCATAGGCCTGGTTTGTACGGGCGGAATAGACACCCTCAGAGCCGACATATCGAATGAAGATGCTCCTGGAAAGCTGGGGACTGGACTTCGCGCTTCGGAGAAAAAACGGGCAGCATCCTGCTGGAAACCTGGAGCAGCGGCCTGCTGTGACCGGAAGGCCTGCGGTGGCAAGATCAGAGATGCTAATATTTCAATCTGATATGATAGACGCACCTCTTTAGAGCTCCCAGCACCGGATGCACCAAAGTAATCCTAACGGTCGTCAAACGCCCGTCAGACACACTCAGCACAGCGACGCACTTGCTGTAAACCTCGATCTTGATCGAGCCTCTTCGCTAGTCCTTGCAAGGGGTTGACAGGCCCGCATTCCGCCCCGGTCACAAGCATAGGTAGTGCCATGGTGAAGGGGGAGTGTTAAGCCTGAATCTATCGCGTGTGTTTTGACCGGCACTCAGAGAGGATGACTAGCACATGAAATCCTCGACACCGCCACCGGACGCTGCCGTCCTTCTCCCATTGCGTCGACCGTTCATGCACATAGCCGCGTCCAGCTTGCTTGGTATACTCACCCGAGCCATCGGACGTGAAAATGCTGCAAGCGAGCTGCGATGGATTACGCAACATGCCAGGAGACACATGTTACCACCTTCTGCCGTAGCAGGCATGGTCGCCCGTCGCGTGGCCGGTGAGCCGCTGCAGTATATTCTCGGTGCGTAGTAAAACCTGTCTTTCATTCGAGACGATCTCCTTGTTAATAACACTCTCAGGTACACAGCCGTTTGGAGACCTGGAACTGATTGTTCGGCCCCCTATCCTCATACCACGACCGGAAACGGAAGACTGGACAATCCGGCTTGCAAAACGGATCACTCCAGTGTCAAACCGACCCCTGCGCATCTTGGACCTATGTACAGGTTCTGGATTCATACCGCTCTTGCTATGCCACCTCTTGCCTCCAGGAAGCGTTCAAGCCGTTGGTGTAGACCTAAACCCTGACGCCGTCAAACTTTCAATGGATAATGCTCGCCATTGCGGCATATCCACCGATACGAAAGAGCTTGGTCTTCGGAACGTTTTCACTGCCGCAGTCGGTGACGTCCGCTCACCTGAGGCTGCATTGTCTAATGCTCTCGAGGCGCCATTTGACGTGTTGACGGCGAACCCACCCTACATACCCAGGCATGAATACGAGCTGCTCCCGAAGACCGTGAAAAAATACGAGGACCTCAAAGCTCTGCTCAGCGACCAACCTCTTGACCCAGGATTCCACGATGACGAAAAGGGATTGTATTTTTATCGTCGCATTAGCGAACTGGTCTCTCGACCCGGCCTTCTGCAACCAGGTGGAACGGTAGTACTAGAGGTCGGTCATGATCAAGCTCGTGCTGTTGAAATTCTCCTACAAGCAACTGGTGGATTGAAGGATACGGAAATCTGGAGAGACCCTTGGGGCGTGGAACGGGTAGTCCTGGGTCAGGCCCCACACACAAGGTGAGGGCGGTGTGTAAACCAAGCCCTAGGACGATACTATTGGCAGGCAGGGCTTCATATTTCCTGTTTCGGGTCATGACGAGGCCGCACACGCTTCTGGAAATATATGACACGGCCCGCACCGCGCTGGGGATGCCTTTCATCTCGTGATGGGTATATCCGACAAAATGGCCCATAATCATACACACATCGGGGCAGGCTCGATCAACGTTGCAAGCCAACATCGAACTGCTAGGTTCTACGGCGGCGCCATCTTTTGTTGCGCCAGCACCGCTGATGGGCCATCGCTGGCAATCTAATGGTGTGCGGATGAGCTCTGCCCTCACGGAACACCACGATGGCCGTCGGCAACCAACCATGTATTCGCCTGCCCTCATACTATGCTGGAAAGATCGAAGCTCGTTGCTCCCTCTGCACGAGTTGCCACTCCCTTTTCGGTGACGATCGCGGTGATCAACTCCGCGGGTGTCACGTCGAATGAAGGGTTGTATACGCCTAGCAGAAGCATTCGTCACAGCCCACCTTCCAGAAGGCAACGTCAACACTTACCATCTGGAGGCAACTCTGGCGTGATCATCACGCTGGCTTGCTCCTCCCCGACCTTCTTGCCCGTTTTGCTGTCAAACACCGCTCCACGCACAACGCACGCTTCGATCGGGGGCCGCTGCTCTATCGGTATCTTGCTTCCGTCCGACGTTGCCAGATCGACGGTCGACACCGGCGCGACCACGATGAAGGGAATGCCATGACGCTTGGCAAGGACAGCGGCGTTGTACGTGCCGATTTTGTTCGCAGTGTCTCCATTAGCTGCTATACGATCTGCGCCGACAGCTATATACAAGAGTAGCCACCCCGGTCAATAACGTGTATGCTCGAAGTGGTAAAATTCGACGAACCAATGCCGTCGATGCGATGGTGCTGGAACAGGGATCCGACCATGGAGTCGCAGACCATCGTTGATGGAATACCGAGTGTTTTGAGTTCAAGCGCTGTTAATCTATTACTTCCAGATCAATATGCTGAAGGATGGGGTATCATGAGCAATCACCTTGAACCTTGATGATACGGCGTGCTTTGCGTGAAATACGCCCTGTTTAATTTCCCCGTTTCATAGAGTCGAGTGATGAGACCCAGAGCGGTGCCATAACCCTATGAAATGGTCATGATCCCGAAAGAATAGAGCGTGTACAAGGGCTGACGCTTGTGGCCAAGCTGCCCGTATTGCAAACGGTCATAACATTCAGTCCTTCGCCACTGCTCCCCGCCGATTCGACTTGTTCAATCAACCACGTCGCGCCATGCTATTGGGACGATCAATTTCTACTGGTATAGGTAGAAAATCACGTTAACTTACCTTGCCCATCTCACGATTCCTGCCAACGTCCTCTTCATCGATCGCTATGCCCTCTCGAATGACCTCTTGGGCAAGCTCTCGTGCTTCCTGCTCTCCGCCATGTCCGCCGGACTTCTCGACACCATGGTTGAGCACTGCGGAAAGTCTTGACGTCGCCGCACCAAGATTGACGGCCGTGGGCCGTGCGGTCCAAAGGTAATCGAGGAGAGGTTGAACCTGATCACGAACAGCTGCGGGTGAGGATAACCATTCTGCCCCGCTCTCTGACGCATTCCTACGTTAATTCGGACGTAGTTGGTAGCATCAAGAAGATTTTGCGTACCCAGAGCCCGAGCAACATGGTGAGAAACAGAAAGCGCCGCTAAAGATGCGATGGCCGGGGCGCCACGGATCTGCAGTCATGCAATTCAGCATCGAAAGATGCACAAGGGAATGCGATCCAGCTCACCTTCATACTGCGAATCGCATCCCATGCCTTCTCCACCGTGTCAATCTCGATCCATTCCTCCGTATGCGGCAGCAGGAGCTGATTGATGATTTCGATCCTTTCCACTCCTGTTCCTGACGCAGACTTGCGGATCGAGGTCATAGGCCCATTTGAAGACATCCTGGTATACGGGCGGGGAAAGTAAGAGCCAAATGAAGGATGATATGTAAGGAAGAAAGCAACGAGAGAAAGGTGGCACCAAAGGAGGCCAATGAGCCAAAGATGATGCTGTGCTTCGCAATCGGAAAACTTGAAATCTCCGATCCATAGCAATGCCCAAGTGGCTGTGCAGATGTAAGCTCGAGCCCCGCTCAACAAAGTTGAGGTCGAAAGCTTGAACGATGCGAAGATTCCAAAAGAGTAGACGACATCCTAGTCTCCTCAGACAGGCTCAGAGTACGAAGGCAGATGCTTAAACACGGATATCTATACCACCTTGCGATATCATTCATGAGTAATTACGCATGAATTTGGTTCTTGGGGTATACAATGCCGATTCGTGGTACCACATTCGCCTGCATGTAAGTATCTGAAGGCGAGGTATCATTAAGTCGAAGATAGCAGGGCTGGATCAACCGACTCACAATCTTCACGTCTTTGGAATCCTTCGCCCAATCGCGCGTGTGCGCTCAATCCTCCTTTTCAAGTCTATGAGCGAGTCAGAACAAACCAATCATTCGTAGTGAACGCACCTCAGAAGCGGTCAAGAGTTCCAGTTGAAGTGCTTGCCCAGCCTAGCGGAAAACCTAACATGCTTGCCGTTGATATGCATGTAGAGGAAGCCGGGAATGACCGTGACAGTCCTGAATACTAGGGTCAGTTCCAATCGAGTTTGAGCGAAGTTGTTACCCACTTGTGGTCTGCGACAAGAACACCGTGCAAGAGGATTGCGTGAACGTTCAGTTCCATGCTGAATCCGGGGTTGTCAGCACTCACAGGTGAAGGGCATGAGCGCGTGTGTCAAGACCAAGTCAAAGACGAAAGAGAACAAGGCGCGGTCAGGAAAGCTAGAGCCTGCATTGTCGCCAGTGGTCCTGACCGAGCCGATGACGGATGCCAAGTGCTTGGAGTGGGGATGACTCGGACTTCGCCGGTCACTCCTCTTCCGGCTTCAAGGTCGTTGCATGTAACTTGCGCTGCAGCTTGGGATACGATCAACCCCGAGGCACTGTTAGACATGCCATCTTCAACTTGATCTCAGGTATTCGACACGACGGCTAGATCAAGCGGGACTCAAGGAACTACGCTCGGACCGGTCTAGGCAGCGACAATCGGACCCTTTACACTCGGATGTCGAAGACGCAGCTGGGCATCCTAGCCGCGGAAGTATGAGCTGGCGTACTCTGGACGTAAGATTTGAAGTGATTTGATTCCGCCATGCATGTAGTTCTGTCTACGTGGCATCAAGTATGCGCTTCTCATGGCCGGGTCCAGTTTCGTTTGCCATATTTAGCGCGGGTGTTATGCAGCGCCGCTATGCCAGGCGACGAGTACCCATTCTTTGCTACTCAGCGGCCCATGCGGACTGCTCCGCTCTCTTCCGGGCTGCGTAGACTCATGTCGAGGGAGCCTCAACCTGGCAACGTCTCAGGCGCGACGAGTGCTCTATACCATTGACAGTATGGAGTCTCCCATGCTCGCGATCATACGACGCTGCTGCGGACGGAGAGCGACATGCCTGAAGCTGGCCGTTGGTTTTACTTTCTCATGTGGAGTCGGCGCTGTTATATGTGTATGGCGTTCCGAGGCCAATGTACACGGTGTTCCAGTCGTGCAGTGGTATCAAGTCTTGTCGTACTGCCAAGTTCCGAGACTTCGTCAACACTAGATACACGGAACGTGGCAGAGCAACCAACTTGATTGAACGCTGTCGGAAGCCCGCGTTCTTGTGCCTAATGAACTCAAAGTTCTCATGATTCCAAGAAGTCCTTGCCGTTTCATCATGAACGTGTGCGCTCTCAGGCGGCCTTGTGCCGGGCTGCTCAGGCGCGTCATACGAGCGAACGGCCCGACGATCATGTATCACGTTCGGTGCGCGATATAAAGCGATATGAAACCCTAGTCACCGTGACGCACTCAGTCTTTAGGTTCATCATGTTTTCCAGGGCGATGTCGACCCTAGTTTTCATTGGCCTGGCGGCTGCAGCGACTACGCCATGTGTCGGAACCGTCTCATCCTTGGACGATGTTGGTGCTGCTGTGAAGTGTACTGTACGTTGGTTCTGTACGTTCCCCCGAAGGTCACCCACTGACCGCGGCACTTATCAGACGGTCAACATCAATGGGTAAGACCACTTTCATGTGGAGGACTAATAGTCTAACGTTCGCGCAGGTTTACCGTCCCGGCTGGTGAAGGATTCACACTTTCCTTGGCAAGCGGTTCGACAGTGAACCTCAGTGAGTAGACCGACTAGCGCTCGAACAATCATCTCACTCGGAATGCAGACGGTGATATATTATTTGGCAACAAGAGCTGGGCAGGACCGCTGTTCACCATCAGGTTCGTCTTTGACGAGTATCGTTGCAAAGACTTGCCTGATGTTCATTCTCTGTAGTGGAACGGATATCACATGTGAGACTGGACGACCCTGTGATTCGCATTGTTTGCTAAACCTTTTCGCCCCCAAGTCAACGGCAACGGTGAGCAGGCACTTGACATTGTCTCTTCCCTACAACGGAAATGCTGTAGGACACACCTTCGATGGAGGCGGGCCGTTTTACTGGGTAATCGAGTCCTTCATATGATGACGTATCTGTTCCTCATCACTCTTCAGGATGGCCTTGGATCCAACGGTGGTACGGAGAAACCGCGACCCATGATGAAGTAACGCATCAATTACTTTCATCAACAATGAAACACTAATCCATGCACAGGATCAAGATTTCCGGATCGTTTGCCGTCAATACATCCAATAACATGTGTAATCTGGGTTTCTCAATACGCATTGTAGAATGTCAACGTCGTCAATTCACCGGCACAAACATTCTCTGTCTCGAATCCCGGTCCTTTGGTGTAAGCGTGTATGCCGACTTGACCGTACATAAGCTGATGGGTTCAATTCTGAAGCATCGATGGCATGAACATCGACAACTCCCAAGGAGATCTACCCAACGCGCAAAGTAACGGTCTCCCCGCCGGTATCTCATGCATTCTATTCAAGTTCGCAGCACGTATGACGGCTAATGTTCTCTTGCAAGGTCACAACACGGATGGATTTGATGCTTCGACCACCGACCTGACCATTCAGAATAGTGTTGTTCATAACCAGGTGTGCATACGTCACAATCTCGAATTCCAGCACCCGATCTTGATACAATGCCGTCAGGACGACTGCCTCGCCATCAACAAGGGTTCCAACATCGGTAAGCAGTGTTATCAGAATTCAGCGGCCAGTTTTTTTAACCCAGCTGTGTCGCCCTAGTTTTCAAGAATAACGTGAGATTTGCTCTCTTTCAAAGGGTGTTTGCGGTTGCGGAATGCATTACTTGGTATAGATGTGCACGGTATGCTCCTCGCTAGAACTCTAACAAAACCCGTAATCGTGACGCTATTCCAAGGGCGGTCACGGTATATCTGTCGGTAAGGCTGCACTGTATACTGTGTCGTACACTGCAATATTAGCTAATGCGGAATAGGCTCGATCAGCTCGGACGTGACAGTCTCTGGAATCGGTCTGTATATATGCTGACTTAGTTCATGCACTAACGCGGTGCAATAGTCATCTCGGGAAACACGGTCGTGAATAACGATCAAGCCCTGCGCATCAAGATGGATGCTACTGCTACTGGCTCAACCGTGACCAATATCACGTACTCGTACGAAACCTTGCCAATATAAACCCTCGACATCATCTTATCGCAGTCGCAGAGGCAATACTGGCACAGGATTGCGTTTGGTAAATCCTGCTCCTATTTCCTCGTAGTAACCGCTGACAAATGGATGCTATCAAGTTCGGGGTCTTGATCGACCAAGTTAGCCATGCTGTGGTTTCTGCTGGTATCCGTGTGTTGAGGTCATTGCCAGAGCTATCCCGATACCCTCAAGACGCCCGGATCTGGGGTCATCCTTTCGGTAAGTCATTTGCTGTCTACACACGATCCTCCGGTAATGTCGGTCCAGGATGTGAGCTTCACCGGGGCGGTGAGTAGAGAGCAGTCTATATTTGCCATCATCTCGTTGAGCATTGATGGTCAAGACCACGCAATTGAGCGTCAACAGCGGAGGTCAGTAGACAACACTTTTCACCGCATCTTTTGGCGCTGAAGCTTATTGCATTTTCAGCGGACCGCGTCGCCGGTATGCTTCGCTTGCGCGTTGATAGGAGACTGCTCCGACTAACCCGCGACCTAGTGAATTGCGGTGCAGGCGCTTGCACTGGTAGGTGCCTGCGAGTCCGTATAGAGAGCATGCGAACAAGGTGTTTGACGGCCTTGTGCAGGTGCATGGGACTGGAGCTCGCTCGAGGTTAACAAAACATTTCAACCCGTTACTTTGATTGGACTAACAAGCAGATCGCAGGTTACCGGAGGCGCCGCCGGCCCGTTAACCACGGCCAGCGCCAAGATTACAGGGTTCACGCAGTAGCTTGGAGAACAGGACGGCTTTCCAGCTTTACTACTACTATGTACATGCCATCTCTGTGCATTCCGAGTTGGAGATTATACAGATCGTACGGAAGCAATCGATGCAAAACTCTAGGCAATAAAGTTACATGCTCGACAGCCTCCGTCCCCGACGTTTATGACGAATGTGAACAATCCTGAGAGAGCTAAGGGAGGAGAGAGAGAGCGAAGGAGTGAATGTAGACACCAAGGCGGGGGAGATATCGTAAAGAACGACCAGTGAAATTAATCCATCAGTCCAACTCGAAATGCCGAAGCCGGATCCGTCAGAATGATAGAGATAATACATAACCAAAGAGAATGTGCGGCTGGGGTGGGGTTCCTGGATAATGTGGTGGGCGGGCGTACGATGCAATGCTACGGGCAGCGGAGACGTGGGATGGAAGGAAGTGGAGGAGATGCAGCAAGGTGGATCAGATGCAAGGCGAGAATCGTCTATTGGACGTAGAGGGTGACTTGGCCTCCTGGTCGGAAAGCTTCGAACGCCATTTGAACGTCCTCGGTCGAACCCAGTGATACCATGTCACCGTCCTCGTCGCGATACTTCACCCGGAGCGGCCCGTCATCGCGGCGGGGTCCGCACAAGCGAATCTTCTTGCCGACCTTCTCGACGAGCTCATTGTACTCCGTCGACCTCGGCACCTGAATAACGAAGATGTCCTCGTGGAAGTGCACCTTCACCTTCACAGGCACCGCTGCTGTTGCGAGAGAACCCGGCTTGTCCGATGAGTTGGAGCCACGCACAGAACCACCAAGCGAGGAATCGCTGGATCCGTACGGGGTGATCGGCGATGAGCTGTGAGGCGAGTAATCTGAGCTGTCGCCGGTCGACTGGCTCGATCCACTTCCCCGCTTGCGCTCGATCGACGTCCCCTCGCGAGCCGCCCATGGCCCCGCGGCAGTCGGTAGCGGCGGCGGTTGCTGCTTCGGAATGTATGCGCTCGGTTGGCTGGCACTCCGTGAGCGAGCCGGGCCATTCGGTAGACCTGGTGTCATCGGCACCGGCGTCGCACTCGAGCGTGGATCCGAGCGATCGTATGCGCTGCGCAGTCGGTTCGAGCTAAACTGACTGCGAAGCGTCGGTGGCCGTGCAGGCATGGTCCCGAAGCTCACTTCCGAGCTGTAGCTAGCACCACTGGCACCGCTCGCAGTAGAAGAAAGGCGCGACATGATTGGTCTTTGCAGCGCTGGTGCCGCCGGAAGGCCATTCACGGGCGGGTGTGCAGGATAGCCCCTGGCACCGTAATTGCTCGTTCTGAATGAGCTGCCGTCTTCGTCGAAGGGTCCGGGCGTTCGAGCTCCGCGCCTGTTTGCTACAGGAGTGCCGCGACCTGACGTCGCCGGTGGGTAGTCTTCAAATTCGTCGTCGTGCTCCATTTCAAAGGCGTTTTGGGGGTAGCCCTGCGGCCCGGCCCCATTCGCTGGGCTGATTGTGTATTCGTCCTGGTATGACGAAGCAACCCGTGCGCCGTTGAATGATCCATATCCCGATGTCGATCGGTCGAAAGGGTTGCGGGGATACGGCGAAGGGTTGGTGCTGTTCGGGGTAGCATTGGCAGAGCCGCGCGCGAAGCTTTGGCGCTCGGTCGTGGCACGTCTTTTCGCAACGTCGCCGATCAAGCGGTTGATCGCAGCTTCCCATTGCTTCAGCTGCTCCTCCGTCCTGCAACGAAGCGTGAAAAATTCAACGTCGTCTTCGCCAGACCACCAGACGGCAAGGGAATAACCTGAAGCAGCCGAATATCAGCATCACGCGTATTTACACCTCGTCATACAACGCACCGTTCTTTGTGTTCGGCACCGCCTGGGTGACATTGTTGATGAAGATCCGACCCTTGAGCAGAAGAGGCGTGTCCTTCTTCTTCGTCGCACCGACGCCTCCAGGCAGCTGAAGTGGTGGGGGCGCGAGCTGCTTCTTGAGGATGGAGTTGCTCTTTCCAACCTTCTTTAGGTTGGGCGTAGGGGGAGCGAGCTCCTTGCAGCAGAGGATGATCTTCTCGAACAGAAAGACGTGATATTCCCGGTCCACGTCCGACTTGTTGACCATGAAGATGTCCTCAAGGAGGAGCTCCCCGAAATTGGACAAATTGTGACCCTTCCAGTCTGCGACACGACCCTCGAGATTCTTCACAGTCTGCACATTCTCAGCACGGCGCTGCGCCTCATTGATCTTGTCGGTGATCCGCTTAGCGGCTGCCAATCCCTCCTTCAGCTCGTCAAGCAGTGGATAATCGCCGGCTGCCTTGATAAGTGACTACAGGGCAATCAGCATGAAGCACACATGGAAATACGCGTTGGCAACTCACATCAAGGAGCAGGGGGTATTTGCAAATTCGTTGCACGGGTTTGATCAAGAAGGCCGGCAGTTCCGACCTTGCGTTGATCAGATGGTTCTGGGACTATTGTGACATGTTAGTCACAGTCACACGTCACATCGGATTCGAACACCACCATCTCCGCATGCTGACAGCGCCGGAGATGAGCGGCAAAAAGCACTCACGCTGAGGACCGACTCCATTAAGACCATAAGATCCGATGCGTTGTTGTAGTTGGCGCAGTACGGCTCGTAGACAGCGAACTCTTCCTCCTATTGTTCCGCATCGAGGGAAAAAACGTGAGATCCCAGTTTAGTAGGTTGAAGGGCAAGTTCGGAAGTAGAGCGGAAGACTCACGCATTCAAGGAAGTGCTGCCCCCAATGTTGCTCTTTCCACGGCATGTCGGCGGTTCCCTCGAAGCGGATGAGAAATCGGCGCTGGAAGTTGAGCAGCTTGTTCAAGTTCGGGAACAAGAGATGTATGGTATCTTTGTCCAGCGTGCTGCTTTGGGCGAGCGCTTCGGCGTATTTCTGTGTCCGAGCTCCAGAACGACTGATGCAATGCATACATGGCACAGCAACTCACCTGCATGACTTCCAGGTCCTGCACATACTTGCGCTCAGTGACGAGCATCTCCATGAGGATGTTGTTCCTAGCAGCCTCTTGCGGTGTCGATGCCGGTGGCATGACCGGAGTGCCGTCTGAGGAAGCGAGTGATTCCGTGGATTCGTAGGTCGACATGGAGGGCGGGGGTGAGGGGGGTGATTCTACATAGACGGAGGAAGGCAATCGCTCGACTATCATCTCAGCAACTTCGATGACCTGGGGATAGCTCAGCACACGGGGAGGTGAAAACGCCGGGTATCGCGTACCTTGACAAAGCCGTCCGTCGAGTTGCGGTCGACGAAGTCCGTGACCGTAAGGCCGACAGGGGACATCTTCTGAGTCGCGATGATAAACTTGGCGACCGCATGCTTCTTCGTACGCTCAGCGTTATCGAATTTGGCAATGTCGGTATCGCACTCGATTCGTTTCTCGATGTGTGGGAGGAGGTTGAAGAGGTAACAGAGGGGGATGCCGGTCGCGAAGCAATCCCATAGCTGGGTGACCGGGTCGGTGGATTTGCGAGAAGATTCGGGCTGAGCGCCGATAGCGAAGTAGGGAGGGAAGTCGCGGACGCGGAGGAGCGCAGCTCTGAGGGCGGCGCATCGCTGGTAGAGGGAGGCGGATGCGGCCTTATTGAGGACGTTGTTGTTGGCAACGGGCGGGGCCATGTCAAGGATGACGCCGCCGCTGGAGACGATGGACTTTTTGCGTCCTGCCACCGTAGTCATTGGGCGTCGGTGGGGGAGGAAAGGAGGATGTGAGCGCGAGGGTCGTGTCGGCAAGCGAGGTAGGGCGAAGACAAGGTGGGAGCAGTCCAGAACCTGATACAGCCGCGTGATTGGTCACTCGCAAGTCACCCTGATTAGGGTGGTTTACAGCCCATTCACACTCCGCTTATTGTGATTCGGAGTCACAAAGCGCTCAACCCACAGCCCGGCCCGCCGTCTGCGTATTGTATCTCGACTCTCCGTTGCGCCTTTTGCCTCGCAGCTGCGCCTGGCCTTTGCCAGGACCCGAGCAGGGCCCGCCGTTCCGTGCTTGACATCACTCGTGCCAGGGCCCGCCGTTCCGTGCTTGATACCACTCGTGCCGACACGCCGCAGCGGGGCTGATGCTTTGCCCCGCGGAAGATGGCGATGAATTGAGCAACCTGCATGATCAACGCCGTCACAGCAATTGGGGACGCCTCCTGCGCTCGCGATCCCCATGATGGGCCTCCGCATCTTACATAGGTGAACTAGCGCAGCCCATAGCTCACGATATATTCCCGGTTCGCGAGCGTCGGCCGCTGCGCTACCACTGATATCGCTTACCATCGCAGATGTCGCTTGATTATCTGCCCCAAACGCAATCTCGGTCGGGCGCTACCGCTCGCACCCCTTCGCGTCCACCCGCGTTTCGCTTTTGGCAGATGCGTCTGATGCATCGACAATGACGTCCATTGAACAGAGCGACCCGAGCGGAACAGCGGAATCGTGTTACGCACCCTCTTTTGTTCCTGCCATGCACTCTCCATGCTCCACCAGGCGTTTGACATTCAATCACTGCAATTTGCCGGACAGGTCCTGGGATTGCGCCTTCCTAGCACCGTAAAGGCTGTTTCGCGATGCAGCATCGGCGTCTAAGGCGTCTTCCTGCAGCCGTATATTGCTCTCGTACTTGCGGTGTAAGTACGCTGCTGCATTTGAGAACATGGAAGACGTCGACTCAGACATCTGTGGCGATGCTCATCAGTACATTATTGTTCAAGCATAACCCCATCTGCAGCGCACATTGAGCGCTCTTTCCCTTCAAGCTACACGATGAGATCTACCTATCTTAGGTTTTCATGAAGCCGGTCCGAAAGCATGCAGCCGCAAGGAGTACCGTTCGTCCCATCTCATGTTATTCATGGACGATATCCATCCATCATGGTCGAGACGGAACTCTATCGGAGTCGTCATGATCGTCATAGATGATCGAACGCGACAAATCGGAGAGGCCGACCATGATCCAATGATCTACCACAGCCGGATACGTCCTCAGCCCGCCTTCAACCAGCTTCGACATCCCCACGTGCATCACGCGACCATGTACACCCACGACGTCAGCTCTCTTGCAGGCGCTCTTTCCCAGCGCGCCATCTGCATCGTTCAGCAATAGTCGGCGTCCATCATCTCGCATACGCTGCACGAACATGCCTGTGACTGTTCATCCTCCCGATGCCGACGATTTTCCCACCGACTTCAGCGTCGACGATTTCATGGGCACATGGCGAGTTTATCACCGTCTCCTGAGACTTTAACGAATTGAGACGAAACTCGTAGGTATGTGACACATTCAACGCTACCGTTGTGGAAGGTCAGTTGAAAGTTTAATCCTCGGCTACAATTCACCCTCGGGCTAAGAGAAGTTGACTCAGAACAAGAAAGACGTGACCATCACCTACACGCCCGCAGCCTCCAATAAGGGATCACCGCAGCATCCCGTCTTTGACGATCTCGTTGAATATCGCTCCCAGAACTCCTCGTCAACGAAGCCACGCTCTCGCGTCGAAGGCGTCGACACATACATACCCTCCTATTCTTCATCCTCACCGCCCACACGGTACAAATGGCGGGGCCGGGGCTGGCTCATGATTGCCTCGTCCCGATGGCAAATTCTCGGATACAGCCGTCTCTCAGAGAACAAAATTGCCGGCCCAAGCACACGCGAAGGCGAAGAGCAGACCGGAGCGACATCTCCATCTCAGGATCGTGACGTTGAATGGGCACTGACCTACTTCGAAAAGACTCTTTTCACACCGGCAGGGATGGACATCTATGCGCGTACACCAGAGGGTCTCCCCGATACGCTGGTCCAAGAAATTATCACGCAGGCCAAAGCAGTAGGCGGCGATATCACTCCATTGGCCGAGAAATTCTTCGAGGTCCAGAGAAGCCAGCGGTGACGTTCATCCTTGTTCATCACCGGTGTACTTCGGATTCCTCCATGGGGATATTTCCCCAAGCCGTGGCCGTTCACGCCACAAAGTTAGTATACCTCCCCCGCATAGCAGTACACGGCATGCATTGCAATGGCATTTCTCTTTTTCCAGAGGCAATCACAACGGCACCTAGCTCCGGCAGTAAGAAGTCGATTGCGTGACGAAAGGCATGGCAACGACGTGCGAATACGGGTAACGATGAGAATAAAGAACCGCTTCGATCCTCGACGCCGTAGGGGCTCTGATAACGATAGTATGCGGATAAACGCGAAGAGAGCCACGAAGCGCCTCCTGTACTATGTTACAATGTCCATGGGGATGGATGATGCGACCGAGAGATACATCGATTATGCATGGGATTCAAACGCTTGCACGACCTGCTTCACGCGCCACCCTGCGCTTTCGCCGCCTACGTTCGCATCAGCGGCCATGAGCACGCTGCGCGCCCAGTCTTCCTGCGGCTCGTCGTCCGTGGAAAGCGATAGCAGCGATCCGGAGCGGCTACGAGACCACGGTGAATCGTTGCCGTCAGGGCGGGTGAGTGCCGGCATCGATGCCGACGCATACGCGTGCGGCGAGGCTGGTGGCGGGCTGCCCTCAGCATCCAGGGACATGCCTAGGCGGATAGGAGAGTGGGAAATGGACATTTCTAACTTGGGAGGTAACGCAGGCGTGCTAGGCTGCGGAGCGGTAACCATGGTGGAGGGACTGGGCATAGACGACGACCGGGGACCAGACGACGGGGTCAAGTACGGCGAAGAGGGGTTGGAGGAGCCTGAAGGAGATGCCGAACGCTTGGAGAAAAGGAGGTGCAACGAAGGACGCTTCAGTCTGACGCCGTGTCCACCTGGAGATGGTGGCACAGACCCGTTACTAGGTTTTGGTGAGGGAGGACCTCCGCCGATTGCGGGGAACTGGAACATTGGGTTCGTCACTGCGCCTCGAGGAGTTGGCGGTACCTCAGGGGAAGCCGGTTGAGCGGGATATGAGATAGAAGGCACGGGAACCTTCTCAACTATCGCCTCTCTCGCGGGTGAAGGGAGAGAATCCTCAGATGAAGCAACGAGTGGGACGTAGGTACCGCACAGAGACTCGTTCTTCGCTGATTGCGGCGGCGTCGTGAGCGAGGAGTCCGAGGCGGAGTTGAAGGAGGCCGCATCGTCCGTGCCAGATGCAGGTTCCGACATGGCATCGTCGGAGATCGTCGTGGTTGCCAGTGTTTCTGACCCCACGGCTTCTTCTCCCTGGCGGTCTTCACCGTCGTTTATAGCGGAGGTTGCATCGCGAGACTCTTCCTCTGAGTCACTCTCCTTCGCCTCAGGCTTGATATCGATCACTTGATCCGCTCGTCCGATGTCGATGACAGACGGTATCCTGGGCGAGTCCCAAAGAGACTCGGTTTCGCAGAGCACCTTTAGCAGAGGAGGCTGCATGTTCATGCTGGGGCAGAGAACGAGGAGCAAATTGCTGAGAGGCATTTTCGTTATCTTGCTTTGCTTGGTGGTCTCCCTGACGAGATCGACGACAGTACGTAGCAAGTCTCGATTCTCTTGAGGTAGGCGGACGACCAACGACGACAAGGCGTTGAGTAACGAGTCCGAAGGAGGGCGTACGCCTGAAAACGTTGGCATAGCGAGTGTTGACAGCGACGGAGGTTTGCGAAGGGGAGCCGGTACACCTCTTGGTCCAGTAGGCAAACCAGGACCCTTTCCACCAGCGGCTGTGAGCTTGGTCGGGGAACCTGCGTCTTGCGCGCGAGCTTCGGTTTCCCGGGACATAGCAAGGTCGAAGTATGGAAGAAGTTCGTGCGTCAAGATCGGCTCTGGCACTGTTCGATCTTGTCAGCAGCGTGATGACATACTAGCGCAAGTGGTACGCACGTTCACGAAGATACGCTTTGAACACCGACGCCACAGCATGCGGGTCCAGATCGCCGGGCGTGCATTCTGAAACATCGTAATCCGCACCTGTGGGTCATGTGTCAGAGACTTCCAGCCGATGGATCCCTGAGGATAACTGACCTGTGTCGAATTCCGCCCGAAGCTTGGCTATATGTGAAGCCCGACCGCTGATGCTGCAAATGGGAGTCATGAAGGAATCAACACTGAAAGGCTTGATAACTCACCGGAACAGCCCCTCTTCGTCGACACCCCATTTCAATATGTGCTGGGCGCACCGGACGACGAGTGCAGGTAGCTTCCGGCTCTCCAGCTGGAGCATCAAGTCACCCAAACGCCCTTCGAACTTGTATCCGGGGCGCTGCACCACCGGGGTATCTCTCGCGCATGCCTTGAGGCTACGACCAAACACAGCGTTGAGACCCACATTGCCGCGCAACTGTGGGCCGAGGATTGGTCCAACCGGGACGGGAATAAATGCTTCGTTCTCTGACACAGAGGAGCTAGTACCCGAAGAGTTGATGCTCCAGGTCGCCGACGGAGCATTCGGCGTTCGCCTTCCTTTGCCCTTGCCCAGCTGCGCGAAGGCCGACGGCGCCGATGAGTTCGGATGGGAACGTCCAAGGGAGTCGTCGAACGTTGGCCGACTGGGATAGGATGACGGTGCAGCGCCGGGTGGTGTCGTTGCCGCCTGAGCAGGCGAGCTACCAGAGCCCCCGAAACCTGCCCACGCCCGCCCAACCTTCTCAGCCGCACGCCTGCCCAACCCCATAGCGAATCCGGCAGTTCCGCTGGTCATACTGAGGGCGGTCTGACGCATCGATGGAGGCACTTGAAGAGTCTGCGCTGCCATGCGCTCTGGATGGACCGGCGGCGGCGCCGCGCGGTCTGCACCTTGCTTGGAAGATGATGCCGATGCGTTAGCAGCCGCGGTCCAAGCAGCGAGACGCCCCTTGATGTTCCCAGAGGACGCACTGCTGGGTGGATCTGAGGAGATTATCCCCGTCGCTGCAGCCTTTGACAACGTCGGAGGATCTCGATGCGCTGCGCCAGGGGACGTGGGTTTGCTCGTTGATCGCGGTACCTCCGAAAAGTAACCGGCGTCGGCGTCTTCAAAAGCACTGGTCAAAGCCGGGGTGGAAGGCTTCGATCGCAGTCCAAAAGTCGAACCAAGGTTCAGTGATATGGATCGCCTATTCCTAGCTTTGACTGATGACGCCGGGGAGTCCTTCCTAGGTCGCGGTATAGCGCCCATGGACGCAGAGTGGGGTACATCCTCAGCCTCGGCCTTGCCTTCTTCCTCTTCTGGCGTGGCAAACTCGGCGTCCGTGATCAACGCGCTGAGACGCTTGTTGACCGGTGTAATAGTCTGAACGGAATGCACGGAATCGGCGATGGAGACTGGCCTAGGGGTATTATTGCCGGCGTTGGCGCGGGGTCTGACAGTGACATGGCTGGTCATGGTGGAGTCGCTCTTCCGCCAGTCCTCCTTCTGCTTCTGCTTCGCCTCGTCTTCTTCTCTCTCCCTTGCTTGCGGTTGGTTCGAGTCCGCAGCCATCTCCTGCAGGGCGGCAGCGATACTGCTTTGCTCTGTTTCTTGAGGTGGCTGGGTATGATCACGGATGAACTGCAATGCAGGGGCGGAGCCTGGACTGAACATCATCGATGGGACACGGGGTTCCGTCTGTGTTGAGGTCGGTCCCACGGCGGCTTTCTTGGGTTGCAGGTTTAGTGGCTTTGGAGGGAGAGGTGGCGGTCGTCCAGACGGTGACTTGACGGAAGGCGGCGCGCTGGGATGTTTCCGCCCAGCGATGGCATGCAAAGTAGAAGAAGCAATCTGTAACGTCAACTGTTTTGCGCCCTTGTGCTGTCGTTGGAACGTCTCCTGTATCCCGGCCGCGGGGGTAGAGTGTGACACCAGTGCCTGCTCCGACTGCGAAGAGCTTGAAGGTTCCCTGCCTTTCGAGCTTTTCTGCATCTGGGTGAATAGCGCAGTCGAGTCCTCTGACTTCTTTCGGCGACCGGCGAACGCCCGTTTCAGTTTGCCCCCAGTCGTCAGGCCGCCGGCCAAGGTCGTACCCTTGGCGGGTGGTTGCGCTCCGCCGGCCGCCGCAGGACTCGGGACTGGCCGACTTAAAGCCTGGCCCATTGAGGAAGGTGAAGTGGATGATGTGGCAGGGGAGGGAGAGACGGAGGTTGGAATGGGGGTTGAGCCACTTCTGGGCGGTTTCAGGGAGGAGAACGAGGCGCCGTCATCGGAGGTGACGGTATCTGACCGGCTAGAGCTGGTGCGTGGCGGGACCGACTGCAGCATGGAAGAAGCGACAGACGACGACAACGAGGACGCCACGGAGCTCGAGGAGGAAGCGGAGGGTAAATGACCAGGACGTGGCGCCTGGGGTTGGGAGTGGTACATGACACCGTCCGAGTTGAATGCAGTTCTAATTAGTGGTTCCAGTCGTTCCGGTAAATACTTGTTGTTGATATCTTGAAGCGACGCGTGCCAGAAGGGCATCGTTGGCGGGAGCGGGAGGACAACGAGGATAACGCACGGCGGTGGATCAGAATACCGCCCATCTCCTGATGGAGAACTCGACTCACTTGATATGGTGATGCAACTTAGATAGACCAAAACATACAGAGAAGGAAAACCAGTCGATGAGCGGACAAGGACCAACGTCGCCCGCAACGTCAAGACGGACAAGACGCGGGCGTGGCAGAGTGAGCAAGGAGCAAGCAGGTCAACCGGTCACGGCTCTCAACGCATGCCACCCACCATTCTGGAGAAAACGCCCGGTCGCGGGGCTTTGCTCACGCATTCTGATCTCAGTTGCTCGGAAGAGCCGGCATTGTCTTCTAATGGATCTTCTATTGTAATGGATCCGAATCGTCCATTTTCCAAGCTAACAGATCCCGATGAGCTAGTATATATACAACACCAGCACAAACAAGGTGCCGACGCGTCCATTATGCACGGTCATTATTGTTATAGGCTGAGGAGGTAGTCCTTCACCAGTTCGTAGGTAAAGAAGGAAGTTGCGATCTTGAGAACGAGGTTAGCGTGCCTGGTCTGCAGGAGATAAGACGGAAGCTCTTACGGATGGCGCAACTTTGACTGAATCGATGAAATGTCATTATCTGCAGAACTCCGGAAGGAACTCAGACACGCACGTAGGTTTGGCCATAGGCCTCTATAGAGTCCCTTCACGCCTTCCCTGCGGAGAATACTTCGCACGGCATCGAAGGCACTATCGTACTTTTCTCCCAAGGCACCTGCTGCAGCCATCCCAGACATTTGCATCTTACGCCTAAGCACGTCCACCGGATACGTGAGCGACTGCGATATCGTGCCGGCGAGAGCACCGCAAAGCAGTTTCCTCGGTATGCTGCTCTTCCCTGGAGGTGTGATCACGCCTCTTAACGCCTCGTATGCCGCAAAGTTGATGCCAACATAAGGCCTATAAAGTATTCAGCAAATATCGGCAGCAGGGTCAGGTCAGGACAACGCACGCTACACCGAATGCCGTGGTGAAGAGACCACGATACAACCTATTCACAGGTACTGAGCGTCGTTCGAGACAGTAGAAAGTAAGACACACCCGCGGATACCGCCCTCCTCTAGCATAACCTTCCTTGTCATCCCCATCATCGTCAGTTCTGACTTCAGGAACTTGGCCGGCTGACCCGCGGCAGGGTGACCAGGTACGGATGCTGACAACGATGCTCGTGCCAGAGGTATGGATGCGGTCGCAATTGACAGTCGAGAACGAACGAGGTCTAAAGGATAAGTTGCGCCTGGTTCGCAAGTTCTCAGCACCTCTTCGCAATATATCGGCTAACGCTATACTTACAGACAGATGTAATCCCAGCCAGTGCGCCACTGCACAATCGACGCGGTATATCGAGTTCTCTGGTTCCACCGGCCGTGAACCACTGGCGTTGGGTCGTCAGCAAATCCTTCGGACGGTCAACTGTCACGCGAGTAATGCGCGCTCACCTTCTTGATCTGTTCGTAGGCTGTAAACTGAACGGCGCTGTACGGAACAATTCTGGAGAGAACTGTCGCTTTAGGCGTAGGCACAAATGTTTATATTACCTTACGCACCGTACGCAGTTAATGCCATTTCCCCTCATGAATCCTCTCCAACCTTCTTCTCTCCACATCCTTACCAAACTCCTCCATACTCCCCTGTACTGCTGATCCGAAGATGCTGATGACTGCACCTGTCTGCGCACGTTCAGCACATTCCATCTACCGAATGGAACCGGGTCTCCGAACTCAGCTGGATAATTTTCAACCGTTCTAGAGGCGATACCACAGTTCTACTGGCAGCACCCGCCGCACCTCCAGCAATGAAGTAAACTGTTATATAGCCAAACGGCATGCGATCAGCAGACATCATGGACGCCAGAAGAGAACCGCGCTAGCGTACTGGCAACGGAAGAGTCCAAGCCAAGTAAACGTTTGGGTACCGCAGGTTGTGCGGTCACTGCGGTCGTCATGATCGCCAATGGCTAGGGTTGTTCGCTATAAGGACATGTATGCACCGGACCGAGGGTGATGAGGTAGCGCGAGGAGAGTGGACCGGACGAGAAAGGCAACTGCATCTTTCTGCCATCGGGCACGTTTCAATCCCAGACGTGTGAAGGCGCGCCCTGTAAACGGACAGCGAGCCAGTCGGAGCATCCTCGCTGCAAATGCGGTCTGCACACATTCAGTCAAATGCAGCAAGATCGGTTGAAGGCAAGCTATATACAGGAGTCCGAGCTACGATATTAGTGGGTCAAACACAGCACATCCTGCACGACTCTGCAATTCACTGGGCTCTGAGTGCACGTTCAGCGTGCTTTTGTTGATGCTTTCATGCCACCGGGGTTGCTGGAGACCCTCCGCGACTCTCTCCATGGGACCCTGATCAACCTAGCTCAGCGATACCGACGGGGTGAGATGAAACGCCGCATTAACGTACCGCCTCGATCACCTCGACCACGGCCACGGCCTCTGCCACGGTACTCACCGCCTCCTCCACCCCTCCACTCGCCATCGCCGCGTCCCCGGTATCCTATACGTACGGAGATGAGCATGTTTTGGATAGTGGCATTTTCAAGTCATCATACCTCCGCGTTCACCGCCTCTAAATCCTCCACGGCCCCGTCCCTCTCCCCGGAAACCACCACGGTCGCCGCGGTACCCTCCGCGGTAATCGCCGCGATGACCACCACGCTCGCCACGGAAGCTACCGCGAGATCCACCGCGCCCTCGGCCACCACGGTGAGGCGTCATGAAACCATCCTCTCCTTCTACAGGTGGTGGGCCGTTGGCCCGCGGCTCAGCGCTAGCCTGGGGGGCAGCAGCCTCAGGAGCGGGGGTACCAGATCCTTCAGGCGTACCGAAGCTAGCTTGAACCTCAGAGATCGGAGGTAATCCGCCATCGTCGTCAGCCCAGTTGAGATTATCGTTGTTGCCGGATATCTGAGGTCGTACATGTTGAATATGAGGAGAATGATTCACCAGAATTCGTGATGAAAGACCATTCACCTCGATTTCCGTCTTTTCGACTTCAACCGTTTCTTCGACAATCTGGCCATTAATCGTGACCTCGGTGACAGTGGTCTCCTCAACAGTCGCGTGCATGGATTCCTGAGGGGCGGGCTCCTCGAGCTCACTATCCTGCATGAACGAGATGCCGCCGCCGAGTGGGGCGGCAGCGGGCACAACGACAACAGCAGGCTCCTCGGCAATCGCTTCTTCAAGGGCAGCCTCGATAGCTTCTTCAAGGATCTCCTCTGGCTCAGGCGCAGGAGGATTCAAGTAGAGCTGGGTTATATCGTGCAGCCGTGCATCTATGACGTACCGTTGTCAGCCAAATTATCGAGAGTAGCGCAATCGTTCCGCAGCCTTGCGGACTCACAGGCAACGCCCTCGTAGTCGCCAGCTCCGCTGAGGAAACCGCTGAGAATGTCATCCTTCTCTTCAGCATCGCCAAGGAGTGTGTTAGTCACGCCGTGTATCGCTGCGCTCTCAGGTTCACTCAGGCTCAGCGACGCAACCTGAGGGTGACCCTGCGAAAGGAGTGACTGTAGCCGAATGAAAGATAAAAGGGTGGCCAATTTCGACGTATACAATGCCTGTTAAAACCTGTTAGCGTCAACGTATATTGAAGGTACCGAGACGCTCCTACTTCCGTGGCGGCGATGGCAGAAGCGACGCGTTCGTTCTGAATGCGTTCTGCTTCCACACGCTGGGCGGCCAGCTCAATAGCGAGCTCCGCTTCGTGAGCCTAAGATGGATATATCATGGATTCGTGCCACCGACGTGGCGGCGAACAGACCTCGATAGCCTTCTTGATTTCCTCCACCTCCTTGTGCACGGCATGAAGCGAGGGAAGCGTCTTAAGCGTTTCGCGCTGATCCTGATTCAAAGTTGCGGGATCACTTGACGCATACGTCTCGACCCTGGACTGGAGATTCGTGGAATGGATGAATATATGGGTAAGATGTTAGGCACTGTCCAAACGTACAATTTTCTTCCCAAGAGCCTTTTGCCGCTTGGTCAGAAGCTGGATGATTGGGCTCGCCCTCGCCTCGGCAGCTGTCAACCCATCCGCGCTCACGGTTGGAGCGACCAAGTCGGGTGCAACGGTGCCAGCGTAAACATCGTTCAGTCCCGGTGCCTTCTCTGTCGTCGAAGCATCGAGAGTGTCGAGGACGACGACGGGTGTAGCAGGAGTAGACGGTTCGTTGGCCGCTTTGGCACCCTTACGCTTTTTTTTGTGCTGCGATTTTGACGTCGGCGGCGGCGGCGCACCGGGTACAACTCTGGTGGTGTCGGCCATTGTTTCTGTGTGGCTGTATGCAACGGCGAAGGGTGTAAGGAGCGGGAGGGTGGGCAAAGACGCGTCCACCAGCTGAGTATAGAGTTCGACTCGGCCGACTTCACAGCCATGACGTTTGATACGAATTCTTGAGTGGCGCTTGAACTTGTCGAGTTCAATCTCCTTGCTTGTTTTCGACAACCATGGTGGTGTGGCCGGTTGATTATTCCCTGTATCTGGTCACTGGTCGAGAGCTGCTGCCCTCTGGCAAGGTGGTTACGACGTTCATCGTTGCTCTCAGAGAGAGCGCGACATGACATGCGTTTTTCAAGGTCTACGAAACATGGTTGCAATCGGTGTTATCCACAGGAGCAGTGACCGTGGTCCAGGTTCGAGAGAAAGATGCCGATACCGGCGAGGTACGAGAAGACTATGATTCGTTTCTTACGTTCGACACAACGTGTCCTATCCACGAACCCCACACGCAAAAGTCTTGCGCTTGGATCGAGCATGCAGGATCTTCGGATGCTCATCTAAAACTCGTGATCTCCGCAGTTCCTCGACATCGCATCCCGGACGAAGAAGTTCTGTGATTTGTTCAATATACCGCTTATCATCAATGACCGAGTTGATATCGCCTTGGCCATGGGTGCGGCTGGCGTTCATCTGGGCCAATCCGACATGCCAGTTGCCGTGGCTCGCAGACTTCTGCAGCAAGGCTCGATAATCGGCGTCTCCTGTAATAACGTGGAACAAGTGCGACCATACCATTATTCGTCTCCGGTTCGACGCGTGCTTGATCGTCATGGTGTCTAGGTGAGAAAAGCGGTCCAGGACGGAGCGGACTATATTGGCATAGGCGCTGTCTGGGGAACCCAGACTAAGAAACTCACGAATCCTATTATCGGAGTCAGAGGCGTCGGAGAGATGCTCCGCGAGCTCGATGGAACGACGGTCAAGGCTGTCGCTATAGGCACGCTCAACTCCAACTCATAACTTCCGGACGGGGATCTCAAAGCTCCTTATTAGGTGGCATCAAGACCACGAACGTATTGCGAACTTTACATGGATCCATCTCCACCACAGGGCATGCCCTCGACGGCGTTGCCGTCGTGAGCGAACTAGTAGCTTCGCCCGATCCTGCTGGAGTGGCGCAAACCCTTGCTACGTCCATCAAGGGCTTCAAATCGGAGCCGCTGCATACGTTCTCCAATGCCCATATCCATCGTAGCCTTGCAGTAGGCTCTGCGTATACCCAGGATTCTATTATCGCATCGGCATCCGCTTTGATAGGCGCTGTCAGGTCTCTCAAACCGCTTGTTCATCAGGTTCGCTCAGTAAATCCAGCATTGGGTTCGGCCCATCACCTTATTTTGTCCAGATCACGAACAATGTGGTGACTACACAATCTGCCAATGCGACTATCGCCCTGGGAGCGAGCCCGATCATGGCCACTGCGCCAGAGGAAATGAAAGATCTGGCCAGAGTGCCAGGTGCCCTTCTCGTGAATTTCGGAACGATTGCGAATAAAGATGGAATGCTTGTCGCGGGCGAGCTCTGACTTACCTTGGAACGTTGCGTATTCTCTAACGATTGCGAAGGTCATTATGCCAACCTCAAGCGTAAGCCGATCGTTTTCGATCCTGTAGGAGTTGGCGCGACAGAATTTCGAAGAAGGATCGCGAACGGTAATGGCGGATTCCAGCACTTCCAGGCATTCGTTTGATGATCAGTCTAGAACTGCTCAACACATGGCAGTCGACCGTCATAAAAGGTAATGCGGCGGAATTGGGAGCGCTAGCAAACTCCTCCGAAGTCACGTCCAAGGGAGTTGATAGTAACGGAGGTCAATGCATTGCTTGTTGTTCTCGCCCGCCGCTGACCTATTCCTTCGTCAGAGTTCGCAGACGCTGCTTCTGTCATCAAGCAGCTTGCCTTGACAGAAAGTCATGTCATACGAAATCGTTTTATATGATGAGACACTGACATTTTCCTAGGATGCATCGTGGTCCTTACGGGAGCGGTAGACTTTATCACTGACGGGAGGACCGTCGTTCGCTTAGCCAACGGACATCCGCTTTTAGGAGACATAACCGGCTCCGGTGCGATTCGTATGTCGAATGACGCACTTTTTGTGCTGAATATGGACCCCCAAACAGGCTGTATGACTGGCACCTCCATCGCAACCTTTTGTGGTGCGGCATGTATGGCAGCCGCCTTTCAAGGAGACTACATCTCCAGCACGAGGTTAGCCCACGGCGACATGCTTATCGCCGCGGTCGCAGGGTATGCTGCCAGTATCATGCCATTGAATTTCGCATTGACGTCTCGACCATCAGCGTCCTTGCGATCTGTATCGCTGCGGAGATCGCCGCCGTACGCCCTGACGTGCATGGACCTGGAACATTCCTGCCGGCACTCATTGATGAACTCGCGCACCTCACGCCGGACGTCATCGCAGCGCGCGCCAAAGTCGAGATTTCGGACGATTTTGAACAGAATACCATGTCGGAGTAGATATCAGCACAATGTAACAATGCTACAAGTTTGTAATGCGATGCAGGTCGTGCTCATTCCCCATGCTCCTTGACGGCCCCTCCTAGCATCTGGCGCCAATGTAGACGTCGACGAACCGCTATGGTGAACAAGAGACCCGGGAGAGGCAAGCGATCGTGCAATCCTGCGGACTGGCATGGGGTTACGCGCAAACGACTTGACCAGCTTGCTCGCCTCCTGCGCAGACCGTCGTCGCTTCGTCCTCAGCGAAGATGCGCTCTGCGCTATATTTCCTGCTGAAAGCTTGAGACACGCTCGTTCCGAGACTGCCCCGTCGCGTCGATAACGCCACGGTGGTGGTGGCGGGATATAGCGGCGTCGGTGGCGGCGCCTTTACCCCCGACCGCGACGTCGAACCAGGGCCAGCTTCGTCGTTTGCATGCTCCAGTAGCTCGTCGCGATCATCGCCGTCTTTGGATGCACGATGCTCTGGCTTAAGAGGCAGAGGCGGAGGTGCCTCTCGCTTCCGAGATCCATGAGCTGAGTTCGAAACAGCCGATGACCTGTTATGAGTGATCAGGTCCAATATCGAGGACAATAAGCTGGTTCAGCCTACATGGAGTCGAACAATGCATGCATGACGGACTGTGAGGACTTGGAGAAGGCTAATAAGATCGAGTATGAGACGGCACACCTGGTGTTAGTTGGGGATCGGCCGGGTACTTATACGCGCAAACGAGAAGCCGGTGTCTGTGGCTTTCCACGTAAACACGCATGGCGTTGGGGCCACATACGCGCAACGACCGCGTGGTCATATTATTGTCAAGGTCAGAGTTTCGCGCGTTTTAGCGTGTCGGTGTATGCTCCTATGCCACCCGTCAGATAGAAGCTTCAGGGTCAACATACTGTGACAAGTATTCGGACTGATGGCTCCGTAGTAGCATAGAGCTATCTTGCACGGGTTTATGTGGTCCTCCAGGACGTTGTGACTCGGGGCGCCTGTTTGAAGACGAACACGGTCCGAATCGATGAAGCAAGTGATAGCATTATGAATAAGCAGTCATAGGATAGTATCCCGATCGCGAGCCATCAAGGACGAGGCCCCTTCTCAAACCCGGCTGGTATCGGGGTTAAACGATTCCGAGATCAAAAGGTCCTACGGCGGGTCAGCGTTGTCACGTCAAGGAGCACAGCAGACGAATTCGCAGACCTCCGGTGCGAATGGCCATTCGTCGAACACCTTCACAATCTTGGCCCAGTCATCGAGGGACAGCTTTTTGATAGGTTGCTTGATGTCCACACCAGTAGCAGCGATGGGTTTGATCAGCGCAGCAGCACCCGGAGCAAGCGAGCCTATTGCACTGCGCAAGGCCGTGGACTTCAAGACGAACAACCGTCTAAGAACGTAATCCCACTTCTCCAACTGGCCAGGCGCTATGGCCTTATTAGAGCGTCTAAGTATGTATTTCGTAGCGTTGATTATAGCGCGCATGACTTACAACATGCTCCTTCGGAGTAACGTTGACGACAACGTGAGGGTGGCCGATGCGACGAGCCTCTGGTCGCTTTTCCTGGTGCGGGCTCATCTACGGCAGCAAAGTCAGCAACATCGTGTAGTCTGTCGATTCCCTGACTATATCGGAGAAATAGGCGTGCCTTCGAAGTGGTGGGATGAAAATGATCATCGTAAGGCAGCAGGCGATCTCTAGGGACGGCTAAGGAGGAGCTAGCGAGGGCTTCCGCTATGATGGAAAGCTTGCATCGTGTATTGGAGCCGGCTGGGGCACTGATTCTCTGTCAAATTGCCCAACGTCAGCTCGACGAGATCGGATGGTAAGCTGGAGTAGAAGCACCTGCCACAACCATTCGCCCATGATCAGATTCATCGGCATTCTCCCGTACTTGTATAGCCAGGCACGGTCTGGAATGTTTCGGTAGAATTGATTCACCAACTGTTCTCCGGGTATGTTATGAGGTACGTGGGCGATGAATCGCAAGGACGGATGTACTGAAGTAGCGGATGTCAAGACATAAAACATGAGCTACCGCGATAATTCTTTACGTTGTTCCCAGGGATATGTTTGGACATCGTCAAGTAGTCCCATTTCCTCGAGGATGGGATATGTGTCCCAAAAATATCCGGAACGCTGGACAACCGTCACGCGATCGTCGACTTCTTCCAGGGGCTAACGCTGATGATTAGCATGAGTACTGAGCAGTTGTATTCCGATATGACGGTATACAATGCACATTGATTAGCAGATATTCACCTTAAGCCAATCATAGTATTGCCCGTAGTCTTCCAAGACGATGATCCTGCGAACGCGACTCCTCGGCAATTTCATGAGACCGCGAGTCAAAGCACCCGGACCTAGCAGATCAAAATTAGCGTGTCAATGTCATACTGGACGCACAGTTACCTGGAAATGCCTCTATAATTACGCTGCCCTCTGGCTCTCTGTTCTCCCGCGTGCGTTGCATGGCGGGATGGTCTTTCATGTCGGGAACAAGGACAGGGGCGAGGTCGGTGGCCGTCTCAAGATTTCGCAGTGAGATACGGTCCCTGACAAGAACAGGTGTGGTCTTGAAGATATTTCTCCAGTCGATGGGCGGAGGCAGCTCAACGGACGGCACGGTGCCCGTTCTCTCGGAGTAGTGTCTGCGGCATCGCGTCAAGGCAGGAGAAAAATCCGGGTGCTTAAGACGCGTCGTCGCTTTGTCGCCGAGCTTGCGCAGCATGCTTGCAAAGATTGTAGGTCAGGGGAAGAGCAAGGCAAGTGGACAGGCAGCAGGAAATCCTTCGCGCGCTCACGTGGAAGCTTCTCGTGGGGGAGTTTCTTCGGGATCTTCCGCTGTGTATAGTCGGTCGACCTTTCTCGAGTCCTCTTGCACGAACCCGCACACTGGAAATCTGCTTGGGGAGATTATTGCGGCCCGTTGTGCACGCTCCACCTTAGTCTTTAACAATGCCAACTACACACATAACATACCAAGAGACGGCGCATTGTCTCGTGTGCGCCTGCCCCATCGGCGCGAAGTGGAAGGCAAACTCCATGGGATTGCATGCTATGATTTACGCAAACGCGCTGTGGCGACCGGTGCAGATTTTAAAGCGCTTCCTTCTTACCGGGTTCCAAGGGAACCTTGATATCTTCACCGTTTCCGGCGAGCGGAAGAGTGGCCATCCTGAACAAGTTCAGAACATTCATGCGCCGTAGGCCGTCGATCACCTTGATTCTTCTGCCACAACAAGTCGAGGCACAGCAATTGACTCCCTAGGTGGCATTGCAACCCCCTAGTGGCCCCAGGAACGAGCGCCTTCGGCCATTTAAAATGCTGATGACTTCGCCCATTAAACCGTGCCCTCTTCCTTTTCACTTCTCCCCCGCAGACTCGCGTCGCATCAGGCATGCTTCGCAAGCTATCTGACAGAATCAGGAATCACTCCAGGCAGTGCGTATGCCCGCACCTGATCTTCTTCTCGGATTGCTGACGCATATGTTGCAGGCGCTCGACTAGTGAAGGAGCGCGACGATCTCCCTTAGACGCCCGGGATACTTTGTGCTCGGATGGTGCACGATCAACGTATCACGTCGTTCCGCCTTCCCCGGCGAACGAGCTGGGCTCCCGGATCGGTCCTGAAACGCGTCACCCTATCTTCACCAGCCAGAGCTTCCCTCGCCGGAGTGCAGAGCGTTCGTCAAAGGCCCCCGTCAAGCTCGATTTTTTCCCTGGTGGATCCCGTTCAAGGCCCGCTCAGCAGGCCAGCCCTTCCGTCGCAAAGCGCCTGCTAGCATCGATGTCCTTTAACAGGAATCACGTTTCTTCCACCACGTCTACTCCAGCGAATATCAGGGAGATGAACATCGGCATTCCCAAGAAATTGAAGGCTGAGTATACGATACGGGCGCGGAGGGAAGACTCTGCCCTGCCAGCCGCTTCCGGTCCCGTTACGCGTCCTCATAGAGTCCCTGGATCAAGCGGACGGCCCACCGACCGGGCGACACGCCAGTCAGCTGCTACTCTCGAGTCACTGGATCTTGCCGTCGAGCTCGCGCCTCCGCCTGTGCCCGCCAGGACGGCCATGATACGATATGGGGGCACCGGGCTCCAGGGAACGGGGTATCTCGCTGAGGCCACGGCCGTTCGCTCTCGCAACCCACGCCCAGACGACGGCCCGTTCAAGGTGGTGGTGGTAGACCAGGCAAACCGTATCTCTCAAACCGTATCGGTTCACAGCCAGTTTCCGGGCAGCCCAGTCAACCAGGCCGCGGGGGCGTGTCAACCTCCGCCGGTCCCATCACCATCTGGGTCGCCCACGAGTTGGGATTGGCCACGGCCGCCCACTCACATGCCACCTAGCGTACATGCAATCGTCAACACTCGCGTGTCGCCTTCATCGTCCGACAGGAGCCGCCGTATTCATTCTCCAGAGCAGTCACTAGACAAGATGCAGCGCCGCATCGAGCTCGGGCTTGGCGCTGACATTAAGCGAGGAGCGCCTCACGTCAACAAGGGCAACGGACGTGCGGTTCGCGAGAAGAATAGGGATGGCATCGTTTATCATCAGATCCCGGATATTGCCAGGACCAGGGAACCGGCAGCGACTTACCACGGGTCTACCCACAGAATGAGGCCGTCTCTACCAATTGGGCCGCTCGTCGCAAACTCTATGGGAGTGAAGGCGCGCTCGCAGTCACGTTCACCTCTGGCGCCGGTGGTACCCGTCCATGGGACTTCCGCGCTTCATACCCAAACACGATCTCCAATGCATGCTCCCTCTGCTCCCTCGCACAAGATACGCGAGAAACCCGTCCCTGTTCCCTTCCAGCCGCATCAGCCAGAGAAGCTTCCGGCTGCTCCGCAGCCATTCAAGGTCCCGTCTCAGATGGAACACAAAGGCGTCCAAAACACCCGCGCCATGCTTCCCGGCTGGCGGGCTTAACTGGCGCTGCTTCTTCTGCTTGTGAAAGCGTAGGTACTGGCGATGACCCGCTAATGGACGTCACAGTGGTGCTCTCCCTCGTTCCTCCGCCGATGTTCGGTTCGTACATGCAAGTCCATGCATATCCGCTCCTTCTCGACCGATGCTCTCAATGTCTATCTCCTTCCCATTTTCCGTCAATCATTTGTCATTCATAGTGACCGATACCTGTACCCATTGCGATGAAACACCTCGTACACAAATAATTGACCATGATGACTGTAAATGAATATGCTTTACGCGTCAAGGATACGAGTCGATAAAAGGGACGCATGTCCCATATATATATATCGTAGCTACCGGGCTCACATTTCGAATCATACACAGTGGATCGCTAATAGTGCCATCAATCCTGTCACTCCCGCAACCACGAAGACCAGGAATTCCGCGCTGATACGCCACCAATAATCCAGTCCTATCCTAACTTACAACTATAAGCGCATCGACACTATGTACAAAAGCTTCCTGAGCTCGACCGATCGTCACTCGGCATTGTTCAGGCAGCCGCGACCACCTCCGAACCCAAGATTCTTGAGAAGGGCATATCCTCCGTGGGTTGAAGCCAATTCTTCGTATCATACTCCGCGTTTGGAGGACTTTCAATCATGTGGAACGTGTATGCATATCGTGTCTTCGGAGAGAGGTTCCGAGGTGACTTGTGCAGGACTGATCCGTGAATTATGACAAGGTCGCCCTGTACCAAGTACACGTCAGTGGCATGTGACGGCGGTGGATGAGGGATCACTACAGGTTCGCAAGGTGCAAGAACGTATTCGCTGGCACCCATGCCATCGGTAGATATTTGAGGCTCTGGTGAGTCGGTGCCAGGTGCATACACAGGCGGGTTCAGATTCTCGAAGCCAGTACCGCCTTGAGGCAAGCGAACGAAACGTTTCGTGATGGGATTCTGGTGTAAGGCAGCGTCAAGGTAATTCGCAACGTAGCATGATCAAGGTTTATGGAAGCGCACATTTTTATGAGAGCCCGGTAAGAAAGATAGCGCGCCGTTCTCCGCCGTGCATTGCTCGAGCGCAATCCAAAAACCTAAAGCAGATGGTGGAGAGGTATACTACAGGTTGCATTATACACAGCAAAGGCTACGGGAAAACATCAAACTTACGAGAAACGTCCTGTAAAGAGTCGTTGCAGGGTTGCAGGCGCATTGCAGTGTACATATTGTACGTACGAATCATTATGTTCTCCCACTACACGGTCTGGTATCAGCATCATGCCATGTTTGAAAGAGGTCGAATCATACCTTCGCCACCAATATGCGGTTGCTTACATATTACCATGCTCTGCAGCGCCGCTGGGTCCTTGTGGAATTTCAGATCCTTGACGAGCGACTTCATCTTTGGATTCTCAAGTGTGACCCTGCGGAACTCCGGGTCAAGCTCGTGCAACGCATGCCCGATCTTGTTGACGGCAAGGCTCTTGGGCTTGATCAGCTCGCCGCTTGGTGATACAGCGTCCTCTGCTCCATCGTGTTGAGTGCTCAGGAAACAAAGTGGCGGAATAGAGCATTACCTTCGAGGAAGAAACGTATCTTGTCTCCCGAAGTGAGGAAGTAGTCATCTCCAACGTGATTATCGTCGCCCGTAGTGAACTTGGTCTGGTGGACTCCGTCGGTTACTATGTTGTGCTCACCCTGCAGTAGGTGGTCATGACTCACCAGGGGATGGTTGTTGATATCAAACTCGTCTATAAGTTGCTTGGAGCGGTACAAGAGCCGCTGAGCCTCCTCTTTGGTGAGAAATCCAGGCAGGCACAGATACCTGTCGAGGCGAGCATCAATATGTCGACCGGTCGCCGAACTCTGTGCAGTTCCAATTCACCCGTCGCGGTGGAACTGGGGAAAACATATTCATGGGAAGGCAAGCATGGTTCCAGATTATCGTATGAGGCTCAGCTATGATCATCAATCGAGCTAACCTGGTCGATTTGCTGCTGGGTCAGATATTCGAAGGCCATGGTCGCTGCATCAAGATAAGATGTATAGGAGCCGCCGCTCAGTAACGCCTGTCACGCCGTCACCGCGAGCGCGTTACGCAACGCGTTCATTCATAGGAACCACTTACAGAACGTAAGGTAAATACGGCATACTTGGCTTCGAGAACACATCTACACTACTCGTTGACGACAGGAGGGAGCAATCCGAGTGCTCATTCGGGGAGTGGGGAGCGGCAGGGGAGGGTCCGCAGGAGAGATTGTTCGGACGGCTTACGAGCGGGGAGCGAATGGGACCGGACAGGCATTCCGGTAGACCCGAAGGTGGCAGCGTCAGCTACACTTGAGCGGGGTGCTGGATCATGGGGAGATCCGCGGGGAGTGAGGGCTCTCAGGGGGCTCTTGGGCGGTATTGGCGGCGGAGGCAAGCGAACTATCAACCGTTCATCTATATCCGGTAGTTGATGATCGTCCGAGGATGATGGGGGTGCAGGAAAAGCAAGGTCAAGCAGATCGATTATGTCGGAATATTTGAGCCCCGTATCCGAGCAGCCAGTCCTGCAAGGAGGGTCATCGGACATAGCAGCCAAAGGCGAGGGCCCCGACGGCGGGGATGTCGGAGAGCAACGCTGAAGATAGTCTTCCTGCGCTGTTGAATGCCGGCCTGGGTCACTCGGCGTCATGGATGCAGGTGCGCGTATATCAATGACTGGGATGTCCGGAACGATCATGGTAGGTGCGATACGACGAGCGGGAGTCGATTTGGATCGTTTAGAGCGCGGAAATCTTGGGCCTGACCGGGTGCGAAAGCGGCTTCTACCGCGAGGATCATCAGCAAGTGCAGGAGAGGCCTCGTTTGATTCCGCAGGTCTATGAAAGAATTGAGTAATGGTACGGATGGCAGATGGATGAATTGCTGCTGACTGAGCCTTCGACACCGATTTCCGTCTCAAGGACAGGTGACGGAACATGGATGCCGTCATGGCGAAGGTGGGAGCAGGCTTCGTCTGGTGTTTGTGACTCCTTTTGCTAGCTCAACATCGCCCTAGATGCCTCTTTTAACCTGTGAAACGGGTGGCCTTAGGGAGTCTAGGGGGCCACTCTACTGGATTGCCGGCGTCTGGACAGGCCACCGGGGGGGCATGCAGTAAGTGGACTATCAACAGCATTCTTGTCATAAAAACAATTGTGCGATCCGGCAGTCGGGCGGGATATAGAGGTAACGATATGCTATGAATACCTATGAAGTTAGAATACCCAACAGAGAGGAGCAATACCAAATCGTCGTCGAGTCAGGCCAAGTCAAGCGGAGTTGCACTGAATTTGGGCGAAATTCCTGGCGATCAACTGCGAATTATCTCCATGTAAGCCCAAGTCTAGCCAAGTCCAGCCAGATTTGACGAACTTCGACGGGGCTGCGGGAGATCTCAATCGACTTCGATGGGTTTCGCACAGAATGGTAGAGCAAGTTCGAATTCGGCGTCACAGGTAGTAAGTGGACGTCGTGTGGGAGTTGATCAAAGTGCGGCCAAGTACGGCCAAGTGATGAGAGGTGCATCCGGAGCACAACGTATTCTTGTCCAGTGGTCAACCAGTGGTGCCAGTGAAAATCGTGATGACAGAATCATAATGCCAATGGGATGATTGTGACTGTGACTGTGGCGCTGTGAGACGCGTTACGCGACGCGCGGCGTGACCGCTACCACGTCGAGTTGCTCTCTCGCTGCACCACAATGACCGCGCCGACAATACACAAGAACCCCGCCCATTCACCCGGCCTCACCTGCCTGGCGTTCTCGCGGGATGGCTCCATGGCATACACCGGGGGCGCCGACACCCTCGTGCGCATTTGGCGGACGGACCAGGGCCCCGACCAGGAGCCTGACATCGCGATCGACGCGGTGGAGGGCGTGACGTGTGTAGTTGAAGGAAAAGACTGCTGGCTCAGCGGAAGTGAGGATGCGGAGGTTAGGAGATACCTGAAGGGCAAAACGGAGCTTGACGGGCTGGTGACCAGCGTGGTCGGTGTGTCCGTAAGGAGCCTGGCTATCGACCTGAAGGGGAACCGAGTTGCCGTCACTTCTGAGTGAGGACTTGTTATAACTGCTTAATATGTTCTGATCAACTGACATCAATTGCATATAGCGATTCCAATGTCAAGCTCATTGACCTTGACAATACGTCCAGCATTTGTCTGCTCTCGGGGCACAGCCGGGGAGTTAGACGTTCAACCTGGCATCCATCCGGTTCTATTCTTGTGTGTTACCCAGCTCTCATCATAGGGATTTTTCTCACTATGTCTCAGGCTACTTCCGGTTCCGACGGCCTCCTCATCCTGTGGGATACCTCATCCTCGAAAGTATCTCCCAATGCACCCCCTTCCATCCTGCACAAGATTGACGGTATCATCCCCAAAGTGGTAGACACCGAATCGCCCGAATTCATGCACGACTGTTCTGCAGTCTGGCACCCTTCCGGCAGCAGTTTCTTCGTCGCCAGCCGCACACACGACGTAGTGCAAATAAGCAAGGATGGGTGGAACAAGACGGCCACATTCACCGATGAGAATGGATTCGGAGCGTATACTGCGCTAGCACTCAGCCCAAACGGCGTTTACCTCGCGGCTGCATCCCAAACAGGTGTATGCGTCTGGTCTTGCCAATCCCGATGCGCACTGTTTCGATTCTCGACAAACCCTGCGGCACCCGTGCTTCAGCTTGCCTTTTGCCCAACTAAGAACATCCTAGCTTGGGTTGACGCCGACGGCGGGTTCTCGCGCGTTCCGGGAGCCATACCTACTACCAACCCTGATCCAGTCAAACCACCCCCAGGTATGATTGGTCATCTTGCTGGAAGTGTGATATCTTATTGAGCCAGCTATCACATCCACAGGAGGCGTGGCAAATAACCTAGCCCACCGGACTGAACGCTCCAAGTCCGACCTTCTGGGTTTATTCGATGACGAGGCTACGCCTGCTTCTCCCCGCAAAGGGAAAGCAGATGAGGAAGATGCTGGCGAAGATATCAATATGGTAGACCTGGATGACGACAACTGGATTTTAGACGACTTAGGGGAAGGAGCGTACAAAGGTGACAATGACGAGGCCGAGACAGACAAAGGGAGGGATAGGGCAAGCGTGAGGGAGATGGGTAGGCATCGATTTCTATGGAGCTTTCAACCAGTTGACAATTCGGATAGTGAGTGTGACAAAGGCACAACCGCCATTCCAGCCTGGATCCACGCCAATGGAGAATCGAAAGCGATATCTCGGTAAGACATGGCAGCCCTTGCCTGATAGGCATTCGCACTCATTCACGGCCACCGGCATAGCGTATAATACGATCGGAGTCATCGAAGTCACCGACCAGGACACGCACCATATCGTGAACGTAGAGTTTCACGATCGCTCTACCCGGAAAAGCTACCATTTCCAGGATCATTTCAAGTACGACCGCGCGGCCATTGGTATGTCACTTCTCTTTCCCTCTGCTTCGTCGATTGCTCGGTGGCTGAGGACCGCTGCCCAGGCGAACGCGGCGCAGTGTTCGCTTGTCAACCTGAGAACGAACACCCGGCGCATGTGATCTATAAGCCATATGGGACGTGGGCATCACAATCAGAGTGGACGTACGAACTACCGCAAGGCCAGCGGGTTCTGGGTGTCGCGGCGGGCGGGCCACCTCCTACGAAAAGCTTGAGGGTAATGAGCGACGGCGACTTGCAGGTCATTCATTCCCACATATCAGCGATAGCCTAGCTGACGGATGCCTAGGGTAACGGGTTCGTGGTCGTTGCCAGCAGCGCAGGTGACCTCACGTTCCTCAGCGGAGGAGGCGTGGAGCTCCATTGCATCGGTCTTGATGGTGACTTTGTGAGCCTGGTTGCTGGGCCAGGGTGGGTGCTTGTGATCCACAGAGAAGGCAGCACCACTATGGATGGTTCGTTTTTCGTCTACAGTCGCCAGAGGTTTCATTCCTAAACTGTGCATTAGGATCGCAGAACCTGAAAAGCACGTTAATCAGCAGCGATGATTTCTGTGTCCTACAGGAGAAGAGGCTTCCGATACCCAAGGGGCACACACTGAAATGGGTGGGTGTCACGGAGGAAGGGGTAAGAACTGTCCTTCTTTCATAACAACTGCACATTACTGAGTCGGTAATTCAGGTTCCCGCTATATACGATTCCTCTGGCATGCTGCATATCATGCCTCGCTTCCGTGTCCCATTGCGTGCGGTTTGGTCGCGCCTATTGGACACAAATGCTCTTGATCGCCGGCAGGGCAAGGATGAGTCCTACTGGCCCGTCGGCGTCACGAAGGACACATTCATGTGCCTGATCCTGAAAGGAAGACAAGAGCATCCCGGTTTCCCCAGGCCGTTGATTCAGGAGGTGGCCTTGAAGCTGCCGTTCAGACGGGTGGACAAGGATGGCAAGGATGCAAGCTTGGAGGAGCAGTAAGTACTTAGTGCCATTGAAAACATCCGAGGCTAGAACGCTGACGGCGGATCTAGCTTTGCTCGGGAGACTATGATGATAAACGTTGCCCGGGACGCGCTTGGTGACGACCTGACCACGGAGGACATCTCCAAACGCGAACTCGCTCTCGACAAAGAGCTCATCCTGCTCCTCCAAGGCGCTTGCAAGAACGACAAGCTCGCGCGAGCGATAGATCTAGTGAAGTTGTTGCATCACAACGCTTCCTTCGACACGGCGGTTCGCGTCGCGCAATTCTATCACTTGCCCGGGTTGCAGGAGAAGATCGAGGCGCTCAAAGAAGACCGAGAAGAAGAAGATCGGCTCGTGTCAGCAAGAGACAAACGAAGGGCATGGGCGTCGGATGTGGCGCCCATCCCGGACGCAAGGTTGCCTTCGGAGCGAGGAAGGATTCATGGTCAGCGGAGCAAACCGTTCCAGGACTTCGGGCCTGCGCCACCAATTCATAGACCAGGATTGAGCAGGGCGACGCCTGCCGTAGATGGTCCTCACGGCCAGCAAAATGGTAGACGGAGGTCTCCCGAGCTTGAGCTTGAGAATGAGGTCATGGATGTTACGCCCGATGGAAAGAGGAAACGATCTGGGACTGGACTAGATGAAACTCTGGATAGCGAGCCGAAACGAAGAGCAATGGACCCTCCAGGGCCCAAACCGAGTAGGTACCTTCGCTCGACGTTGGACATGCGGGTATTCATCGTCGTATAGAAGCAAACCCGTTTGCCAAGAAACCAGCAGGAGACAACCGTAATCCATTCGCGCGGAACTCGGAAAATGCCAAACCTTTACACAAGAGCGAAAGCTTCTTCAACAAGGTGGAGGCTGCCGAGACCGATTCGTCCAAGAGCATGTCGCCCACTCTTCTTACAGAGTTCATTCGTCTAACATAACTTTTGCAGAAATCAACGCGAAGGGCAAAGGCAAGAAGGAGACGACTCGTCAAACTACGCTTTTCGGTCTGCCAAGTGTTCAGGCGGAAAAGAAAAGCAAGAATAAAGTAGTAGATGCCGAGTCGGAAACGCAGTCACTGCCATCGTCAAGGACATTGGTTGATGAGGGCGACTCTCAATCCACCGATGTGACCATGATGGAGGACACGGAGGAAACTCAGCCGCTCTCGGACACCCTCGGTGCCTCCTCCCAACCGGAGGAGGAGACACAACAGGAAGATTCACAGGGAGAGACTCAAGAAGAGCAAACGCTGGTTGAGGGTGGCTCAACGGGAACGCAGGTACGTCACGACTCGAAGCAAGACGCTGCCAAAATCTAATCACATCATCACACAGACTGTCTTGGAGGGCAGTCCGGAACCTATCGAGTGGCCAGCTTCACCTGACACCACATCTCAGACTTTGGTTGATGTCGCGACATAAGGAGTTTTACATGCATATCACTGTCGGATACGGACTACTCGCACTTGTTATATGCTCTCGACTGCAATTGTATATCTATCAGCTGTGACATACATTATAACATTGAACACTGGCACAACACGACAGGAATCACGCTATACAATCCGACGGGGGAAAATATCGCCGTTAGGCGATTAGGTGGTAGCCTCGATAGCCTCGGAGCCTGTCGGGCCCACCGACGTCTCAGAGCTCTGGCCCTGAGTCCCCTCTTTCCCAGCCGCGCGGTCGTTTCCGCCGTCTGCGTCCAACTCCGGGGACTTGGTTTTTTCGACAGTCTCCTCGATCACTGTCAGAGGAGCCCCGGAACTGAACGTATCCGCAAGGGAGGTGACAGTCGACACGGCCATCTCAAGGACCGCTTCTACTCGCTTGCGGAGCGCCTCGCTGCTACTGGTTACGGTCTGGCATGAACGATAATGAGTACCATGCGGCTGCAGCTTGCAAATAGTATATAGATAACGCACCATCGTAGCTAGATTTATCCTCGCGTCAGCTTCGTCAAGCGCGACGAATAACGAGGGCTCGTTCTCGCCGTCCTCGCCTGCTTCGCGATCGGCGTCTGGCGCGTTGTCTGGCATGTACAGCTCGACTTCGCCGAAATGCGCTTCTAGGAACATGGCGAGACGCTGGATGCGCATGACCGTGGCCGACTCGGTCTCATCGTCCGCGTGGGGATGGTGGTGGTCATGGTCATGGCTGTGGGAGTGGGAGGTCACTGAGGAGATAGTCTCATTAGCTCGCATGGACACTGAACCAGTAAAGGCGGCCAAACTGACATTTCACAGAGGCGGGACTTTGATCGATGCCAGTGATCAGCGCTAGAGTTGAGTCGGCGATCATATCATTACTGGCGCTCGAGTCCCATTCCAGTGTAAGCTCGTGTTCGGCTGTTTGCTTCACATCCACTGTCCCCATGACCTGAACCATAGCTGCATTCATTTTTGCACGTCTGACCAGACCCAAGAAGAGAATCTCTTACCCGCATAGTAGGAATTCCATCCTTATCAGCGCCTTCCTCCACCTTCCCAAACATCCCTTCCAGGTGCCATCGGACTAGCTCCCAACCTACACCCAAGATCAATCGCTGCCTTTGCGTCACCACGCAAGTCGACAACCCGGCAAAATCGCGCAGGTCGCGGGGTGCGAGGAGGGTGTAAGAGTAGTCTTTCGAGACGAGCAATCCAGACAACGTCTCGTTGGCTTGCGGCGGCTTGCTGGCCAACGTCCCGATCGCCTATATGCTGTTGAGTTAGACAAATTACACGGATGACATAGGTAGACGTAGCGGCAAGGACCTTCGCGACACGCTCGCCACGGAACGTGAGATCCAGTGTTTCCGAGTTGCGCGGCATATGGATTTTGACCTCTTCATCCCGCGCTTTGTATTTCGCTTGTAGTGCCGCACTGAGACGACCCATCGCCGTCTGTTCGCCATGTACGAGGATCTGAAGGATGCCACAACATGAATACCACCCAAGAGGCTGTAGGGAAGAGGGGACGTACGACATGCTGTGCGCCAACCTTCTCGATGAATTCTTGGTTCTGCGCGCCATCGACGTGGGCAGAGAAGGAAATATAGTCGACAGAGAGCTTGCGCGGAATTGGTGCGCCCGTGCGATATGACTGGATTTCGTCCGGTTCGTTGATGATATCCTGTAAGTGGATCCAACTATCATGAGCGCGTAGTTCCTTGGATAGAGCAAAGGAGAGAAAGGGGGACGAATCAGATCCAGCCGAGTTGTGGAGTGACCGGACGCTTCCTGACGGAGTAGTCTGCGCTTGCGACGGACACACACGGCGAAGACGTTGACCGGCTTGCGCCAGTGAGAAAAGAATATATTGCTTCGCATTGATAGGTACACCCCGATTCTCTTCCCCGTTCACTCACCCTGGCAGGCGTCCCTTCCACGGAGTACCCCGTGAGTACTAATCCATTCCTCGAGTCAGGCGCCAGGAGTTCAAGGAGCTCACGGCTGTGGCACATGGGTGAAAAGATGATAACGGGATACATTGCGGATATACGTACCTTGGACCAGATTGAAGCATACCCGGCGAGGCCAAGATTACGCAGGGCGGTCCTTCGGCGAGTTTACGCTCCCAGCCGCGGTTTTGTGGTGCATGGGAAATATGTCTGAATTTACATAAGTCACCACGCAGAAAATGCCACAGGACGTTAAACACATACTTGAAGACAAAAGGATTGTCGCGCTTGGCGAAACGAGAACGAATATTGGAGTTCATGGTATGGATGTACGTTTGGTAGACGGCCATACACTTGCGAGCTAAAGATGATGCATAATAAATAGGTACCTGCACGACATCAGTGGCTGATCTCGAATTGGAAATATCTCCACGAACATTGTGAAGCTCCGGATGCTTGGACCAATACTCGTCCAGGATGAGCAGGAGCTCCTGTGCACGTCCAATAGCGAACGTCGGCATGAGGACATGGCCGCCTCTCTTAATGATGGAGTGCACGATGTTCGTGAACCGTGCCTCCTTTTCCTCTCTGCTATCTCCGCTTTGCACTCCCCACGTACTCTCCGCTATCAACACGTCCGGGCGAATCGGAGGTAACTCGGCCTTGACTAGATGCCGGTCTTCTTCGCGGGAGTAGTCGCCCGTGTACAGAATCTTGAGACCCGCAATGTCGATGAGGAACATGCAGGCGCCCAGGACGTGTCCAGCGTGATAAGGGGTGAAGGAAATACCCGGAAACGGGGTGATGAGCTGGTGCGCGGACACTGGGATGATAGACGAGAGGGACATTGACAGGTCGAGGGGGGAGAAGAGAGCGTCGGAGGATGAAGAGCTGCGCGCCACTTGGCGTCAATCGATGATGGATGAGTAGGGATATGAACGTACCTCATGCGGACGAAGTCCTGCATCATGAACTTGTACACCGCCTTTGTGGGATGCGTCATGTACACTTTTCCGTGTCCATCGCGAAAGTTTGTCTGCAGAGCACGGATTAATTGGCAAGAAGGACGATGTTGAGAGTTGCTTTTGTACCTTCTCCATAATGTAGGTCAGCGACGCGGCATGGTCTAGATGGAAACTGAGGTTCGCGAATCAGACAGAGCCATGGTGATGCATGTTTGACTCTTACTGGGTGATGAGAAGTACGTCTACGGTGCTCCAGTCGAGCTCGTCGATGAAAGGCAAAGAAGCCATGCCGGTGTATGCAGGATGAACGCCTGCATCACAAACGACAGTTTTGCCTCTGTATTGGAGCACACAACACGAGCGGCCGACCTCCTGTCCGGCACCCAGGCAAGTTACACTCAACGTTGGGACATCCGCCATGAATGCGCGGTGAGTGTCGCAGGACAAGCGTTACGGTTGACGATGAGCCACGCCCGTCCTCGACGATAATAGCTGGCGCCACGTGATCTCGAACCTCTTCCAGCAACGTTGAACCACTGCCAGTCCATCCCAGGGCCGCTCGCAATGGCCTGCAGAACCGGAAATAGACGTTTCATGCGAACAAGCACCACGCCCACCCGCCGTCTACCGGCGTCACGTTCCCAGCGCAAGCCAGGTCTCGAGTCGCAAGTCGTCTGGATATACCCCGGCACCCGACGCTGCCGTGCATGTTTCACGCGCCGTTCCACATCAAGGATACTACAGAGCTTCCTGGGATTCCGCTGTCTAAGGATGTGTTCGGCCTTATGCTTCGAGTCTCCGGGTTGTCCTCCCCGTCCTCCGTGCCTTTAGGCTTGATGCTCGCCCTCGGGCACCATCCATAAGCTCCTCGCATTACATGCTTATCGCGGTCCACAGCGCAGAATCATGACCTTTCATCTCGCCATGCTTCTGCTGAGCTTCCTAACGCTTTATACCGTCGGTCTCGGTGCATCGCATACCTCGGGCTCCGAATGCAAGTCTACGCTCAGCGTTGCCAAGGTCAGCAGTTGCTTCTAGTTGTGTCATCGTCAGACACGGGCTGACCTTCGTCTGCTAGCGAATCGTCGAACGGCTACAGTCCAACTATGATCAGACGCCAGTGTTCGGTTGTGCGTCATACCTCACGATGTGCACGCCCTCGCTTTTGCTCATCCGTATTCCGCTCTCGGTCAGATAAGGGAGGCCAACTATGGACTGACGCGGTACGCGCGCCGAACTGTGTCACTCGACGCAACAGCACTTAACATCGAGTATAGAATGCGCTAGAGGACGTCCACAACTACATGCTGTTCGCCAACTCCAAGGAATTCGACAATCTAGCCGGCACCTCTGAACTCGGAGTTCTCGCATTTCTCAACCTTGACTGGGATATCGTCCTCGACGGTTCGTACGACGACGCGCAATGGCTCATCCTTGCATACTGGAAGGTCGCCGACTACAAGAACGCGCACAACGAGGTTTCCCAGGATTACTTGGACGCCGCGCTCGCAATTTACGACCTTGTGGCGAGCCAGTGGGATACGAGTAATTGTGGCGGAGGCGTCTGGTGGAGCAAGGATCACACCTATAAGAACGCCATCACCAACGAATTGTTTATATTGACTTCGGCCGAAGGCTACAAACGTTATGGAAACCAGACAATGCTGGATAACGCTATCAAGGCATGGTCGTGGTGTACGTCGTTGACCACATTTTTTCTCACTTGATATCTGAAATTGCCTGCTATAGTGGAGGGAAGTGGTATGCGAAATGCCCAAGGCTTGTACAACGACGGCATCGATTTTATCTTCTGTCATAACAACAATGAAACTACGTGGACGTACAATCAGGTTCGTATATCCCGGTCTAGTGTTTTCAGCTTTTGTTTGGCTCACAATCACCGCCAGGGAGTTATCGCCTCTGCCCTCGGCGCCCTCTTCGCCGCCACGGGAAACACCACTCTACTATCCGAAGCCGAAATCACACTAGACGCCGCCATCAGTCACCTCACCATCGTCTCCAACGCCACCGACGCCACGGCCACCAATTCTACGATCCTGAAAGAATCTTGCGATGATGCCGTGCACTCTACCTGCAACTTGGATCAACAAATATTCAAGGGAATTTGGACGAAGCATCTCATGTACTATCTTGACTCTGCGAACGATACGAGCAGAGCACAGAAATACGCGCCTTTCATCGGCTCGCAGGCGATTGCTGTGGCAGATTTCGCTATGAACAATGACTCGGACGTTGGGAATGTATGGCGAGGATCGGAGCGGTTGCTGGAATGGGGTACAAGAAAGGCGTTCGCTGATCGTCCCGCAGGTATGCGCCCACGGAAGGCGGGTCCATCTTTGGACCCGAGTCCAGCGCCAGCGGGTTGGAAGCAATGCTAACTGCCGCTAAGGTCCGCCCTTTGACTCTCGGCTCTGTGATACATGTCCTGACGGACGTTTCTGCTCCAGTATGGCCCGTGTCCCATATCGGTTTTATCAATATCTCACGCCGAGAAGGCAAGGCCGATGAATCTGCAACTCTGGGCGACATTCGCCATTGCGTTGATGTCACTGATAGGTTCCTGATCATTTGTGGTACATCTGGCAGAGCGACCATGCATCTTGTGATCTGTCCCGATGACGATGACACGATTTTTTTTTACAACCGAACCGAATGACCTGGTGATATGGTATGCATCTCGTCACATTTCTCGATGGCATCATGAATTCGTCATATGTTCCGACTTACCCTTCTTAGCTTCGAAGCTGAAATACAGGTGTTGTTTTCCTCGCAAGGGTGCAGTGGATCTTATCATTTCAGAGCGATCTCTTCCTTTGCGACGGCCGGCCTTGCTGTAACGGACATTCATACAGCGATCATGTGATACTTGCTCTCGTCACGGCCTTCTCACCGTGCTGCTGAGCTTCCGCTGCTGAACGCTGTTCTGCTGCCCTTCCTGCTGTTCCCATGATGTGTTCCCGTGAACTACGTGACCACGAGCTCAGGAAGCCATGGGCGCGTTCGCCGCGTCCTAATGGCTCCACCCCTTTCCTCAGGTACTGCCTTGTGGTTTGATACTGGCACCCCAAGCATGAAAGACGAATCGCCTTCGAGGTCTTCGACTTACTTTTCTCTCACCCCACCATGTCCCTGTGGCTGATGATCAGCTGCATCGCTACTTCTACAGCGCTGACGCCGGCGGCACTGTCATGGCTATGTACTGAAGACAAATACGTACCACTGCGGCCTCTTGAACGTTGACGTTGTCACGGTGGAAACGCATCGACATTTCTCGTTCACTTGATGATTCCTACTCCTCTCAGTGCTTATATATAAGCATCAAGCTTGAGCTCTGACCTTGCGAAAGCGAGATGGCGAGACTCAGCATGTATGTCCGCCTTTGGTTGCTGCTTCCGTTGACTGTCGTTGCTGCTCGCCCTTATGCGAGGCAATGTCAAGCAACCTTGAACGTCGCTACGGTGAGTGTCAAGGTGAAATAACCAATGTTGTTGTTCTGATTGTTTCGTATCAGGCTGTCATTGAACGCCTCCAGTCGCACTACTTCAACACATCATCAGGCCCCGGATGTGAGCGGCATCTCATACGCGATGCGATCCATTTTCCTGACTCATGCTGCAGGGAGTGGCGGAGGCTGGACGGACTACGTGAGTTCCATACACGATGACGTCTCGGGAGGTTACTGAGGCACCTGTCTACGCTGGATTCAGAACACAGTTGAGGACTTCGGCAACTACATGCTTGCCGCAGGCTCGACGGAGTTCGATGGTGTTGCAGACCAAACTCGCATGGGTATCCAGGCAAACACGCTGAGCCAAGATTGGAACTCGTTCTTCAGCGGCTTCAATGACGACGCGCAGTGGGCCATCTTGGGCTACTGGAAGACCGCGGACTACAAGGATGCGCATGGCGAGGATTCCACCGCCTACAAGAACGCGGCGCTGTCCGTATACCAATACGTCGCTGCTCAGTATGACACATCGCTTTGCGGTGGCGGAGTTCCGTGGACCAATGGTGGAAACTATAAGAACGCGATCACGAACGAGCTCTTCTTGACGACGTCGGCGCAAGGCTATCGGCGCACCGGAGACCAAACCTTCCTCGATAATGCCCAAAAGATCTGGGCTTGGTGTAAGTGCACGTATCCTGGCCTTATGCTCATGCTAACACCCTGCTCAGTGGAACAATCTGGTATCAGGAACTCTGACGGCCTATGGAACGATGGGTTGGACGCGGACACTTGCCAGAATAACGGCGAAACGACTTGGACGTATAATCAGGTATAGACTTCCGCATGCTTTGTGGATTGACTCTGCTCATCGTTGTTCCGGTAGGGAGTGATCGCGTCAGGCCTGGGCTACCTCGGCGCCATAACCGGCAACTCCACTCTGTTCTCTCAAGCAGAACTCACTCTTGACGCCACCATTTCCAAACTGACCGAGAACGGTGTGCTGAAAGAGGCCTGTGACAGTCCGACCTCGTCCAGCTGCGGAGGAGATGGGCAACTGTTCAAGGGTATTTGGATGAAGCATGTTCAGTTCTATCTCGACGCGGTCAATGATGCCTCGCGTACTGCAAAGTACAGCTCTTTCCTCGCGGCCCAAGCATCCGCCATCGAGACCAACGCACTAACCAGCGACAACGATATTGGAAGTCTCTGGTAAGGCGCATTTCACTCGTTGGATTGTTTGGTTTCATCGACGCTATCAGGTATACGGCCGATGAGGGTGGCTCACTCTTCGGGCCAGTGGCGAGCGCCAGCGGATTAGAAGCTTTACTATCTGCAGCCAAGGTATGTATCTGATTGATCCAGAAAGCCTACGGTACTGATGAAATGACCCCAGTACGGGACGTGCTGAAGCGCACAACGACGGCAGGGAGGGTATTACGCGCACGCTTCATAACTCACGCTGGACATTTGGATTACTTGAGGGAGTTGTGCATCCTGATCACCAGTGGACTTTGCCTCCGTAAGCGACGAGGCCTTCATGTACGCACATCTGAGATCGAACGGAGTGTGTTATGCAATGGTGTCTGATCGGCTGAATGAACTTGAACCTCCTCGCTATCCTTCATCATGCATTTTCGATAGGTGATCCATCCTGCTGACCGTACAAGTACCACGGTGACTATGCATCAACCGGATATGAAACAGCAGTTGCATTTCTGTGCTCTCATGCTCGTTTCTGCATCAAAATCCTACAAAACTTCATAATAGTGGAGGTTACCCCCGAGTGAAAGTTCACACGATTGCTTCACCTTTGTCACTTGCGAGCCAGGATATTCGCGGATCGCCCATACGTCCACAAGCGTCTACATTCCAAGTCGACCTTGTTGCGGAGATGGACGAGTCGCAATTTGGCCCAGCTTCGGAGTCCGTTGATGTTGCTCGGTTCATCGCCGATGTTGAGGCACACGCACGGATCTCGTCCGCTTCAACGGAAATTCGGCGGACGTGGGACGCGCTCCCAGCAGAAACGCGCGCGTCGGTCGAGGTAGAGTGCGAGTACGTCCCCGTGCCAGTTCCGAGAGATCTGCAATGGTTCCTAATGCCTTCCCGCGTAGCTCAGTTTAACAGCGCTCCAGTCGAACCTCAACGCTACCATCTCGTCACCTCGTCTGTATGGGCATATCCTCAAGACGCACCGCGCATCGATTGCAGCTGTCTACCAGGCGGCGGATGTATCGGCGGGGAAGAGCAAGTCCAGTCGAGCGCGACCTGTGCTTTCAGATCCAGAGTTGGACGAGCCGGAAGTGATCAAACTCAGGAAGGAGCTGGACTCTGTGAAACTCAAAGCCTGGATGTGAGTGTATGTATCCGTCTTGTTCCGAACCAAGGCACTGACAATCACGCAGCACGACCGTTGATGCTGCCCTGTTCACTCGTCATGGTAAACTGTCCGATCGGAATGCTCTTTCGGAAATAGTATGTTCGGCGTACTGTTCTCCCGTGCGTCGCTCATGACCCCCATAGAAATATTTAGGTTCAGCAGGGGATCACACGCAATCGACTTCAGCGACACTGGCTTCGGAATCTCTTGCGCTCCTTGTCTTCTCAGTTCACACCCCCTTGCCGTATGTTCGCTCGTGTACGCGCCGCACGTCGCAGCATGCCGTGCATTCTTCTCAGACCTTGTACGACCTCTTCCGAAGCATTCCGTGTCCATCCAGGGAACTTCCGGAAGAAGTGGTAGACGAAGGAGGACATCCCGTCGGATATAGGCAGCACAATGACGCAAGTGGAGGCATCGAGGATGAAGAACAGCATCTGTTTGTCATTGAAGATCGCGTACATGGGGACGATGGCGCTCCAAGTTATGCCGAGTGCGTCTGATTCGCTGTAGTTGGCGCATACGTCTAACTTCTCACTACCCTATTCAGCATGCTACTTTCGCATATGCACTCCACTGCCGATACAAGGCGGGCCACCTTACAGAAGGCGACGAGCACCCGTCTCACGCGGCTGGATGCATTGACCCTAAAGGTTAACGAACCGTATTGGCTTCTCCATCAGGGCAATTGCGAGCACTTCGTGATAGTCGACGAGATAAGGTATGGGTCATTTACTCGTGGAACGAATGCAATATTTATCACGCGTATCGGATCCGTCGTAGGATGTTGCACCGTTCCGATCCTCCTACAACGTCGTTTCCCCTCACCTTGCAGATCACCCCCTTGATGCTTGATATGTGTCGCGTCTGCGGCAAGATTCCTGCTGCCGTCTCTATCACGGGCGACATGCGACTCGGAGAATCGCCGTGCGTCATATGTGAACCGTGTTGGAGTCGTATCGGGCCTCCCGTAGACGAGGATGAAGAAGAGCAAGTAGTAGTAGCTCCTCTGACGAAGTGGAGGAAGGGCTGGTGACCGAACACTATCCAAGCATTGCATGTATAGGACGCATGCCATCGAGCTTCGTCGCGAGCTACTGATTTCGACGTACAGGCCCGAACTCGGGTATGATCCACGTCTGCATTGATGAAGGGCTCAGCCGCTCGTGCTTGATGATTGGCGACGGCGGCCATATGCATGCATGAGAATAACCAGCAGAGGATATCACTGATCGGATGTACGCGGAAACAGACGTGTAATACGTGCACAGGATATCAATACCCAGAAGGGCTCCGGCGAGGGCCAGATGAGAACGAGGTTGGGCCTGATGCGAAAGGAGCCACGTACGCGCGCGTCACGTTCTCGGTCATTCCGTTCCACTCTCAGTGTCGAATCCGTCTGCTTATAACGCACACATCCGCCGTCCGCAGGAGTCCCTTCCTTCACGACGTATACCTCCAGCATTTTTTGAATCAGTAATTTGGAGCGCGAGCCCGACGGGGAACAACCTATGATGTTACCGCGTGCTCTCACGGTCCTGGCGCTTGCACTCGCGACTTCCGATGTATTGGCATCGGATGCGGAGGGTTCCTTCTTGTCGGAGACGCTGGTCCGGAAGGATCAGATACAGACGGTGTTGGAACATCAACCTGCTAGGGACGCCGATTGTCGGCGGGTGGTGAGTGCTGCTTTCACTGGTCCGTTAGCGAAGCCGTCCGAAATTCACGGCTTTGCAGCCTACAGGGCCCATAGAAACCACGACCTGTGACTACGAGACGGTGGAGAGCGTCAACGACGACCTGTACTCGCTCCTCCACGATCTGGTCACAAGACCTTTCTTCAAATACTTCCGGGTATGTCCTGCTAGATTACCAAGCCGTATTTGGCTCACCAATCCTCATGCCTAGGTAGACTTATACCGCGAATGTCCCTTCTGGCAAGAGAATGCTTTATGCATGAACCGTCAATGTGGCGTTACAACAGTAGACGAGGTACGTGGCGTAGTCGACTATCCTGGTCACGTTGATTTTCAGTACGCCCAACTAGAGCGAAATACCGGAGAAATGGAGAGCAGCCTCTCTATCCGCGATTGAGATGCCACCAGAGCATGAGGTTCGTCCAGTGTGTTCGTTGCTACAGATCACCATCAGCCTTACGTCTGCTATACAGCGTGTTGCGCTTCCGGGATGTTACTATCGAGACTCCGACTTCTGTTTCCTCGACGACTTGACCGAAGGTGACTACATCGACCTCTCACTCAATCCGGAGCGGTTCACCGGATACACCGGCCCGTCGGCCCATCGCGTCTGGAAGTCGATATACGAGGAGAACTGTTTTGGCATATCCGAAGCTGAACTTACGCTCCTGAAGGCAGGCGGTCGATCCCCGGCGCCAGTGTCTTTGCCAGAGTCGATGGCGAACCCCTTCAAAGATGAAGATTCACCGGACCCAGAACCGGAATGTCTTGAGAAAAGGATATATTACAAAATCATTTCTGGTGGGTATCAGCCTGTGTTACTGCCCTGTATGGGTGTATTCACATTTATCAGGTCTTCACGCGTCAATCTCCACCCACGTATGTTGGGAAGACTTCAATCAGACCACTGGCCAGTGGGTACGTAGCATCCACGCCATTTTCTGTTGTCCAACAAGCTCATCGAGCCTTATTAGGGGCCAAACCTGGAATGTTTCGTGAAGCGTGTCGCATCCCATCCCGAGCGGCTTCAGTACATATACTTGAATACCGTACTGCTTCTCCGCGCCGTCAACCGGATAGAGCCATACCTCTCTGCCTACGATTACTGTTCCACGGGCACGCACGAGGATGACCAAGAGACTCTGGATCAAGTTCGCCAGGTGCTATCAATTGCGAAGACCGCCGGAGGGTTCGACGAGTCGGTGCTCTTCCGTGGTGAAAACGCGAACGTGAGAACCCTCGATCCCTCTTGTTTTCCTTTCCACTGTCTGACCCTTTGTGTAGGTCCTCAAGGAGGAGTTCAAGGCACATTTCCGGAACGTGACGCGAATCATGGATTGTGTTGGCTGCGACAAATGCAGATTATGGGGCAAGGTTCAAACCTCAGGTATCGCCACCGCGCTGAAAATTCTCTTCGAACTCGATGAGAAGACGCTGGAGTGAGTAGATGTTTGCGTGTTGTTCCTTACGGAGACCGTGCTAAACGTAGTTGACCCAGCCCGAAGTCGAACCCGAACCTACTACAGCGCTCCGAAGTCGTGGCGCTCATAAACACGCTCCATCGGTTTAGCGAATCCCTCCACGCGTACGGCGAGTTCCGCCGGATGTGGGCCGATGCCGATGAGACCGAGTCATCCAAGCTCCTCCAGCAAGCAGAAGCCGCGACGAAGGCACATCCAAATATGACGCCTAACTTGCCGAACCCGCATCTGTCGCTCAAGCCGCTGTTGACGGCGGTGACGGACGGCGAGTTGCCGCTGCCGTCGACGGTGAAGGAGCGGCTGACGCAGTTGGCGAAGACGTGCACGGATGGTGTACTGGGCTGTATCAGTATCGTATCCCGGGCGATTGCGAGGATATTCGCGACGTCAGGAAAGGAGGGCGGGTTAAGAGACGAGTTTTAGTGCGCATTCTTGTGTATGGACGGATGGCCAACTCGAGCGACTTGTATGATAGAGCATCAGCCGAAAACTATCCACCTATTAATTAGTACGATTGCCAATTAACGATGTTGCCCATGAATGCCAACGAGGAACTAGAAAGAGTAGCAGAAAATTTACTACCCGCTCAACCCAGTCCCGGTACCTTCAAACCCTCTGCGGTAGTGTGCATGACCATCATGAAGTTCGATAAGAGAGTTTGAGAAATTCTGCCGGAACCAGGCCTACAGGTGATTACTTTCCAGGAACCGATTGATGGCGTTATAGGCCCCGGTTGCATTGAAGTGCATGTTGATGAGGTGACCGGTATTCGGTTGGATGATCACCTCAAAAGGACTGGCATGAGGCAGGTTCCGCCGGACCGTCGCAGGAATGCTCGGTACACTCGGGTCTCCGGTAACAAAACAGTCGCCGCCGCAGAAAATAGCGTCCTGTCTCCCCGTAAGGACGAGTGCTGGACCATTGTATTTATCAGCAGGCGCGATGGTACTGCCTGTGGTGACGATTTCTCCGAAAGCAAAGGGTAGCTTGATCTTCTCGACGAATTCTTCGTTCTCCCGAGTGACAAAAGGAGGGTACATGAATATGTACTGCTCGTTGAAGATGTCGTTATAGATGATGTAGCCTGGGTCGAGGTTCCCGAATTCCTTGGGGAGGTTCGAGCGGCCGGTGCGGACGCTGAAGCCGGCAACGGTGGCGGCGAATCCTGTGGCATTTTGACTGTATCCGGTAAGGACGATGCCGTTCGTGTTGTTCGGTGACTGTGCAGCCAGGAGGTACGCGATGACTGAACCATAGGAATGCCCTATGTGTACGATTGAGTGGGAGGCGTCGACTCCTTGGACAGCTCCTTTGCGAAGCATCGTGGTGAGGACGTCGACCGCTGCCATTTCAGCTTGCGCTTGGCAAACACTATAAGGATCAGCGAGAGTTGATTGGCCTGCACACAGGCGATCTACAGAGAACGTGCTATAACCGAACACGTCGGTCGCAACGTCCACGTAGGAGTATTTCCTGGGATCGATTGGCCAATCCCAATATCTGCCACAGTGGTCAGCGATCCATAGATACATGCAGAGAGGAAAGGACATACCTTTTGTCAAAGCTCAGACCATGAATGAGAAACTGGACCGTCTTCTTCCGCTGAACGGACGAAGTAGGTACGCAAAATTCAGCGGAGATGTTAAACCTACCCCGGACTGTCGCATAGCCGGTAAGGATGTCATTCGTATAGTTATGGCCTATGACCGTGAAGTTCTGCGCGAATTTGGTCGCATCGAAGTTGTCTTCGATCTTCTTCTGTCCACCGAACACGCCGTTGCGTGCCGAAATGTCGACAGGTAGCACAAAGTTGGTGCAGTGCTTGGCCCATGCTGCCGATAGCAGCGTCACGAACAAGATGGTGAACGGTGGGATGAACATAGCTGAAAACAACGCCTTGGAGACAATGTTCAGTGGCTGGAGACGACAGGAAAGCGAGTAGCTCACCGAGATGATCTCTTTCGACGACTGGTGCGATCTGAGACAGATACGATCCTTTTTATGCGCCCCGGTCGAACGGGTTCCAAATTGGTACGGTTTGGTCCAGCAAGCAGAATCGCCGCAAAGGATGCGCACGGAAAAGCGGGTTTGCGTTGACGGTGTCATCATTGCTCCGCCTGCTCATCAGCGACCTCCGTGACGTGAACGATCATGAGGGCATGAGGGCATGTCGCGAATAAACAGATTGGATCTACGACACTAACGGAACATGCTGAACTGCTCTTTGAGTTGGTGGGGTCGCCGGCGTCCCTGAAGAATGCCCTAGAACGATGATATCAAGTGCCTCTCGAACGATCTTTCTTTGCTGTCAAAGATGATTTCGCGCGTATTTTGCGCGATCATCACTCAAGGTCGCTCCTGATAGGCAAGTCGTCAGACGCTGCAGCTACCAGCACCGTCAGAGCGTACCTGAACGGTCCCGTCGATGGTTCCGGTTCTCCGGACACGCATGTTTGGTGGCCGCGCGGAGTTAGGTTTCTCTGCGTAAGAGCTTTATTGGCGTTGGTTTGTGTGCGTTAAGTCCGAGGGGTTTACTAGTGCAAAACGGCGTGTTTTGACTACGTGAATTCGGTGTGGTTCAATATACTTGAGTGGAGATTGTGGTAATCGAGATTGACATCGTTACAGCAATTTGCAAGCGGTATGACCCTATGGCAACTGGGCTGTCGTGGTAGCCAACTGACAGAATGGGCGTGAGCAGGACCACGTCGGCGTGAAGTCAATAGCGTAGATCACGGCAAGATGAAACAGCGGTAACTCCAGTCAGTTAGCTCCGCAGCGGTCGCAGACTACAGAGCGGGCCGGACCATCCTGACGGTCGATGCGCACTAGTTGCCGACGAGCATGCTGTCATTCCAGATAGGGATCGACGTATCACCGTCGTCGCCGCAAGCTGTAGTGCAGGGCAAGGAGCCTACGATCTGTTTGGTCCATGAGGGAGGCAGTGCGGTATGCTTGGGGAGCATTCGGTACCGGCAGCAAGAGCTCATCCTCCATGTCCACATGTTCGTGGATTAGTCGATAATGGTTTATCGCGCCTCCACCGCCGGGTCGGAGCAACAGCGGGTTGACTCAGCTAGGTACTGCTAAGTGTAATTGTATCATATCGTAAGGTAATACTTGAAAGAGACTGCAAATACACGCACCGATTACAACGCTGCTATTAGGCGTTACTCGGGACCGCACCCCACGGACAACAGAATCAGAGCAGCAGGACCAATGTTATAGTCACACGGCAGTGAATGAAGTGTAGAATATTCACCACATCATAGAATGTGTTTGTAAGGCAATGGAGTCAGGGTGTAAGAGGAACTTGTAGAACGACTTGGCGGCCGATGCTGTCTCCATGACCTTGAACAGTCACGGAACTGACGTGCATGTGATACAGCCTCTTTGAGGCCGGCAGTCGCTCGCACCCCGAAGAATAGCTATCAACCCGGACTCCACTGAGCTCAGGGTACCCTTGTGCATGGACTTCTGCAGTTACTAGCATAACAACATGGACAAGACCAAATCACGTCTTGCTGCCTTCTTTGACGACGACGACGATTCGTCCTTTCCAGTGCGATGCACATGGACTTCTCCTCCCAACGTCAATCCCACTTAACTATGCACATATTCACAGCAAAAGGCCGTGGACGAACAGAAACTCAATCAATACGCTCAAGGTACCGTCCGCAAGTCCAGACGCGAAAGGGAGAAGGAGGCCGCGGAAGCTAAGCGCAGGGAAGAGGAAGAGAATGCCGCGAAGGCTTACGCAGACTTTCTCGACGCGTTCGAGGGCGAGGACACCGGTCGGAAAGGACGGCCAGGATCGGCTTTCGTGAAAGCTGGTGGTGCAAGCGCCGTCGAAACATATGCCGTTGCACCCAAGGCGAAGACGGGAGGGTCGTCGGGTATGATGCGGGCTTTCGAGAAGGATGACGCTGTGAGTACATTGGTCTACTCAAAGGCAAACACTGATATGTGCGAAGTCTCCGCCACCTGCCGCTCCGAAACCAAAGGGCAAGAGAGCCATGGATGCATTCCTGGAGGAAATCAGAAGGTGGAAGCAACCTTAGCTATGCGTGCTAGAAGCTGACAGTCTATCTAGGGATCAGGCCGACAGAGAAGCTCGATACTCGCGTAATGGTATGTGTGATGCCCATCACCCCGGAGTCTCACCTAACGCACCTGCTCTCGCCATAGCTCACGGACGATCCGTTACTGCACTAGCGGGTTTGTCAAGTTGTCAACTGCGAGGTATACTGCTGACCATAAGCTCAGCTTACGACGGCCAAAGTGGCAGCAAGGATCGCGGCGATCCTGAGGTAAAGAGCACATTCCGAACTCAATCCCGTAAATATTAACGGGTATTATCCAGACAACCAACGTGTTCGTGGCCAACCTGCCCCCGCATGTGAACGAGCAGAGTCTAGGCTTCTTCTTTGCTCGCTGTGGGCCCGTAGGTTCGGTGCGTTAAAATGACGACCTTAATGGAGGGTACAAGCCACTGACTGTCAACAGGTTAAAATCATGTGGCCTCGTGGCGACGCTACAGTTGGCCCCGGTGCTGATATGACGAACTCCCGGCGCTCAAAGAATGCCGGGCTTAGCGGCTTCGTGTCTTTCATGAAGCGTCGTGACGCCGAGGCCGCTCTAAGAGAACTCGATGGCTTCGACTGGGGTGGTTCTATCCTTCGCGTGGGCTGGAGTAAGGCCGTCCCGGTTGCGCCCAGGGCGCAGTATGGTAAGCTTACAGTTACACCTCGCGGAGATCACAATCATTTAGTGGTCGATTCTCCCTACAGTTTATGGCGGAAAGGGGGCGTCGACATCACGCAGTCGGTCCCGCTCACACTCGCCGGCTCGACCTCGTAGACTCTCGTACTCGCGATCGCGATCTCGGTCCGACTCGCGCGAACGTCAGCGCTCTACTCGGCGATCCCGGTCCCGCGACTATCGCCGGCGTTCCTACAGCCGTTCGCGATACGGAAAGGGTCGCAGCCGTTCTCCCCGTGCTCGGAGGAGTCGTAGCAGGTCCCCTGTGAAAGATGGTGATGACGTGACGGACACCTTCATCCGGACGGTTGCCGCAGAAGTCAAGGGCCACGGCGAAGATGGGAAGTATGAACAAAGTCTTGTTGAGAGGGAGAAGAATAACCCTCGTTACTCGTTCTTGACAAAGCGAAGCGTGAGTTGTCCATTCCCCCGCGTTAAGGAAGTTGCTGATGTTCCTGCATGCTGTTTCCGGATGACAGCATAGAAAGCATCGGTACTACAAGACATTAGTGCAAGATGGGACGACCTTACAGCCCGAGTTCGACGACGATGTATGCAATTCATAATGGCTTCTGGAATTTCCGCTCATCGGCGATAATCGAACATAGGGCTACAATTCTGTTTATTCGACTGACTCTGGGGAAGAGTCTGAGCGCGAGCATGGTAGGAAGAACGCCTTAGGAAAACTCGCGCGACGGCGCTTCGAAGCTATGCTCCGAGCTATCTCTGGAAAACGTGGCGAACTCGCGCGGTGTATGGCATTTAGCCTTGAACACGCGGAGGCAGCGTCGGAGGTAGGCTCAGCATTCTTCGATATCACCTCGCGATGTTCATAACCTATCTGTGCAGGTCGCCGATATAATCGTTTCTTCGCTTCTGGTCGATGGCACCCCTGTCCCGCGCAAAGTATCCCGACTGCACCTCATATGCGACATTCTCCACAACTCCGCTGTACCGCTAACTGGTGCATGGAAGTTCCGCAACGAGTTCCAATCCCGTCTTGGATTGGTTTTTGACCACCTTTCAACCATCTACCATTCCTTTCCTGGTCGAATTACGGCAGAAACTTTCAAGGCCCAGATCACTGCAATTATTGATATCTGGGATGACTGGATTGTCTTCCCACCCGAGTTCACTAGGGAGCTACGAGAGCGGCTAGAGGGTGAAGTTGTTCGGGAACAAGAGCCTCGTGCGAAGCCAGTAGAAAGTATTCAAGAAGAAAGCACGCCGGTGGCTCAGAACAACAAGTTCAAGTCAAGCTCGTTCAAGCCTGCGACGGTTGAGACAGCCATTCCAGATATCGCTGCACGCACCGTTGAAGATGCTGATTTCGATGGCGAGCCCATGGACGAAGGAAGTGATGTCGAGGGGCAACCTATGGACGACGTCGATGGCGAACCCATTGATGATATAGACGGAGAGCCGATTGATGATATGGACGGCGAACCGATCGATGACGTGGATGGCGAACCTATGGATGACGATATTGATGGTGCTCCAGTAGCAGTGTGAAGTTCTGCGCTCGTGATATATGCAATTTTACTTCGTGACGGACCATTGTTTATCACGCTTTTTGCCAATCTCGATGTCCCCGGAGTAGGCCCCATCGGTGTAGACCCGGTTTTCTGGTCGCTTTTCTTGCCGTCTTTGGGACTCAGGACGGGGAAAAGATCGGCGAAGCACATCATGTTGCGCCATGCGTTCAGCTCGATGTTCAGCGCGGTCGAAGGATGAGTGAAGCTGCAGCGCCATGACGGCACTACTTACACGGGGGTATATTGCTTCAAATTGGGTATTGACACGCCACAACTAGTACAAGATGACGGGGTAGGACTGCGAATGACTGCACGTCCCTCTCGGTCGAGGGTCTAGCACTGGTCAAGGTTCCAGTACTTGCCAATCTTGCTGGTATAGGGGTCGACGTTTTGCATCCACCCGTTCAATGTTTGATGCAAGCTGCGAAAGCAACGGTCAGTCATCAACCATGCCAATTATAAATACTGATACGTACTAGTCAAGGTTATTCTGGCAGCGGCAACAGTCCGTGTGTGCGGCAGCCGTAGCCTCGGACTTACATCACATCAGCATCAGATCCCCTGTGCATGCATGCGGATAGGTACACTCACAAATGTCATCTTCTTTGGCCAACCGTTATACCCGCCAATCGTGTGGAGAAGATCTCCGCCGTTGGCCTTGAGGCTGTCCGCGAAGAATTTGGCACCGGTCTTGATGTTATAGTTTACATCCTTGCAGTTACCGCCCGGAGCAGCGCCGCACTTGTCCTTGGTCAGCTGCATTAGACCTTGTTCGCCCGCGCCGCCAACAGTATTCGGATTGCAGGTGCTCTCCTGCATCGCAATGCTCGCGATCAGGATGGGAGGCACTGTGTTGGTTCGATTCATTTGAGGCAAGGCGATGAAGATGCGGCACTTACGGCCGTTCTCGTTCGCGTACTTCGTAAACAGGCCGATGTAGTCCTTGCATGCGTGGAACGGACTAGATGAGCTATCCAGGGCCGTTTCGAGGGAGGCAGCCTTGATGTCATTAACCGTGACGTAAGGGGGCGTCCTGGAGTTTCATGTGAGTTGGTGTCGCGAGTGACACTGGTATATGCATACCATCCACCTTCGTTCACACCACAGTTCAGCCAATCGATGTTACCGTTGGGACCAGAATGAGCCTTGACGTTCTCTAGAATAGATATGGTGAGCGCGTGACAAATATGCCATTGGTAGGATCCTTACTGGTAGCGCCAGATGCGCCGCATGCCTTGTCAGTGACCGCAATCAGAGAGCTGGAAACAACCGCGGTGGTGGGAGCGGCCTTCTTGGTTGAAGAGGTGGTCGTGGGTTTCGCGACCGCTTCATTCACCTGAAGGATTACAGGATATTAGTTCGCGGGTTTTTGTAGCGTCTGTGTAGGACATGCCTTGGTCGAGGTATGAGTCGCGCTCGACGAACTGACAGTCCTGGGTTTGCAGCGTCCATTGCCTCTCTTCGCGACTTGGCGGGACAGATGGTCGTGCTTCCGAGACAATGCACCGTGATGAATGTCCGACGCGTGGACGGAAGCTACAAGGGCCAGCAAAAGAGCGCAAAGGGTGGTGAACTGCATGGCGTCCGGCGTCGTGAAAGAGCGAGTGACTAGGGTGAGCGTAAGAGACAGAAAGCTTGGAGACAGTCGATCATGGTCGCCATCGTATTTCAACCCGGCAACGGATCACTGAGCCCGACATTGGATCACAAGCGGGCATGGAGGGCGTGGGAAGGTCGGCGTCGGGCTTAGTGAGCCAATCACGTCCGGCAAATAGCACCGCCACTACCGGCACGTGGATGCCGTTGGCTTCCGCCAGCTTCCGCCGTTCCCTTCACGCGAGTCGCTCTGCCCTTGACATCACCGCCTGCGTCTACCGTCTCAGCCGTCTCGCATAAATCCGTCAAAATGAGCGAAGCGTCTTCTTCTAGCGCTGGAAGTCCGGCTGCAAGCACCCCTGCAACCTCGCAACCCCCGTCACCAGCCATGTCCCGGCTCACCCTCGAAGACGTCTCCGATCAGGACAAACAAGAGGCCGCTCGCCTCAAGGTTCAAGCCAACACCTGCTTCAAAAGTATGCATCCAGCGGGTTGCATCTGAGTATCTGTACGTGAATTGAACGAGGGCTCGCGCGTATGGCGTACGTGTAATGTAGATCATGACTTCAACGGTGCCGCCGATCTGTACACGAAGGCCATCGAGAAGAATCCGTTCGACCCGATCTTGTATTGTAACCGAGCGTACGCGCGCACGAAATTGGAGGAGCACGGCTATGCGTTGAACGATGCCAGTGCGTACATCGCACGACTCGCGTGAGCGCCTATTCACGAGTGTCTGGGACAGCGAGAGCAATCGAGATCGACCCCAACTACGCGAAAGCGTACTATCGACGAGCGACATGTTACTTGCAAACGCTGAAACCCCAGCTGGCAGTGCAAGATCTGAAGAAAGTGCTCGCCATCGAACCGAATAACGCGGCCGTGAAGGACCAACTGCAATCGACGCAGAAATTGGTGAAGAGGATACAGTTCGAGAAGGTGGGTAACGCTCTACCATTACTGTACATATATTTGACCCTCCAATATAGGCGATCGAGATGGAAGAGGAGAAGAGCGCGGTGGAAAGGTGTTTGGAGATCATCCGTGAAGGAGGCTGCGATATGGACAAGTCGTACCAAGGCCCCAAGCTGGAGACTACCGAAGATGGCCAGTACTCCATAACGCAACAATTTATTGCCGACATGATCCAGTGGTTCAAGGATGGAAAAACGCTGCCTCGGAGATACGTCTGGGAGATTGTGCTGGGAGCATACTCCCAGTTCGTCAAGGAAGAATCTCTTGTGGATATCGATCTGCAGGATGATATGACGTGCGACGTAATCGGCGATGTTCATGGTGTGTCATCCCTTTTCCCTTAACTTTCGGTTGCCAAACTGTATTTCGTCAGGACAATTCTTCGACATGATGCACCTATTCTCGTTGACGGGTTTGCCGTCAGAGAATCATTGTCTACTCATGAATGGGGACTTGGTTGACAGAGGCTCTTGGTCGATCGAGGTCATTCTCACCGCATTTGCTCTGAAATGTAAGCTTTCTATGGGTGCAAAAAACCCGCAGGCCTGACGACAATCCAGGGCTATATCCTAAGAACATGTACATCAACCGTGGAAACCACGAGACGAAGGACATGAACAGGACGTATGGCTTTGAAGGCGAGGCGAAACACAAGCATGGAGAACAAACATACAAGGTGTGTCCACTTCATGCCCTTGCGGTGACTCCCGCTGATATTGTGACCATAGCTGTTCGCTCATGCCTTTACTGCACGTAAGTATGAGTCTGAGTACACGAGAGAACTGTGAATGTCGACAACTGCCTTTTCCAGTGCCATTGGCAACCATGATACACGCAACAAAGCCACCAACAAACTCTCAAGGCGCCATCCTATCACCTCAGGGCCTGAAGAGGTATTTCGTCACTCACGGAGGTCTGTTCAGCAAGGATGGCGTCACCCTCGACGAAATCCGCAAACTTCCACGCGTAGGCTTGCAGCCTGGACAAGAAGGGCTCATGTGTATGTCTTATTTCATTGGATCTCAATCTGATGACAATCTGACGGTCATGTTACAGGCGAGGTAATATGAATGGCTTGTGACAATGCGCATACGCGCTGACCAGATATATTCAGCTTCTCTGGACTGACCCTCAGGAGCGGCCGGGTCGCGGTCCCAGCAAGCGGGTCTGTGTATTCATATCGTCCCTTGGATCGCTGACCTGATCTGTATTGTACTCCCAGGGAGTTGGTATCGCGTTCGGACCTGATGTAACCCGACGATGGTGCCAGCTCAATGGCGTGACTGGTATCATCCGGAGCCACGAAGTGCGGCAAGGTACGTTAGCTTGGGTCTGTCCTATTCATGGAGATGCCGCTGAACGCCGATTTCCTAGACGGATATGCCGTTGAACATGATGGACTATGTACCACGGTGGGTGCACATCCGTTTTCCGATTGATTTCTGGCCCTGCAACTCTTCAACAGGTATTCTCCGCGCCCAATTATGTGGATCAGGCAGGGAACAAGGGCGCTTTTGTAAGTGTAGTCAAGTATATACAATGAAATGATACTGATACCTCTCCACCAGATCCGGATTGACTCCGCTGGTACGCAGAAGTACACGCAGTATGAGGCGGTGCCCCACCCTCCGTTGAAGCCGATGGCATACAACACGGGCGGTTTGGCCAACATGATGATGATGTAGGCGTCACGCAGTTGTACGGGCCGGTAAATTGTGCCAGCCTCCTCTCGTTGCTATATTGTCTAAATCATAAAGTTTTGCACATTTACTTGCATGCAATGACCTTGCGTGTGAAGAAAGCTTTGCATCAAGAGATCAGCACTGGCAAGCGCGATTCGAGTCGTCCGGAGGAGACAGGGTCCTTCCACCAATGCCCTGATCAGGCATATGGCGGAGCATCTCGAACCTATGATCAACTCGCAGTGGGCATTCCGTGGTCCCAGATACATCCGCTTGAGAATCTATATTTCACAACGGCACCAACATACGTCATGGCCCCTACTGCACAATGCCCTGAGCAGCTGCACTCATGATGTTACCATGGCCTCTAACCCACATCAACACACCTGGTGCTGCTGCTGAGCTACTTCTCATCCATTTCAATCACAGCGGAACCAACGATTTCCGTGATGCAGTTCCAATTGCGTGGTGCTCGGAGCAGCTCCTATCAATAAACGGCTGCACCTTGGGACCGTTTATGCGTCGCAGTCATGGTCTCTCACTTGTATAAATACCCTCGCCACCAGTTGCAAGGATGCATCACGAAAACACCTATCACACTTCATTCATCGCATACAATCATCACAACAGCAAGAATGCAGTACCAAAGCATTATCGTTGGCGTTGTCGCGCTTTTCTTCGCTAGCGGAGTAATGGCGACTGCAGGTGACCCGAGTACGTTCACCTGGAGTATATTGCGATCGAATGTTTCGCTGACTTTTTGTCTGCTAATCAAAGTCTCTGCTTGCAATGGCAAGAAGGCTAACGCTGCTTGCGAGTGGGATGATGGCACCCCTGGAACCGGGCTTCATTCTGGTCGTAAGTAGCGCTTCCGGCATGGAATAATAGATTTAGACTGACAGTTTTTCATTCAGACTGCCAGGCGTTTGGCACCGCTTTGCAATGCCAGTAGGCGGAATTGCGTAGCAGCATCATTGGCACACACCCGGTGGTCTCAAGTTTCTTTAAGTTTGGAGCGGGGCTGTAGTCTACAACCGTGACCAATGCTGTGGATTGAACTTAAAGAAAGTTGATAGGTCGCTGATACCCAATGCTCTGTGGGCTCTGTGTCGGCCTTGCATCTGTCTGTAATTCGCATTCTCGTTGCCAGGTGTAAACGTGTAGAACTATATGAGCCACGCTTTGCACCACCTTGCCCGAAAGAGGATATGGTATCACGTGCTTCGTACGTGGCGCGTATCCCGGGGGCCAGCGCGGGCACGGCTTCATACCATTCCTCCACCGCAGAATTTCCTGCGTCTTCGTATTTCTTGTTCTCGTCGCGAGTCATTATTGACTTCGCGACTTGGTCTTTCCCGTCACTGGCTCTGCGTTTTCCGGACACCCGTTAAATCCACAAAACCATGGCCCAGCTCTCCGCTGCCGACCTCCAGGTACACATTAGTGCACTTCTGTCTCAGTACGATCTGCGTCCTATGCTGATCTGGATTTAGAGGAGGCTCGAGCTAGAAGGCGCACCCGATCCGTTCCCTGCTCTCGGTAACTCTACTCCTGCCAAAGCGCGCGCCCCCGCGGCCAAGGAGGAGCTTGACACCGACTCGCAGACCGCCTTTCCGTCTCTCGCCCCGGCCCCGTCTGCCAACAAGGCGGCGGCCCCTGCATGGCGACCGGTTCCCCGTCTGAAGGCGATCCCGCAGCCCATGATCGCGGACTCGTTTGACGTGGCAGCTGTGGATCTCTCGTCTGCTGGCAAGGATGGCAAGCCGACCAGCCTCAGCGAGGTCATGAAGCAGGTTGCAAGCAAGTATAAGGTCAAACTAGAGGCGTCCACGAACCAGAGGACGCGCCAGACGACGTTCCATCTCAAGGCGGACTCGCAGAAGGATTTGGACAAAGCCAAGAAAAGTCTCATGGCCTTGCTGTCTCCTGTGGTATGTTATCATCCATCCGCGTGGCTACGCGGTCCCTCAATTTGAAACGCTCGTGTAGGTCACTCTCACGGTCAACGCTCCCGCTTCGACTATCCCCGCCATTATCGGTCCCAAAGGTTAGCTTCGTTGACTGCAATTCCGGATGTTTGGCTGATGGTGTTACCAAGGTGCTACTCTCAAGCTCATTCGTGATCAAACTGGAGTCAAAGTCGACATTCCCCGCAAGGACGCGTCTGCTGCTAACGGTCATACCAACGGCGTTGCTCCTTCCGGTGCTGATGAAGAGGAGGAGCCCACGGTCCCGGTCACCATCACGGGTGCTCAGCCTCTCGCATTGGAAGCGCAGACTCTGATTAATCAGGTCATTGCATCCAAGACGTCTCGTAGCACTCAACGCGTGCGAGATATTCCGGTCCATGTGCTTCCGTTCATCAAGGCTCGTCGCGCCGTGTTCGAGGCTGCCGCCGAGGGTGGAGATGTCAATCTTGCGCTGAGCACTGCCGACCGGGAGATCACCGTCAGCGGCGATCGCGAAGCTGTTGGACGCGTCGTTGATGTTGTCAAGAGCAATATTGAGTCTTTACAATCGACCATCACCTCTCTCAAGATCTCCTTGCCCAAACGCCAGCACCGTCTTCTGTCTGGCAAGGCTGTCGATGAGATCGTTGCCAAGAGTCGCTGCTCGGTCCTCGTAGCAAGCCCCGATGAGGCGAGCGACGAAGTGACTGTTTGGGGCCAAGCCTTGGACTTGCCTCAAGGTCTCGCGGCTGTCATGGAGAAGGCCAACTCGCAATACATCCACGAGTTCCCTCTTCCCGGTCCCATTACCTTGTCTAGGCAGCTTTTGACCTACATGACTCGGATCAACTACCCGAAGACCCTGAGCGCCGCACATCCGGGCGTCCAGGTCTTCACTCCCTCTCCTGCCGTGATGGAGAAGGCGGCTATCTTGAACATCGAGCTCATCGGTGATAAGCCCGCCGTAGATGGTGCTGTGCGCCAGGTCTCGGAGCTCATCGGCAAACTCATCGGCGGTATCAAGGAGGTCAGCATAGATTGGCTGCTTCATCGCATCCTCCAAGGGACCAAGAATGCCAAGAAGTGAGTTGCCTTGTGTCTGTCAATCTGTTGAGCAAGGCACATTGCTCACGTTTTGACAGGCTCAAGCAGTTCCACGATGTCAACAACGTTTCAGTCTTCTTCCCTCCTGAGTCCGCGGAACAATCCTCGGTGTTGCTCGTTTACGACCCTTCCACACACAATGCATCGCGCGACCCGGTGGAGAAGTCCAAGCAGATCGAGGATGTTGAACACGAGTTACTTGAGATGGTCAAGGAAGCTGCCGACGTCAAGACCGAGTCTGTCTCTGTGGAGACAAAGTGGCACGAAGCTGTCATCGGCAAGAACAGCACGACTCTTAACGCGTGTGTCGCCTGTTATGCTCGAGGAATTGGTTGACTGAGTCCCGTACAGCATTATCGGCGAGGAGAAGACGCTATCGATCAAGCTTGGCAAGGACGTTGGCGACAGCACGACCGAGGATATCATCGTTGTTCGTGGCGCTAGGGCCGACGTCGACCGTGCTGTCAAGGAAATCAAGCAGATCGTCGAAGATGCCAAGAACGACGAGATCGTCAGCAGCTATGTATGTTGGCGCATGCTGAACGTACAACGAAAACCGTTGACGCCACGTTATGCAGTCCGTCGAGTTTGAGGTCGACAGGGAGTTCGTCGGACGCATTGTTGGCTCTCAGGGCGCTGGTGTCAACAGAATCCGTGATCAACTCGGCGTCAAGGTTGATTTCTCCGACGAACCCGAGGACAAGGAGAAAGAAGGAGGCAAGAAGAAGAAGGGTGCTCACCAGAAGTCCCATGTCAAGGTAAGCTCGCCCCTTGAAGGCTCCCTCGTCAGTGACTTAATATATCATCACAGATCACCGGGCGGAAGGAGAATGTCGAGGAAGCCAAGAAGCGTATCCTTACTCAAGTCGAGCGCCTAGTCAGTGTCCCTCGCTTTACCTCCGAAAACGATGAATGCTGATCAGACTATCAGGCGGACGAGACATCCGAGATATTGAAGATCCCCACCCAGTACCATGCTTCCCTAATCGGTCAGAGCGGCAAATATGCTATCCGGTTGGAGGAGAAGTACGGTGTCAAGATCACTTTCCCCCGCCAAGCCGAGGGCGCGGAAGCCAAGACGCGGGAAGTTCTGAAGGCTGATGAAGTTCTCGTGAAGGGTGGCAAGAAAGGTGTTGCCGGCGCGAAGTCCGAGTTGTTGGAGGTGAGCTGTACGACGTCGCGGTCCGAGGACGATACTAAATACTATGTTGTTAGGCCCTTGACTACGAGAAGGAGAATAGCAACGTCGTCAAGTTCACGGTACCGACCCGGGCAGTCGCGCGTGTCCTTGGTAAGGGTGGAGCCACCATCAACGAGATCAAGGACGAGACGTCGACCCAGATCGATGTCGAGAAGGGCGGCGACGATCACGCGCCAACTAACATCACCATCCGAGGCACCAAGAAGGCGATACAAGAGGCGAAGGCCGCCATCCTGAGCATCGCAGACCAAGTCGGCGAGGAGGCTAACGACACTGTCACCATTGAGAGCAAGTTCCACAGGACCATCATTGGTGCAGGCGGTCAAGGCCTTCGTGAGCTCATCCAGAAAGCCGGAGGCCCTTCAGACCCTCGGCAACAAGCCGGCCTCATTCGCTTGTTCGTGATAAATTTCTCCCATACCCTTCAATGTTTAATTCGCGAATTTTAGCCCTCGTCAAGGCGAGTCTGGCGACGAGGTTCGCCTCCGGGGCGATCCTAAGGTGGTAGCGAAGCTGAAGACGGAACTCGAGAAGGTGGCGGCGAGCCTCCGCGACCGTGTCGTATTGGCGATCGAGATCCCCGCAGCTCAGCACCGCGCCCTTATCGGACGCGGTGGTCAGCACCTGAACGACCTGCAGTCCCGGACTGGCTGCCAAGTCCAGTTCCCCGGCTCCCGGTCTTACCACAGCGTCGGCGATGCAGAGAATGCTGCCGACGTCAAGGATGTTGACCCCGCGGACATCGTAAAGGTGTCTGGACCTCGTGCAGCGTGTGAAGCTGCCATCGCTGAGCTCAAGGTTTGCGATGATCTTTTTCTAGGACGTGCTAGGTCACTCATTGCCATCTACAGAAATCTGTCAAGGCCCCTGGTCCTCCACCGCTGACGGCGACTGTGACGGTTCCGTTAAAGTATCACCACTTCATCTCGCAACAGGGCAACTTCTTCCGGAACCTTCGCTCATTCGGCGTCACTGTGGAACACTCCGCGCTACCGCAGAAGGCAGCCGTCCCTGCTCCTCCGCCTCCCGCTGGTGCTAGCGATGCTCGTATCGACGATGCAGGCGACGATACCACGCCAGAGGTCAAGTGGCAAGTGGTGCCGAACTACCAGGATGCGGAGGAGGGCGAGTCGGAATGGACGCTCAAGGCCCGGGACGACGCAGCCTTGGAGAAAGCCAAGAAAAGGATTGCAGATGCAATCGACCAGGCGGAGAAGATGTCCCATGTCGGCTTCCTCACTATGCCCGATCGCAGCGCGTTCCCGCGAATCGTCGGATCTAAGGGAGCCAACGTTGCTCGTCTTCGTGACGAAACCGGCGCAGACATCACCCTTAGCCGCGAAAACACTACGATAGTGATCATTGGTGAGAGAGCACTCGTGTACAGGACGTTCGACAAGGCGATTCTGACCCTAGTCCTAGGTTCCGAGTCTGCAATCGAGGCGGCCCGGGAGGCCATCCAGAAGATGGCGTCCAGCCGCCCTGGTCGCAGGGGTCGCGATGAGTGATTTTAATTCGGCCTGCTTAGTGGATGGAACTCCGTGGAACGCATGCACCATGTTACATAGCTTAGCACATCTCTCGCTGTCCCAAACATAAATACTGCCTTGTTTTTGTTTTGCTCGCTTTCGTCATCGTTCCCCCGTGGGAAAGGTCGAGAATCCTGGGACGATTGACGCTTTCTCACCTATATTCTCGCTCTTGTACCCCGTTTTTTCTGTCAGTCGGACCAGATCTCTGCTCTGGGACCGGGTCGGCTATGACGGCAAGGCTTGTTGTGCAAGACGTCTTCGGCACACTGACCGGACCCCTTGAGCCGCCGCAAACAGTGTATTTCTGGCTCAGGGAGGTGGTGTTCAGCGCACTTGTCCACTTGGCTCGCGGGCAAGATCATCATCGCTCGAGGCTCGTGGCCTGAAGACCTGCGCGGCTTTGGTACCACTTCGCTCATGAGCGCCGCACGATGCCTGAGAGTGTGGAGTCAATCCTACACCGTCGTGAAGCGTAACGCTGGCCATATGGCACTTCGCGCGTTTTACGGTAGGCCGATTGGTCGCGGTTGAAATCCGCGAGTCGCGCTTCAGCCACCTGCATCATGTAATGTTCCCACGGACCCGTCCAGGCTGGACGACTTCCAGCCGTGCGTTCCCCAGGTAGGTTCATCGCCCTACTCAGTCTCAGTCTAATGCGTCTACATGGATTAAGCCCCATCTGCACTCGATCACAGCATAAAGGCATCACTGTAATTGCTATAGATGCTGTACTTGCACCCATGTCATCTGCGGCGAGCCCAATTTGGGCGTACAGGAGCTTGTGCCACATATACATATTCTCAGCAATTCTTTCATTGTAGCCCTCAGCCTCTGTATACCCTTCAGTGGGTTATATCAATGGGCCATCACTGGTTTGTTCATGTGGCCGATAGCTGGTAGAGTGATGCGACCATGGCCAATGCCACGATGTGGGTGAGTTTTAGGGCTATTGTGCTTGTGCGCATATAAAAACATTGGGTATCATTAGCTCACAAACCAGTACATCTCTGTATCAACTTCCTAAGTTCCTGGACCTTTGCGATATGGTCAACACCATCGGCGTCAATGGATATGATAACGGTGATGGTAATATATCCACCCTGCAGATATTTTGGTCATTCATTCTTCAACATGTAGTCCCTGACTCCGAGACGCTCCGCGATAAGCTCATGGCATACGTCGGCGAGCAATTGACCCTTAACCAACGCCTTCGGCGGCTAGAAGTTGAGCTTGGTTACTCTATCGGGTACGTTGACTCAACCTTCTGCTATGAATGTCTACTAATTATTGCTCCAGCCTCACCAAGCTCAAGCAGATCCAGCGTGAGCTTGGCATCCCCACTTCCCGCAAGCCACCATCTTTGCCTGCTGCGACAACCTTGGTGTGTGAGAAGATGGTTGAGGATGCTCATGGCGGTCGGGGCCCAAACTCTATCAAGACGCAACTTGCGCTTGAAGGCAACCCGCTTCCACGGTTTGTGCTCACCGTTTATATAGTTACAGTACTTGATCACCTTCATGTCATACAGGAGCATCATACGCTCGGTCATGCATGCCCATCACCCTGAAGGTGCTGCCCTACGCTATCCAGGAGGCCGCACGAAAGTCAAGCAACGTGGCTTCCTTAGGGCTTTTGGCCCTTTTCATGAATGGCATGCCGATGGCCACGAAAAGCTCAGCAGCAAGGCGCTCCGTATTGGACCTGTTGGCATGGGTATCTACGGTATCACCGATAAGTGGACGAGACAAATTATTCACACCAAGTGCTATCCCGATGTTCGCCATGCAGCAGCTGTTGGCCACATTCTCGCCGATACCATCTCTGAAGTTGGTGGTACGTGTTCTTCCTTAACCTCTGATTGGACGTTCTGACATCTTTATAAACAGCTATCTGCATTCAGCTGACGGTTGACCATGGAAGTGAAACGGCAGACATGGGTGGCTTACAGATCACTTTACGGTATGCTGTTTATTCTCTGATATACGATCTGCCGGTAACTCACATTACGTATCAGTGAAATGCATGCACCTGAGATTGACCCAGTGCAATATCCACCTTTCCTGACACTGAAGAGCACAGACAACATATCGATCGAGAGCAAGTGGAAGTGGTGGCTTGAGTTTGGAGGTCGGAATCTGCGGGAGGAGATGCTCCGTGGAACTGAGATAGGTATCTTCAATGGAGGAAATCCGCTTCATTGGTGAGTACCTGCTATATTCAACCTGGAATGCTGTAATTCATCACATCCATAGTGATCTGTTTCAGTGGCTTTGGCCACAGATTGTCCAGCTTGTTCTGGATGACTTCAAGCATGCGTGGAACGCGAAGAGGATAAGAAAGCAGAAGAATGTGCTCCTACCTACTGGTGGGACTCCAAACGACTTCATGGTTCGCCCGCAGGACTATGGAGGAGAACGGGTGTCTATCCCTGTTGATATTCACAACGTCACAGAAATCCGCTCTAACTTTGACACAACCAGGGAGGACGCCTTCCGGTGGGTTGATGATGTATTTGCTGATGCAGCCTTTTATGCATATCAGTCTATCGGCTCTCCTGAGTTGAAAGTGAGCACTGCATGGGACACATTTCTCCGCATGCTCCCCGTGCTCTCTACCACTGTAACTTATGATTAGTGTTTATAATTTATGTTACTGTGATGCTCTGAGGCGACGTGTGGCTGGATACGTGCTACTCAACACCCGGCGGCAGTGCCGCCGTTATCTCTTAATCTCTCATCACCCCTTTCACTCAACGATCAACTCGACCCACTCAACCTTGCGCAGGCCCATCCTCCTCAACTCATCAGGCATTATCGGTATCAACTCGGATGGCCGACGGTTGATACGGTGCAGGGACGACGGGCCGGGCTTGATAGGGAGGATAGCAAGAGGGACACGGCGATTGGACATGGACTTGGTATCGTATCCCCTATATTGCGCTGGCCCATGTACAGTACGGTAGCAACTTGCTCACCTCGTTTCTCCACCGTACCTATTCGCGTCCGAATCAATGAGCAAACTGACCGACTACCAACCAGCCAGTACCGCCCCTCTATCCGAATATCTGCTCTACTTCTTCCTATACATCCTACTGGGCAGCCTCTAGGTTTGCCTCGATGACCCTCGCACCCGTACATTCTTGCCTCGCCCATCCTTATCGGCCTGGCACCACTACATTACGCAGCTCTATGGCAAATCACAATATATATCCCAGCTGACTCAGACAGCATTTTACTTCCCAACTTTATTCAGCAGCTAATTGTCCTTCAAGTAACTAGTTTACCTTCCCTGAATCCTGCTCGGTTACTTTCTCCGTGATACGCACTAGTGAAGAGGCCAGGTCATCTTCCTCGGTCTCCTCTTCCGCTTCCTCCTTCTCAGCCTGTGCGCCTGTTCGTACTTCGCTATCATGTGAGTGGTCATGAAGATCGTCCTGACCATCAGGTATTCCCATCTCACGACAGATGCGTAGGCACTTGTGGCTCGCCACAAACTTATATATCCCTTCCTTTCCAAAGTCGCCCAGGCCACTATCGCTGTATTTGAAGGTCATAAGCAGACGTCTGAGTCATATCTGCGCACAAACATACCCTGTAGCACTGTGAGACTGAGGGTCAAATAGAATATGCCCCTCCTTCTGATGCGATGTAAGACCAATAGAGCCCGTCAAGTAAACAGTCATGAAAAGTGTTAGGTAATAAGTGTCCAAATGACGTACTCTGCAAATCGGTGAAGACCCAGGTGCCATCTGTGAAATACAGTGACCAATGAGCGAAAGCTTGCATAGTCTCTGCATAGAGATTGTTGATCTGATTGGGATGAACATTAGTCCCGCTGTATTTGGTGACTGAGGAAGATCGACGAGGCTCGATGAGCCAGTAGATAGCCCGGTCGGTATTCCATTGCGTCTGGCTCTTATATGACTCCAGGGAGACACCAGATGCAGGAGATGGACGGCTATCTTCAGCTGTAATGAGCTCTTGTGCCAGATAGCAGGGCGTAAACTCAAAGCCTAGACAACAAATGTAAGTGCATTGATATATATCAATTTCAGCAAAGGTATAACTGACGGGTCGAAACTTCAACATTTGCATCCTTTGCTTGCTTATAGAATTGCTTCAAAAAAGTAGCACCAAGGATGAGGCGGATGAAGTCAGCTTGCAGATAACGCATATTGTCATCAATAGAGATTTGACCTCCCAAGCTCTGACCGATATTGTAGATGCGCTTCGCCACAAAAGGTTGCTCTTTGCCAAGGAGCTGTAACTGTAGCATACTTCATATCAGCAAGCTGATCACAAGCGCTGGTTCGAACTCATACCTCAAATACCTCTTTCGTTGCGCCACTCCCAAAAGGGGTATTGCCAATATGGCCGTGCACTACTTTGGCATCTTCACTGCCTGGCCAGGATACCGTTACGTTATGATCCATCGGATTAACCTCGTATGTGGCAAACATCAACTGTACAGGGGTCGTTTGAGGTGTTCTCAGGGTTTGCGACCGCAATACGGAGGGTAACTTGAAGGCTGATGGCATCCGTAATGCGGCGCTGGAGCCTTTCAGAGGTGCATATGTCAGATCAAACCTATATTGAAACATGAGAGACACTCACCTCTTATACGTTTAGATGGCATAGCTGAAGGCAAGCTATCACCATCAGGGTGTTCAGTACGTTTTAGCACCTTTCCAGGTTTGCGTTTGACCACAAAAGCTTCGGCGGGCAGTTTACAACCTGTCCTCTCCTCCCACTAATCATATTAGTGTTGTATCTTCCAAGATGAAATACGATCACCCACTCTCTCATGGTCAAGATACAGCATGAGCGTCATGCACTGCCCTGGCTTGGACCCTTTCTGAACTTGCAGCTTCTTGAAATAGACCTGGTTATTGGGGACTTGCTTATGAGCGTCATAGAATTGGCCCAAAGTCCGACATAATGTTCCAGGCTCAGGCTGCAGGTTGCCTGGCCATCGCACAGTAACATCGTCCCTAGCACTCATACTTCAGTACATGTCAGCAAACGCATAGCTGGGACATACGGGACAATTGAAGCACTGGCTTTCTTGCACCAATAAACATTGAGCGAGTCCAGAACCTCAGCGACAAGATCTATATCCAATATGAGATTTATATGACGAAGTTCACCCAGCCACAAACGTACCATCCATGAGTATTGTGCTTGGGAACGAGCGGCTGACATGCCCTACAAAGCCATCAAGGATGCTCTGGCCATGAAGCCCCATCGACACTGATATTTCACGCCCTGGATACTCAGTAATGCCCGTCTTCATCCCATTTAAGCTATGCGTGTTCACGCCGATAGTCGGGGCAATGGTAGGTGCGTGCGGTCCAGCAGCGTGAAGCTGGAGATGAGCCTTGGGTGCTCTGTTCATACGAGCTTGGACAGCGAGGGCACGATTTTCACGATACCGTTCATGTAAGGGAGAAGTAGGTACGGGTGGTGCGTTACGCAGTGTAGCTCCTAGTTCAATCGATGGTGAATGAATAGTCGGTACTGATTGGAAGTTAACATACCAGAGGGTGTTGAGGGTGGCACTGCACACGCATAGGTGTAAGTAGAATGCAATTATCGAGATAAGGTTATGGGCATACTGACCTGATGGAACAGACTGTGCTGATGCTGCACAAGACCCACACATGCCGCGCACAGGTCCAGAGAACTTGGTGAAAGCACTGCATTGGTGGCATTGGCTCCAGGTTGCCTATGAAAGACAAAATAATTAATAGAAGATTTCTCCGAAGTGCGAGCGTGGCGTACAGTACGGTTTTGAGCCTCTTCTGTGCCATATTCCAGAGTGAGTTTTTCTAGTTTCTTGCATCGCTCACATGGACCAGGGTCAACCTTCTTGGGGAAGTTGCCGTTGCAATCCTCGCAGGCAGTAACTGGTACAGAGGCGCCAGAGGAGGCGGTGGCAGCGGCAGTGACGGCGTCGGCTGAGGCGGCGGCGGCGGCAGTGGAGGCAAACATGATGATACAAATGGCAAAAGGTGCGATGTTCAGAGTATGATCAGCGAAACAGTGTATCCACACTCGCAGAATTTATATGTTCAAGAGAGGCCACCGTCCGCCGAGCCGCCTGTCCTGTGGCACTGGCTTTCTCCACCGCAGTATCACTTACCAGAGACAAGAGTATATGATTCAGGCACGTCGTTTTGGTGTGGCCATTTATTTCATAAACCTGATTTTCGCATTATAGTTATTAGTACAGCATCCTTATGCTCCGAAGTCTGGTACATATCAGTGATGTTAATATATTGCATTCTTATCTGCTGCAACATTACAACCGAGAAACATTGCTTCTGGGATTGATACTGCTAGCATTGAAGCAACAACAGGTAAGTTGGGCCACCAAACCGATGTTGTGGACGCCGCACCCACCATGTTTCATCCACCATCCCATGCGCAGTGACGTACGCCAAGTGCTTCCATTGCTGTGTCATATTGTCTGACGCCACAATGGAGTTCACGAGGATGGCCGCCTAGGCGATGTTGAACATGGGTGTTGCAATCCACTGCTGCATCTGACGCCACATACCACAAAGACAAACATCAGCCCGTCTGAGCCCGAGGCATCGATGCGGAGGAATCCGGCTTTGTACTGCGTGGTCAACGTCAACACCCAGGTGCTCGCGCATGAGGTGAACTCTCAAGGTGTAGGCGAAATGTCCGACTTTGAAGGATTTACCAGCCATACTGCTGCGGATTTTCGCTCAGTCACATTATGCGTGAATCTGAATGGGTATCGACACACCCATTGATCATCTTGGTGTCCCTGATGACCGCAGCGAGTTCAGAGTCACGGTTGCCAACCTGTTCTGTCGTTAGGACATCGCCTTTGAGCTTGCCCCAGTTTCGCAAGCAGAATACGGCGATATAGTCGTCAGGCTGGACGCATGGTCAAAGACATATACAGCGAGAATATGGAATCGCCTACATCAATACCCTCTTTCCGCAGGCGTCCGTAGATAGAGTTCGGACCGCGGCTGATCATCCGATTCTGGCACTCGAGGATGATACGGATCTAATGGGTGTACCATCATTAACGATGGGGGCACGGCAGCATGATAAGGCTTACGGCGCTGGCATCATTATGATCCACGGGAAAGGTAAATCCAGTGATGAGAGGAATCAGGATGCAAGCCTTCCATTAGACACCTTCGCGATGGGCTCGGATGATGCGGTGTACAAGAGCGTCACCAATGGTGTTCTCTATCTTCACGTCTCCGATCATGGTACTAGGAATGTACTCGTAAGTCCAAGTTGTCATATAGCGACTGCAGAGCACTAACGATGTGATGAAAAACTGGTTTTCGATGTATACGAAGTGCTCCGACATTTGGATGGCTGGTCCGAGTCATTCAATTGAACATTTAATGACATCCATCTATCGCACACGCACCTTTGAGATAAGCTTCCTGGATAGAATGCTCGATTTTGCGGCGTACCCAGTGACCACGGGCCGGCGGAGCGACAGATCTGAAACTCGAGTTCGCCCGTCAGACCCAACCTCGTCAGTTCGTCAGGGTGGAACTCGGACGGAGGAAGTAAGAACGGCATCGTGCGTGAATGATTCTGTATCAAGGAGCATCAATTTCATGAACACTGGCACGGTGCGCGTTGCGTTGCCCACCTTGTTCCGCAAAAGGTAGTTCCACCTGTGAGCAGTTAGAATAACTCTAGGCGGCGACACTTCCGTATGCAATAATCACCTCTGAACGAAATGTCGCGCGAGCTCTCTATCGCGTCGCCGGACGCGCCGGCCTGCGCCTGTCCCTGGATCAGCCCGAGGTCGCCATCGTGCTCAGGGCCGTGGCTGTTCAGCGGGTTCGTGTTCGTCGACGGATCGAGCATGTACCGGTGCTCGCGCTCCTCGTCCGAATCCTCGTCCGACGAGTTCGACGACGAGGAGGACGAGCCGTCTCCGTCCTGCTGCGAGGACCGCGCATTCGCGTCCCCGTTCAATTGCGAGTCCGAGCGATGCCGTGGGCGTCCCTGGTGGCCGATATGCAGCGCTCGCTCGACCTTCTTGAACCCACGCCGGATGGAGCCCGTTACCGAATGGTGCTTGTGCTTCACCTGGCTGCGCGCCGTCCCGTTCGCCGGCTTCTCCTTCCCCTCGTCGTCGGCGTAACCGTACTCGTGATCGTACCCGCCCTCCGAATGTCCCGTGAGAATGTTAAGACCCTGCCTGTATGCCCTCGGCGGCCTCTCGATAGAGCGGATCGGAGATGCGGATGCGGAGCCGGTGGAGGAGCACGGGCACGCGCCGCTGACCCTTTTCGTCGCGCTCGAACCATAGCTTGAGCATGATCGTCGACAGTCCGCCGGCCATGAGCTCGTCCGTGATGTTCTTCGCTGTGAACTGACCGATCCACGGGTTGATGCCTCCAGTTAGGGTTGCGGGCTCGGCGTAGACGGCCTGAAGGTCGAACGATCCACTACGGTAGAAGGTGAGCACCTTCGTGCTCGGGATCGTCTGCCCGCGCGCGAAGACGATGAGCTCGGTGTCCTCGTCTTGGTCGCCGGGCTGCTTCTCCCACTGGATCTTGACGGAGTAGTTCGCGATGTCGGTGATCGCAAAGTCGCGCACGCGGAAGACGGGGGAGAGCATCGCGTACGAGAACGTGGCGCCGCGCGCGACGGCCTCGTCCTGGTTGAGCGTGGTCGAGAGCGTCTTGCCCGGGAACACACTCTGGATCTTGGCGCGCACGACGGGGATGCGGGTCGAGCCGCCGATGAGCTCGATCGAGTGCACGTCGTCGAGCTTGAGGCCGGCCTGGTCAAGCGCGGCCTGGATCGGGGCCAGGATGCGGTCGAGGAGCTCGCCAATGAACGCCTCGTACTCCTCCCGGGTAAGCTTGGAGGTGGCATCGATGTCGTTCATGATCGACTCGACGTTGAGCGGCGCTTCCGAATTGGCGGAGAGAATCTTCTTCAGCTTCTCGCACGAGGCCTGAAGGCGGAACGTCGCCTTCGGATTCGACATGACGTCGATCTTGTGCTTGGTCTTGAACTCCGAGAAGTGGCGCACGAGCGCGTAGTCGATCTCGCGCCCGCCAAGGTGGGCGTCGAGGCCGGTGCCCTTGACGACGAGCTGGCCCTTGGAGAAGGCGACGACGGAGGCGGAGAGCCCGACATCCACGAACACAACATGCCGCGGATTCTCGGGCTCGGGCAGGTCCGCCTTCGTGATACCGTACCCGAGCGCGACGGCGGCGTAGTCGTTGATCAGCCGAAGGCAGTTGAGGTCCGCGATTGCCGCCGCGTCAAGCA